GGGTTATGATACTGAACCAACGACAATCCTAAGTTGGATGTGAAGCCGTCCTGTGTGTGTTAGTCGTAAAGGTAGATTATTCGATAAAATCCCTTATAGCTCGTGATGGTATTGAAGGGGATGTCGGGATGTTGAATGGTATACACAACTCGTGGGGATGATGATACAAGTAAATGTGACACGTTGAACGAGCTTCAAGTATAGGTACAGTTTAAAGATGTACAACACAGGTAATGACGACGTTGAAGAGTGGAAGGAAAGATCGTCGCTCCACTTTTCGTCAATTAACAAGTTATCATTCCAAGATTGATAGTGTCCCAATTAAGTGGTAGCCACCACGATGCCGAAGAGACCACGGTAGAGCAGTGAAGGTGGTACAGGTGGATCTCGGTCGGTTGGGATAATTAAATCAAATGCCGGTCCGAAACGTGGGTAAAAGGGAAAAGTGATAGTTAGAGTGTTCTATGAGACAAAATCTATCATTCAACTTGTTCCGATACTTAACTAGTTCTTCTCCCTCTCTCTCTCTCTTTCTCTTCTTCTCTAATGCCTTCCCTCTTACTCTTCTTCCCCCACTTTGTCTTCTTCTCCGATCTCCTTCTTGCCTTCTCGCCTCTGGCTCTGGAGTAATTACAAAATGACGACAAAGTATTCCATCGGAAACATCGGACTATCGGTCAATTTTTAAATCCATCCGTATCTCTTTGCGTATCTCCCTCTCCTCTTACCCTTCAAATCAGAATCCCATACCCACGAGGTTCAGTCTGTGCGCTACGTCAAAGCGTTAAACCATACCGAAAATCTCTCAAATCTCCAAATGGAGTGAACGGGGTGGCGACGGAGCCAGAGGCCAGAGGGCTGATGATCGGAGGTATGACTCAACGTATTCCGGTCCTATCGCCGATTACCGAACATCGTCCCACGGCGGCCACGGCCCACGATCCCACGAACTCCCCCACCCGTCAGCTTTTACACGCTAAAGAAGGCTTCGGTACGGCCTAGGACCCAGCCGTACAGCCGTGAGCCGGTTTTCTCTTTCTTGGCGTAAAAAGATCTGAGACAAAGAGGAGAAAAAAGTGAGACATCGGAACAAATTACAATCAAGTGATCGGCTCGAAAAAACTTTACGGCTTATCCGGTTACCCGGTTCCTCTTTACGCCATTCTCAGATCCTCCGAGGCGGCCTGGGAAAAGAGAGAAGTGATTTGAAGATGAGAAAGAAAAGTAAGGAACAAGGAACAAGTAACCAAAACTTCTTATCAGCCAAAGAGAAAAAGTAAGAACCTTAAATCTTATCTTCTTCCTCTTCTTCTCCTCCCTCTTCTTATCTTGTCGTGGCTCTCACTTTCTCCGTACTTGCGTCTTCCCCATCTCTACTTTTGACCCTGAAATATAGGCTTGGCTCGATTCTTCGGAAGTGGAGGATTGGAGAAAGAACAAGTAATGGAAACTTCAGGGTTTTGAGGGTTTCTTGGATAATCGTCACATTCACTTTCTTTTCTCTCACACCTACGAGTACACGAGTAATGCCTCACAAGGGTATAGTGATCTAGTGAGGACGGAACGGACACGGTTCGGTCATCTTTCAACTTTTCACCCGCAATCCTCACTCCGCATTCCGCCTCCTCGTGTCCGACGCCTCGCTTCGGTTTACTGTATGTAAGGACCAGACGTCGGGATAGTCTGCGTCGATGAGCTATGACAATGAGGCCTTGTAGGGAACAAACCTAGTGATGTAGTGTATCGAAGAGATCTGTAAGATCGATGAGATGTATGTCAAATGATATAACTAGGAAAACACAAAATACATTCGACAAGACATTGCTGAGAAAAGACTACGTCTATATACTAAAAAGAGAGCGGAGTGATACCGATAAGAGCATGCGTAGTTTGGAATGAAGTCGAGGTAGAATAGGAGAGGAAGAGCGATGATAGTTACCGAGACGGAGATGTAAAAAAGGGTAGAGGTGTCAAATGAGTGGAACCAGGCGTAGTAGCCAACGGAGTAAGCCCGGACGCGGGAATGGAGACGGGGACGGGAATGGAAAAGAGTACGACTACAAGGTAAGGTACCCGTGGTACCGCGTGATCCTGACACTGTACATGTACGGGGTGTGACCGACCACTGGGAGACGGGCACGGAGACTATAGATCTTATAGAGTACAAAAAGGACTGAGAGCAAGTATGAGGAGGAGGTACTGTAGCTCGGTTGTTCGGGGCCAGTGGGGATTTGTCGTCATCCCATCTCATTCTGAGGAGTACGACTTCGATACATTTTGCGGGGTACCAATCGTTTGGATCTCAAGATCTGATGACGACTCTTCGACGTCGACAGTCTAGGGTTTGTCAAATGTCAATCAGCCTATTCGGTCTCGCTGAATTTGATCACATGAGAAGAAGTAAGACCTGAGGGACGGGGCAAAGGTCGAACAGCTCCAGGCTTCTTGTAGGTCTCGCTCGTACATCTCTACAGTACGAATACCGTCATGGGCTACGGCCCATTAGAACGGTTGGACCATGCGGTACATCCACTAGTAGAGTACGTCGCATGTCGCACTATCCGGCAAATGATCGACAGGCGATCGAACGATCGACGAGACATACGACGTCGTACGTCGTCCAACATTGGGAATCCCCAAGTCCCCTCGTTATTTCCTCTTCCGGCGACCCCCCAACCTTGTACATTGGGACCAGAGACAGAGACAGCCTCTACTACCATGACATCCAAACGAATGCATTTCTTCTATCTGTAACATCCTAAGATCATGTCAAGTTATAGCATAAACCATGAGATGACTTCTGTTCAAGACTTGATCACCTGATTGATAGTCAAGCGGGACTAAGCCGTAATTCTTTAGAACTGTGGATCAGGACATGATAAATAGAAGAGATGACGAAACTCACTTTAGACAGATCTCGTCCGAAGATACCCCGTTTCACCCAATCGAGCATGAGCAACATTCTCGTTCGCATAGACGTCTGTTCTGACCAGTAGATTCTACCTCATTAGGTATATCGCATGATTGATGAACAATACTCACGAGCGCCAGGCGTACATCGCTAACAGACCTCCAGCGAGGGACCAGCCGTCGTAGTCGAACACAGCGCTGGGTGTCAGTACCGCCAACAAAACCCCATCAGTTACTCGACGTAACAAGCAGCAAGCGAAGGACCTGGTCGACGAGGGATTTCACCGAAGGATGAGAAGGATAAGGAAAACGAGGTCTCACGAGTTGCCAATATACGCCAAAGTCCCAAGATGCCGGTACACGAATGGATCATAGAAAGCTTCATCGTCCAAATCAGGCATATCATTCTCTCTCAACACCTTGTATTGTCTTGCCAATTTTGAAAACTTCTTTCCCAAATATTTTCCTTGTTGACTGGCTACTTGAGCCGTCTAGCTCATCAGTACACTCCACAAATAGCTCAATGGGCTCACAGCGGGATACGACGTCATCTTCTGACTTAGGTGCTGGAACATCTCCGCCACTTCGTTCAACGACAAACGCTGATCTTGATCTTTATCAAACTCGTCAAACAACTCCCGTCTGTCCTCAGCTTTGCCCGTTTCTCACTGATGTTCGTCGAAGGACTCACAATCTCTCCAGGTTCTTCGATGCTAGGGGATATTTCTGTTTTATGTGTTTACTCATCTTCTGCCATTCATCAAAATCGCTTCTGGTCAGTGTTGCTACTCTTATCCTCTGTCAAGGACAATCAACTCACAGCGTTTCATCCTTGTTCTCATCAAATTTCTCCCATAGATCCATCAAATCATTCACAAGATTTGTATGTACGGTTGCAGCATCACCAACGGCATATACAGTACCCTTTGGAGCCCCTTGTACCCGGAGGAACGAGTCGACTTCTACGGCTTTTGAGTGGAACTGATTTGGAAGCAATTCGACCAGTCGGCGGGTGAACGGTTGCATCGCTGTTCATTGTCAATATTGAAATGACATCGTGCAGGAAGCTGACCAATTCCAGTACTCCACAGGACGAAACCAGCGGCAAGCTCTGCCTCCTCCGGTTTGGCTTCCTTATTCTTAGGATCCTTCAACGTCAATTTGACGCTGTTCGGCGTGACTTCTTGGACTCTGAGCTCGGTCAGTCTTCATGCAGTCTTCGGGGAGGATGACACGTACCTGGCATTGACTATGACGTTGACATCGCTGCGTTTGAATTTTTGTTCGGCGTATTGTGAGATCTTCTCGGCATAGGTGTTGAGGATATGGTCTTGACTCTGGACGACATGCACCTGTACCTCACTTTCAAGTAGCTTAGGGTACTGTCAATCAGTCTATGCTTCTCCCGCTGACATATTGACACGAGAAACAGAACGAAACTGACATATTTCAGCACATCTTCCGCCATCATATCTCTCAGCTCAGCCGCAAACTCCACTCCCGTAGGACCACCACCGCAGATGACGAAAGATAGGAGTCGTTTTCTATCTCTGGCGTGGTCGTAGGTAAGGAAGCCAATTCGAGATTTGCTGTCATGTCAGCTATAACGTGTATATAAGCTCGAAGGTTGATGATTGACTCATTACTCTCCGTCTTATGGCTTGGGCATCAGGTACAGTCTTGAGTTGAAAACAATGTTCTAACCCCTTCACTCCATGATCGTTACTTGTCGATCCCACCGCAATGATGAGTTTATCATCTGTCTTGTCAACGCAGAACGTGACCGCATCAGGGTTCGACTCACATGGCACATAACATCTTATAGTCCCCGTTCCCTGATCACTAGCAACCTCGACCTCTACCAATCGTTCGGCCATATCTAGATCAACGGCAGCTCCCATGAGATAATGACCTCTGACACGTGCGATTAGCTTGCGTATGGGTTCGACCAGAGACCGAGGCTCGACAGTACCGACACATGCAGAAGGAAGAAGAGGGGTGAAGGTGAAGTACGTTTGAGGGGAGATGAGTGTGACATTGTAAGCTGAGGGAGGAAGAGATTGTAACAGCGCCACGGCCTGCGAGTCAGCTTGCAACCGCCCTAGCCCAACTGAGTCGTCCCGTCAAATGGTCAGCAGAATCGACCTCCGAGGAAGGATGACGAGAAGGTGAGAACGACGTACACCCCATCCTCCGCCAATCACCACCAATTTCGGTTTATCTTTCATGGCACGTTTCGCATCGTCTTCTTCGTCATCAAGATTGACTTCGACTATCGGTAGATTCTTCTTTCCTCCCGTCCGTGGATGAAGAGATAGAGGATTACAAGGCACTCGGTCTACATGTCGTTCAGAATAAGTGGTAGCATCATGAAGAAGGATGACAGTGACCACTACCCCGATACCGAGTATGCTCGAAAGAGCCAGTCGAACGCAGAAAGATATGACCGGATGAGCCGAGCTGAAGTGACGTGAGAGGAATGTGATCTGTCGAATGGAATATGTCGAGCCTAAAGGTCCCAGAAGAGTTGGGGATAAAGCGATCTTTGTTTTGGTTGAGGAAACAAGAGGAGTACGGGGTGGTGGAGTGGATAGGAGTCTGATGTGATGAGGCAGAAGGATTCTTTGTAATCCACTCCGTCTCGGCTCGAATTGTCGTCGTAGTGAACCTGTGGGACGTTGGGAGAGCATGTTCCACATCTAACCTCTCCCGTTGCAGTTGGCCGTTGGGAGATGTACGACGAGATCGTGGCTACTACTGTACTGTATTGATATGAAGATGTGAGAAGAAGAGGGTAAAAGAGAGAGTCTTGCTGGACGACGTTCATCGACGTCACCGCTGAGCTCGGACCCACGCGCTCCATCTACCATCTCTTCAAATTCCATCATCATTTTAAGGCACAAAAATTCCCAAAATTGTCATACCACTAAGTAAGTAAGCCTTTTGGTATCGTTCTCACTTGCAACATATGAACTATCTCGCAGGACCATCTAGACTCCCTCTCATCGTTACCACAAGGGCTTGTACCTCATGCAATCGAGTACAGCAGCTTCGGAGACTGAGCTCTGTTGGACCATCGTCAAGGGAGGAAGACGGGTGGCAGACTGTTATCGGCTTGGAGATTCATGCTCAGCTCAAAACTGGCCGAAAGCTCTTCTCAAGTGAGACAGCTCTGTGTTCATGCTTGGCTTCGAGCTGATGATGGACAGATGCGAAGATATCTCATGATGATCCACCCAATACGCATGTAAAGCCGTTCGACCGAGCCTACCCCGGTTCTCTGCCCGTGAGTGACTTGTCACATCGGTGGCCGTGGGGATGTACTGACGGAAAGGTGTTGGATCCTGAGGCGATCAGACTGTCCCTATTGACGGCTCTAGCATTGGGATGTACCATAGTAAGTTCTCTACAAGTCATAGGTAGATTCAAACCTGAGAATAGAACCCCAGGTCGACGTTTGATAGGAAACATTACTTTTACCATGACATTCCCGCGTCGTACCAGATCACCCAGCATTATAGTAGGTCACCGTTCAAAAGATGACTCGGGCTGATGGGTAGATGCTCTGGCTAGAGGAGGCAGAATACGTTTGGACGAGATGGACGGGTTAGAACATCCCATAGAGGTGAAGATCGAGCAACTTCAAGTTGAGCAGGTGAGTGATATCACTTAGCTACCGCTTCTATCTCTGGTATCCTATATGGCGACCTTAGTCACCTATGTTACTGGATCCTAATTGTGAAACGACCAAAGTTCAATGCGCTGACGGAAGAGGACACTGCCAAAAGTCAGCTCATAGCTGGAAGACGAACCATTGATCTTAATAGAGCAGGGGTGGGTCTTATGGAAATTGTTACTGCCCCGGATATGAGGTTAGGTCCTCCAACCCTTGTCCTAGTTCTTCGAAGTTGATGGTACAGGAGTCCAAATCAAGCAGGAGCTTTTGTTCGAAAGCTCCAAAGTCTGCTCAGACGTGTGGGGTCGGGTGATGGGGACATGGAAAATGTCAGCTCCGCCTTGGATGTGCAAGCAAAGCTGACTCGTAGGGAAACCTAAGGGTGGACGCAAATATCTCTGTGAATCGTATTGGACAACCATTCGGGACACGATGTGAAATCAAGAATCTCAATTCTGTTCGGTTTCTTCAACAAGCTTTGGGTGAAGTTTACTGTTTGACCTCCCTGTTTAAACTCCCCCTCCTCCTCTTCCGTATCTCACCGCCTTTCTCCTTATGGGGAGTTTTAAGAGCATGATGAGATGACTGTTTCTGATGAGACCAGTGTCTGAGCGAAGACGACAGATAGAACACTATACCACGTCGTCTCAACCTTTGCAACAAGAAACTCGAGGGTTGGACGAAACCACAGGAGAGACGTATTCCCTGAGGAGTAAAGAAGATGCGGAGGATTATCGTTATATGCCTGACTCTAACCTACCCGCTATGATCATTCCACCTGTGAGTACGCCTTTTTCCCTTGTCTCTGGTTTCCTCTCTCCGATTCCGATATGAATCTTCAACCTATCAACCCTCTTCTCGCCTCTGTCCCCCTCCGTGGACCTTCCTCCAAGTAACGTCACCCATTAACCACAGCATAGCATAGGGGAGTATCACCTGAGAAAAACAAAGATTTTGTGTGAAAAACTAACTGAACAACAGTCATACATTCAACAACTCCAATCAACCCTACCAGAAATGCCATGGCAAACCATTTCTCGTCTCACTTCCACTTACAATATCTCTTCTCGTGATATTGCCACTCTGATAAATCTCGACGACCAACATTTCTCAGTCGTGAGATATTGGGAAGACGTAGTCTCTGGCGATAAGACATTAGGGAAGAAATCTATGAATTGGGTGGCACATGAACTCTTGGGACAATTAAAGAGGGTGGGGTTAGATTGGAATATCGATCGAATATCTCCGAAATTGATGAGAGAGGTCATACTTGCCGTCGAAGATGGTTCGATAACAGGTATGTTCTTCAACCCCTGCCTCCATTTCTCTATCCTTTCATATCCTATCTCTACTTCTTCGTGTCCTTCCATACCTGCTTTTCCTTCTTGTTTGCTTTTCTATTCCCTTCTTACTTGTTTTCCTCCCTACTTCCTTCTTTTGAAGCAAAAACAACATCACGTCGAAACACGGATATGAAGGTATTTTGAAGCAAAAACAACATCACGTCAAAACACGGATATGAAAGCATGACCAAACACTTCCATGAAGAGCTACAAGGAGCATTCGATATGAATAATAAACTTGGATAAAATTGATGAATAGGTACCACAGCGAAAACAATCATACGACATTGTATAACCTCCTCATCCCCTCAAACTTCCCTTAAAGATATTTTAGAGTATTTAGGTATGACATCACGTCCGGAAGAAAACCTAAGAGAATTATGTCAAGAAGCCATAAGAAGGTTACCGAAAGAATCGGAATTGATAAAGAGGGGAAATACGAAGATTATCACTCGGTTGATAGGGGAAGTGATGAAACTTTCTTCTGGACGGGCAGATGCGAAGCTAGCTAGGGAAGTTTTGGTAGATTTGTTGACAAAAGAGTAATGTTTGGTGTACTTGACAATCACGACATCATATAATGTTCTGGACAATCTATCCTTGCACTTGTTTTGTAGGCCACAGAATATATCCGATGCATGAGAATCTTATATAGGGGTTGAAGTTCAACGTGAGAAATGACGGCTCAAAATTTATTACGGTATCATGTACCAGTATCGTAGCAGTGGAGACTAAGGGGAGAGGGGGTGAGGGGGGGGGAAGATAGGAGATGTGAAAGGGAAGAATCAAGAACAATGATAGTTCTTCCAATAATCTTCATGATCCCCTTCTTCTCCAGCTTCTGACCAACGTTTGGATAAAGCTCTCATGACTTCTCCATGGGATGAACCTGGTAAAGCGGCTTTAGCTTGAGACATGTATGTCTTGAGGTATACTATGGTTCAGCTTCACAACTTCTTGCATTCCCTATACATTCACCCGATGGTGAGAACAAAATGGAAAACGTTGCTTTCGTAATCGTTTCGAAATATGATACATGGCGTATGGAAGTCAAATAACACATAGATGATCGCGGGGGAAGCTAGAGGACAGAAAGGACGTTCACTCAATGGGATGATACGGAATAGAAGGAATAGAAGGAATAAAAGGAATAGAGGGAATAGAAGGAATAGAGGGAATAGAAGGAATAGAAGGAATAGAAGGAATAGAAGGAATAGAAGGAATAGAAGGTTTGGACGTAACAGAAGGAATAGAAAGAATAGAAGTGATGGAAGGAATAGGAGGTTTGGACGTAACAGAAGGAATAGAAAGAATAGAAGTGACAGAAGGATTGAGAGGTAAAAAGATAAAAGCAATATACCTTGAAAAGGATTGGCTGATTTCGTTTGAAACATAGGTACCAATCGACATTTACATCTACCACAACGTTCTTTTTCCACGTCGATAGCTATTCCATCAGCTATCCTCTCATATTAATCTAGAAAGCATCTGACATTTAGAATGACGACGATATCTGATAATCAGCTTTAGTTGGGAATTAAGTAGGAGCAAACTTACATAGCTGTACATGATTCATTTGAACATTTCCATTCGTATTTGTATTCTATAACGTACGAATGTGTCGTCTACAAGTCAGCTCTTTTCTTCTTTTCTCTTCATAATTAGTTCCTTCCATAATATGTATCTTCAGTAACATTTCTTTCATGTCGGCTGCCAATATAGTCCAAATGATCCTGTACTCGTCCGGTTTCCATCCTATTTGCGAGCAATATCCTGAATCTCTATCGGACCGGTTTCCATCCTAGTTGCAAATACATGATAAAAGAGCCGATAACGAATAGACTTGATGAAAAACCAAGTCGATATCAGATAGGTAGGGATGAAATCAGTAACGAGTGAAAATTGAAAACTCACGGTGACTTCTATATCCGGTCTGGCTCGCATGACTCTTCTACCCCTTTTCGTCAGCTTGACCACAAAGGCAAATAAGAATAAGCAAACCAAGTTTTGAATACTTTTCCATGAGGGTTTTTATGATCATCGTTTATGATCCACGTGGCGACTTTTGTTCAGCTCTGGCATTTCCTCGACGTGAACAATGGTACTGACGATGACACATTTCATGAGCGACAGTGTTGAGTATCTGCTCTACGGGAGTCAGCTCAGTTCTCAGGGCACGACTGATATATATTGCTAGGTGAGTAGTTTAGAGATGAGAGGGAAGAGAAAGGGATGTTCTACCTTCACCAGTCAACACTTTCTCCGAAAGGGTGATCTTGTATTTCGATACCTTAGTACCATCCGCCAGTCTTTCGCTGGAGCGTTAGCTAACAAAGGGGGAATGAAAGAGCTAGCTGACCGAGTGGTATGTGCCTGCCCGGCAGTTTTCAGTAATCTTTTATTCCATTCTATTTGTGCGTCGGCACCATCTGGGCCCAAACGAGAATCAAAGACTTTCTTGTCTAATTCTTTGAACAGCTTGCGGGCTATGCCTTCTCTCTCTGACGGCCAAGCTCTACGTCCTGGTTTCTTGCTCGACTGTGACTCTGGCAAGTTGTGTTTTTTGGATTTAGGAGGGGTGTCGTCGATCGTCAAAGAAGAAAGATCGGGAAGGTCGACCTCGATGGTCTTTTTAGGAGGGGGAGAGTAGTATAAAATATCTTCGGTCTCATCTTCTTCACCTTCTTCCTCTTCTTTGACAGCCGAGTTGTATTCCAGGAACGAAGGAGGAACGTCATCATCAGAATCATCCACAAGATCGATCACTTCCCGCACAGGTCGTCGACTGGAACCACCCTTTCCTTTCCTTCTAGGTGGAGGAGATTCAAGTTCGTCGGAAGAAGAAGCATATTCTATCACATCGTCATCCACGATGAAGTCTCGTAATGACCCAAGACTTTCGTTCGGGTCATCGTCCAGATTTCCACAATCATCTGAGGCTGATTGGTCGATAAAGATGCTTTTGGCTGATCGTTTGGTTTTTCGTTTAGAGACTGGAGGTCGCGCTGGAGACGAGTGACGATCATTCTCAAAGTTACTTTCGTGTGATGACCTTTCTCGAGTGGAAGGGGGAAGCGAGTGTGATTGTTCGTCCTCAGCGTCCACTACGTTGAGCGCGCGATGTGATGGGGAGGAAGATGAAGGGATAGATGGTTCATCATCAGACTCGATGGTGCAGACTTCTGATGCTCGGGGTGGTGGGACATCCGAGTCGGAATGAAAAAGGTCGCTCAGTCGTGCTCCCCGTTTTTGTGGCTTCGTGGGAGGATCAGGTGACTCTGTGAGGTCGAGGACTGTTGGCCTTGAATGGGGTGGGGAAGCAGGTAAGAAGAGAGGTGTAGAAGGACGGGCAGGTGGTTTAGTGTCGATACAGGCGTCGGTTGTTGGACTAGGGGGATCGTTGGAGTTCGAGGTAAGACCATGTTCAAATTTGACCGGATCAAATTTCTCTTCGTGAAAAGGAATGATCTCGTCTTTTACAGTAATGGCGAGAGGGGGATGGGTTTCGTCCCGTATTCCGAGGTTCGACCTGAGCTGTCAGTGGGTATTTATACCTTACAGCGAGTACTGACAGTCCCGAGATCAAAGCTTTGGTATCATACCCATCGCATGGCTCTTTCTTGGGCTCTATGGGTATATCACCACCGATAGCGTCAGCCATAGCCAAAAGTCGCTTTGTGATGAGCTTGACATCCTCATCCTCCTGTTTCACTTTCCCATGTTGTTCCTTCTTCACAGGTGTAGGAACGAAACGTTTCCGAGGCGCCAGAGGTGTGGATGTAAGTTTTGAAAAGTCTAGACGACGTAAGCTCTGTCCATTTGAGATGTCAGGTTTGATATCTTCTGAAGACATGGTGTGCGGTTTGTACTGTGACAACAGTCGAGTGAGTGTGAGTCAAGAGAGTAGTTTGTCCTTTGAAGGAGCGAAATCAGTCGCGTCCCTGAGTGACCATTTGAAAATATTTTCTGACGATTTTATTCTGTTTTCTCCCGTGAATCTTCCCCTCCGCCCCCAAAGTACCGCCCTAAGTCCTAACTGTATAACTTACCGTACTGTACTCGTACTCGTACATCGTCATCAGTTTGAATGGTCAAGGACAAAACACCATGTCACAAGTCATAAACCCGCAAGATGCAGGTCCTTCAGCACCTCGACAATCTTCAAGAGTCAAAGTCAAATCTGAGCGTGCTATAGGTTTTGAACAAACCAATAAACTCTTCGCCCCTCGTAATAAGGAGGCGGAAAATGTTCAAGTTGAAATTGCCACTCCTCTCGTTAAGACTTCTCCAAAGGGGAAGAAGAAGACCAAGGTCAAAGGTAAGAGTACAAAGGTTCAAAAGAAAGATGTGGATGAACAAGTATTTTGTATTTGTCGTAAACCTTCAGGAGATGATGATGGTCCTATGATAGAATGTGATCAATGTAAAGATTGGTATGTTCTTTATTTCTCCCTTCCCATTTCTTCCCTCCTTCCCATTTTTCATACCTAAGCGAGTTTGCATGTCTTCTATGAATCAAGGCCGTCTTGAATAAGTTGATAAACATGACGTGGGAGATGGAGTGCTCTGAAGGCCGAAAAGATGAAAAGAACTGATCCTTTCAGGTTTCACTTCTCTTGCGTTGGACTAGACGACACCACAGCAACACAGATCGGTACGCACATCTTTCTTTCTCAACGTTACTTTGAAACCAATATGACAGTGACTTACGTTTGTCCCTCTTGTCAACAAGTCAAGGGGAAACATGTTCCATGTGAGTTTTATAATGTTGATTCTTATCATATACGATGTCGACGAGTGTTTGTGTTCGATATGTTCAGGTTTGTCAATGTCGTCAAATTCGAAGAGAGAAGGAAGAAGAGTATATATAGTCTTCTTTCGACTGTTTTTATTCTTTTCGATGTCATCATGTGCTGCTTGGACTGTGATCATTACACTGTTCTCGAGTGCATGTTGCAACTTGTCGCATTTGTCATATCGTCCATCGTCCACCACGTTCATCTTTCATTCCACACACACTTTCAATCTTATTACCTCTTTCACCTTTTGACTCGACTCCTCTTGTATGCTCCCTACTTTGTGTGCCAATATATTTTCAACTTAGTTTCAACCTCGTAATGTTGTACACAAGTGACCTTTCCCACAGCCATAGACTTTGTTGGGAAGACTGGGAAAACGACAAGCTGACAACCAGTCGGACATGAAACCATCTCTACCCCCACTTCAAACTCCGCCAAACAACCCAAGCCTCGCTCCATACCTACGAAAGTACGTCTCTTCTTATCCATATCTCCCTTTACCAGTCGCTGATTCTTCAGATACAAACCCGGTCAGACTCTCCAGTGTCCAGTCACAGTGCCTCGACTTCATCTGGAGGAGGATCCGAAGTTCACATATCTGAAGCCGATTCAGATTCAGAAGCGGATATCCAGTCACATCAACCCCCTCCAAACAAACGACCACGTATCTCTGCTATAAAGACTCCTTCTGTGGGAAAAGTAGTCAAACAGGCTGTTCAAAAACCTCGTCAATCTCCAACCGTACCCGTCTCACCTGTGGTGACCAGGAAACCATCTGCCTCGATACCACCTGGGGGATTACCACCTGCGAGGAAGTTCGTAGTGGATAAACTTGCTAGTGTCGTTAAAGGCTTGTTCGAAGGATGGGACGATCTGGCTGTTGGAAAGTATTCTGCCGAGTTGGAGAAGGCTATATTTGATGGGTTCAAAGAGGTCAAAGATGGGAAAGAAGTTGCTGGGGTGAGGTACAAGTGAGTCTTCTCGTTTTCTTCTTCGAGATTGATCCACCTTTTCATTGACATTACCATACCCCGTGTTTTTTCTTCTTCCTGTTGATCTCATGACAATGACATTCCCCATGGGAATTTTCTCAGCCGCGCGATGTCAAGATGGGTACTGGGACCGATGCTGACACGGTCAGAGCTCAATTCAACCTTCTATCCTCATCCTTACCCAAAGCCCGTCCCGACCTACTACAATCAATAACCTCAGGTGTCCTCACCTCTATACAAGTGGCAAACCTCACCTCTGCCGATTTAGCCTCTGAGGAACGTCTAGCAGAGATTCAAAGAGCCAAAGAAACGGCCCTCGCTCAAACTGTTAAATCTAGGTCGACGGAAGAACCTTCCGCCATTCGATTCGGTCGAGATGGATTCGAGAAAGCTGAGGATACTCATGAGAAAGAAATGACGGTTTTGGCAGAACAGGAAAAAGCCGAGAGAAGAAGAGAGAGTCTGAATTTGAATGCAGAGAAATCAGATAATGTTAATGATAACCTTGGTGGAAATAATTCCATTTTAGATGATCATGAGAATCATCATCATCATATCGGTTCCATTGTTGTCTCTGCTATGACAGTTACTCCAGTTGATACATCTGCTTTGAGAAGATCAGAATCAACGGATAATGCACCATTGCCTTCTCCGTCATTGACGAAAGGACCTGTGATCACTTCTGCTTGGGGTGGTGGGGAGGGGATTGAAGAGAAGATGAATGTTGATTTGGGATTAGGGACGCAGGAACAAGAATTAGATTTGAGTGATATTATACCGACGACGGAAGAACCTTTGGATTTGAAAGCACAGGAAGAGTTGGTAGCTTTTGAAGCTTTACCTGTTGTTTGGAGAGGAGGGGTGAGTGAGGAATTTCCTTTTCAGTTCACCCATCAATTGACTTGTTCAACATATATCCATATATCCTCCTCTTGACCCGTTTTCGAGCCAAGAAATTTATCCTCATCATGTTTGTCAACTTTCCTCGTATCCCCTGACTTTTCATCGTCGTGATCATGGAAGAAATCATAGGGGGAATTTAGTGATCATGGAAGAATTCATAAGAGGGAGTTAGAAATCTCACATGTCAGGGGGTCCTGTCATAAGACAGACATTCAGAGGTAAGAGGGAACAAGGCTGATTAGACAGTTAATAAACCCCGCAGCTCCATCAGATCATATCCCGCCTATGCAAACACGTCTCATCTGTACACATCCAAATCCTATAGACTGGCGTATCATGTTACCCCATGACCCGATCGCTATCACAGGACGAGTCCCTACTTCCAGCTCGTTGAAGTTTCTCAGTGATTCAAGACTTTCACCTGGGAAAGAACTCTTGACTGTCGCTTTTACTCTGGATCCGAGTGCTTCGGAAGAACAGATCAAGACGTGGACGGAATTGGTTGAATATCATATCAATCGGGAGTGAGTATTAGAACTGTTTATCATACCAACTTCCTTCACCCTCTCATCTTTCTGTATTTTTCACGTCTTCAACGAATTCCGCTGTAAGCGTTGTACATAGCCGTTGTGAGATCGTATGATTTTCCAAAACTAGTATATCTCGTCGACTTTATGAGTCTTCGTGTGGTGCTAGTCACGAGGTTATTTGAAGAGACAAAGGTTGAATGCTGACCCACCAGCCGACATGCCATTTACCTTCCATATGGTAATCATCCTCCTCCCAAAGCCGCCAAAGAACTTTACCTCATCCCACTCCGTCCGTCAGATCCTTCACCAGAAGTGACCGATTTGATAGAGGGATATAATTTACCTCGCGAACGAAGAGAATCAATGTTCCTTGGTGTTTTCGTAGCCAACAAAGAGATTCCAACTCATCTTTCACCTTCTCAAACCAATTTCACCCCTGTTCCATCGATACCATCTCTCAATAACACTTCATCCAACTCGCCGTATGGTATCACACCTAATCCTCCGTCGATACCACCAGGACATCCGACATACATTTCTCAGCCTTTTGGAGGGATAGACGTGGGGAACGTACCTCAAAATCAAGTAGCTCCTCCTATGGGACCTTTACAGAACGCTCAGCTTCAAGCACTTATGGCAAGTTTGAATCCTGGTATTCTCACTGGGGTACCGAATACTGGAGGTTTATCGACTGTTGGCGGTGTACCAGGTACTTCGGTTGTTCCAGCTGTTCCAGGTTTATCAGGTATCGGTGGTATAGTTGGCGTTGGCGGTATAGGGGTTCCAGGAGTGGGAGCAGGTTTATCACCTTCTCAAGCACCAGGACAAGGGATGTTGCCTCCTCCAATTCCTCCAACTTCATACGGTCACTCTTACGGTTATCAATCTCCTCTTGATCAATACGCACGTCCACCGCTGATGGGTATGAACCAACAAGGACAGATGGGACAGAGATCTCGTGGTGGATGGGAAAATCGTGGAGCAGGTCCGAGACCAAGAGACAGTGGGTGGGCATCCAGAGGTAGGGGGGCAGGGAGAGGATGAGTTTTCATTTGGGGACAAGCGAGGCTTATAGCGATGATATATGAATTATAGTCAAGGTGTGATGTTATGTATTCTTCTCTTGCTCGTTCTGATAGCCACGCTGGTAGTCATCTCGTTGTCACTAAATGTCTTCTGGTCTAGATGTTCTAAGTAACTCTGACTACTGTAAGTATGGTGATAGAGAGTGCTAGGTACTACTTGGTACATATGTCGCTTGGGGGAAATTGAGCTTTTACTTTTATATGCGGGATAAATTGAAAAGAAACAACCGAAATAAAAACCGAGTTTGTGGCTGGTTACCTCACCCTCTGCTATCACTCTTCCAAAACTGCATCACCCGCACCTATCCATCCTCTCTCACTTAATCCCCTAATAACTAGTATCAAAGTGTCTAACCCATCCGTACCCTCGTCGTCGGTGTTGAGCCCACCGTCACGAAATTTACTCGCTTCGCTCAGCGGGATATTCTCTCCTAACAAGCCGAAATCTACTTCGGTGGCTCCTCCCCCCGAACCAGAACCTGCACCCGCTCAGGCGGATAAAGACGTTGACGAGATAGAAGTAGAGGGAGAAAGTGTCGTAACGATTCAACAGGAGATAGAAACAGAGGTAGAAAAAGATTTAGAAGTAGAGAAAGAGAAAGAAAAGGACGAAATGGTAGCCAAGAGTAAAGATCCTAAAGAAGATGAAGTGATGGAAGAACATGTCGCTGAAGAGGAAGTTCAAGAGGTTGGGAATGGAGAAGAAGATGAAGATGAAGATGAAGAGGTGGAAGAATATGAAGTACAAGCTATTTTGGATCATAAACAATCTAAAGTGAGTCGGATGTTGTGTACAATGATGTTGGCTGATGCAGGTTTTTTCTTCCACATTTGATGTTTCACCCTGTCTCTCTTCTTTCCCTTTTTTCCATTCCTCTGCAAACACCCTATATCCACGGCTATGACATTATCTTCCAACTTCTGGTCATTTGTCGATTGACTCATATTGACACTCCGACTGGGCGGTATCTATCGTTTGGGAAAACAGGGTAAATTTGAGTGTGAGTAGATTGATCGTAGGTTTATTGATGGATATTGATTGCAGATCTCGTCGCGTGGAAAGGTTATGGTCCCGAACACAATACCTGGGAGCCTGAACAAAATGTGTACGTCACAGCCCATCTCATGTCACTCCTTCACTCAATCACTACGTTTGGATCCTCTACTCATTTCGCTCTTCGTGATATCCCTACATGATCTTCTACCTTCTAAGACAAAGAAAGACGGCCCATTTTAAGATGTTACGAACCTCACCTGCTGTACACTTCTGATCTCAGCTCCCACGCAGACGGTATCGTCAAAGCATATTGGGAAACCCGCCCAAAGACCATCGAAAAGGTCAAGAAACGCAGTCGTCAATCGAGCACCCCTGTCAAGATGGACAAAAAACCTCGTACTTCCAAGTCAGCCAATGGCAGCTCGCGTCGTAAACCCATCTCTGTCGACGAGGACGATGTCGGTCCGGATTGGGAAGAGACCCACGTAGATGCGGTTGATAAATATGAAGATGTGAGAGACTGGGAAGAATTGGTGTCGACTGTTGACACGATCGAGAGGGGTGAAGGAGGGACTTTGCTCGTTTACATGACAATGTGCGTGTCGATTTTTCCTTTTCCACGAATCTCCGTTCGATCAGAACCCAATTTGCGGTATTAGCATTACGAAAGGTGTAAGGGGATTGGTCGACTCCTCCGCCCGGTTGGCCGCACGCATGAGGAAGTTGGTAGCGAGACGACTGATGACAAGGACTGGTGGAGAGAAAGTGGCTCAAAGCACTGAAATTGCGTACAAGCGTTGTCCTCTGAAAGTGAGTGCTCATGATTGTTTCTTGTGCTCGAAGCCAGGGCTGATGATCAGATTCTCAAGTTTTACGAGGCACACCTCAAGTGAGTTTGACTGTCGTGTCCCACCGCTCTGGGTCAGCGCTGATGTGCAGATGGAAGTTGTCTGACTAATTTTACCAAGACCGTGCCGGGATTTAATCTATGCGATTCGATGTGGATATCTACTATGCTGTGTTTGCTGATCCTAGCTAATTGCCTGTTACTGACTATATGACATGCAACATGTGCTCACCTCAAAGATCTGAACCCGATATCAGTCTGCATCTTATAATTCCATTCATTCGATGACTTTTCTCCATACACCGATGATTGGAGTCAAGATTTTTTCGGAACTCTCGAAGTGAGACGTGGGAGCCGACAGATCGAGAATCGATTCCCTTAATCCTCGCTTGCGATCCCTCGGCAATGTCTGATCGCCTCATGAAGACATCGGAGACTCTCGCCCCGACACCAGAGGACCGCCCCGGTCAGAGCGGCGTGGACACATACGAAGAGGTATTTGACCGTCGGCATCGCCAGTACTCGCACTGCATCATTGTCCTGGTAATGCCGATACGATCTTCCTCGGGCATCGAACAATGATCGGCACCATGTTCGCTACTGGCCAGATTTTCGGAACGTTGCAACATTACTTCCTCCGCTCGTCGTGTCTTGAGCTTCACGCCAACCATACAGTGTCGGTCTAGGCACCTGATGAGGCGCTGTAAGATCCTGATCAGACAACGTTTCAATGGACTTGGGAGCGGGGGCGACATCGACGGAAGGATCTGACCTGTCCCGAAAGGCGATGAATATAGTTGCTTGTGAGTCATATATAATATCCGTCGTCGCCTCTTGAGCCATATACATTCTATCATCCAACACATATCAACCTCCTCTCCCTCTGTTACTGATTTTATTCCTCGTCCACTGTAATCTCCTCCCAATATAAGCGTCCCTTCAACCCGGCTACGAACCCTTATAATGTTTCTGACACCCCTTGTCCTCGCGGGCTGGGCGCTTGCTTCACCCTTACGATCAAGAGACAACAGTACCAGTACTTCTTTGAATGAATCTCCCACATCGACACAAGCAGAAGATGTAATCGCCACTAGTTCTCTTACATCTACTTCGACCTCTTTGTCGAGTGCAACGGCTACAAACAACCCCAAGACGTATATCCTATCCAATGATTTTGACATCACTGATACCCCTGTGAGCGATCTTCTTCAGCTGGCATATACCACCAATCTGACACTCAGACGACAAGAGAGTATTACTGGACAATCGATACATACTCCGGAGGTGAGTTAACGATTAATTGCTTCAGGTAAACTGACGATAAGCTCCCGATGGCTTTGTACGCCAAGTATACGCGATCAACGGTCAAATTCCAGGTACATTCCTCTTCATTCTCCATAGTTTTTCAACTGAGTGATAGGCCCCACGATCGAAGCCAATCAAGGAGATAGAATCGTAGTTCACGTAACTAACCTTCTACCAGATGGTCAGAGCATCCGTATGTTTTTTTTTCCAGATCGTCGTCAAAATCACTTGCTTGACGCTGATCTTTAGATTGGCATGGGATCGACCAAAATGGCACACAATGGATGGACGGAGTTGCCGGTTTTACTCAAGTCCGTAATCCTCTCTTCTCCTTCTCTTCCAGTGTAAAGGTGTAGCTGAAGGTAATAGTGTCCTATACCTTCCGGAGGTACTTTCACGTATAATTTCACAATAAATCAATTTGGGACTTTTTGGTATCATTCTCACTATGGAAACACCCTCGCCGATGGTCTTTATGGAGCGTGAGTTCTTTTCAGACTTCATATTTCAGACCGAAGTTGACATGAAAGATTGATAGTTCATTCTGTAAATGATCCCTTGCAACGTGGGAGGGATTATGATGAAGAACGTTTACTGTTGGTTCAAGATTGGGTGTGAGTTCTTTCTATTATACTTTGTTCTTTGAGACAAACGAGCTGAGTAAAAGACACGACATGTCAGAAGTCGTCGTGAATGCTCTGAAAAGTCCTCAGGGATATAAAGGAGTGAGCGATTTGTCGATCTCGGGGACAGAGATGTTGATGAATGTAGGGTATCTTACCACCCGAAGGAGACTCAATTCTTCTCAATGGAGCAGGAGTGACGAATTGTTCTGATACTCCAGGATGTACTACACCTTCACCTGCTGAGATTCATGTGCCTATTGGGAAACGTATTCGAGTCAGGTTAGTCAATGTTGGTTCTTATGGTGAGTTTCGTGTTTCTCTCCCATTCCCTCATCACTGTGCTGTTTCTGGCAGCTTCCCCCCTCTCAATCATTATCTCTTCTCATTCTTCCATGAGGAATGCTCAAATGTCAGTATCGAGTTCGTCTAGGCTGCTGGTTCGTCTCTGTTTCGGCGTTGATATGAGAGACATTTAGATCTCAGCACTCATGACAGACTTCCTCCGTGTTTCTATGGATGAACACAAATTGGAGATTGTAGAACTAGACGATTGTCCCATTTACGGACCCACCATTGTTGAAACCGGTGTCAACCCAGGTCAACGAACTTCATTCATCATCAACACCAAGCATGGCAAAGCCGGTGATGCATTCTGGATTCGAGCCAGTCGTGGGATCGGTACGTCCATCTTCTGTTACTGTGGTTCTGACAACTCACTGATGCTCATGGTAGGATGTACCGGTGAACACCCATACATCGGCAAAGCCATATTGCGCTACGTGAATCACCAAACCAAGCACACAAATAGTCTTCCTCGTACGTCGCCATGGTAAGTTTTATGCGAAGCTGTGGTTCAAAGCTGACGTTCGAGGCCGGGATTAGCAGCTCCCAATGCCACATGTCATGATCTCGATGAGAACCATATTGTCACTCCGCGTGTGGCGGTAGATGCTCCCACGGACATCCTGACCACGGTGGAACTTCACAGTCAGCTGGGAAAGTTTGTGGATGTTACAGGAGCTGCATTTACTGGTTTCGTAAGTATTTGTGATCTCCCTCCTTCACTCTCACTCGTCATATGTTGTATGGTCTATAGGAGTTGAATGTCAATCGCATGACGCTGACCAGGTAGGGTTGGAATGGTACTACTTTCCAAAACCAAATAAACTATCCCCTATTACAACAAATAGAAAATGGTCTTACACTCAACTCTTCCCTCGTCGCAGCTGGTACCTTCCCTCATGTCGGCGGTGGAGACATAATCATCAACAATCTTGACCCATTCGATCATCCATATCACGCTCACGGTCGAGCGTTCTCTATAGTCGGACGTGGATCTGGAATGCTGTTAGAGTCACAATTACCTGGAATCACATTAAACCTCACGAATCCTTTGAGAAGAGATACGATTCATATTCCTGCAAAATCATGGGCTGTCTTAAGGTTGGTGACTGATGATCCTGGTGTTTGGGCTTTACATTGTCATTTAGGATGGCATTTGAGTGTGGGGAAAATGGCAGCTTTGGTTATTCAACCGGATGCGGTGAGGAATTTTCAACAACCTGCAGATTGGTTAGGTGTGAGTGTTTTTTGATTCCTCCATTCACATCTCCACCACAAGTCCGTACTGTTTTATGTCTCCTCCACCAGTCGTAGGTTGTATCCCGGCATCGGTTCCTTTATGGTAGGAGTGAACGTTAAAAATCTGTCCCCTGCCCATCCTCTACCCCCCCAACTCTCTATAACCACCTCGGACACTTCTTCAACATTCCACAAATGTGGGGATATTTTGGTGAAGCCAGAATGGCATGGCTAACTTGTAGTTATGCGCCGGTACGGATCCTGAGGCCTTTGGACCTGTATGACAAGCATGACAAATATCCGCATCTGAAGTCGCAAGAGAGATCTGCAGTGTAGAGGAGGATAAAGGAAAGTACAGAAAACATACACGGAAACTTGATGTCATAGTGAGCTTATATCGACTCTGCATGCATGCCCAATCACTCTCATCCATCCTCTCACCTCGCTTTCAATGTGTCGTGGGCGTCGATCATCAACATCTCACATTCTACGTACATCCAACCCCTCACTGATGTTGATTCCTACAACCCGCGTGACGCCAACACGACCTCTTTTAACCAATGGCATTCCAGGAATGGAGCAATCAGCAAAGACACGTCTCGTCCCCGCTCAAATGATCCGCAATGCAAACAGCACTTGTCGACCTCTTCCCCGCTCAACGATAAAAACAGTGCAACTAGCTCTTTCATAGCTTACAAACCTCCGTCGCACGGATCGTGGGTAACCCCCTCTTTGATCTAGCCAAGGACAGACTTACAGAATATGTTCTCTTTGGACGCGTACTGATTCGTTCATCAGACATCACATGTCTAACCCAAGGCACCCTAAAGAGGCGGATCAAGCATTGACCTAGAGGTACAGTACGTTGCTTGACGACCTATTATGAGAAAAAAAGATTGAAGAAAGAAGACGACCATCTTACCCACTTGACATTTTGACTATTTGCTTTGAACACCTTATTCACCCTCAACTTTTTCCCCCCTCCTTTTGGTATTTATTTCTAACTTTTTGATTTTACACTCCTTCGCTCTTTAGGTTAACCTCACTTGCTGCTCGCTCCTTACTCTAGCTCGTACAATTCCATTCCCTTAAATTTTTCATTCGGGCCAGAAGACTATCTCTCTTTGAACTCTTCGGACATTGGCTTTACATATTGGGAATCTGGTAAGTTCCCATTCGAACAAAATCCTCCCGTATGGACCTCCTCACTTCCCTTCCCTTCGTAAGTAAGCAACGCACCCACACATGTGCCATCTTCTCCTTTCAAACCTGTCAGTCTCTGTATCCCAACAATCTCCAATGTCCTACCGACACAGCTTTCGACCCCGAGACGTCACCTGGAAAACTCCGCCAAAGGAGGTGTGAAACGCGTTTGATTTCTCTTACACTTGTCGGACTTCCAAATTATCTAAAGGACCACACTCGCGACAGGTGGTCAAAGAAATAAATCATTTCGGCCAGCCGGGTAGACATCTGTATATCTTTTCTTCCACTTTCTGCCTCTTTGCCTGGTCCGCGTGTTACTGGACTTTCGGCCTTTGAGAATCACCGACGCTAATAGGCTAGTACCACACAACTACTCTCATTATTGATACATATAATACCCCTTTAAACAGCTTGACATTTCAACTATCTTCCTTCTTCCCTCACGCTCCTTCTCATAGAATATTCACTTATTTGACTTTGGAAAACGATGTGGTTTGGAGTTATATTGTTTCTCGCCCCACTCGTCTTGAGTCTTCCACAATCTTCCAGGTGAGTAGATATGTCTTCTCTCATTGAGATAAACTGACAGATTAGGACGGATCCTAGTCCTAGAGGAACTACCGTGACCAATGACCCATCTATCTTTACGCTCGACCCTGATTTCTTGATCACTGAAATACCGGTCAGTACTTTGATCTTTGAACAATCGCCATTCTATCGTTTCTTTCTTCTGTTCTATTCTTTCTTCGCCGGTTTTCTACTTTCAGGATTCCTCGCTGTGCAAACCCGTTTGACTGTACAAATACGATCGCCTGACACAAGGCTAATTCACAGCAAATCAGAGAATGGTTTTGGACTATTGAGTGAGTCTCTCACACTTTTAGCTTCCGGATCTCTATCTGTCAGCTGACACGTCAGAGCTGCTACTGGAGGTATGTAACCCGTCCCCTCAGAAATCACCACCAAGCAACAGCGTCACCGACAAATGCTGAGTATAGCTCCTGATGGTTATCAACGTCAGATGTTCACAGTCAACAAAATGTTTCCAGGTCCGTCCAGATCAACTATAGCCAGTATCGAGCTGATGGGTAGGACCTTTGATCGAGGCCAATGAGGGAGATACGATCTGGGTTCATGTGACGAATAAACTTGATATTGGTCAGACGATCCGTAAGTCATTTCTCTTTCTCCTTCTTTTACTCGTTTCCTATTCCAATCTCGGCACCAGATAAATCGATTAAGTCTACCTTTCTTCAGGCGGAAAGATGAGGAGAATCTCTCGCCTTGAGCCCGTCAGTGAGATACAACTAATCTTCAGATTGGCACGGCATGTTACAGAATGGTACGCAGTATAACGACGGTGTACCTGGTTTTTCTCAAGTGAGTATTCATTCGGAAACAACCAAGAGGCTGGAGGAGACGGAGTTGGAAGTTGGCTGAATGGTAGTGTCCTATTCCCCCAGGTCAAACGTATACCTATCAATTCACGATCAACAATCAATACGGTACATATTGGTGGCATTCACATTATGCCAACACTTTGGCCGATGGAATAGTTGGCGGGTGAGTTATCTCTTGTCTATCTACTCTTCACCTCTCAAATGTATGAGTACCAATGAAATACCGCAAATGTCTTGTAGGGGGAAATCGACAGGAATAAAGTATAGGAAGTAATCTGACCGTCAGACTGATCGTTCATTCTGTCCACGATCCCCTCAAACTCGGACAGGATTTCGATGAAGAGCGTATCATCTACCTATCCGACTGGGTACATGAACAATCTCAAGTCATCGTGGCTGACTTGCTATCGGGAGGATACAAAGGAGTAAGTGAACTCTGTGCAAAAAGTCACGATAATGTATAAGTCCCAGCTGATCATGTTTAGTCTGTGGCGCCACCACCGGTAGACAGCGTTCTTATCAACGGTCAGGTAAGTCTCATCATGACGAGTTATTTGTATTAGCTGATATGAAAGGGTCGATTTAATTGCTCTACTGTGACGGATGGTACACCTTGCTCTGATTTACCTTATCCAGAGATTCATGTGCCAAGTAATAAACGAATCAGATTTCGTATAATCCACACTGGAGCGCACGGTGAGTTCTCTCATCCCCTACATCTCCTTATGGAATCATTCGACGTCAGTTGTTGATCCACGACTTTGCCCACCGAATTCTCTGTAACCAATCTCACAAGACTTTGTCATTCCATCACGTACTTGCCGCATGATGCAGACTAGAGTATTGTACAATACATACTAGTGCAGAGCAAGATCAAACCGTTGACTGTTCAGAATCTTTCCGCTTGTCGATAGACAACCACCAGTTACTCGTAGTGGAAGCCGATGATTGTCCCGTATACGGTCCGACAGTAAACGAAATCATTATTCACCCAGCTCAACGATACTCCTTCATCGTCAACACAACTTCAGGATCCAACGGAGATGCCTTTTGGTTACGGAGCAACGTGGCCTTGTGTAAGAACTATCATTCAAACCCTCGACTCTCTTTTCAACATTGTCAAGACACAAGCTTACTGTCAGCCTGTTTGGGCTCAACACAACCTCAAGCGGGACTCGCTGTATTTAGATATGTCGATGATGTGAGTTCAGCCACGACTTCCGAGCCGACCACTGAACCTTGGTAAGTTCTTTCATGGACAGCTGAATGAATGAGCTGACGAGAAGGGATGATTTGGCAAATGCTACGGCTCCTTGTGTCGATATGGACCAGCTATATTCTTTAACGTACGTCCAGTTTAGTTTGATATGGTAGTGATCGTCTGATGAGCTAGACCTAGAGTTGCGGAAGATGCTCCAACGTCAGTGTCACAGACAAATGTCCTATCGAGCGTCTTTGGGACGTTTAGTGATGTCAACGGACATGCGTTCTCCGGTTTTGTGAGTGATCAATCTTTAGTACTAATGTCAAGTATTCCGGGAAACACCCTACCCCACTCTTCGCCGTCCGAGACTAGTTCCTTCTCGCTTCTTTAGAAAACGCGTCGATGGCCTCAAGAAGAAGGGAGTGATACTGATGCTGACACATCAGGCCATGAACGGTATCACCTACCAAAACCAAATCAATTACCCTCTGTTACAACAAGTCGAGGAAGACGTACCGATCAACAGTTCGTTGGTCGCCAACGTCGCTTTTGACGGTATCGGCGGAGGAGATCTTATCGTGGGTTTTACCAATCATTCTCCCGCTGATTCCTTCGACCTCCTACTCCACTTTTATCGGTCTGACATTTATTTTAGCAGCAAACATCAATGCGGTATAGAAAGTTAACGAAACAGATCAACAATCTAGATGGCTTCATCTCCCATCCTTATCATCTGCATGGACGACCATTCTTCCTCGTCGCTCGTGGCAGCGGCACTATGGATGCAGAAGGTCTTTCCAACGTTCAAGTGAACACCAACAACCCGTTGAGAAGGGACACGTTGCTCATCCCCGGCGGAGACTGGGCAGTTTTAAGATTGTTAATGGATGATCCTGGTGTATGGCCTTTACATTGTCATATCGGTTGGCATATGTCTCAAGGGAAGGTGAGTTGATTGCCATTCAATTTCCCTTCTTCCTCTTTCAACTTGGCGATATGGTTGTTTTTGTTGCGTCTGGTCCTTTTCATGGTGATTTATGTTGCACGACACCATCTCGATTGTCGATCTTCAGGTCTTGTCCAGTCTACCAACGATGCCTTGTGGCGAAAGTACGGGGCTTACGATCAGTTGGCAGCTGTGGTGATTCGACCAGATGTTATCAAGGAGATTGACCGGCCGTCCGCATGGCTCGACGTAAGTGTCTCTCACTCCTCCATCTCGAAACCGGATTGACCTGTAGCTTTGTAAAGGAACAGACCGGAACGCCATCGGTCCAGCTTAGAGAACCTCCGACCTTGTCGAGAACGTATCATGGGGGAAAGTCAGATTTGACATTGTTATTGCATGTCTTCATCATGGACATTAAGCATTGTTTGGACATTTGCATATTGTAATTTGGACATTTGGTGTATTGTATATTGTATGCCTATAGATTGTCAGAAGGTACGATGTGATACCAAACTCACTCACATCTATGAATATCAATCTCTCCATCCCAAAGCTAGATTTCATGCGACTGTTTCGTATGGCATTATTCGACCCATGACACTAAGATATTCTTTCCGTGACAACAGCCGTGAGGACGGTGATACTACTATTAGCTTCCTCCATGGCTACGACTTGAGTCGCTTGTCGGATGCACATATTTTTCAAAGCGTCGCACGGCTCGTAGACTGATACCAAGGGAGAAGGTGCACATCCGTAGATATCTGAGAGGGCATTGAAGGCATAAGGTATAGTAACTCACTCATCAACTTTCCCCCCTAAAAACCTCTTACTATATTTCTTAGCTTCCAACTCGAAAGGTGTCTTCCATCCTTCTTCCAGTCCCGTCCTCATCATACCTCCTCTAGCATAACCGACCAAAACATCTGCCAAAATTCTTGCTTTCTCACTAGCCCTTTCTCCCGGTGTCAAATGTGCATTAACCGGTTGATCCAATACCCTCTCTACAACTTGTTCCAATAATGGTAAATGTTCAAAAGGAAGATTATCACTCATTCCATCCGTATAAATCAACACTGTATCTCCCGGTTGTAAATCCGATTTGAATTCATCCCCTTCATTCGGTTTCGTACTGATTGGATCTGGCATTAAACCTTGAGCTTTTTCTTCTAATTCAGGTGAGATCATTTCCCCTTTTTTCAATGCTCGAAGTTGTTCTATGATGGATGATCTTTCTGATGATGAGAGTTTTGGTTTAGGAGGGAATTTCGATAATTGATATGGAGTGTTAAATGCGTGTGTTTGTGGTATTGTTGTATGTAAAGGTTTTGAAGAACGAAGGATCGTACATCCTGAATCTCCTAGATTCAAACCTGATAAAAAACCTGTAGGGGAGAGGGAGATGGTGACGGCTGTTGATGAACCTGCTTGAACTAAGGGATCGGAGAGGACGGCTTGATAAGCTGATGTGAGATGAGATGAGGGGGAAGAGGAAGGAGAAGAACGAGAAGACAAAGTGTAGTGATATAGGAGTGATTGGGAAAAAAGTGAAGGATCATATTGAGGTGCCCAACCACCTACACCATCTGCTACTGCCAAATGGGTCTGAAGCAAATTAGATTTGAAAACTCTTAATCTGTTCAAAGCTTCCCTTTAGTCGTATACTGGCACATTCTTGGAGTCTGACCTACTCTTTCGGCTCCCCAATAAACTATCAAGAGCATGGTTCAAAAGTCTATTCACGAGTCTGGCAAGAAGCTTGAAGCACGGCAGAAGGACGATGAGAACGAGGGGAAAGAAAAAGGGAAAAGAGAGAAGAGGGAAGAGTGCAGAGTAAAGAGTAAAGAGACAAATAGAGTATTCAAAGACGATTCCAGAGACAGAAGGAGAAAAATGAAACAGAAGATAGTGCAGAGAACAGAAGAAGAGAGAAAGAAGAGGACCAACTCACATTCCCACTCCCTTCAACAATAGTAAAGAAATCTTCCCCAGCACCCCATTTCTTACTCTCTTCACCATTACCCTCACCCCAACCACCTTCACCAACCTCCAACTCTCCTCTTCCCGCACGTAACGATAACATTTCCTCTACCCATCTTCCTATCTTATTGTTCTGTCCTGCGAATCCTGCCTTTTTCGGTCCAGCTTGGGGATGGATAAATGGAGGAGAATCTTTAGAGGCGTATGAAAGTCCAAGGGAGTAGAGTAGACCTTGGTGTGGGAGAATGTGAGAGATGGGTGGAGTGAAAAGAGTTTTGAAAAGGGATTTGGAAGGTCGCATGATTTGGTACGAATCTTTTGCGCTCGCTTCTTCTCAGAGTGATAGATGGAAAAAGGTCATAAGAGATTTGGGATGGTAGAGTGGGGAAAGTGTAATTGGGGGAAGACGAAATTTCGTGATAATTCGACGCACGGCGAATTTTTAATTGAGTGGTTTGGTAGAAACATTTCATATCAACTTGTCCGACACGACTACATACTACTACTGACAGGCCTATACTGGCAATGTATTCGGCACATGTATTGACACTGCTCCTCTTATATGCACTCTGAAGACTCCATTCCGCCGCCGCCGCCGCCGCCTCCCTAGATCAGACTGAGAAGAAAAGTCTCAAATACTAATGACACAACTTTCACACCCCCTCATCCATCGACTTGACCTGTGAAACGCAATAAGCCGCCCACAACTGGGCCCACTCAGCTTGATCCCTCTTACGACGTATCTCTTTCATCCACTGTCCGACGTCTTTCACATCGGGTATCCCACGTTCTCTCGCTTGCCAAGACCAAAAGAGACATGAAGCCCACCATTCCGTCTTGGCCGAGTTGTCGTCTTGATATTAGCCTCCCCCTAATCTCATGGGTTTGAGGAGTGGGACTGAGGAGTGGGACCGAGGAGTGGGACTGAGGAGTGGTACTGAGAGTGGGACTGAGGAGTAGGACTGAGGAGTGGGACTGAGGGGTGAGACTGAGGATCGAGGTTGAGAACTCACTTCGATGAGGAAACAAAGCTTCGTCACTGGTTGAAGACCTTCTCGATAATCCATCAGAGTCGGGATTTTCTGGTCCATTGACAAAAGTCGCTTGTTCATCAACGACACCCCCCGCTTGATAGGAACGGGAGGATATATGAATTATCATGACTTACTCGACTTTATCAAGCCAGTAGGAAGCGGATTAGCTTGCGTTCGTTGAGCTGCCAGGTGAAGTTTATCGGCGATTGACTACCTGTCAGTTTCGCTTATGAAAGTTTAGGGTTAAACCTCAAAGGAACAGGTAAGCTCCTTCACACCAATGGTAAAGAAAGAAACCGTGGGTAGCCAAGATCGGTATATATGATAGAAAGCAACATCGTATGTCGAAATGAAAGAGACTTACTTCATACCCAGCTCCTACTGTCCAATCATCGGCGCCCAATACCTTACTGATGTCTCCCAATCTGACTGCATGTCTGAAAGCCTACTCATCAACTCTACTGATCAATCGAGCTACTGGACTGACCTCGACGGCGGTGAACAAACCAGGTGGCAAATCTTTCAAAGGTTGGCCTGAAGTATCTCGGGGAATATTAATAGTGAAGTTGTCCATCTTGTTATTGGCCAGGCTAGATGCTAGAACAGGATTTGTTTTTGAGCTTTTCGAGTAGCGTTGAGGACGAGTAATGGGAAAGATACGAGTAAAAATGTCAGTGTACAAGCTGCGGAAGGTCAAAGCGAGATTGTAGGAGTAAAACGGTAAGAAAGGGATCTTAAAGTACCTTTGATGGTCATGACGACGGTCGTTGACCAAAAGCGGGTATCAGTAAGCGATACATACTGTACATATATTCTTTCAGCCTCGGACTTTATAGATGTGTTCGTGTTTGATACTTGGAACAAGATATTTAGAAACCTCCGCCGCCAGCTGATGATTAGTATCGAAAGACTTGCCAAGATGAAAGATGGTGAAAGACTTACCAAGTGCATCACCGATCAAAAGACCACCCAGCAGTCCCGCACCTCCACCTAACAACAAGCCACCCCCACCTAAACCACCTCCGTAACCATAACCACCATAACCGCCATAACCACCGTAACTATTGTATCCGTACCTACGTCCGTAACCTCCCGAGTATCCTAGAAGTCAGCTTCAGATACTGACCAAAATTAAAGCTCACCATAACCATAAGGATTCGAGTATAAACCTCCTGAACGCGAGTACGGTCCAGCCGGGGCGGCATAGCCGAATGGGTCCGAAGCGTAGTACGCGCCTGAGAAGGTCAGCCTCACCATGTATATGAAAGATGAGAGGGACGAGGAGGACATACGTATGTTCGGATCGTTCATTTGCCGTTTCAGCAACTCTTGCCTTCTACGTAAATATTCTTCTTCTTGTTCCTATACTACATCAGTGATGTCCTAAACAACGTTCTGAAGAAAAATGAAACTGAGTTGATCATCATACTCACACGACGACGTTTTCTAGCTTCTTCTTTCATCTTCCTTTTTTCTTCTTTTGCTTTCTGTCTTTCCTCTTTAGTCCCGATAAGTTGATCTTTCTTCTTCTGTAACCAATTCCTATGTTGTGTCTGTGCGTTATCCCATGGATGAGTTCCATCGGGATTTGCGCCTCTCTCAACCGAAGGACCAGCCGCGTTGTCTTTAGGGGAAAGAGATGAAGAACCTTTTGGATTCTTATCTTTAGCAGCTTTCATCTCTTCTACCATCAAAGCTTCATCTTCTGCTCGTTTACGCATAGCACTGGCCTCTGCCGAATTTGGATGAGCGGGATGAGTGTCGGGTAAAGTACGAAGATATTCTGGATCGTCGTAAGGATGTAACCAAGTGGACCTTTTCGTAGCTACATCGACGTAAAAATGATGTTCAGTCCTAAATTATCAGCCACCCATACGTTTAGTCATGTTGACTGGTACAAAAGTGAAGGTTAGGGAAGGGATGTCTCACTTTGGATCAAAACATCTAACCCAACCTTGTGGCAATTCTCGTTGTTCATCATCCATACTTCTTCTTCCTTCTTCATCCACCAAGCCAGGTGTCAATCCTGCTTCACTGGCGTCACTGATATCGCTCATACTACTGGCGTCACTGTCTGCTCTGTTGTGACTCGGTCGATGAACAGGACCAGTGTTGGCCAAAGCGGGGTCGCTATTGGCAGGATGTGTCACACCAGATGGACTGGTGATATTCAGAGCGGGCTGAGCCATGGTTGTTTGGTAAGAAGGAGGTGAATCGTCTGGCATGATGAGAATTCTCTTGAGTGGGAGCGTGGTAGAGGTACGACGTTGAGGACAGCGGCAATGGCGGTACAGCTAAGTGGTTAGACGACGTCATGGAGGTCTGTGCGCTCAAAGGGCTTATCACACGTCATTAGAACACAAACACCACGTCATCTTCTTTCTTTCAACTTCTCCCCCCCTGTTTGAACCGAGTCTTCGTCCATTCCTCTCACTCAAATGAAGAGATCGATATAGCTACCATGTCAAATCACCCCCAAGTCGATGTCAAATCCCTCAAAGTAGCAGAACTCAAAGAAGAGCTCGAATTGAGAGGTTTGGATACCAAGGGGTTGAAGGCAGTGGTAAGTGTCTTCTTCTCGCCGCAACCACTTCACTCGCTTACATCTCACCCTGTTCTTCATTCGCAATCATGACAATTCCCTCCAGTCTCAGCATCTCATAGTATGCTATGGTATCTGTATGATGTCATCCAATGCTGATATCAGCTCGCGGATCGATTGCAGAAAGCCCAAGATCTTGACGTATCAGGCGGAACGGAAGTTGCCCCTCTTCCTGACCAAGTCGGAGAAGATGCGTTACCACCGAAAGAATTAGCCCAGACGACTCCTGTCCTCGAACAGCCAGATTCTCCCAGTGCTGCTGAGAATCAAGATCACCTTCTATCACCCCCTGCTGGGAATAAGTCAGACGCGGCACCTCAGGAGACGAATGGCCTACAAGATGACATTTCAGGGACCGGAGAGGCGGAGCTTGAACTGGCAGATGGACTTGACGGAGTGGGAGGATCCATGGTGGAGCATGAACCTCCCTCTCCCACCCCGGCAGATATCTCCGAACTGGAAGCCGTCGAACCGGCGGCGTTAGATTCTGAAGTTGCCGCTGATGTCGCTGCGGAAGAAGCCAAGGATGGTTTCCCTTCTCCTCTTCAACCACTTTCCCCCGCCCCGGTGGAAGATGTAGAGATGCAAGACTCAGAATCCAAATCTCCTGTCCCTCAACCTCAACCAGCTTCTCCACCTAGGGAAGTATCGGAGGAAGAGGAAAAGCAGGCTGTCCCTGAGGAAACCGTGGAGGATGTGCAAAAGGGAGAAAACGGGAAGGTGGAAAACGATGATGTGGAAATGTTAAATTCCCCTTCTTCCCCTGCTCGTCCTTCCTCGCCATCTCAACCACCACCGGGAAAATCCAAACCTATCACACGAAATTACCCCCCTCTTCCTCCCTCTCTTTCTCATTTGATACATCCCCCGACAAGAGTGATATACATCTCCAACCTACGCCGACCTCTGATGCATTCTCAACTTCACGATTATCTTTTCCCTTCCACCCCCGAATCCTCCGAGTCGCTATCAATTCTTTTTCCCACCCCTAAGAATCCATTCGCATCCACCTCATACCCCGGATTATGGCTATCAGGTGTGAAAGACCACGCATATGCCGTATACTCTTCCACTGATGAAGCTATACATACAGTGGAACGGATAGAAGGTCTCAGATGGCCTGAGGATACAGGAGCAGAATTACAATGTCAATTTATCGATGAAGATCAAGTCAGGTCTTTAGTGGAGAGAGAAGAATTTGCATGGGGTAGTGGAAGACAAAAGCTTTCATTGAGGATAGTGGAAGTTGATGGAGAGTTTAAGTTTCTGTTGGAAGGTGGTGGAGCATTAGGAGCTAGACCATCTGTCGGTCGTCAGAGTTTAGAAAATAGAGGCTTGAACGATATGAGAGGACAACAGGGACAAATAAGAACTCCACCATTGACAGGAAGTAATACCATGGGACCGAGAGGTATGAACATTATGGGTAGAGGAGGGATACCGACGGGTCCAAGTGGGAGATCATTAGCACCAGGACCTGGGGCACAGGGGATGGGAAGACCACCACCTATGATGATGGGAAATAGGAATGGACCGGGAGGTTATGGTGGAAATGGTGGGTATGGAGGACAAAGAGGACCAATGGAAAGGAATGGAGAACATTATGGTGTATCGGATGGAAGAGGAATGCCCGTGAAGAGGACAAGGGTTAGACCGTCGTTGATGTGGAGAGAAGGACCTGGTGCGACTGTGTAGTGAGTGGCACGCGTGGCACGAGTGGTTTATGATGAATTGAGTGCATGTGCATCTCTCATAGGTCATGTTCCGAGGATGGAATATCACCAATCAACTTCACATGATGTCTTTGTATGTTCATGATGATAAAATACATGACGTGTGTTGACGTCACTAGACGCTTTATGCAATAAGTTAACTCACCTTGAATTGGGAAGAGGTTTACAGTACTCGTACTCGTACTCATGGTGCACGGCGCAGATGACGTCTCCATCGATTGGATTCATCTATCGTCATTCCTCTAAATTCATTAAGGTGATCCGAGCGGGAGAACGGGACTAGTGGTGACACCTACTGTACCATGTCCCTTCTTAGTCTTTACTTCTGACATCTTGTCCATCTCTTTGACTTCTCTCCAACACTACGTTCTTCTCGTGCTGGTAGCTCACGACGACGAAGAAGATAACCCAGCAACATGTCCGACACTGAACTCAAGTCGTCCGTTCTCTTTTTTTCCTGCCTTCCCAGTTCCTTCTTTCGTTTCTCTACTCCCTATGTGGATCGGGGAAAGCTCATATGTAGGTCTCCAATGCAGAATTATACACTTATGTGAGTTTGACCGATTTTGACTCACATATACCCTTTCGCCTCTTACTCATTCTTCACATCATCACTCCCTCTGCATCATCTTCATTCCTCCTGTCCATCCCCCATCATGTAATACTCTTGCCCCACTTCTCTCTCCAGCACCTTCCATGGATATCGCGCCAGATCCTTAGGAGTAGGGGATATTTGAACATTCTTTAGAGAAAGAGCGAACGAATCCTGACGTGTAGCGAACGTGAAGCACAAGCAGAAGAAGATTCCTCCGTCTCAGCTCGCATGCAACGGCTGGAAAAACAATATGCCGAAACGGGAATGCGTCGATCTGTAGAAGGTGTCATGGTGGTTATGGTATGTCCTCTCCACTGTTGTTGATATGTGGGTGACAAGGTAAGGAACATGGATTTCCGCATGTTTTGGTGTTGCAAGTTGCCAATGGGTTTTACAAGCTGTGAGTTAGTTCATTAGGCCTCGCCTCCCATCTTTTGGGATATCCGTCATGCTCACGATCTTCTCTCCACGAATCAGCCGCGAAGTGCCTGCTTGAGAAGTCATATACGACCGCTGTAGAAAGCATCGGTAGGAAGACGCCATAGGAAGAAGCAATCGAGTGAAGAAAAAAATCACACTCACACTAGACCCGGAGGATACCTAGACCCAACTGAACCAGATGGAGAAGGTCTTTTAGCTAGGATGAACGAACAACTCGGTGTTCCCTTACCTGACGGAGGCTACGTCCGTTCGAAAGATGGGAAAGATTGGACGGTAGGGGAATGTCTTAGTATTTGGTGGAGACCGAATTTTGATACTTTCTCTGTGAGTTTTATCACTGGTTGTCCCCGTTTCCCTAGTACAGTGGGGATCTATACACCAGTCTTTGTTTCTTGTGGCTGGTGTTGTGGTCGTTTGAGACCAGTAGTAATGAGTGTGGGAGCTAATACATAGTATCCATACCTCCCCGCTCATGTGTCTTTCCCGAAGGAGTGTAGGAAGCTTTACATGGTCAATCTTCCGGTAAAGAGTCAGTACCCTCACCCCCTTGTATCTCATCAAACGACTCCTTTATCATCCAGGCCATCTCTGATCGTTATTAGGCGAGGAGAGGGTGGGTTATGGATGTGAGTCGTGCTGAGGAACTTAGAAACACTCGCCATTCCAGCGAATATGAAACTCATCGCTCTTCCAGTTTACGAATTCTACGACAATGCGTCTCGTTGGGGACCTCAGCTTGCGGGTTTACCATACATCATGTCAAAGTGAGTCGTCCATGGTTCAGATCGTGTAGTACTCACGAGATAGATACTGGATGCAACAGCATTCGGATGTTGTCAACTATGCCGCTGCGTATGCTGCATTCGAGACCAAGTGCGCTCAAGTCTGAGGTGGAATTATTGAACGTGGAAGATTGTAGAACCCATGTCGTCATATGTTTGGAAGGTAGCGGATTGCTTGGCGCGTCTCGGTCATTCTATGCATTCGTTCTTGATTCGGGGTGGAGGTCGTCTCTTCGGGCTCAGTCATTCATGGGGTTTTATGTACTGCACTCGAGTACAGTCAAATGTGAGGGGTAAAAGGGTCGGACCGACGGACGAATGGGTGACAAACCAATTTAATCAGCCCGACCCTTTGTGGGTGGAGGTTTTTTTTATCAATCCGTCTCCGTCGGCGATCGGCGAGATCTGAGTGAGATCTGTGAGTGTCAGGGTGCGGAAGAAGGAGTTGGGAATCGATCACCGTACACCGTGCATCTTTCTCTTCCTTGCGTCATACCCATGAGAGGTGCGACGGGCCCAGATGACCGCTAGTCCGCATGACCGAGCCCACACTATCTGTGATCCGCTAAAGCCTCCTCTTCCGCGCGGAAGATCAAAACTCAAAAGGATCTAAAGACGCCATCTCGTGCCAAAGCGCCAATGCCGCAATACGCGATCCCCTCCCTTCTCCTGGATCCTCGGCCATGGTGGCCATGGGGAAAGCAGAAGACCAAAATGACAGCAGCTATCCATTGTACCTACCGCCACGGCCCTACCTCCAATGATAGAGGATCGGTCACCCTTACTAATCCGACTCCGAACGTCTGATCAAGCGAGTAGTATGAAACGATTTGGTATCGTGTGGAGGTTCCGACCGACGGTCGGTAGTATACCTCTTTAACCTATATATACTACTTCCTCTAACCCGAATGGATCAAATTTATCAACCTTTCGACTGTCTACTTTCACCTCACTTTGATCTAACACGCCAACACACCATCCGCGGCCGAGTGAAAAATTATAGGCCTAACAGCTTTGTCTTTCCCTTCACACATTACTTATATATCACACTTCGAATAACTCCGCTTTCATACATATAACTCGTTGCTCCCCTAGAATATCTCCCCGTACGAACATCTAGATAAAAAATCTTCAAAGATCAACGACCAACATACGTTACCAACATACGTTACCAACTTACCCTCGATCAACCTTTATCACAATGACATCACAACCACTCGGTCCTCCAATTTCATCTTCTTCCCCTTCCCCAACTCTGGCCAACATGCCTCTCTCAAGAGAAGATGAAATCACCCCTTCGTCGGGATTAGAAGTAGATCGTACGGCCACTTTATCAACTGGTAGTAGTGGAAGAGCTTCACCGGCTCGGACCGCCGTAGATGTTAACGCAGTGGGTAATGGGAAAGAAGGAAAGGAAGGGAAAGAATGGGATGAACAAACTGCTAGAACGGATGAAGAGACTTTGAGGACTGTAGGTAGAGTGGGAGGACAAGCAGAGATACAGTTAAGTCAAAAGAGAAAATGGTTTTTACTTTTCATTTTCGCCGTTGCTCAAGTGAGTTTCTCCTCCCCTCGGACCTCGGAGAAGATATCTCCCACCCATCTGTAATTTTGAACCTCTGCTGATCATCAGTACCTCGATATCGCTTCTTATTCCGGTCTATTCATATTCACCGACGCAATCCTAAACGACCTTGGTATCCTCTACGAATCCTCTTCATGGATCATCACAGCTTATTCGGTCACTTTCGCAGCTTTTTTGCTTTTCTGGGGAAGAGTGTCCGATTTATATTCTGCAAAACCAGTCTTCGCATGGGGTTTCTTAGGATTAGGAATAACCAATTTAATCATCTCCTTCATGCCTAATCAATACGCTTATTTCGTTTTCAGAGCCATCAGTGGTATAGCTGGAGCAGCGACGATACCTTCTGCTTTCAGATTGATTTTGGCAATCTTCGAACCTTCCGAATTACATATCGCTTTGACTTTGTTTGGACTTTCTGGAGCTTTAGCCAATGTGACTGGTTTGGTATTAGGAGGTTTATTCGGTTTTATAACTGCCGGTGGACAAATGTCAGCTTGGAGATGGTTTTTCCGTTTCATCGTGAGTCAATCGTTTTTTTTTCCTATCTCCCTCCAACGATCCAATCTTTCCCCATTTCTTCGCCCCGACTTTCAACATCACGGACACAAACAACTTAGGTTAGGTTTTGGAAGAAGGATATGAACAAACAATCGAATTAATGCTGACTTCTTTCAGACAATCATCATCGTACCATTCTCCTTCGCAGCATTCGCTCTCGTTCCCAAAACCCGTGGTGACAGAGCAGGAGAAGTCACAACCAGTCGAGAAAAATTCAGACGTCTCGACATTGTCGGTTCTTTCGCAATGTTATCATCGGTAATCCTTCTCATTCTCGGTCTTACCCTCGGTGCATCATACGGTTTCAAAACTGCAAAATTCCTAGTCCCATTCTTACTCTCTTGGCCGATTTTCGTATTGTTCTTCATTTGGGAAGCCCGTCTTCCAGAAGGATACGCTTTGATCCCCCCGAGTTTTTGGAGAATACCAAATATGACTTTATTGATCGTTTTCGCTTTGGCTATTTATCCTTGGTGGGCTGTGAATCAATTACCTTTGGTGGAAAGGTTTTTGGCTGTGTTTGGGGAGAAACCTATCATTGCGGCAGTTAGAATGTTACCTCAGGGTATTGCTGCTTTGTTGACTGCTTTCATAATTCCGTGAGTGATCTTTTCTGTCTTCTTATCTTTCCTCCATCCCTTCCTCCTCGCATCCCTTCTTTGCCTTTCCCAATTGGTTCCAAACGCAGCTGTCAAATGACTGACCTTGCCTCTTACACTTTTATATAGACAACACACTGACTTTCAGTCCCGCATTGGAAAAACTCGGTTCCCCACGTATCCCCATATCACTCGGTATGCTACTCGGAGGTGTCTCTTACATCCTCATGATCTTCACTCCTAATGGTGATGTTCATCATAACGAATATTGGCGTTGGACTTTCCCTGCGTTCATCATCGGATCAGGAGCAGCTATGATGTCTTTCTTAGGTACGAATATCACAGTGATGACTTCTGTTCCTCCTCAAATGTCAGGTGTGGCAGGTGCTTTACTTCAGGTCAGTTGACAATTCCTCACATTTACCGATTCCCTCATTCAATCAACTTTCCTTCTCCTTCTGATTCTCACGATTGTCCACACAAGCTGTCGAGAAGATGCAACCCCACGAGTTATATCGTAAAACCCTCCAAAGTCCTATCCGGAGCTTTAAGCCCACTAAAACCAACATGAGTCGATATGAGATTAGATGAAGACATCGAGTCAAAGAATTAGTATGCTGACTCATAGGTCTCTCTACAAGTAGGCGCCGTCATTGGTCTTTCCGTTCAAGCTGGTCTCCTCACTAGAGAACCTGGAAGTTTTATGAATTACGCCAATGTTCAAGCTAGTTTCTGGTTTCAAGCAGGATGGAGTTTCCTCAACATGATCGCTTTCTTAATATTTTTCCGTCCCCAGAAAAAAACGAATGGTGAGACTGAAGGGACCGATGGGGAGAAAGTACCAGTGGTAGTCGTCTAGAATATGAAGATAGATAAATGTTCAAAGATATACAAAATTAGATTTTAGTATTTGATTTGTGTTCCATATTGAATGATCCTATAATAGATATATGTAGCCCTCTCATGCATCTTTGTCTTCTTATATATCTAATCTAATCTTTCTCTCTCCTTGACTCATCGTATTTGTTTTTTTCAGGTTGTCAAAACTGATTGATCAAGCACTATTGATGTGCAGCTGCATTTGATTCATTGAAGCTTAATGATGAATTACGAAAAGTCAAGGAGAATACCCAGATGAGGTAGAGCAAAAGGGCAAAGAATAGGAGCAACATGCAACAGGTAGTAATTAGGTGGAGTACGAGTACTCGTGCGACTTGACGCAATAGTGAAGAAGTGAGTATAACAAGTCAAGTCAATGTGAGAAGGTATGAAAAGAATGTTCAAGTTAATATCAACGAATCAAAGTATGAGTACTCTACTGGTATACATCTAAAATGCATGTAGAAAAAAAAGAAGATATCTCTCAGATCCCAAACTAATCTTAATATCGGTACACTCCATTGTTCACCCAGTCCTCTACCTCTACTCTACACTTACTGTGGAGGTAATATCTCCGAGAGAGGTTCACCAGGACTTCCATGACCACCTTCACTTCCACTCCCACTGACGTTCTGACCGCGATTGAATAATGCCTTGTAAGCGGATAATTGATCATCTATAGGAGCTGATTTGTCCACTGCTACACTTGATGGTCTAGGACCAGGGGCGAGTGAACGACGTGCAGGTTTGGCTGGCAGTGTTGAAGGTGTTGGATTAGGTGAACGTACTGGGGAGACTGTTTCATGTATCGGAGCTGGGTATCAGTATGGTTTATACTTATTATATCTGTCCATCACATGGAGTCACCATCAGTTTGTATTTGTTGATGTCAATAAAGACCGTGTGGGTGTAGAATTGATTATGTCGGAGGTATATCAAGCGAGTATATGGGGAATTGGAGAATTGGGGAGGAGGGGCAAGAGAAGAAGGAAGGAAGGGGGAAGTCGAAAATCAACTCACATTGAGATTGTCGTCGTTGTTCCAATGCTCTTCGGATGTATATTTGAACAGTACCTGACAAATGTGCCGAAATAGCTTTCTGAACCTCTGGTTCTTTCTCCGGATTAGCAGTTATGAAATCATGTAATTTGTCTAATTGCTACTATGTCAGTCATGACTATCTCCTTTTCCAATATACTCCCGACATCTCTCTCCATTGTCATCCTCAACTAATCAACTCCACCATGTTGAGAGAGGGGCAAGCCCCATGTGATTAGCATCCGAGGGTGGATCACTACCAAATGTATCCGAGGGTAGGAGTGTAAGAGATGTAGATCAACAACTCACACTCTGTTGATTGTGAAATCCTAGTCCTTTAACAAGCATCTCCGCCTCGGATATTTCTGGCACGGCCGGAGGTATTTCGGCGGTAAAAGGTGATACTGGTCGATGATGGTCTGCTTCCGATTGTTGATGCTCGGAACTAGCTACGCTAAGTGGACGAACGGGAGAATGAGGTCTAGAATGTCCATTGATATTACGTTGAGGACTACGTTGACGTAGACGAGCAGCGGCAGCTTCATCTTTACCCACTGATCATCAGTTCCCATGAGTGAACATGATATGTATGAACTCACGTAAACGGAAGATGTAGGAATAGACTATTGTATCCGCTGCTCGATCTCCGAATTCTCCACGGAGGATGTCAAAGACCTCCTGGTTATTTTCTTTGGCGTATACTATCCATCAGCTCGACTTCCTTTTTGGGGCTTTTCACCGCACAACATCATGTGTAAGAGTCCAACAGAAGATTACAACGAGATGAGTACCACGGATTGCCTTGGGAGTAGTAATACTTATGGGACCAATAACGAATACTCACTGATGATCCGCTGCATGATCGTCTTGATCGTTCTCAATGGTAATTCTCCCAAAGCCACGCCTTCCTTTTCCCTTCTCCTATATTCCATAGGATTCACCGCCTGAGTGAACTCTTCCAAGATATTCAACATGGTACCCGGTCTCACTCTCCCATGTCTGAGATCATCATCAATCACCCGACATCTCTTCCATAAACATTTGAGTACTAAATCCGCATGAGCCACCACTTCACTCTCTAAATCAGGTCTTGTCTCTGAGAAATCACCAGATAAATCCACGAACAATCGAAACATGACCCTAAAGACGAGATCTCGTTCTGCCATACTCATGATCTGTATCATGATCTGGTTCATGAATCCCGCCAACTCCTTGGGAGCCCCACCTAGCCTATCCGCCTGGACCAACCGGAGTGAGAGACATTGTATCAGGGTGTAAACTTCTTGCGATTTCAGTCGACGCATGAGATCTTGGTTGGCTGATAGATTGTTCACGGCTTGTAAGAGATGTTTGACTAATCGGAATTTTGGGAGATCCAATAGGTTTTCCGGAGGAGTAAACCCACGGTTCAATTCGTCACCTAAGGTCTCCACTAGAGTAGATGTGCATGAGCGGAAAGTGTCCGAACGTTCAAGTAAAAGCTCTTGTAGCGTTTTGAGAGCGTCGATGGCTTCTTCCAGATCGTCCTGTCTGATGGCGTCGATAGCAGCGAGAGTGTCAGTCCCAGGAACGGAGAACCCATTCTGAGGTAAGAGAGGTGACAAGTTCGAGGATCCTTTACGAGGAGGTTGGACAGGAAGTCGGGACGAGAACGCATCAGGAGGGGAGGTGGGTTGAGCAAGTTGAGTAGTTGCTCGAGGAAGAGCTGATAAAGCCGTCTTCTTTGGAGCAGGTGATGGGATGTTTGATCGAGGTTTGAGCCCACTGGGCGAGGGGATGTTCCGAGGAGAACCAAGTTTAGGGGATTCGGTCAATGAAGTTCGTCGAAGTTTGGGTATTCCAGGACTGACAGCACCGAGGGCCGTCGGCTTCTTTAGACGAGATGGAGTGTCGGTTGCAGCTAAGGCTGAAGCTGAAGCTCGAGCCACACCACCGATAGTAGCTGGCGCCGCTTTTGACGCCACCATCGTGGCTTTGCGATTAGCCAACATATCTTTGCTAGCTTGTGGCATGGAGTCGATGACATTTTGCAGCACAGGCGAGCCCCCTTGTAACTGAAGATTCCTACTGGTCAGCTGATCATCATGTCACAAGACGGACATCACCGTGCGAATACTCGCCAGGAGCAAAAATATGCCGATACGCTAGGCGCGTTTGTTCTGGAGCTGAAGGGAACTGAGGGAGGGAGTCATTGCTTCGGATCCTGATTCACTCACGCCATGAGACTCAATGCCGCCTGGCGCGTTCCGCTGTCCTGTATGCACCGTGCTACAGCATCGTAAAATCCTTTCTCATCCTTGATCCGCAGGATACTCCCTCGTTTCTTATACGCCTTCTCGATCAGACCCAAAGTTTCATTCTTGCACGTCTTGCCAGCATGCTTATCCTCTAATCCGAATTGCACCAATAGCGAAAGGACTTGAGACGTCGCTGTCACTGTACCCAGGCTGTCGAAGATGGGCTGTAATTTGGGGACGAATTTGGCGTCTCCGAGCTACATGTTAGCTACTTCTCATTTCCTGACTGCGAGCATGTGGAAGAAGGGAGTGAAGCAATAATATATATGAACGTATGAGGAGCTCACCTTGAACACCAAGGCAGGGACAAAAGATTTGACCTCAGTATCGGACAATCGCTCAGTAGACTTCGACAAAGTCTCAACGACACTCCCTATCACCTCTAAACACCGACTGATCAACTGCGAGTTATTCCCCAGCAACTTCAATGCCGCGTACTTCAAAGCCAGATCTACGTTTGCCAGCTGCCGACCCGTTATCTCTTCTTCCTCTAGGCCATACGCTTCCGCCGCTTTGCCGCTATAGAATTCTGTGATTTGGGACAGCCCAGCCATATAATCTTCCTCTGCTCTATGATCCTTGCTGAATAACAGAGCGAGGAGCTCGGGAGATACAGTGGCCTCCATTTGCACTTGCAGATACTCAGACAAGTCGGACTTAGGTGAGGGTTCAAGGGTCCATCGCGAGGAGTCTTTCTTGACGCGCATAGCCCGGAGATCTGAATTGGAGAAGATGAACGGAGGGGTACGAGAGGAGTCACTGGGCGATGCGATGGGCTGGGTAGGAGCAACGGAAGTAGGACGTGTGGACCCAAGTCGAGATTTGGGATAAGCAGTGGGTCTGTCGTCGCTAGTTGCAGATGGCGGACGTGTAGTGGGCGCAGAAGAAAGGGCTTTCATAGCTAGGGATCTGCCAGGAGGAGCGATGGACCTTCCTGCACCGGGCGCGGGACTACGTCCCCTCGCAGCAGGACTTGGAGGAGCTGATGTCTTTGCTCCAGTCACGACTTTCGCCCTTGGGGTACCTACAGCAGACGGTGCAGCCGCCGTACTTGATCCGGAGGATTTAGCAGGAACAGCGCCTTTGGCATTATTAATGAGTGGAACGATGGTAGCCTTGGACGCCGGTTTCAAGGTTGACGTCAGATCCATGACGTGATCGAAACCAACATTGGCGACGACGAATGGAAGGACGGATCCTGCTCCCTTGCGCACATCACCGTTTCGATCTTCCAAACAGGAAAGCACTGAAGCTGCCAGGGGAGTCATGTCGGCGCTGGCAGACGGAGGGTTTGCTTGCAGCTTTTCAGCCAGCCAACCGAGGACGGAAGCTCGCAGAGCTGGATTGGGGTTCTCCAAGCTCGTCGCAATGCCGGTGAACATATGATCCAAGTTGCCGGAGGCGTCGAGCATCGCAGACAAAGTGTTGAGAGCCACAGAACGGATAGAAGCCTTCTGATCGGCACACACGCTACACACGGCCGCCACGAGTATGCGATTGTACTTGTCGAACGGTGCACCCATCCCAGTCGAGATCTTTGTGATGATGCTCAGAGCGAGCATTTTGACCGACAGATTCTGGTCTCCGAGAGCTTTCCGGAGCACCGTGCCGATTTCACCTGACCATTAGTATACTACCCGCAGAGCCCACTTAGCACAGAGCAAGATGAGAAGAGACATACCCATGTTTGGCTTCAGGCGGGAGTTAGACTTGACTTCTAACAACTCGTCCAACGCCTGGAACGCGTCTTTTCGGGTCTTCCAAGCATCGCTCTTCGAGTCGGCAATGACGGACGTCGAAGCGACCAGCTTGTCTAGATCTACCCGAGGGATTAGGTCGTCTAATGGGTCAGGAACGACTTTACCGCCAGCTTTACCCGATGACGGTGCGGCTTCCCTGAGGTCCGCTTGTGTACGAGTCGGCTCTGGGGCAGCTTGACCGGCGACTTTCTCGCACTCATTGTTGATTGTAGTGAGCAACTGAGGATTGAGATCTTCTAAAAAGCCGGAGATATCTGCAATGATCAGCGGTATCCCTTGATCAGAAGGGGAACTGACCTGCGCCGACGAACGTGCGTACAGTCACTAGCACTTGAGTGGCGCTGGATCGAACCCCAGCGTTCGGAGATTGGAGACCCGTCTTGCAAAATGTGATCAAGTCTCGCAAGGGAATACCGGCAATGCCAAATTCGATGAGCTGCTGCTTGATCCAGGTAAGAGCGTCAGCCTGGGCTTTGACGGCTTTCTGCTTTGTCATCGGTTCGTAGCCTGCAAGGTGAGCTCCTCTGATTGGCTGGGGAATATGGTTACCTACCTTGAGCGAGCACGAATGCCAGGGACGTTCTCTCGGCAAACGCTGTCAACGCATCCCCAGCTGGCTTCTTCAGCTTGATATCTCCCAGCTTGTCTGTCAATGGTCCGATGGCCAAAGCAGCCGAAGCCCGACCGAAAGTGGGACTCTTCTCAGCAACGAGCATCAACGCTAGGTACATCTTCGCTGCCACCTGGATGTGAGCATGAACACGATATGTATAGTGAGCTCGGCGCTTACTTGGAACATCTTCTCTCCCCAACCAGGCGTCTTGCACAGAAACCTCACGATAATCTCACTTTCCGTCTTCTCAAGACCGCCTTCCTCGCTCAGCCAAGTCACGAGCTCATCCATTCCTTCCAACTTCACCTTCCAAGCTGGGTCTACTAGTTTCGTCTGTACCTGAGGAGGAATGAGTTGTTCGGCCTGGGAGGCAGCTTCCTCTGGACTGAAGCGATACTTGACAGGTTCGGAGGGTGAGAGAGCGAGAGATTTCGAGGGTCCGGCTGACTTTGTGGGCGCAGGAGCTGTTTTGGACGGTCCGGCAATAGGAGCTTTACGGGCAGCGGGTTGAGCGGATTTGGCAGGAGGACCAGAAGCACCTTCGGACTCGACAGGTTTGGTTTTGGCGGTGAAGCGAGTGGGGGGTGGCCGAGTAGGTGGGGCAAATTCCTCCATGGGTACCCCGCCTCCGAACTTTCCGGAAGCTTTGATGGGTGGAGAAGCTGGGATCGAGTTCGTCTGACGGATCGCAGGTGATTGTGGGACCGAAGTTCCATTGGCCTTTGGTGGTCCAGTTTTTCGTGCTATTGGAGCTGCCGCTGATGACTTGCCTCCTGCTACAGGCTTGGCAGCTCCTGGTCGGTATCTTATCTCCGCCTTCGTGAAAGCTTCTTTGACTTTGACCATTTGGAGCTCCCCCACATGTTCGACAAATGGGTTGAATGTCCTCTCACCAACAATCTTCATCAGGGTTCCCAGACAGTCTGCTGCCGCACTTCGAGTTGATTCGGCACTATCCCCCAGCAGTACGACGAGGGCTTCGGCCAGAGGTTTGACCTGATCTTTGCCAGGAGCATCTAGAGTGGTGCAGAGGGACCGATGTAAGAATCGTAAGGTCATCTCTTTCACCTGTGGGTTTTTCGATTTGAGAGAAGTGAGGACGTCGTCAATGATGTCCTGAAGTGTGGTCTATGTATCAGTAAACATCTTGAACGGGAGATAGCCACATTGACATAGAAGGTGAATCTGATAACTCACACATGCAAAGATAGCATCAAGAGCTTTACCCAGAGCTTCGACCACTGTGACTTTCCGCTCCTTTAATCGTTCCAGTAAATATGACAGCGTGACGCTCCTATACCGCCCGAAAGGTCTACCGATACCCTTGGCTAATCCTTCCAGTAGTTTCGACCCTTCAATGACGACATTGACCATTGTGTCGCTCTTGCACTTGGCTCCCACAGCCGAAACCAGTGATCCATAAGCCTCAATATTGTTGTCGCTGATCCGACCGTTTTGAGGATCCGCCAGGATGGTATTACATTCTTCCAGGACACCCACTCTCTCCTTCCAGCTTGTAGATGACAGTCGATCCATGACATCGGCCGGAAATAGCTTCAGGACATTGACAGGATCCAAGAAACTCCGAGGGTCGACTGCTGCAGGTTCAGCCACCTCGTCTTCTGAGACGTCGTCTGCTCCAGCATTTGCGTCTCGTTCTCTCTGTGTCTTCCTCGTCCATCTCGTGGCTTTGCCGGTACCCGCACCTTTCCCTTCGGCATTCAGAGCATCGAAAGATTTTTGCAAGTCGGCCATTTGTACTGGCTTCAGTTCTGACAGTGCTGGGGTGAGAGCTTCCCCGATGTACGTATAAAGGGCGAGAACGAGACCGGTACCTTCGGTCCGGACCGTCTTGTCGGTATGAGCAAAGATTTTGGAAATGGATTTGAGGATAGGCTTAATGTTGCCAAGAGCGGAGACACCGAAGGATCTATCAAAATCAGCCCGACGCTTACACCTCATGGAGGGAAAGGACGTGCTCTACCAATTCTTTCAAGACCGATACTGATCCTGCCACGATCTTTGGTTGCTTCGAATCCAGCCCGACTAGGACATCGGCCTGAGGAGTCAGCAAAGGCACTGTCTGGAGTAAACCACCCACAGTTACTCCTTCTCCAGTATTCTCTACCTCGACGTACATCGCGGCCAGATCCATTCCTTTCCTCTTCGTTCCCGTTCTTGTAGACCCCAAGGCCTTGTCGACAATTGCAGGCATGACGTCGCTTCGTGTTCTGACTCGATGAGCCTCCACATTCCTCACTTTGCCCTGTCTACTTACCGGGCGCTGGTCTCTCCGCTATACTGGACGAGGGCCAGAACGGCCTCCACGGCCTTTTCATGGGCTACTGCGTTTGCATCGAGACACCATTTCCGTCTGAAAGAAGTCAGTAACAATTCCATGAGCTGAGCCAGTTGTGCTCACAATAATTGTCCATCGGTGACGTAGGGTCGGAAGAAAGGATCGGTGTCTGAAGCGGTCTTTGCAGCTCTTGTGCTGACTTCTGTGTAAGCTGATATCCGAGCTTTCCAGTTCTAAGTTGATCAGCTCGTACTCTACATCGGCACACTGGCAGTTTCGGGAGTCAAGGCAGCCAGACTCGCCTTGTGCTGACTTCTTTCGATGAGAGGGATGAGGGAGAAGTCCTCCTCGGCTGGAGGTTCGCCATCCATCTCGGTACCCTAGCTTGTAGTGAAGACTCCTTTTTTGTGATAGATGTTGACCACGGTGAAGCGATAGGTTATTCGGGTCTCGCTGACCTGGGGTATATAGGGGACAAGGCAAGAATATGATACTCGTAGAGATATGGTGAGAGAGAGTGTGTGTGGGGTTGAAATGTGTTGACGCGCACGAGTTGAAGGGGGTCCACTGTAGGGTTGCCACATTGATCTTTCCGTCGGAGTTTACCCACGTGGATATCGCGTGTCGATCACTCCATTCAAGTACCGCCAACATCGTACAACCGGTCACCGTCACACATCCACAGTCCAACAATGTCCACCCAAGCTACTTCACAGAGACCTCGGATGTCGAGGAGGAGAACACAAGCTGCGTCTCGTACCGATAAAAACGTCGTCATGGCTTCTCATGGGAGGGCACCGTGGTATGGCCCAGACGGTAAGAACATTGAGGCCTATGTGATTGGTATCGCAGGTGGAAGCGCGTCGGGCAAGGTCATCTCGTATTCGGCTCTCTATACGAAAGGCTGACTCTCGTAGACATCAGTAGCTCGAGCCATCTTGTCCGCTCTCAATTACATACCCACTGTCCTGATTCTGAGCCAAGATTCATTCTACTGCGCCCACACCCCCGAGGAGGTCGAAAGGGCCTTCCGGAATGAGCTTGACCTGGGTGGGTCGTTGATCACTATGACTCCGCTGACTTGTAGATCATCCCGACTCAATAGATATGACCTTGTTTGCAAGGTGTGTCCGAGATCTCAAGCAAGGTCGAGCGACAGAGGTGAGCTTGAAAACACCTGACCGGGTCAGCTCACTTTGCAGATACCTGTGTATTCCTTCGTGCACCATCGTATGTCCGGTCTACGTGTATTTGTATGGAAGGGACTCTGACTCTGTTTGTAGAACGTATGCCGGAGAAGAAGTACATATACGGTGCAAGTGTGATCATTGTGTGAGTCATTTACCTTCCCTTGTGCACATAATTGACGATCGTAGGGAAGGTATCATGGCTCTTCAATCAGAAGAATTACGACGACTGTATGATTTGAAGGTCTTCGTTGTGAGTTTTGAGCGATACAAGATTTGGTGATTTTGTGATTGTCTGATCAAATTTAGAATTGTGATTCGGACCTTATGCTGGCCCGACGTATTATAAGGGATACCAAAGAAAGGGGTAGGGATGTCGAAGGGATACTTGATCAATACCTTCGGTTTGTTAAGAGCAGTTATGATAATTTTGTTCAACCTTCTTCCCGTTACGCAGATATAGTAAGTCTCCTTTCCTCACTCCTCAATGTCAATTCTCTCACCCCCGCTGACTCTATCACCGAGACGACAAACTTACCTCAGATCGTTCCCGGCTTCTCCAATCAAGTAGCCATCGAATTACTAGTCACGCATATCAAAGGACAAGTCGACTCTCGATCTCTTCGTTTCCGTAATGTACTCGCTCGTATAGGACAAGAAGAAGGTGACAAAGCCAAAGCTAAATCGACTTGTCCAACAGAAGAATTCCAAGATCATAATCTTGTCTTGTTAGAACAAACCAATCAATTACTCGTAAGTCATGCTCTTCTCTGCATGATGTTATGTGTGCTGAATTTGAGGGAATCATGACTATTCTCAGAGATGAAGAAACGGAAAGAGGAGATTTTATATTTTACACAGATCGACTAGCTACTTTGGTAGTGGAGAAAGCTTTGACTTTGACACCTTTTCAGCCTACGACTATCACCACCCCTCTTGGTGTTGAATACCATGGAATGGCTCCGACTACCGATGTGAGTGTTGTCTCAAGTGTCGAGGATTAAGGTTTGTATGCTGAATACATAGCCATTGGTAGGAGTTTCTATCCTTCGATCTGGAGGTCCATTCTCATATGGTCTCCGAAGGGTCATTAGGGACGTACAAATAGGTGCTATGCTTATTCAGTCTGATCCGAAGACGGGGGAACCTTTGTTATTGAGTAGTGATTTACCGCAATGTATTAAAAGTCGAGAAGAGAGTGAGAGCGTTCGAGTTTTATTGTTAGATTCTCAAATGGGTACGGGGGCCGCTGCTAGTGAGTTGTCACTCGTTTTATCCTTCGAATCGCCCTTTCCCCTCTATAGCATACTTTCCAGCTCCCTTCTCTGTCATCCTTACCACAAGTAACTTCTGATTTCCCCCTCCCTTCCCTTCCCTTTCCTCCCCCCGCCCCACCACTGATCCGCAAAAACCCAGAGATTACCATCTCTCTTCGAACTCACGTACTGCATATTCAAATTTAACTATCTATAATCCCCGATATAATACACATCCCTTCTCAGTCCGTCAAAATCATTGTACCTCACTGAATCACAGTGATGGCAATCCGTATTCTTCTAGACCACGGTATACCCCGTACGTCCCACTTCCCTCTCCTTCCCCCTCACTCCATATGCTGATTTCAGAACCTAATATAATACTTCTCACATTCTTAGTAGCCAGACAAGGTTTACATTCCCTTCACCGTGTATTCCCTCAAGTCCGAATAGTAACAGCTGCCGTAGATCAAGATTTGCACGAAGCACAAGTACCTCTTCATTCCCCGGTAATGGGTGAAGCTATCGGTGAAGCTGATTTGGCCGTTCATCTGGTCAATGAAGTCTCTTCTTCAGAAAGGACGTCTGAGTATGATTTGGTCGGTCATCTGGTCAATGAATTGTCCAACTCGGAAAGAACCTCAGAAGGAGAAGAAACAACGACTATAGTGGAAAGCGAAATGAACGAAATGAACGAAATGAATGGAATGAATGAAATGAACGAAATGGATGAAAAGGATGAAATGGATGATAATGTTTTAAAGTTGGAACAAACTGAATTTCGAATACAAAGATCGAAAATCATGGAAGATCTGAAATTTTCAAGAAAACATAAGAATGAAAGAATATCACCTACGTTGAAAAGAGCTTGGGTGGTTTCTCCTGGTAAGTCATCACACCTTGTTTGTGATTTGACAAAAGGCTGACTAGGACAGGTATGGGACATATCGGGTTTGTTTTTCTTGATGTCGAAGTGTAAGCTGATGATTGAGAGATCGTTATTATACTCAATAGTAACAGACTGAAACTTGATTGTTGTCATTTATAACAAAAACACATCTTGCATTGTGCATTTCTTCTCGTTTACCTGCTGAGACTACTTCGACTTTACTTTCTCTTGCTTTCATCAGAATGCTGCGATAATGACAGCAGGCGTAAGGGTTGAATCTACACCAGTAGATCGATGACAAGGGGTAAACAGGTTGTAGTGCATAAGATCTGGAGGATTTATCTATCTACAAGATTCAGATCGAACAAAAACACCACAATCTAAACAGTTTTCTCAACCATCGTGATCCCTTCTTCTTTCTCCAACCTTTCCCTAAACAAAGCACAAACTTCCTCTTCGTACGGTGCATGTACTCCAGGTTTGGTCAATACACCCTCTAAGATGAATTGGACTGCCATACCACATGGTACACCGACCAATTTGGCCATGGCAGAAGGTCCACCATTCCTATCCCCATACGTCTCAAGCGTCGAAGTGACGGTTTCTTCACGTCCATCGGCATGAATGATCTCGAAAGTGTGTTGAAGGAGGACAATGTCAACTTCACCAGGTTGGAACCTACATCTCTCCTCGAGCAATGCGGAGAGAGAGCGCATGACGGATGATCTCTTTGCGACGGGAGAGGATGAGAAGAGACCTAGTTGACGGAATTTAGAGGTTATGATTTTGTATTGGTCGGCAGGGATCGATTGGAGGGTCTTGAGTTTTGCCAAGATTTCACTAGTTGTAAGCAAGTCACATCGGGATCGCAGAGTTGTGCATGTAAGGCTTGAGACGGGATGATGATGGATGGGTTTATGAAGAGGAAAGGAAGAAAGTAGACATACTCTTCCGTGGCGCCTACATCAAGTAATTTACCCATCAACTGAACCCAGGTGATCTCTTCGGCACCTTTTTGGAGATATTCAACAGGAGTATCATCCATCAAGCCGATTTCTTTCCAAGCTTCGATGACTTCACAGAAACCGCCATATCTATTTCGTCAGCTACGACGACCTCAAAGTAAGATAGCTGACCTCAAAGTGCCCCGCACAAGGTTCTGAACATCCTGCAGACCGTAAAACTCCTTGAAGGCAGAAGAGTCGCGGTTGGGGTAGCAGACGAGGTTGTATGCTGGAGAAAAGTAGTATGGCTTAGCCGAGCGCCTAAGTACATCAGCTCATACCCCGCGTCAAATATAGAGGTTGCTAAACACTCACATGAGATCTTTCCCGTCCACACGAGCGATCTGGCCGTCTTTGAGGAATTGACCGTCGTTGTTCAGGGCCATGAGAACGCCAGCGGGAGACCAGGAGAATTTGTATCCGAGCGCATTGTCGGACGCAGCTGGTTCCGGAAGACCTAGAAATGTGAGCTATCATGATTACAAGTCGCAATGTGAGCTGACCTCCGCAATAACTGTAAAAGCTCTTGATCTGCATCGGTCAGCTACTTTTAATCAAAGGTGTCGAGCTTTACTCACTTTCCCACCGGCCTTGTGCACCTCGGAAATGGTTTTGATAGCCCAGAGGTGGTCGACACCGGGGTCTGAGCATCATGAGCGATTGTCAAACGTTAAGCTCGACAACACTCACCAACACCAATCTCGTTGAAGCAGATCAAACCTGCATCGATGAATTGTTGTTCCAAAGCTCGCATTTGAGGGTTGAAGTACGATGTAGTGACCACCGCACACTTCTCCAACAATGCGGCCTGCATGACTGCGGCGTGATATGTGTAAGGGACCAAACTGACAACGACTTCGTGGCCTTTGATGGCCTGTCGGAGAGCGTCCGCCGAACCGACATCGACAGTCATGGGTGAAGCGTTAGGCAGATCAGCACATAAGGCCTCAGCTGTAGCGTAGGTCCGACATCCCACGGTGAGTTCGTGGTTGTGACGAGTGATGTATTCTGCCGCGGGGCCGGCAACGAGACCAGAACCGAGCAGGAGGACCTTCTTTTTGGTGGTTTTGGGCACGACTGGGCGGGCGAATTTGGGCATCACGTTGGTACCTTCTTCAAGAATGGCTCGACCGAACTCGGGAAGGGTAAAGGCAGCCTTGTGAATGGCAGAGTTGTAGTATCTAGTGTCTGAGACGGCACGGAGAGGTACGGTGACTTTGCGACCTTCCTCTTTGGAGCAAATCATGACGCTGATTTGGCCGGAGGGGTCTAAAGTCAGCGGATTTCCCAAACAACGATTCTCATGATAGCTATGAGTGTACCAAGCCTCGAGCGGAAGCTATTCAGGATAGCTGCGCATGGACGTGCGGGATTAGGGACAGTTATGATGCACTCACATGTAGGGATGGTGGTGAAGGCGAACTCGCACACTGGGAAGAGCTTGGAGCAATTCTGCTTGAGCTCCCTCATGAGTGGCAGATGAAGCCAGAGACATTCAGCTTGAGTGCTGATGTTTCCGCCCTTTTTCAATGATTCTTTGAGTAGTTTGAAGTAGTCAGGCTTGAAGAGAGCCTCGGCAGGTCCGACGGGATCGGAAGAGTCGGTGATGATGACATCGTAGGAATCTTTGTGATCGGGAAGGAATTTGAAGCCATCGCCAATGTGGACCTCGACACGTTTGTCCTTGTAGCATGCAGACATCGCAGGTAGGTACTCTTTGGATACTCGGATGACGGCCTGGGTTTCAGCACAGTTTTTTTTAACCCCCCGAAGCTCGAAGATGCGTGCTCGGAGCCTTCCCGACGAAGTATGGACACGGAAGAGGCCAACACTCACTTCATCAATGTCACACAAGGTGACCTTTTCGACGCTCTTGTGCTTGAGAACTTCGCGGATGACACCACCGTCTCCACCTCCGATAACGAGCACATGTTTGGGGTCAGGGTGAGATGCCATGGGGATGTGGGTGATCATTTCTTGGTATCTGGAATGAGCACTTGCCCGCTTTTGGGGCCAGACATGGTAGAGCAATTCACTTGTCTACACCCACTGCGATGGCGCTCGTTACGGATCGAAGAACGGAGTTGGATACATCGGCGCTGTGTGTGGAGAATACAGCAGGGGATTTGTGCGAGTCAAAGGCTTTCCAGGATCAGTGGAAAAGCTTGACTCACGCAAATTCGTCCCTCTCCGTGCATTGGATAGCACCATCCAGAACGAGGACATTCCCGTATGTTTCACTATTGAAAACGAGTACGTCCTGAGGGTCAGTCAATGACTTTCGACTTCTCCCCTTCTTCCTTTGCCCTCAGGCATTCCACCCCAAATATCATTTTTTCACTTCTGGGACACCGACGCAAGGCTCCCTTGACACATACCCCTACCCATACGACTTTGAGTGACTCAGACCAGGGGCACAATCCGACTCGGTCGGAGTGATGAAAAGATCGAGTACTGACCTGGTAAAGAGATTTCTCAACGTGTAAAATCTCCTTGACCCTATCCTGTCAGCTTTGACTGATACAACAGCGCGTTAGCTCACTTGAGTGTCATCGCCTGACCTATGTGATATCAGCTTTGTTCTTCTCTCCTCCCTTTTCGATACTGTGACGAAAACTCTCAGTTGAGGTGGTGAAACTCTTCAGGTAACGGAAGTCTCTAAGGGAAGGGCATCAAGGAAATGTCGAAGGGGAGGTGATCGGTGATCGAGTTCCAACATTCCTCATATTCTTCATGGCATCTACAGATAGATACTAATCTGTCTCACTCCTTCCAAAATTTTCAAACGTTTTCAGATCCATGATGATAATGAAAATGATGAAAACCGAAGAGAAGCCATCACATAGAAGAACTTGTGTATACAGTGAATGAGAATAAGACTAGAGCTGATAGAACAAGGTAGAAAACACCAGAACCAAGTTTGAGAATAGACAAAGGACGTACCTGGCCATTGTGAAGATATCTCTCTGAACCAACCGTCTATCATAATCAGTTCTCAAGCATTGTCATCTTATGGTGAATATGTACTTACCAACGATAGCAGGATGAGAAAGAGGTATCATCTTTTTTTTTGGCTTTAGTTTCTTATTTGTCTATTTTCGAAAGTTGAGGAGTTGTAAAGTGAAAGATGAATTCGAGTAGAGGGAATAGATGAAGAGGTAAGATTTGATAAAGAGGAAGGAAGGGGTTCGGAAGTTGAAAGAGAGAGAGAGAGAGTAGGGGGTTGGGGTATAAAAGGAGAAGAATGGAAGGAAGTGAGTGGGGGTCGAAATTCCTTCGGTGATCGGCGATTGCCGAATACAACCGACTCGAAGTAAGTCAGGCTCGCCATGTACCTATACCCGGTTAGATTGAACCACTGGTTGGATCACTACTACTGACAGTAGGGAACCAGGAATGATGCAATGTTAACATACATCGAACAGGACATGATGGAAAAGCATGCAGAGTGATGATTTATTGACTTTTTGTATATACATTTACACAAACCCCAGCCGAGGTTACACCGGTAGTAATTTAGCCTACACCCAGGAAAAAGAAACAAAAAAGTCCCAACTAACTTCCATCACCTCGAATACCAAAGTCGAATCGCAAAGACCCCTTAATCCCCCTTGACATGATTTGACCTACCCAAAACGAGTACTCCTCATCAGCCGTCCAAAACCCTCAGCCTCGCTGACCTGAAACACAGGGAAAAGTGCCTCAGGTCGTGAAGCGTAGCTGACCCGTGCGATCTGCGACATGGTGACGGATGGGTGGTCGAATCCATGCTTGGTTCTTCGATTGGTTAAATAGTTCTTGGTCATCCCCCGAATCATCCTCCCTTCACAGGCTGTCGATATATAGTATCTTTACTCACACCATTCTTTCCAACAGGATACAAAGTCCTCAACCTCATCCCAGCTTCATGCAAAGCGAAAAACATCGGTCCACGTCTTTTCAATTCATCCTCTGGATTCTCATCCGTAGAATAGATGAAAGCTTCTCTGACCAACATGAGATTCGCTTGCATTTCCTCTAACTGTTCGAGTGGGATAGCAGATAGGATACGTTCGAGTTGATCGAGTTCGGTAGGTTTTATACGGATTGAGAATTTTGACCAATCTAAGAAATCTGCGAATGGATAATGAGTACCTTCGGCGGTAAGGACGGGTATACAACCTGCGTAAATGGCGTCGTTGATACGTGGTGACCAGCCTGAGCAAAGTAAGCACATTATCTTCGTTTCATTATTCCCTTCCCTCTTTCCTCCTATTTTCGCCACACTTGTAGATGACCAGGAGAGGCAACCTTGACGACTATACACACCCTTGTTTGGGTGGCAATCATCTTGTCTAGGACTAGTGATACTCATACACTATCAAATTTGATTGATTCTGTCCAATGACCGAATATCGTGGATGAGAGTTACAAAGGACTAGAAGTTGAGGCAAAGTAGAAAGCATGCCCAACGACATGAAAAGGGAAGAGGGGTAAAGAAGGAGTACCAAAGAAGAAACATAAACTCACCCGCTATTCCAGTGGGCTGAGGACAAAACCTAGCACCAGAAATCTCTTTCATATATTCCCAATTATACCAACTACTCATCGGTCCTCCGCCCGGAACCAACTCTTCTTTACCCGCACCACCTCTTTCACAAGTTAATCTCAACCTCATATTCTTCCCAGTACCCCAATAAGTTCCAGACCAAGTGACTAATTTAGTTCTTTGTCTCATCGGAGTAACGTTTGTTATTTCTGGGAAATGTTCTCTGAGATCGATGGATTTACAAGTTCTAGGTGGAACTACTATATCTTGATGAGGTCTATAACAAGGGGAATTGTAATCTCCCATTACGGACCAAACTAATGCGTTACGGAGTATCCAATCGGGTGTGAGATGAGATTCTCCTCTAGCTGACCATATTTCCCTTTGAACGTCAGCTCAAATCTTCTCTTCTTCTTTGATCATCATATTTCTGTTTCACATGTTACACCATTAAAGTACCTCAGGACCTCTTTCGAGATTAAAAGAAAATGAAGGGGTAATGGTGTTTATTCCTCGTGTAAAGAATGATTTGAGGATCACGACTTTCCAGTAATGACGAGATGAAAGAAAAAATGAGATTTTAGAATGGATGAATAATGAGTGAGGGATGAGGGGTGAGGGGTGAGGGGTGAGGGGTGAGAAAATGTTTATGACCTGAATTGAAGGAGAGGAAGGAACCAACTCACCAAGCGAAATTTACACAAATCCCCCAATCATGAGTCAAAACAAAAGCTAATTTCTTATCTTGATTTAAAACCCCCGGTATAGTCTTGACAGCAAAAGCTGTCAAATCATGTAACATGAATTCTTCATCTGTACAATGTTGATAAACCGGTAAAACGATCAAATCCGCTTCTTCAGCAGAAACACTTATATGTCTCATAGCTCTATATAAAATATTATCCGCAGAGAAACAATGAGCAGGTTGAAGTTTATGACATTCCGCTAATTCTATTTTCTTTTCTTCTGGATATCCATTGACGATATGAACTTTTGGGAATTTATCATGTTGAGTGAAATAAGATTTAGCTTTTGGTAATAAAATATCTTTCCAATCTTTTTGTTTCACTTCATTTGATAATCGATGAGAATCAAACATTATTTCAATTGGGTTTTTCTTCATCGTTTTGAATTGATATAATAAAGGGTTTTCTCTTCTTGGCCTACAATGATCCGCTTTGACACAACGACAATCACCAGATTGTATACAAACTGTTGGAGAATGACATTCGTTCCAACATGGTGGTAAATGTGCTAAACCCCAATCGTTTGGTAATTTACTTAACTGTGTTGAAACTTGTAATGAATCTTGTAATGATTCACCTAGTTGAGGTGGAGAAGCCATCGCGTCTAAAACTTTTTCTTCACTTGATAATTTATTAGAATTATATTCTACGGCTTTTGCAGCACGTGTACATTGTGAGGATCTTCTAGAAGCGTTGAAAGGGATTTGACCAGTGGATCCATATAAGATATCGGCAGTTTCGAAATCGTCCAATAGTAAGGGCCAATCACCAACGGAAGGACAACAAATGACAGTTAGACGCATGTCATAATGAGGTCTGGCGAATTTGGTCAGGTGTTCCATGACGAAAGAAGTTGAAGAGTCGGTTGTATTGGCCACGGCGTGGAGTTGTTGCTCTGAATTGGGGATCATGACTCGAAGACTGGAAGAGCTTTCAGAGACCTGAATGTCAGCCATATTCGCTGGTATGGTCGAAGCGAAGACGATCATGTAACGTGAAGATGATAGCATACCCTATTCGGTGCTGAGCTTCGCTCTTTGAAACCGCTCATGGCAGGGATGAATTCAACAGGGGTGACTAGTGCAGGTGCCCGCTATAATGAAATACTCAGGGTGACATGAAATGCCCACTCACTTCAATATCAAAAGTCAGAATCGCCGCATCATCCTCTCTATCAGGTGGGAACAATTCCAACTTTACAATCCCCGCATCCCAATTCTCTTCACTTATTCCCAATGTCCCCGCTCCAGTTTCCTCTTCAAACCTCACCCTAAGGAATCTCTCCCTGACCACATCACTCCTTTGAGCTTTTACGATCCAAACGCTCGCGTTCCAATTATAAGCTATTACTTTATTCCCATCTGCCCCACAAAACCTTCCATCTTCACATTTGACATGATGTATCCAACCATCATGATTGAAACCCATACCGACGGTACATCCGTCCAACTTTGACAAATCACGATTCCTTTCATCCTCCGGTTGAGGATGTTGTAATCCATCCAACGAAGGATAGTCGGCAGAAGGTGGACAATTATCCGAGTGAAATGCTCTGGTATAATGTGCCATTTCAGAAGATAGAGCTGTGACAGTACGACCTAATCCTACTGTCAGCGAGGTGGTAGGTTGCCAATCCAGATCTGTGGATGCTTTGATGTTGGAATACTCTGCGACTGGGGCGAAAGCGGCTAGATGATCACCTATATCTCTTAAAGGCGACATTGAACCTGTTTGAGCTCGAACGAGATCCACTATCTCCTCCGAGTTCCAACGTTTTCCACCAGAGACGATGTTAAAATTCTCCAAACCGCCCATATTTGGATCAGACTGGGTGGACAGACGACGGATGACTTTGGTCAAACCAGCCACGGCGTCGTCTACGTGGATGAGATCCATCGGGGGAGTACTAGAGGAATATTGAATGGGAAGAGAGGTGATAGCGTCGATGACGAGGGAAGGGAAGAATGATTGTGTTATGGTGGTCCCATGAGGATAACCATATACGTCGGAGAATCGGACGATGGCGGCTTTAAGTGGCATCTTTGTCTGTTGTTCCGAACCACGTCTCTCCAGATCATCTCCGGCAGGACCAATCGTACCGTTCAAAGCCACTTGTTCGTCGTCAGGGTCTGAAGTGAAAGAAGAGATGGGGGACGTGGCGGCCTCTTCAACAGCTTGTTCTGCCAGCAGTTTGGTCCGACCAATAGCATTGATCGGTTGCCTCAGTGTTGTTTCATCTACACTTCCACCCATAAACTCCGAACTCCCATAAACGTCCATGGAACTGGCCAAGATCATCCATGGGACTTTACGTTTACCCCAGCTGAGCAAAGCTCTGCGAGGTTGTTTCTGTCGCAAAATGTCGAGTTGATCGAGGACAGCTTTGGTCCCACCTTCGTTGACGGTGAGACATTCGATTTCTTTAGGTTCACACCATGCTTCTAGGGATATAGCAGCGAGGTGTACAACACCGTCGAAAGAGGTAGTGGCGAAAAGGGAAGAGAGTGTGTCTGAAGGAGGTAAGATGGATCCTCGATGATAAATGATATTTGGAGATTTGGTAAGGAAAGATGGTCGTTTGGCTATATCGACAATATGGATGGTGTAGTCGGCCACGAGGGAATTGACCAGGGCTAAGCCTAGAAATTAGCTTCTTCATCCTTTATCATCCTGTCCCCTGTCCTCTATCCCTCACCTGTCCACCACTGCAAGCATCTCCTTATCTATCTCACCCCTTGAGACGACGTGAGATTTGAAATTCTCCGTGCCGTGAGACTTCCATCTTAGCTGAGACAGCTGGTAGGATATCAGACGGAAAGAGATGATCGGAAAGAAAAAAAATCTGCTCTACAAGGGGTGGGAGGACGGGTGTTCCAATGTATGAAGACAATGTTCAAATCTAGGGATGACTCACCCAGTTGTCCAGCTCCACCAGTAACCAACAAACTTCTTTTTCCACCTTTCTTCAAACCCAATCCTTCTAACCCCAATTTAGGTGTTTTAACCTTTAACCAACTTCCCATTCCACCTTTATTCGAAGGTGTATCTTCCTCTCCATCGTTCCATTCCTCCCATGTCTGAGGTCCGACAGGTATGATCACTCTCTGTTGAGGATGATCATCACGATAGAGATCATCTTGAGGAATGGAATGAAAGAGGAAGACAGTGAGGACGAATATTACTGAGATTAAACCTAATGTTCTTGGACGTTGAGAAAGAGATTTATATCTTCTCCAGAATGACATGGTGGGAGTGTTATGTTATTCGTTTCTCTTCTGATTGTCGTAGGAGAGATGAAAGAGTTAGAAGTAGCTAAGGAGATAGACGTGGATGTTCGGTCATGATGATATGGGTGATAGATAGTTGAAAAGTCTGGGTGATGGGTGACCAGGGTGTGGAGAGAGTGGAGAGAGCAAAGGAGGAAAAGGATGAGAAGCGAATAAGAGAGCGGGGGCAAGGGAGAGGGAGGAGGGAGACGCTCGGATCGTCGTTGCCAAAAACTGGGCGGCAGGATTCCAACCGCCCTGTGGCCTGTGGACTGCTACCTGCGGGAGACTCAAAGGGAGTTCGATGTCCACTCAAGTCAGCTCTTCGGTACAGTATGTATCTATTGAACTCGATGAAAGAGATATGAATTGTAACGGAGCAACAAGAATTGAGAGAACAATAGTAAGTTTAGTAGAGTTAGTTTCCACCACCACTACTTTTGCCCAATTTGGACCAATGGACCGGAACTAGAACTTGAACCGTTCCTCGATCTCCGCCCCTTCAGGCCCCACTTTCAGGGTTACCCACGTGGTCTGATTCCAAAAGCCTGTGCCTGTCAATGTGGCGATTTCATCTTTCCCAACCATCAGTGGCAATTCTTCTTTCCAGTCATCTTGTACTTAATCGTTGAAATCTTCCATGCATTGGTCTGGTCATTGGGGTATGAATTCCTTTTGATTTTTCTTTGTATCCTTCCGTAAATAAACACAACACCATCCCATCACCGATAGCAATTCTACCAACCAGTCACTCCTTCTTCTGCCTGAGCTAAAGCAGCGCCGAAATCTTCCAATAACATATCATTCGAATCGAACAATCCTTCCAATTCTTGACCGAAAGAACGATCCCATCGTGCGGAAGGGGGACGTAACGTGCGGGATGTAGCCGCGAGAGGTGTTGGGTCGGTTGGAGAGAGAAGATCAGGAGCTACTGAGAAAGAGATATCGGGAATGGAAGGATATCTCATTCTGCTTTCACCGGGATAGAATGGTGCTACGGGTTGAGGATAAGAATAATGTGGTTGAGGTTGAGGATCAAATGTGTCTAACAAATAAGCATTCATACTCCTTTCCCCCATTCTCATCTTCATATCCATCTTCATCTTTTCCTTCATCTCCCCCTGTCCTTCATTCATATAATCATTGACGATTCCTGAAGAAGAGAAATTCTTGTGAGTAGATCCAACGAGAGAAGTTTGGGAGGACGAAGATAAGAGATTATGTAAGAGAATGACACAAGATGGGAAAAGAGAGGGGAAAACTCACGCTCATTCTCTTGAGGATATGCATAAGATTGTTGCATCCCTTCTGAAAACCAACCAAATTCAGCAGGAGGTGCATAAAATTGTTCTTGTCCTTGTCCATTCCCATGCTCATTCCATCCTTCCTGAGCATACGAATCATCACCACCAGGAGATACCTGACGAGAAAAACCGACAGAAGCTGATGTTTCAGACCAATCTACCGAAGCTGTTCGTTGGCGAGCTTGAGCTCGAAGAGCTCTGAGAGCACCTTTTGAAAGTTCGGAAGCTGATCCTCTACGTGATGATCTGATATCAGACATGTCCTCTTTTTCATGCCCTTTCAGACGTTCAAGAGGTGAAATGAATAGGAGAGAACGTTTCGACTTACTTGTCTTTCTTCTCGGAAACTTCAGATTCTTCATCTAAAACTTTCCTTTCCCTTATTTCTTCCTCGAGAGCTTTACCTGTTTTTCCACGTAATAACAACTCAGCAACGGATTTACATTTATCTTCTTCAGCTTGATCTTTTCGTACACGTCGACGAATGACGTTTGTACGTCTGTATACGGGTTGGTAGCGGTATCCTGGGTATCTGACATGAGCAAACTGTATTATTCGTCATTGTCCCCGAAGCTGCCTTGCAAACATCTTCGCTCTCTTTGCACCTCATATATGAAGAAAGGGACTACTTAGAGTTCATATTTGAAGAAAAGACAAGACTCGGCGAGTGGCGAATCAGGGTAGCAAACTCACTTGATCATGTGCTCTTCTTTCTCAATCCTTGCCAATTCATTGAAATGCGCTTTTTGTTCTGCCGGAGCTTCCGCCCACATCTTAGCAGTGATGATGCTCTGTCATCTCAGCTCTATTCCTATTCCCAGGTGACAAGCTTTAGAATCCCTCCATCTCATCGTACACAATGATACAAGCATGTGTCAAAAAATTAAATATACGCCTTTCGACGTAGTCGAGCGGTCATTCAGATGGAATCAGAGGGAAGAGAGAAAAGCGAATGAAAGACCTCATAAAAGCATCCACTCACAACGTTCTGATGCCTCATCTCCACACTGGCGGGAATAAGTTTACTATCCACTACATGTTTACGGAACAGTATAAAAGCGTTCCTTGGTCGGGGTATATGGGCCGGTGACTGCTAGTTGAGTGTCAGCGTGGTGTCCGTATCATTTGTTATCCCCCCCCCCTGTTCCCTCCTCCTTCCTTCTCTCACAAAGTACCATTTTCATTTGGCCAATACGACAAATGTTGTTTTCCCCACAATGACTTTGCAATGTCTCGAAGGTTAGATGTATGAGAGGGATGGATATCAAGCGAAGAAAAGAAGACTATTGAGTAAGAAGGTCACGAAGAGCAAGGATCAGGACAATGGTGAAGGACATCAGAGGGTGTAAGAAAGGAGAACGTTGACAAAGTCTTAAACCCACCTTTCGTGCATGTGAAACTTTTTTCTTCTCATCTTTCTTCTTTTTACCACCTTTAATCTCTTTCTTCACCTCTTCTTCCTCTTCCACACCATCTTCATTTCCTTCCAATTGCCCTTGATCCCTTTTCTGACCTATTTGAACTTCCAAAGAAGTTTCTTTCGATTTCGGTGCGAACAATTTTGGATCTATACTTTGACCTGTTCCATTCACTTGACCTACTGTAGAACTTCTCAATCCTGAAGGTTTAGTGATTGAACCAGTGATTTGTCCTTTGGGTGTTTGATTAGGAAGAGACATATGGTTTAAAGAAGGAGATTGATGGATTAAATGAGAGACTCGAGATTGATCAGAATGATCAGATTGGGTAGACCATTGGAAAGAAAGTGAAGAATCTACTGAAGTGATTGAAGAGGAAGAACGATGTCGGTAGATGTTTGGTGGGTGGAGTGTTTGGATTGGGAGGTGGTGATAGGGTTGTATAGGATGAGGATGGGGTTGAGGTGTGGGAGGGACTAGGTTGAAGAATTCTTGTTCTGAAAATTAACAGAGATCCAATACGCTTGAGGATAAAAGTCTTCATTGGCATGAGATGTGGGACGTGGAATATGAGATGTGGGGATATGAGAGGAATCCTTATGTAGTACCCGTATGAGTGAGGAAGATGCGAAGTCAAGACAGAGATAGGAACATTGGAGGATTGCAGAAGAAAGAAAGAAAGAAGGATGGACGCACGGGTATGATCCTCCTGAATGTATTCAGGTGAAGTAGTAATAGCAGTTTCCCAATGAATTGACATTTTTCCAATCTACCTTTCTTTCAATCCGTCTTGAACGTTTCTACTAAGCGTGTAAACTAGATAGGAGTGGGAGGAGAGAGAATCAATCCGACAGAAATTGTTCTTAGGCAAATATCGTGGGAAATATCAATCTCCAGACCGTCCGAATGAACGAGTAATGTAGAAGCAGAGTAGTAAAGCGATAGAGCGGTAGAGCGGTAGAGCAGAGAAGAGTAATGGGTCAAAGTCAAGAGGGAATGTCCAAGCGTGAAAAAATGAGATGAATGGTAGCTAGTAAAGTCCTTTACAAACCTCGTCAATTGGAATGATAGAATGAAAATGGACAAAGGGAACTTTCTTCTCTTTCCTACATATATACTTCAATCCACTTTCGAATTCGGCGGGGATATAAGGTCATTTACCCCTTAGTCGACGATCCACGCTGTCCACTTCACGGCCGATGTCTCGGGGTATAAGGAAGGATAGGAAGGGGAGGAAAAGTAGGAAGGGGTTTCATGAGATCCGATTACGGGGGTTGATATTAATCTTTTTCCTAAAACCCCCTTAGAGTCTCCTTTTCTCCTTACTCAGTTCTTGGGTCCTTCCTCTTATGTTTACTCAGCTTGCGCAATTGGATCCTTAGGTCTCAGTGGTGAGATCTTCACATCCTTGACTGTTACACAATATACCGGGTGAGATCCTTGGTTGCTACACTTGGTTCCTTGGATTTTACAAGTCGGTGATCGTGTCATTCCTTGACAGGCTGCCTTCCGTAGGATTTAGGTACTAGAATCGTATGGTCGAACTGGGCCCATGAGTCAATAACACGTACCGTCAGACCGAAAGAAGATCCGAAAGGGTTTTGAAGTCTTTCTTGCCGTAGTCGGGTCAAAATTGTCGATCAGCTTGGGTCAGTAAGGTATGAGGGGTGAGAAGAGGACGGATTCGAGATATCCTTTGGGTGGAAGGAAGGGGTAAAGGACCTTCTCCATGCCGAATTTCTCTCACTCTCCTTCCACCTCTGCCGTCGACCGTCTTGAGAAGATGTTCCTTCCACCATATGAGCTTTTACTACCCCATGGCTGGGGTAGGATAGTAGGGCGGTAGGTAAGAACTATTCAGTGGAAGGAGGTCTGGGGGAAAGGGAGGATGAGCGGACGATGGCATAAAGCTTATATTAGACTCATTGGAAAAGAAGGATCCGAGATAGCTCTGTATCACTGTAAGCATTGAATTGCAGAGAATGAGGTTAGCTGAGTAGATATGAAGGAGGGTAGGGATGAAGTCAGTAAGATCTTGATCGTGTCAAAGGTCGCGTCAACCTATCAGTCGAGTCAAAACAGACACCCAATACAGAGGGCATCCAGTGACCCATGCGGTAGACTGAGTAGCGTGCAGGCTATCCCATGATCGCGATACGGCCGATCCGGAAAATCCTCGTATACAGTCGCCACTGGAAATGGATAGCATGCAAGACATAGTGACGGAGAATCAAAGACGATATCAAGATTGATTCCGCTTTGTCAAACGACTCTCTGGGGAGCGAAAAGTGGTTTACCCCCAACCTGAGCCAGGTGGAGGACCATATGTTTGAGGGGGAGGCTGATATCCCCCTGGTGCGTGAGTCGGAGCGGGTGGGAAAGCCGGGGCAGACGGTGCTGTTGGCTGATACGGTTGCGAGGTAGGTGGAGGGTATGGAAAATATGGATTGACGGGATTAGGAGGAGGATAGTATGATCCTGATGTTGTGCGTTGCGGGGGAGGAGGTGGGTAGGGTGATGAGGTTGGTGCCGAAGGATATGCTGAGAGTGATTGGGACGGTTGAGCTGAAGGGGGTTGCGAAGGATAAGCTGATGACGACTGAGAAGGATAAGCTGAAGGTGATTGGGAAGTATATGATTGAGGTTGTTGAGAGGCATATGATGAAGTCGATTGTGAGGGATACGAAGGGGTCGTCGAAGTCGGAGGAGGATAATTAGGATAAGCAGGGCGTTGCGGAGGTGCAGTATAAGCATAACTTTGCGTGGTATTAGTCGGATACGTAGGTTGAGGGGGTCCCGCTGCTGGTCTGGGGGGCATGGGTGGTTGTCCTGAGGGAGTAGTAGAGAAAGCCGCCGGCAAATTACTCAACGAGCTAAAGTCATATGGTGACGACGTATTCGGTGGATGTGTGGGTGGCGAAGGATACCCTGCTGGGCCTCGTGGTGGAGATGGGAATCTCGGAGTGGGTGCTTGGGGAGGAGGAGGTAAAGTCGGCGTTGAGCCATACATCATCGGTTGGGGTGAGGGAGTATAACTAGAAGATCCCAGAGATAGATTAGACAGCTGTGTATCGATTCCTCTGTCTGAATGAGATGGGAGAGGGGGTGGAGATCCCCCAAGTCTTTGTCGAGTCTCAATTTCCGAAATCATCCTGTTCCTCTCTGCCTCTCTAGACAAGACGAAAGATTTAATTTCTTTTCGAAGATTATCGATGATTCGGGACAAAGATTCGTAGTATGACATACCCTTCGCCACTCCACCCCTGATTTCGGTGTATGTCTCACCGGCTGATTCGATTTTCTGTTCCCATTCCCGGATACGTTTTGAGCGCTGGCGAGAGGAACGTTGACGTTCTTTCACACCTTTGCCGCTTTCCACTTGGGACACGAGCATTTGTAGTTCTTGTAATGTTGATCTTGATGCTTGAACAGCCGAGGCGAGACGACCTTGATATGGACGAAACTTTTCGAGCTCTGAGGCGAAAAGCTGAGGTTCGACATCTTGCGTTCGACGATTGAGCAAAAGTAAGGAAGAAACATCATCGTTTTGCACCTGACCAGTTAGCGTCTAAAGCTCTATCGTACGTTCATGACTCATGCAGACTATCACTCTGACAATGACACAGTGTCAGCAGCCCCCGAGCCACGAATTTGCAAGTGGTATACAGGATCGAAATGTACACCGTCGGTTCTTGTGAGATACGAGATGAGTTAGGAGCTCCAATGAGCTCCGATGAACCGGTTGAGTTGAAAGTAGAATGCCTGAAGCGAATTGAGTTGTGAACAGAACGCACCTTATCTTTCAGATCCTTCAACACCTCGTCCCTCTCTCTTCTGATCTTACCCAACCTATCCAACTTCTCAGTAGCCTCCCCAATGGCTTTCTTCAACTCTTCTTTCTCCTCTCCCACGAGTCCATGGCTGATCGGTTCTTCATCTCGCAAGTCCAACAACGACATCACCGGGACCGGCACCTGCGCTGCCGATCTGCCAGATGCCACATCCGCTGCGGTACGTTCCAACGCCGCTTCTCCAGAAGCAAGAACCGTTATCTTAGGTTGGACACTCTGCCATAAAGCGGAGAGGTTCGCATCTGAGCTCGCGGCAGAGGAGAGGGCACCGAGATTGGAAGAGATGGTAGATCTGAAATGTGTTGTTTGTGGCCCGGAAGGAGATTGAGTGAAATTCGGTGCGTATTTTGCCTATATGTTAATAAGAATGAAATATCTTCCTCTGCTTCAGTTGTTCGTTGTCCCGACAGTGCGGATTGAAAACATTCGTTGTTATGATGTTGCAGAGTGTAGACAGTCAAAGATGTATCGAGTAAGTTCAAAAATGATTTCACTCACCCTCATACGTTCACACTCTCTACTTTCGTTTTCCAACAATCCACTCAACTCCCTCAATTCTCTCTCACATCTCTCCCTTTCATTCTCCAGATTCTTCATCAAATTCTCCGTCGATCCTCCATCCCTTACATACTGACTCAATCTACGCAAACTACCGCTAATGTCCACCTGCTCCGAATCTTCCGATTCATCGTCGATCATCTTTCTCCAGACGCTTACCAACCCAGGCAAACCCGCATGTTCCAACCCCGCCCTAACCTCCACCTCAGAAAGATCCACTCTTTCCACTTCGCCGCGCACGAGTTTAGCTTTCTCCTCTGAATAAACCGAAGCTGATTCGTGTACTGCTAAAGGAATGAGTCGTATGAATATATCTGGTCCGATGAGTTTCGACACTTCCTGATTCCCATATACCTCTTGTATGGTGACTGGTGCTGCCGGAGGAAGTTTTTCGATCTGAGCCAGAGTAGATTCGGAAGGTAAAATATCATGATAAACCAAATCGTTATCTTTTACTGCTTGAGTTTTACTTTCCGCACATAATGCCGCATGAGCTTTACAAATTTCTTGAAGACTGGTACCGGCGTCATGTGGTAGTGTGGGAGTAGCGGAGCTGACAAAAACATAAGCGAATGAACTTGCTTGACTCTTGGCATCTTGAGCTAACATATCGGCAAGTTTAAGTCGGACCACTGCCGAGCCATGTTTGTTCGAAGCTGTATCTGCCGTTGCTCGATAATATTGAGCTAAGGAGGCGAATAGTTTAGATTTGATTTGTAAGACATGAAACCAGTGCCTATCGAACACTCCTTTCCCTTGGAATTCCTTCATTTCTTCTACTAGTGCGGAGTACATGCTAGCTGCTTGGTTGGCAGATCTAGCCACCAAAGCTGGAGCTTTCTTTTCATCGACAAGTTTTTCAGTGAAGATTTCGGTAGCTTGAGCCATCATTATTCCAACCAGTAGATGAACGACTTCTCTTGATAAGTCTGTAGAAGGAGCATGAAGGAAGTTTTCGTTGATATATGTTAACATGCCAGCGGCGGCTCTAGAATTGTAATATGCTCTTTTCACACCCTCCGGATCGGCCCGTGACGAGGTAGCAGCGAGACAAGAGAGGACAGAAGCAAGGAGATGAATGATTGAAGCTTTTTCGAAGGCCAGAGAGGTTTGAGTGGTGAGTTTTCCGGTGAAAGCGTCATTCCTGATCCGTCAACTCTGCCTTGCGTGACTGTGTAGCTTGGAAGACGCCGCTGTCCAGCTAACGTAACAAGGGTAAATGGGACTTGCCATGGAAAAGCGATTTTGATCTCTGCAAAACGTAGCTCGAGCAGTTCCAGTTGACCGAAATATTTGTATAGTAGATCTCTGGCTGTGATCTCAGCTATCAGTGTATTGGTGTCAGCTGGAAAACTTACCAGTTTGATCACTTCCCGCGCCTTTGACAGCATCTTGTCTGCAACGATGCAAGACTGAGCATTCTTCGTTGTAATTGTTGGGATCTTCACCATAGCTATGAGCGATGACGGACCGTATCGGCCCGGCCCAATCCACGTCAGAAGTTGTTTTGCGTGGGACGGAGATGAGAGGGGATTGGTATGCCATGGCGAAAGTTGACCGTTATGCGTCAGGATAACGATATGAGGCAAGGAGAAGAGCACAGAGCAGTAGATGGAAAGCTTCAAGTGCTCTGCCTAGGAGAGGGAGGGGTTGCGTGAGGGAACGTTTTAGTGAGCATGTGCGAGATGTAAGAGAAGGAGGAGGCGGAATGACGCTGCGCAAGGTGACGTTGAGCTCGGTGGCCGGTGGGAGGTTGGCGGAATAAATACTAAAGAAATACTAACACATAAATACATTTCCCCCTTCAGGCCATGTCCAACGATGAAAGGGTAAGTATCTTTAAACACTCTCAATCATGGCAGGATCAAGCTCGTCCGGAAGGTTACCTCAACCCGAGGTCATAATGGATGTGAGTAGTTTATCACACTTGCCCCCGATAAGATCTCCACCATCTCATCCCCCCACCTTGATGTTCATTTCATCATCAGCTCAGAAGCTGACGGATAGTTCGCAGACGGTGGTACATACATCAAAGGTACGGTTGTCCTGGTCAAAGCTAGCCTGTATACTGACTTCGAGATAAACTGGAGAGTGCAGTGTTACAATTAGAAAAGAGAAGGTTGATGAAAGAAGAAGGAACAAAAGCTCAACGGGCGATGGAAGCTTTGGAGGTGAAACCTGTTATAGAGGTCAAATCTGAGGATGTGGATCTTGCCGTGAGTCATATCTTCGGTGTGTCTTCCTCGCCCCTTCATTCTTACTTCTATGTCTCTCACGACCGAGAGGAGGTGATTCTAGCTGTTGTAGCTGGGGGTGGAATTTGACCAAAGTTGACATACAGGTCTCACAAATCGGTTGCACGAAGGATCAAGCGGAGACAGCGCTCAGAGCCGAGAATGGTGATTTGGTCAAAGCGTTGATACGACTGATCACTCCTCAACGGACAGGATCGTATGCCAACGGGACTGCTTGACAGCGGGAGAAGTGAGGAGCCATCGTGGATATGGATCATCAGCATCGACTAGATTGCATTTGCTATGCTACATTTGACATCAACCCGTCCGGCCGTCCGTGAGATTCGTCCTACCTTATCCATCTGTGCAGTTTGACTCGTACCATTCATATCACCCGTCGCAGTTTATGGAGCAAGCTGAAAGGGAATAAAGGAGGTTAACATCCATTGAAAAACTCAACTGTCACACTTCCTCCAAAAACCCTTGTACTATTAACCTCTCTACCGCACTTCTAGCCAATCTAAACCTCTCTCCTTTCCTGAAGTCCACCCTTTCCCCTCCTTCTAATACCACCTCTCCTGCATCTCTCACCACCCTAACATCCACCATGATCTCCCCGGGTGGTCTCTCTATTCCGGCTGTCAAATCTAACACATCTAAGAAGTCTGTTTTGTAATCCAGCATCAGATTATTATATCCTCTCAAAAAATCCAACTCTTGAGGACTAAGTGCACTTCTCAGATCTGGCGCATCACTGTCCGGATTCACAGCTGTGTTATTCGCCGAAGATAAGAGATACGCTAATCCTCCACCTGCATCCCACCAACGTTCTTTCATTCCAGTGACTCGATTATGAAGGTAAGCGAGAAGACATCGTTTGTTCCTACGTGCGGCTAGATGTTGTACTGTCAAACTACAGACCAAAGCGCGATCTTGAGAGAGGGAGACTTGACCGTGAGATTCAGCAGCGGATGCTATGGAAGTACCTAGTTGACGTGTTTCTAGACATATGGAGAGGATGAGGGGTAGAGCGTATTTGGGTAAAGGGAGTTGTGGGGTGGTAGAGAGGGTAGAACGGTGAGAAGCTGTGACGAGTTGAAGGGCGAGGTCTCCGTACATGTCGAGTGGGGTTACCGTCGCTGGGTTGTTTGAGAGATACTGATACGAGAGTAGATATCTGGGCCTGAATGTCAGAGAGGCGCCACGTGAGAGATGAGACTACTGACTGACTACTCCCTCGTATCGAAGCTGAACACAGGTAATGTACGCTCAATCGGGTCGAAGTGGGATCTTGGTGGACGCGTCCAATGTATCAATGAGGAGTCACGTGACTTTACAAGCGGGGAAGCGGCGGCTTTGTTCGGAGGCAAGACCGCTCCTCCATCCGTTCAACTTTGCACCCATCCTCAACCGGTACTTGACGACCTCTCTATAACTTCAACCCACCACATCCTTACCTACTGCTTTCTTTCTTGGTGAGTCTCGTCAGACGATATCAGATTAAAACTATCACTGACGGATATAGAAAATGTGGAAGAATTCTCTTAGACCCACCTCGGCAGCAGTCCGTTCCAGTCAGTCCTTTACATTCCACGTCACTTGTCGTGGTATTTATTCGGCCCTAGAGAAAGACATTGACGGTGTAGGCTCGACCAGGACTTTCGCCTCAACCAATCCTAGGGCTTCATATGAAGATACGATAAAGAACATTCTTATCCGTATGTCTTCTCTCCTTGTTTATCCTTGTCGCCAAGGAGAGGCTGATGAGTAGATAAAGACACTAAAGTCCTCGTTCAAGGATTCACGGGAAAGACTGTATGTCAACTTGACTTATGATTTTGGTACATGGAGGACTAATGGACGAGGGTACATTCCATGCTCAACAAGCTATCGAATATGGGACTAGGATGATTGGAGGGACTAATCCAAAGGTATGTCGAATACTTCCTCTTCTGCTCTCATCATCTTCATTCCTATTCATATCGGCTCTTCAATGGATGGCAATGTATCACCACCTCAGTCGTCGATGTGACTGATTGAGAAATTTGAGGTCATCAAATGACTATTATGAATGACCACTGATTTTTCAGAAAGCAGGAACAGAACATTTAGGATTACCGGTCTACGGTTCTGTTCGTGATGCTGTTAAGGCCTCTCAACCCGACGCTTCAGTCATTTATGTTCCTCCACCTTTCGCTGCGGATGCTATCATTGAAGCTATCGAAAATGAGATCAAACTTATCGTCACCATCACCGAGGGGATACCTCAAAGAGACCAGATAAAAGTGATGAACGCTTTGAAGAGTCAAAGTAAGAGTAGGATGATTGGGGGTAATTGTCCTGGTATCATCAGTGAGGGATGTAAGATGGGGATTATGCCTGGACATATTTTCAAACAGGGTAAAATCGGTGAGTCACATGTTCCTAAATTCCCTTCTTCTCATTTGGGTTCTTCTGTCAGCCCCTCTACGCATCTACGTGGTAATCTACCTTTTGATTCCATTTGTATTTCATTTTCCTCCCTATGTCACTTTCTCACATTCGACTGGTCGTATACCAGCTCCTACAACTTTTGGCGGTGTGTTATCACCGACTTGTGCGCAAGCAGATCTCTCATCCACTTACTACTCTTTTAGTTTCAGAATTCTCTTTCTTGTTCGTCCTGAAATTTCTCACCTGACATACAGGCGTTGTGTCCCGTTCTGGAACCCTGACATACGAAGCTGTCAAGTGAGTTTCCCTTACAACAATCCCTTCTTCCCTCTTCAAAGCAATCATATCTTCATCATATCAAATGAAGATTTGACGTTTGTGCTAATCCCAGCCAAACAACCCTCGTCGGTCTAGGTCAATCACTCACCGTAGGAATAGGTGGTGATCCCTTCCCCGGCACTCAACACATAGACGTAGTCAAAGTCCTTCTTTCTGATCCTAGGACAGAAGGTATAGTTCTCATCGGTGAAATCGGTGGATCAATGGAAGAAGATGCCGCGGAATATCTAGCAGCACATAACACCGGTCCGAACGCAAAACCAGTAGTCGCTTTTATCGCTGGTCGTACAGCTCCTCCAGGAAGACGAATGGGACATGCTGGAGCGATCATAAGTGGAGGTAAAGGTGCTGCTAGTGATAAAGTAAAAGCTTTGAAAGCTGCTGGTGCTGTGATTGCTGATAGTCCTGCTCAGATTGGAGATTTGATGTTGAAAGCTATGAAAGAGGCGGGGAAGGCATGAGAGGTTTAAAGGTTCGAATCGACTTGATGGGATGATGACGTTGAGGTCAATCAAATATGACTATGACTTGGGTCATTTTGGTCTATGGGAAAGAGTACAGTCTGGGGTGGATGAACAGGGAAGAAGAAAATGTGTTAGAGATGGTACATAAAACCTATCCAGATTAACGACAATGCATTTCGTGTTTGATCGCACAGGTAAGAGTATACTCGTACAGTATACTCGTACCATCCTCGGCGCAATTTCTCCTTCTACATACTCGAGCTCGTTGAGAGTGAAAAAATGTTGGGAAAATAGACCTGCAGGACCATTGGCTAAAAAGCTTATTGGCTTATTTCAACAAAAAGGAATGACCAGAGAGTTGAAGGAAATGTTCATAAAAAAATTCAGAATGAAGAATGAAGATTTGAAAAGGGATGGAGAAACTTCAATGCATACAAGTATAGTTCATCCTAATCGTACAACAAAATAAACACGTTCTTTTTCTCTCAATACATATTCCGACTTGTATGTTCGTTCTCGGTGATACACTAGTGTTCGTGTATGAACCAACAAGCTCTTGACCGTGTGTCGTACGTCGACAAAGTTGACAAAGATGACAAGAGGGTAAAGAGGGCAGAAAGACATAGGGGCAAAAAGCAAGTGGCATAAACGAAAAATTGGCAAGGATTGAGACATATTGTATGATATGATAGGTGATCGGGTCGGATGCTCCAGGCATGAGATCAATGAGAGTAGTGAGTGTTTTGCGAATGTAGAGTATTGTGTGGTGTGTGGTGAATGGTGTGTGTTGGGTGTTGTGTGGTGTGAAATGTGTAGTGAAAAAGTAGCAATGAAGAAAGAACGAAAGTTGTGATAAAGGGATCGAGAAGGAATGAGGAAGTGAGGGTCATGTCTAATACGCTTTGTCGGTGGATAGAACTTGACGAGTTGATTGAGTGTGTGAAGAGGATGAACGGTGAAAGATAAGTTTGAAAAAGGTGATGGGAACGATATGAAAGACCAAGGATGGTAGTGAAATCAGAGTGAAATCACGATACCCATCCACCTAACCATCTTCTCAAAGCACCTAAAGCTGCTGCACCTGCAAATTGAACTTCTTGACTTGGTTCATCTTCCCCTCCTTCTTCCTCACCATTATCATCATCATCCTCCATCCGACCTTCTTCTACTTCCGGACCTACATCAAAAGCGTCTACCGTGTGTCTTCTATCTTCCACTTGTCTCGTCAAATATCCATCTCTAATCCCTTCCGTAGAGATTCCAGATGTCATATTTGAAATTGTAAAGTTGGATATTCCTCTTCCTGAGTTTGACCGAGTAGGGAAAGCTCCAACCATGTCCAATGTGTTCGAAGGGAATTGAGTTAACCGTCGATTATCACGTGTAAGGGGAGGAGAAGAAAGACGAGAAGAGGAATGATGAGAGGTTGAAGAAAAACGAGTAGTTGGTACCAACCTAGGTATGGAAGATGTTCGATTTGTTGTAATAAGAGGTGGAAGTACATCTTCATCATCGGAATCTTCTATGAAAATAGGAGCAATAAGAGTTTGTCTATCCGTTGATGCGTTATATGGTGGTGGTGGTGAAGGTGTTCTGATTCCATACATTTGTCTTCTATATCTAGGTGGGGAACATGTTCTAGGTGAAGGTTGAGTTAACGAACGTGAAGGTATTGGTCTTTGTATTTGACGATGAGATAAATCTGGATAATATCTAGGTGGAGAACCTAAAAGATTTTCTTCAGTCATCGTTATATCATCTACCATTTCATCGGGTGTTGAACTGGGACTGAATTGTTCGTACATTGTTACATCTGTCCTTGAGTTTATTTGAGAATACCGAGGATGACGAGAAATACGAGATAATCTTTCAGTTTCAAGTTGAGAAGCAATTTGAATTCTTAATAAAGATTCAGCTTCTTCTCTCATTAACCTCTCTTGTTCTTCTCTTCTTAAAATAGCTTCTTCTTCTTCTTCCCTTCTTCTTTGTTCTTGTCTTCGACGTAATTCAGCAGCTTCACGTTCCCTTGCTCGTCTTTGAACTCGACGTTGTTGAGCAATTTCACGTAAATGTATTTGATACTCACGAAGCTCTTCAGAGAATCGAAGTTCGTTACGTCTTCCCCATCGAACGGAAACATCTTCAACCGAGGAGAGATGAGAGCATGAACGTTTCATAGCTGTTGGAGGGTTAGGCAAAGGAGGAGCTCCATCATTTGGTCGAGAGTATATAATATTTGTCGTTTGTTCAGGAATAGAAATTCCACCAGGGACAATGATGGTAGTGTTGATTGAAGGTGGTGGACATGGAGTGGATGGAGGACTAGGACTACGTGACATGAGAGAAGGTAAGAGGAATGGGGTTGATGGTAATGATGAACAAGGTGAGATAGAATTTGATATCTTGTGATGATCCGCAGGAATAGACACGACAACATCTAAAGTTTGTTCAACTGTCGAATCATCCATTTCTTCATCTGAATCATCACCTAATTCATTGTCCACTTCAGCAACTTCATCCACCGTCGAATTCTGAGAATGTTGGATTGGTCCAAGTGGTAACTGAACCATTCCATGTTTGATCAAAAGCGCTTGGATATCAGGTAAAACAACTTCATAGCCAAACCATTTCCCGACACCTTTTCTCCATTCTCCATTTTCGTGTCGTTCATTGTGAGCTCGAACCAACTGATTACGTCTCAACCTATCCGAAATCTGGACTTGCAGAACAGCCAAATTGACTTGTCCAGGAGTCAGAGATAATCGGAATTTACCTCTACGTTCGAACCGAGTGTTTCTATTGAGTATCAAATTGCGTTTCTCCCTCATGGGCAAGAGGGATGTGGGAGAATATCGATGTAAATGAGTAGTAGTTTTCTGTCCTGGAAGACGTTCGGGCGTGTATATGTGTTTGGGTCGACGAGTGATTTTGTTCTCCCTTGGACCTTTATGTACGGGGACCACGAGACAAGTTTGAGTTTCCACATCACTAATGTCCATTGGACTATCATGATCTTTTGAGTCAAATTCCACATGTCGCTTGGAGGACGGTTTGGAAATGATAGTTGTGTTAGGTAGTGTTGTGTAAACATCTCGTCGATGAGCACGACGTCGGGTAATTTTACGAGCTTTATCGATACCACGAGGATGTCGTAAAGCTTGGGATTTTTTCAGGTATTTTGGACCAGCTGGAGAACATGGAACGAGTGGTAAAGATGCGGATACAAGACGTGAATCGTCATCTGAGTCGGGATCAGATTCGACTTCGGAGACAACCATGAGTTGATGAGATGAGGCAGCTGCTAGGTCGGTCATACGTTGGGTAAGATTGACTATGGAGGCCGTGGGAGCGAGGATGGTTTTGGGAGTAAGTTGGGAAGAACGGATGTCGAGTGGGGATGGCTAGTAAGTGAGCCTGAGCTTCCCTCCGGGATGACATACTGGTTTCTGCAGAATCTTCAATTTCAAGGGACATGACAACGACTCATAATCTGGCCTGAAAAAGACAGAGAGACGGTGTCAAGTGATAAAAGGTATTTATAGCTGGAGATGGGCTGGAGAGACTGGACTCACTCTGGGTCTTTTAATCAACCTCTTACACTTTGGTAAATCCAATTCAAACTCATCATCCCCTTCTCCATCACTCCCAGAGGATCTACATCTTTTTCCAAATTTACCTTTTCCCTTCTTCCTCGGTGATTCTCCTTTTGGGTCTACTACTTCCTCTTCGATCACTATCAACCCATATCCTCGTTTAACCCCATTGACAGGTATGCGGAGTCCTTCCTTTTCTCCAATATATCTCTCATCTCGTCCACGCGCGAGTCCAATACCTGTGGAATTACATCTTCTTTTCATACCCCAAACCATAGGATATTTCTCTTTCATGTCTCTTGAACCAAAATGCAAAGCTCCATATTCCCTCGGATCGATACCTTTCCCCTTTTCCCTCCATCTATCAGGTGTTGGACTCTGAGCGGAAGAATCCGATTCCAAAAGAGGACTATCAGAAAGGTTTTTAGAAATTGGACTATCGGAATTGTGAGAATGTAATAAAGACGCGTCTATTTCTTCATCTTCTCTTTCATGTGAATCTTGACTATTTGGTGAACTTATCAACCCTAGGTCAGATAAACTGGTACCTAGGTCCGTATCGGGATCCGTATCGTTTTCCGTTTCTGACCATAAAGCTAGGGAAGGGGAAGGTGAACGATGATGAAGGAGCGATTCTCGTGGATGGGGTTGTGAAGGTAAGGGTAGACGTCGTTTGGGTAATGGACGATATAATCTTGAAAAAGGGGGTGTGGAGGAAGTGGAAGAAGGTGAACGTTGACGTTTGATACCTCTTAACATTGTGTCTCTTCCTTTCTTCCTCCTTGTCTTTGTCTCTCTTCTTTCTTTATCTCTCCTAGCTGTATTGCTGTGTATGTGTATGTGTGTGTGTATGTATGCGTCCCTGTAGGCGCTTGAGAAATGTCGACTGTCGAATGAGCGGGAGGAGGGGGAAAGCTAAAGACCCAGCCAGCTGGGATAGAAAGTTGATCTTGAAGAAGTAAAGAACGACGATGGTTCGTATTTGCTATAGAGTATCGTTGTAGAGCAGGAGTGTGAGCTGTGAGCTGAGCTGTAGAGTAGGTGAAGAGGTGTAAGGGTGTTAGGGAGTGAATGTGACGGTGCCTATGAATGTGAAGAAAAGACGCGTTCTTTTGGTATTTTGAGTTTTCTTCCTTGCCCTCTCTTCCTTTACCTTCCCCCTCTCTTCTCAGTGACAGTGACAGTATCCCTTGCTACTTAGCGTCGCTCTTGCTCGCTTGTTCTTTTTGTTCTCGCTCCACTATGTTTCACACTCTCAACTTTTCACAATTGCTGAGTGTGACAAGAAAGTATATAGACGCGTCGATGTACCGATGTGCGATACAAGTAGTAACTTACGACACGAGGTACGAGGAGATTGTCCAAAGGTAAATCTGTTGTTGGGTGACCTGGGTGCAGGGTGATTCTTGGATCTTTGTTGGATAGACATGAGATAATGTGATTAAAATGATCAACTAGAAATGACAAAACTTATCAATAGAAAGCATATGATAGTAGTATGAAAACATAGACGTAAAGACGAGAAGGAGAAGGAGAGGAATACTCGTATTGTGGTAAAAGATGAATAACATACTTCTCAAACGTCACTTTACTCAAAAATCATCAACTTGAGTGATTACTGATGGACATTTTTTTCCAAAGTGACAAGGTGATGAAGGCAAGGAAAGATCTACGCTAAATATGTTGATTTGTTGGCATGTTGGCATGTTGGCATGTTGCATAGTAAAGTCATTATGCATTATGATCAATGACACGAAAGTCATAAGTAACAATAATGCATCGCGTCATCATACCAATGTTCGTTCAGTTTTTCCGTAAACTCTTAGACTGATTATTGATTATGTTACTCCTCATCCCTCTGTCCCTCCGTACTCACTTACACCCTACAAATTTTCTGGCTCGTAGTGTCATGACCACCATCCGATTGACAGACTAGCATTCCGTCCCCTTGTTGGTCTCGCCTCCTTTCTCAACAACTCATACTCACTCTCGACCGTTCAACATTGCTCCGCACTGTACCCCCATCGTCAGAGAAAAAAGGTGTTTTTAAAGTTTGGAGGATCACCCAGACAACGATCGAGTGACTGAATAGCTTGATGATGATTCATGCCAATCTTCCAGCTTTATGTCCCCCGAACAAACCTTTGAGTCCCTTCCTCGGTTTATTCCCTTTACCCCCCGTCTCCTGACTTAACTCGAACCCATACGGTCCACCACCTCCAACACGTAAGACAGGTCCCGATCCTACCGAACTGGGATCATACATGCTCGTCACCATTCTCTGTGCTATTTCCTGTCGCGGTCTTTCCGGTGTAGTATCGAAACTAGTACGAGGTTGTGGGGAATAAGTTGATTGTACATGACGTTGAGGTTTACCATTTATTCCTTGTCTATCGAAAGTTTTCATCCCATTCGGACCATTCATGTTTCTTCCATTAATCCCCATGACTCCATTCCCGTGATTACCACTCATATGATTGTTATGATTCCCGTTCATCCCGTTTATTTGAGTGTCTGGGTGATAACCATTGGAAGAGTAAACTCCACTGGAGGAATATCCACTGGTAGTGGTATGACCAGGATAAGAATCATACGTTCCATAAACACCTTGATTCCCTCTAGGTAATGAAACAGATCTCGCTTGTCCTGTATATCCTCGGGTGGTAGAAAACACCCCGATAGGTTGAGAAGAATCACTTTCCGGAGAAGAATCCGGATCAGGTATAGGAAGCGGAGGAAGGTTTTTGAACCTATTTGGAGAGATAGCTCCTGTCGATTGAAGAGCGGGTGACTTAGGGCCGGAGAAAAAGGGGACGGAAACGATTGCTGGTGGAGTTTCCAGAGTGGGTTGTAGGACGGATGAATTTGACATGGAAGAAGATGGTTTGGTATACATTCCAAAAGCTTGTGAAGGTAATGTCAAACCTTTTTCAGTCCTAGGACCAAAGTGAGGTGACAATGATGGTTGTTGTTGTTGATGATGATGCTGAGGTAGGTGAGGTGTGTTGTAAGGACCGGTAGGTTGAGGTCGAACATTCAGAGAAGCATCTTCGAATTGATGTACAGTAGGTTCAGGAGAAGCGTACATGTTACGTTTTCCTCCTGCCAAAATTTCCACGATGGATCCACGACGATCATCATCATCGTTCAATGTCAATGTCCCAGATTGTCTTCTACCTTGACCAGAAGCATACGATTCTCTCCTAGCTGCATACCTGGAGCTTGTGGGGGATATACTGTCACTGCCAGATATACCGGATAGAGAACCGGCGAGGGGGACAGATACAGATCGAGTACCGAATTTACCCATTCCCACTCCAAGTCCAGCAGGAGCAAGTGCTGATATGTCGGTAAGCATGGAAGAAGATGAGCCAGAGCGATTTCGACCGTGTTGTCTTTCTCCACTGACGAGCATTGAGATGGGTGGGGGAGGTTTGAGTGGAGCACCGAGGTCGGTTTGAAGGGACAGATCGATCTCCTGAGGAAGATTAGGGGAGGGAAGACCAGAGGCATCAGATGTAGATTTTTTCTTGGGTTTAAGTCTCTTGAAAAGACCAGCAAAAGATTTCTTCCGCTGTCTCTTGTCTTTCTCTGGCGTAGGAGGGTCAACTTCGTATGCTCGCATGACTTGTGATAGACGAGAGGAAGACATGGATTTGGGAAGTTCACGATCTCGTGATGGTTCGGCTATGGAGGACGCTCGGGAACCTCGTGAGAAGAAGGAAGGTCGAGGAGGAGATGCCATGGACACTGCACGGGGATAGTCGTTGAGTTGTTGGATTGTTGGTTGATGACGCTCTTGTTCAAGTCCAAGGCTGATGGGTCAGCTCGTGTCCATTTGGGAGCTTAGCCCAATGCTTAGCAAAAGACAACATGAGACAATGGTAAGAGATGATAAGGAAAGAAAATGACGTACTGCATATCCATCATGCTTCCACTGCCACCCTGACTACCCCCAAAGAAACTGGTGACACTTCCACCCCATCTCCCCCATAAACTCCTCCTACCGCCATGTCCCTCGCTTCCATCCCTCGCCGCCGCAGCACCTGCTCTGACGGCAAAGGAGAATGGTCTGAGACCAGTCTCAGCAGGTGACAATGATCCCCATGGATCTTCGTCATCGCCAAAGTCATCCAACTGAGGACTGGCATCGAGCAAACTGGGACTGCTGAAAGTCTTACTCGGTCGACCGTGTAGACGACCATGAGATCGACGTGGGCCGGGTTGAAGTGATTCGGTGTTGGGAGTGAGTTGAGTAAGAGGACGTTGCAATTGTGAGGGCAGCTGTCTTGGTCGGATACCCATGCTGGCCAGATCGGCCGGGGAAGACGGACTGGGTCGTATGAGTTGATTGCCGGAGATTGAAGTATCCTTGAGTGGAACGGTAACGGAAGCGGTGGTGGAGGAGATGGAAGGGAGTGGACGCCGATCCCAAACCACTGAACTGCTCTTGCGAGCTGTACTTGCGTCCACTTCGTGTGTGGAGACGGACCAAGTGGATGTAGGTTCTTCGGGGAACGGATAGTGACCTAATCGCTGGGCTTCGTGACGGACTTCGGTCACGAGCGCCCATTGTTGCTTCAGATAATGCTGCAAAGTAGCATATCGGTGCGCTGAGGCAGAAGGGAACTGTCACGATGAGCTGTTGTACTACGAACGTTTGTCAACCAACCTACCTTGGTCATGATGGCCTTGATCCCACTTTCAGTCAATCGACCAGGCTGTGTTCCCCGGAATCTCCTCGGGAGCCCTTCACCGCCTGGACCTTCTTCCCATTTGAACCCCCTCCATCCCACTTCTTCCACCACCTTCCGGTCCAATGCTCGAATTTTACCGCGCATGGCTTCCTTCATCTCCCTCCTGGCGGCGATCCTCCGTCTCGCTTCGGCATCCTCGACTGAATTGCCGGTGGAAGGGAAACTGGCGCTGGTGCTCTCTGAATCTGAGCTGGGACCATCATCCAAAGATGGGATTGAATGAGTGTTTGAGGTGAAACTCCCCATGGACCGGAGAAATTTCATCTCGCGGTTTTGAAGTTCATGCCAATCCGCATCAGACTCGCGATCCCACACTCCCTCACCGACAACGTCGACATCTGCCAGATCCCGGTCACGCATCAAGCATTCTAAACATACTTCTTCCTGAGGGACCACTTTCTTTGGCGGTGGCAACCCCAAACCTACAGCGGGGGATGCACCAAGTGGCATTTGTCTAGGGGCGGGAGATGAAGGGTAGGGTCCTGCGTCTGCTAGACCGGCGATAATCGGAAGGCTTGAGGCAGCGCTGTTGTGTTCAGGCTGTTGCTGACTAATCGCAGATTTGGATAAAGATCTATATCCATCTGGGTTCGGAGATCTAGATGCTGTGCCCGTGGTTTGAGGCTGTGCGGGTCTTGACGAGGGTGGCGGCCAGGTGGATGTAGGGTGAGGAGGTGGGGCTTGGACGGACAGGGGTTGATGAGGTTGAGGAGGGGGTCCAGAGACACTGCGTTGCGTTTGATGTTGGCCGGCGCCGTCTTTAGGGGGTCGAGGTAGAGATCTGCGATGGGGGGAGATGGGGGAAGTTTGTTTGAGATCATTCGTAGATGGTTTGCGTTCTAGTCGACGAGGACTTATAGGTCCAATAACCTTGTTGCCGTTGACCATGGGTTGTGGGAATGACATTGGAAGGGTGGACACGATATCCCGGTCTGGGTTGGAGGTATTTGTAGTTTCCATGTTCTCAGTGTGAGAATCTTGTATAGGTGATATCATCGAGGAAACCCGTACTGGTGATCCTTTCATCGTCGCAACGCCCGATACGATCGTCCTACGTCTAGGTAATGGTGATTCCCTCATGACGACCGCATCGTCATCCTTATCATCGGTGAAAGAAGTTGAAACCTTTCCTGGTATATGAATAGTCAAAGCGGATCCAAGCCTGCGAAGTGAGACACTGGAGTTGTTGCCGTAAGCTAATGAGCTTGATCGTAACTCGGCGTCTGATCTCTGTCGTAGATTGGTCGAATACGCATCTGGAGTTTTGGTCGCGGATTCCGAAAAGGAAGCATGGTAAGGTGAAGGAGGTTTTAAGGGCGATACAGGAGACGGTAGCGGAGGGAGTGCCATTTGTGGAGGTGGCAAAGGAGGAGGTACGTTTCTACGTGTGGGTGAACGTACCGGATCTCTGAGAATGGGAGGTGGTGTCAAACGTGAACGCGAAGAAGAAGAGAAAGAGGAGATGGAAGGTTGTAAGAGGCGATTCTGATGGGAAGTATTCGGACCGGTGTGGACGGAAGGAAGGTCGAAAGTAGTAGGAAAAGTTTGGGAACCGGCATCATCCAATTCTATTGTTGATCGAACAGGACTGACACCGGTACTGGCAACTTGTCGAGAGGCGGGAGAAGAAGTATGGAAAGATTCGGCTGATAAAGTGTTGAAAGAGTCTAGATGCAACGAGGGGAAGGGCAGTGTTGGGGGGCGGGTAGAAGTAGGATTGGCAGTGGCCGTCGTGGTAGTTGCCATGATGTTTGAAAGTGGCTAGGGGTATTGGTCCCACCCTTAGCGCTATACAATGATCGGATGATGTTGAGGGTATCACCCGGTTCTTCATGTGCCGGATAAAGCTATGTAGACTGTCGTCTGCGGTCTGCGGATCTTTGTGACGTACGGTTGTACTGCACAGAAGGTGCCGAAGGGGAACAGGGCAGGGACGCGTTTTGCCTTTCTTCAAGTACAGTACTCTAATGTCGCTAGTTTCGGGTGGCTGCGAGATGGACACTTTCTATATTGAAATAACCAGCAGTACTATAGGATAGACACGCAAGGCTGAGCTGAGCTACAGACCATTGCTCATATCCGAATACGAGTTATCTGACACCCGAGTATGTAAAAGCCAAAGATGCCTGCCGTGCTGGGGAGAGAGGAACGCTATCCGCGCCGGATGAATAGGCGTGCACATCCCCAGAAGGATGGTTAGGCGCGGGACCTCACAGGAATTTCCTTTTGCGGACGAGTTTGAACATACTTTGGTTACTGTTGGTGTTTCTCACAAGCCACTCTTCTGTCTCTCCCCTCTTCAACAACATGACGTCTTTCGATCATTCTTTTGGCTTTCAGGGAGCGGAGACGGCTATTGAGAGGGCAGCCAATCTCACTGCTCACTCGCCATTCCAAACTTACTTTGACTATCGGCTCATCTCACCCCGACATCTTGGACCCAGCGTCTCCCCCCCCCCTCTTACCTCTTACCTCCTGCCGTTCATTCTCATCTCAGCCATTGACAACATGATATTACTTTCACTGACGTATGTCCAAAAGGAACACAACTAAACTCCACCGGCTGACCGGCTCGGAAAGATTGCGGACTGAGTAGAACCGAAATAGCATGATCGCCGAAACCATTAACGTCGTTCATTGCTCGTCACAGCTCACTTTACTGTCATTTCTCATCTTCCCACACTTGTCACACAGCTTTCGATTGGATCGCTCATTGCTGTAGCCCTAGTTCTATCGATATCCCTGGCGACATGACACCTGTAGGTGGACTTTGGTATTGGTACACGACTTCCGCTATCCTCGCTTTCTTCACCGTCATCAACATTCTTTCTCAGTTGTATCGATATCTTTCCAGAGCGCATTACACGGAACATCGCTCACCTGGTTTCCCACGGATACCCTCGCTACATACTTCAGCTTCGAGCAGTGTCAAACACTGCGAAGAGAAAGGTATTCATGGACGACAGGTCGGGAGTGTGGCAAGAGCTCTGAGAGCGCTTCATGTGATATGGGAGAAATATGTGCGCCTGAACGCTTTCAAACTTCCATGGCCTGCGTGGCCGATGAAATGGTTTATGCGATCTGTCGCCACCAGCGAGTTCGGGGTAACGTTTATTTATGTGGTCGTGGTCATGACCATCACCTTCGTTCATAGTGAGTTGTAGATCAACTCTCATTGCTCACGCATTTTTCTCCGCATCCCTACATTCCAACTCCATCTCCGGGTATCTCTTGTTCAAGGTAGCTCATGTCTATGTTGTAAACCGAGCTGATAGTCATAGCCGACTTAAACATCAGAACCGTTTCCTCACAATCGGCTTGGGTCGCTGTGGCTCAGGTTCCGCTAATAATAGCACTGGTAGGAAAGAACAATCTTATTTCTTGTCAGTCTCCGTTTACACCAGTGTAGACCCACGCTGACATCTTCCGCAGTTCTTATCGGTGTCTCACATGAAAAGCTCAATTACCTACATCGTGCTGCTGGTCGAGTTTGCTTGGTTGGCGTGTGGATACATTTCGGCTGCATGCTGTCCATGCACCATGGCATCACAAAGGTCATGTTTGAGGGACAGATGGCTCGATGGGTGAGTCTCCGGTCTTTCAATAGTCTTCGTCCATCATCATCCCCTCATTCTCACATCGGTCAAATGCCCATCATCCTACTCGCTGAAGTGCGGCCCAACAATCTGATAGTTGACTTGCAGGGCACAGTCGGGGTGGCATCTTTCACCTTGATGACCGTTTTGTCCATTCGTACAATCCGACACAGGCTATACGAATTCTTCCTCGTTGCGCACATCTGTCTCGCTGTCTTAACACTGGCAGCATTTATCAAACATTGGTCTGCCATGGGACCCTGGATCTACCCTGGTTTTGGCCTTTGGGCGGCGGATCGAATACTTCGCGTGGTCCGGTTGTTCGTTTTAAACAAACTATGGGTAGTCATGCCATCCCCTACTGGCGCCAACATCCCATCTCGAGCTACACTTACTCTTCTCACCCCATCAACAGTTATGGTCTCTTTTCAAACTCCTTCTCGACTGCTCACTTGGGCCGCTGGACAACATTTCTTCGTTGTCATGCCTGGAATGACAAGATTTCCCTGGGAAGCACATCCTTTCACCGCCGCTACCCTTCCCGCTCGACCAGGCCAGGGGACAGGAAAGGGGGAGTTGACTTTCATCGTACGTGTCAGAGATGGTTTCACAAAGAGGATGAAAGATCATGTGGATGAAGAGAGAAAAGCGAGAGGCTTAGGACCGGATGTTCAGGTTAGCGTGGATATACCTGCCGCGGTGGAAGGACCGTATGGCGAGTCGAGGAGTTTGGATCGATATGATGGGGTTTTGATTCTCACTGGAGGATCAGGTATATCTTATGGAATCGCACATCTTATGCAGATTGTACGAGATGCAAGGGAGGGAAAGACAAGAGTCAAATTTGTCCGGATAATATGGATGGTCAAAACGCGATGTGAGTTTTCTCCTCCCTCTCTTTGTCAAACTTAATACTTCTGTAAACGTAAATCACAGAGTCGCTGATATTCAGTGCACTTGGACTGGATTTCACCTATTCTTTTAGGTCAAGTCAATGATATTCCTACTTCCCTCCAGATCCAACTACACGTACACGTCACCAAACAATACAGACCAGTCGGTGCTCCTATACCCACTATCACATTCGCTTCACCTCGTGCCACTCTCCCGAATGATCCTGGTCAAGCTCCTCGTCAGGATTTAGAAGATTACTTTGCTCAACGTATAACCGAACCTCCTCGTCGAACATCAAGAATGTCTTCTTTATCTTGGGCAACATTTACGAGTCATCAAGATCCCAACCCACTCAGTGCGCCTGGTACTCCGTTGAAGTTGAACTTCCAATTGGGAGAAACGAAATTACCTCTTGTACCAACTATGAAACTTCCTCGTTTGTCCGTTAGCGGTCCAACTGGTCGACGAGGTTCGTTAGGTTTTGAAGGATGGAAAGGATTAGATGAAAAGAATACCAATTCAGATCGACGAGAACCAAAACTTGAACGTGGTCGACCTGAACCTATTGTCATACCTACTTTCAAATGGTCCGATACGATAGGTGAAGTTCCACAATCGGAAGATATTTCTTCTACAACACGAACCGTTTCTAAAAGTCCAAGAAGTCCTTTGAGTCCATTACGTCCTCAAATGCGTCGAGTGGCTAGTGAAGCACCTTCTGTTCACAGCTTTCAAGAAGACGATGATGGTAGAAATTCAAGAGAAGTTTCTCCAAGACATGTATCAAAACCTCTTCCTGAAACCGAAGGAACGGATGATGAAAACAATAAAGACAATCATAAAACCGATAATGAAGCGTCGGACGATGTTCCTACTGCACTTTTACCTATACCTCCACCTAGGGCGAAATTACTTTCATCTCCCAAGAGTCAACATAGGATTCCAGTTGGAAGTTTATCAGAACGTCGAAATATTGGACTTTTATTACCTCCATCACCTAGAAAACCATCAGGTTTAATAGTTTCTTACCTTCCTCCAGATTCAGATCCACCTATAACACATTCCGCTCCTTCTTCACCTGGACACAATCCACTCAATCGATCAATCTCCATGAAACGTTCTTCTTCAGCACAATCGACTCTTTCCGCTCAATCTAGTAATTCTCAATCTCATCAAGACGGATTAGAAAAATCGACCTTAGGTCTGAATTCTACCTCTATAGCTAGATCTGAGACTGTTCGATCTACAATCTCAAATTCATCCGCTTTTGCTCCTTTACCTTCAGGAGCTTTAACACCTGCTTTAGTACAAGCAGGTACTAAAACATTCGCGGAGGATGCAAGAGGTAGAAGAGGTTCTGCTTTAGGTTTAGAACGTTATGTTCATTGGCATGAAGGTAGAGCGGATTTACATGCCTCTTTGAGAGAATTATTGAAGGATGTAGGAAAAGGAGGAAGGGTTAGTGTGAATGCTTGTGGTCCTAGAGGTTTATTGGTCAGTGCTAGAGAAACGGCTAGAGCTTTAGGGGATGTTAAAGGTGCTTGGGGAGGTGAAAGTGTAGTTGATTTCAATGCGGAAACTTTCGGTTGGTAACATACTCTCTCCTGGTTTCTGGAAAGTCAAGGAAGATATATGCAGAATATCATTGGTGAGATCAGAAAATGTTTGGTTGGTCAGAAGGGGACAGTGGATGTATCGTAATTGGGGAATGATAGAGTCTGGTACTCTTTGTAGAAAGGTAGAAAGAAAATCATATCTTGATGTATCGTCAATACGACTCGACATTCGTCATTCGTTCATCCTTCAGTTCGAATTTTTATCTTTTCAGTGAAAGTCCATCTTACGACCCTAGTGATCAGTGAGATTTCACCATGACCATTACCATGACCATAGAACTTCACTCGCTCAATACGAGAATCCGACATGTGGCGGCCGTGGCGGAAGAACAAAGCGTGTGCCACAACTTTGAGAATTCAGGGTCTCGAGAGTTGTAAGTAAGAAAAACAATCCTCTCCCTCTTCGCCTCTTCCCTCTTATCCATTACATTCCTCTTTCCAACCTGTTGTTCTTCATACAACTAACATCTTACTCTCCGACGCGATTCATGTAGGGGAATCATAACTTCCGAAGAACAGAAGAATTTGAAAGATCAAACAACAGGACGTAGGAGATTTTCTTCAGATTTCTCAAACTTGACCTGAAAACATGAAACGTCTCTTTTCCATTCATTGTTCTCGTAACGAAACGTCGAGTGATCAGTGAGTTGGTAAGAGGACATGTGGACATATGGACGTGCCTGTTTTTATGCTGATGGGGTGACTTACTTTCCCAAAGGATGTTCCGGGAGGATGAATGTGTGTGCATGTGTGTGTGTCTGTGTGTGGAAGAGGACGAAGGAAGTTAATTATCCTACTGACATCATAATCTCCAGAGACAATGAAGGGAAAGTGGTCAATTGGGAGGAGTGAATCTACGGATCTACGGATCATGGATCATGGCTTTTGAAGAACAAGAAAACCCCATCCCCCCCACATGATCGGTACCTTTTCCAATCTTCTCCCCTCCCCTCTCCCTACCCGACCATGCACCACCGATCCACCGACCGGTAAACCCGAACCCGAACCTGTTATACAACCAGGGGAAAGGGGTAAAAAAAAGGGAAAAGGAGAACAAAACTGAAAGAAAAGAGATATTGCTTCATGATGAATAAACTTGAAGGAGAAAGATGATACACACAATTATTCATGTGGAAAATCCCTTTCCTATCTCATATCTACTCCTTCCTTCTCTTCTCCTCTCCTCTCGTATCCCCCGTGTCATATTTTATGCCGAAAAGAAAAGAAATTTTCCGTGACTGACCTGACCTTTTGACGTCTAAACAATATTTCAAACTTTGACAGTCCTACCCTACCTTCCGAGGACCCCCATGACCGTCCACAAGTATACCGTCAAAGGGGGGGATTTAGGAAGGGAAAGGAAATACCGTTAAAGTTGTTCATGAAGGAAGTCACCGATGTTTGTTTGGGTGTTATACCTTGGACCACTTTTGAATATCCTGAATCTTTAGTCCTTAGTACTTTTCCGAGATAACTTAGCTTTCAAGCTCCTGAACTCTTGGCTCCTTAGATATCACTCCGAACCGTGATTTGATTCAAAGTAGGCGAGCTAGAGAGAAAGAAAATCGATATATTCTCCTGGTTCCCTTCGATTTCAAGTCTTTAACTCTTTCTTCCCTCTTTGACATCGTAGTGTGAATAACTTCTTTCTCTAACACGTCAACTCGGTTCTTCTATCTCTTCTAAGATCCAGATTTATATAATTCTCTGGAACTGAAGTTGAGAAGTTGTGGTGGGATACATACACTCACGCACGAACCTCACTTCCACACACTCAAAAACGCTCAGACACGACAGACCGTGCCACAGGTCTGTATTCCGCTCATTACGGTGAGTTCCCCAAATCTTCCTTCCCCACTATTGTAGCATGTAGCATCTGATGTTCGAATGATTGATAATTATCATTTGTATCTAAGAAACCAAGAGGAAAAGAAATGGAAATTTGTAACTAACGAATTAGATTCTCTCTCTATATATCATCATAACCCCATAATTCAACGACACCTCGAAAATCTCTTTTTGTTCATCTTCATCTTCAAATCCATCAAGATCAATAGACCACGGGACGACCCCCGTGAGTGAAGAAAGAGGTGATTGATATTCTCAAAGGATACCAATTCTTTCAACTGCCACCTGATCTGCCCATAGTCCCTGTCTTCCGTTGGTCGGAAGGTAGAATCGCAAGAACGCGTGAGTAAATCAACAAAATCTTTCTTTCAAATGCATCCTTGACCACCACTCCTTCCATCATGACCATCTCTCTCTCTTTATTCAAAACTATCCTTTACGAGCTATCAACAGTCATTTCGTCGCGTCGCGTACCAGCCACAAATTTTGAAAGAAAAGCTGACACTGAAATTCCTCTTCAACAATTTTTCCTTCGCGTTTTGATGCCATCAGCAAAAAAATCATCCCATCAATCATTCCCATCATCCACGACGCCCCTTTAAAACCCCCTTGCCTGCCGTGTTTCATCATTTCGAACCGATCCCGATCCCCTTTACGCCTCTCCTGGCGCTAAATCCCATCTCCTCTGCTCTGACCCTCTTTGGCTCATTGGGACTTGGGTCCTTGGACTAGGATCTTCGTTCTCCCCTGAATCACTCAAAATCGTATTTCGGCACAGGCCATAGTGTCCGTGTTCTCTTTCACGCCCGAAACCTTACGTCTTTGTCTACACACAAAGTTTTTGTGGAAGATCTCGAGTGTAGGATCGCAAGACGAAACATTACCTGGTAGCCACTAGCCATTGATTGAAAGACTTCAAAATCAGAAGTTTGTGACGATTCGAGATCAGGTACAAAAATACAAATACATAACCGAGGTGAGTTAGTTGCCCTGCCCTCGTATACGCCATGTGATCTTCAAATGATCCGCCTCGTTTTTCTTCTCTCTGTTAAATCTCTTTTTCATCGCCTCATGCCCCCCCCCTCCTTCCTCCTTAGCCGCCTCCACCCGCGTTCCTAATCGTCATCTTTGACCCTTGCCCTAAAAAAATCTTTTCATTCGTTCCGGGCCGGTCCAGGACGACGAGAGAGAGAGAGAGAGAAAGAGGAATTTCGAGTTTTGAACCCTTGTCTGGGCGTTTTCCCCCTTAAGTTTTCCCCTTGTTGGTAGTGTTAAAAAACTCCACCCGGTCGGCTATCGGCGCGTTGACCTCTTCTGCCCGTGCCCCTTGTGACCTTGTCTAGATCGTCTCTTAACTACCCGTCTTGGTGGTTGATGGGACCTCCTACTCCCTCGTTACGACGAAGGTAGCACTAGCTACCAAGAGCAGAGATTGAATACGCACCGGAAGTACAGGAGAAGTACGTGGAGATTTTTAAGAAGACAACATTTTCATCTTCTTTATCAACTACCATCTCCTCCTTGCCTCTCCTCTCTTCACGATCATCCCTTGCAACTGTCAAAAGTATCTAGAGCTTCCCCTCTGTTCAAAAAATATCATACATCAGAAAAAGGAGGCGTAGGTGGTGGCGATAGCGCCCCGGATCAGCCATCAGTTTACGACGACTCAACTGCGTACTGCGAACCTAGATATCAGATCTGAATAGTTGGGACTAGAGTTAGACTACTAGCGATCTTCCTTCTTTTCAACACTACCTGTCAGTAATCGAGAGAGAGAGAGAGAGAGAAAAGGGAAGGGCGAGTTGAGGGCGTGTACAAAACCTGTTACTTTAGTTGAACACTTTATAGACAGATCTTCGGGAAAAGGGAATCAAAAAAATCTGAATCTTTGATCTCTGACGACAACAGATCAAGATCATATCGATTACTACGACTGCGACCGCCCTTCTCCTACCTTGAGCAATTACCCAATCTCATAGTACACACACAGACACACGACCATCAGTCAAGAGAGAAAAAAAATCCTTCCAGAACAACGACAGTCTTTCTTTTCATTGTAAAGACCAACAGATCTTTATCACGTTTGGCAATATGGACGTCCTCGACGTGAGTTTACTTATCATCATATTTGATCTTCCTTCTTCTTCGAATTGACCTTTCCCGTCTCACCGCGCAAGGGAGATCTCTACTCCACGAGTCATAGCCGGTAGTCGACTTTTTGGTTGATTTTTCACAACTACAACTATCGATCGAATTGCTTTTCTTTCACGCGTCATGAAAGTCACATTCCACCCATGGTTTACTTTCGAATTCCTCCATATCTCATCCTCTTACAGTTATTCATCTCTCCCTTATAAAGTACCTTGAGCTGACATCTGTGTTCTGTGCTCTATCATTTCATCCTTCATTATGCCACCTGCTCGATGTACTCGTAAACAATCCAAACCAACTCCACCTCCTGCAACTCTAAACGATTGTATCGTAAATTCTCCTTCTCCTCTTTCGGAAAACTTTCGTACTCGACATGTTCTCACTGAAATCAATTCTCTCAATCTCACATCCACAATCCCTCCCCTCACTCGTTCTTCTTCTGATTCATCTTTCGTCACGGATGCCATCAACGACTCAAATGAACCCGTACTTGACGACGCGAACGATACACAGCTTGTCAACGATAACAATCATGTGGGACCAGGACATGACATTCATGTCAGACCGTTTGTGTGTAAATTCGAAGGATGTAACAAAGCCTTTGCTAGGAAGAGTGACCTAGCCAGGCACTTTCGTATACATACCAATGATAGGTGAGTAGCTCATTCCTTCTTTCCTTTCTTCTATTCTTCTCACAACATCTCTACCTCACTACCAACTTTTCTAAGCGGTGATAGGGCGAACAGAGAAAGAGGCTTAACGGGATACTGACATCACAGACCATTTGTGTGCACTTATAGAGGATGTAACAAGTCATTCATTCAGCGCTCCGCATTAACAGTGCACACTCGAGTACAGTGAGTTATCATCTCCTAGATTTCAGTTGATATCGCTGACCATCAGTACTGGCGAACGCCCTCATATCTGTGAGAAATGTGACAAGGCATTTGCAGACTCTAGCTCTCTAGCCAGACATAGGCGTATTCAGTGAGCTGATCGAGTATCCAGTCGATTCCGAGCTGACAGACGAAGTACCGGTAAACGCCCTTACGGTTGTAAAGTAGCTGGATGCGGTAAAAACTTTGCTCGTCGGAATACATATCTCAAGCACTACAAGCGATCTCATCCGAACCATCCCGCCCCTTCTTCTCACAGCACTAGAACTCGTCTCGGTTTACCCAATCAACCGACCCGTTCGACAAGTGCCAGCTACCTTCCCGGACCCATCGGTCCCAATGGTCAACCCACTTACTACCTGTCCACGCCTGTTACAGCCAGTGCCCCCCACGCCTTCGCCCCCTCTCAGCCGCAGGAGGGGGCGGCGTACAACTTCAACGGCGGCTTCAACGCTCCTTACCAGACGCCGCAGCTTGTCTTTTCCTCCTCCGGACCCGGATCTAACGGCAATGAGTCTGGTTTCCGCATCTACCAAGGTGACCAAGCCGGCATATCAAGCTTACACACCCCTACCACTGGATCTCTCCATGGAGACAACACTTCCGAAGGTCATCCCACCACTCCCGAGCCATCTTCTGCCATCTCCAGCAGCTTCAGGCAGCAAGACCACTCACATGGATACAACTCGATAGGACATGGATATCCTGAATCTTTCGTCTACAATCAACAGAGCCAACCTATGTCTCGAGTGCCCAGCTCAGGTGGCATAATGTATTTTAAACAGGAGGACCGATCTGTTTCTGCTCCACATGACGCTCATCGTTTCCAACCTCATTATACGACAGGTGCATACGGTGGTGTGGGTGGAGGTTTCCATCCTCAACAATTGGCTTTCCCTCCTCAACATCAGGGCCACCTTCATCCATCTTACTTCTCCTACGCTTCTCCCATGACAGCCCCTCTTCGTCCAGAGTCTATGTCCTTGGGTAAGGTATCGATGATGGGACATGAACATCCCGGTTCTCTGCCTCAAGGTCATTCACGTGAGGGAAGTCAAGAACCTTTGGTCGAGATCGGAAATGCCAACGTACCTTTTGTGAATGTACACGGACCGACAGATGGTGCTTTGCAAATATCCGGTACCAACCTACATGCTTCTCACTTCAACCCTCTAACTCAAAACCCTCCTCAATTCGTCTTGGCTCAACCTCAGCATGATCGGTTGCACAGCGCTCCACCCATGTTACAGCGCTTCAACTCAATGCCGAACGTGCCGACTGTCAGTTCATGGAATGAAGCTCAACAGTTCCAAGGTACGGGTAGCTTCGGTGACGTGCATTCTGTCGGAGGAGGTAGAAGTCACGATGGTGAAGAATGGGGAGATTTGGAGGATCATGTCATGGCTGATGGAGAAGATGCTTCGACTGTTGATGGAGGTGATCATGACGGTCACGGTAATACCTCGCAATCGAGTATCGAAGCTCAAAAATCCGCTGCTCAGGCTCAATGGGGTGAATCAATGATTTACCCTATCCCTCCTTCTCACTTACACAGAGATCAACCTAGGGCGTTTTCAGCCGCATCTTCTTCTTCCTCTGCTACTTTGGTAGCGCCGAGTATGAACGGTACCGCCCCTACTTTACCTCCCATCTCTGTTTTCTCACAACATCCTAATCATCCTCATCAAGGTCATTCACACGCGATGGCATTGACACCGATTCATCCTGTCCATCCACATCATCTCTATCCTACTCCGATAACCGCCAACGGTTGGGTATACCATCATGGACCTCATACACCAGAACAAGAAGCTCACAATATAACTCTCACCACTCCTCCCAAAGGTCTCGGTATGCGTAAAGAGAGTGCCGTGTCGGCTGTCGGATTGGGTATTGCCAATGTTCATTTTGACGAACGGGATGAAAGTTTCATTGCGTCAAAAGAGGAGATGGGTTCGGAAGCTGGAGACGGACAGATGGAAGGGGTAGATGATGTGGAGGGTATGGAAAAAGGCGAGGGTTTAGAAGGCGAGGAAGAATTGAGTGATGATTATATGGAAAGAGAAGATAGTGATGATGAGTTCGTATTAGGTAAAAAGAAAAAGGGAGGAAAACGTGTGAGTGGGAATAAAAAGAGTAAAACAACAAGAACGAGAAGAAAGTGAAAAGAAGATTTTCGAAAGTTTCAATATGAGATATACCCATTAGAGTTTTAAGATATCCCCATTCAGAAATACTTTACGACCAAACTCACGATGACGACGTTGAGGGAAAGACAAAGAGAGAGATAAAAACACGCGAAAAAAATATATGAAAGTACAAAACAAAACCAGACAAAATTGTTCGATTAGAAAAGGAAAAAAAGAATTCAATGGCTTTTAATACGATCCGAACTTATCCTAGGATCAACCCCTGCATCTCCAAACCCATCTCATCCCATCACATCCAATTCGCGAATGATGTCGAATCTAAATTAGATCGATGTTAATCTCAAACCCATTTCTCAACTCTTTTCCACCAAGAAGGGATTATGTGAATATGATTTTACTTATGAGGGAATGACGACGATTTATTGTGTATAAGTTATGCATCCGTGCAATATGACCCAAAGACTACGAGTAATGATCGCAATTCACAATCCGTCCATTTGGCTGACCACAATCCAAGTGATCACTAGTGAGATGTCTATCCGTATGACTGACAGTCATTGAATTACAATCCACTTCATCTCGTGAACACTGACCAATTTCTGTGCAGTAGTAAAGTTACCAATTCACAGAGGACTAAGAGTGTGTGTTTGATTGACAGCTGAAATTTGTTCGAAAATTCACGATGCTATGTTAACTTCGAATCCATCAAAATGTAAGATTCATTCATTTCATATGCATTGGTATTTGACTTTTTGGTATTATTATTCACATCCCTTTCATATCCTCATGTTCATCCCCATATCATATCATCGTGATAACTCAAGTGCACATGACTTATTCCAAACACAGGAATTGTCAATCCCCCCTCCTCACTCTTTCCCTCGGTTTTGGTCTTACTCCCCAACTTGTCAAGTTTGCCACGTCGTCACTTATGGTTCACATGCCGACTAATCCTCACCTTCCCTACCACCGTATTATCTCAGATTCTTCCCTCCCCCCATCTCACCCCTCTCGCCTGCCACTCCTCTCGCCTCTATCGTCTCTCAGATGCCCAAGCGGGAAACCTTGAGATGAGCAAGATACCATTCCCGTACTTGATCTCATTCCACCTTTTGAGCAAGAAGAACACAATGTTGTCCTCCTGCACTAGCTCCAACGGTTTTATAAGGTCGAAGTTGTTTACTTCTAACGAGAGTGGGGACGATTGCTTGTTCTACGTCTGCACCTAGACCTAGTTGAGCTTGGTCTGATAATTAGTCGCGTCTCTCTTTCTCTTTCTCCTTCTCTTTTCCTTTCGAAATGTAAGGGAAGATATGTTTCAAGAGTGTTATGTTCGTTCTTATTAGAGGAGCGACATGTATGGATTTTGCAGAAGTGAAAAGGGATGAGTCTTTAGATTGATGTGAGGAAAGACATGTTTGTGTTAAATGTAAGGAGGGACATGTGTAAGGATAAAAACTCACTACCGAAACCCCAAGCGTACACATGTCCAGATTCCGATACTGCCAGATTATGTCTTGTTCCTGCACTGATCACCGAGATTGGGTTGTTGGACGATTCTGACCATGAAGGAAAAGGAGGTACCACTTCGTATGATTCTGGAATTGGAGGGAATAAGATCTGTTATCAGCATGTTATGTCTTCACCGTTATTCCTCCATCTTTAAACACCCCCGCCCCCGATTCTCCTTCCTCCTACCCTAAAGGGGCGTACGAAAGACTAAGTCAGAAAAGAGAGTAGTACTAGGAGACTGAGAGCAAAGACGATTGAAGGAAAGCGTCTGAAGAACAGCTAAGGATACTCGAATTGACCAATTGATAAGAAGAGAGGCTCAAACTCACCTTGACAGGTTCCGGTACATATTCTCCCATCGGAACCCTCAAAGAAGCTTGAGCTTCTGCTAATTCTTCTTCTGCCAATTCTTTAGCAGATTCATCACCTTCTTTAACCTTTTCCAATTTTTTCTGTTTCTCCATCACTTTCTCTTCTCTCTCTCTTTGTCTCTCTTCTTTCCTCTCTTTCAATCCTTCTTGAGCCGGATGATCTTCTCCTAAACCTAATTCATTGGCATCACATCTCCCACAACCTAAAACATCACCATTACTCAAAAGGAATAAAGAATGATGTTCTCCTCCTGATATACTGACCACTTTTGCACCACCTAGATTATTAGGTGATAAAGCATCTACTATAGTAGGTTGATTAATCATTTCTTCTTCTCCACCTTTTTGTGAAGAAATACCAGTTTGATGAAAAGTATTCAATCCCCATGCCCAAACTGTTCCATCTGTCCCAACGGCGAATGAATGATACATTCCAGCTGAAACATGAACTATACCACGTAGACCGAGACGTTCAGGTTCGAGACCGTTCAATTTACGTCTTTCGATTATACGTCTTCCAAGTTGGTTTTGTTGTCCGTTACCCCATACGTATACGTGACCGGTTATAGCTAGAGCAAGGACATGATCCGCACCACATGATACGGATGTGATTTTGATTTTAGCAAGTGAAGGTAAAGAAATGGGATGATATTGGAATGGAGAGTGGTTGGGTACGCCATCAAAACCTAGAATACCATCGTTACTCTAAAAAGTCAGTTCAACGTTTGAGCTTGATGACATGACCACCTGAGAAAATTAGACATTGAGATCACGATGTATAAAGATAGGAAAAAGTGAGTAAAGAAAAAGACTCACTCGGAAACTACCCCAAGCACGTAATTCTCCTTTGTCCGAAACGGCCACACTAACACTATCCCCAGCTGCTACTTGTACAGCCCTAAATCCTTCTTTCTCCAAACTCTCCACGACGAATGGATACGTTTCCAAGTCCTCGTTCGGGATGACACTCTCGGGATCATTGGGATCTTTCACATCGGTAGTGATCCGACCTAAAGCGGCATTATCGTTGATACCCCATGAACGTACCCTACCCGCTTCGTCGATGGCCAAAGTGTGCATCCCACCACAAGCAACAGTTTCCAATCCACCCCCACTACTTCCACTCCGCGCCAAGTGCCCATCCTCGATTTGTTCTTCGAACCTAACAATTAGCTTGTTGTTGGTTTCAACACCGAGTGACATACCAAGTATGCAATTTTGGTCTAGAAATTTCGTCCAACTCATCGGGGCCTAAACCGAACTGACCCATATCACCTGTTCCGAAGATGAACAAAGCTTTGTGAGGGTTCGAAATAGCTGTACTGTCAGCGCGACTGAGTATGAGAATATGGTATTGTGACTCACGAGGAATGGGAGGAACCTCGTTGATCTGCGCTGTGCTCAAACTCGATTTACGTCTCAACTTCGTCGTTTCTCCTTTGAGCTCGGCCACTCGTCCTCGTTTGGCAGGCGGTTCGCTAGTTCCTTTCCCAAACAACGTTGGAGTAGCTTTTGATGCGGTTCTAGAAGCAGGCTTGGTCTTCGAGACGTTACCATTGACATGACCGTTGGGTTTGTCAGAGTTCCCCTCGGTCATATCAACATCGTCCGTAGCTTTCTCGAGTATGACAGCGGGAGGAGTCTGACTGGATTTCTTCCCATTGGCAATTGGTTTTGTTGACACAGGAGGCTTTGAAGCAGCTCGAGTGGAAGCTGGTTTCGTTTTGACATACGGGGCCGACGTTGTGGCCGTGGATTTTCCTAAGACTAGTCAGCATGTCATCCAACTTTGTTGTGGAAGAAGCCTCACGGGTAGGTGGCATAGTGGCGATGAGACGGGAAAAGGACCCAAGGGGGAGGCTGCAGCTGCGAGGGGTGTTGCGATAATGCTTGGATATTTATATTGTATTATATGGTCGTTACGTGGTTATGTCGTCTTTCCTAGTTAATGCCAGCGTTTCTTTACTGCCAATTAGGTCTTGGAAGATTCACCCAAGTGTCGTCCTTTTTTCAACGTCTTCTTTGTTAGTGCTCAATTTTTGGAAAAGTTGTCTTTCACCCGTCGAGATAGATTACGTAATCGAAACCTCTGAGCGCGTGTTTTTTCTTTTTCTTTCCCCTTTTGGTGCGTAAAGGTGACGCGTACTTTGCAACTCTCCCTTCGCCCCACACTCACACTCTTCCTATACTACTTGTACGGCTGACTGTACATCACTTACCCCGACCCCATGCTTGCTCTACATCAACCCTGTCACATTCATCTGCTGTGACTTGTAGTCATACAGTAGTCACTCCCTCGGTCTTACTAGTCATCGCTGCAATCACCCTCCCCCCCACGCACCGCGTCTCAAAGCGGTCATACAGTAGTCATGGCCATCGCATCGCCCTCCGACTTTCCCCCTACTTCTTCCTCTCACTCGTATCGCCCCCTTCCCAGCAGCGCTGGCGCTTCAAGGTCTCCCAAACGGGTGAAGTCTACTCCCTCACCCGCTTCCGGACCATATCGCTCCATTCACAACCTGCCAAGATCGCGAAGTCGACATAGCAGACAGAGACGGCCTGATGATGTGGTGGCAGAGACATCAACAAGACATGTAGTGACGAGTCCGTGTAGAGGTCCCGACTCGTCCAACTCACCATGGCCAGCTGGCACAGCCGTACAGCGTCGGAGAGAGATGTCAGTACCTCTTGTGAGTAACATTTCTGGACTGCTCTCTATCTCTTCCCTCATACTTGTAAAATCGCTGACGATGCTCTCACAGCTCTCTCATACACTTTCATCCTTCTCTCTATCTCAAACCTCCACACCTATCATGTCCACCACCCAGGCAACTCAAGTCACCCCTCAATCCACCCGGTACTCTCCAAGATCAGCTAGATCAGCCAGACCCGACGTGTCCGCCTTCACTCCTCGTCGACCTACCAAGTTTACACCCCGAGCCGTCTCGCCGTCTTCGAACACCACCTCATACGTTCATCCTGCTACTGCACCTCTTCCACACATCTCAGCTTTCCTCGGAAGTCCCTTTTCGAGCAAGGATCCCAGGGGAGGTCTCATCTATGAGAGCGTCTCTCCCTCCTACGGGCGAGTAGCCAATACCGATAGACTTCCGCACCACCACCTTCCTCAACATAACTTCGACTGGCTGGACGATTCCGAGTATATAGACGAGAATGAACCTCAACCCATCGCGGAATTAAGCCAAAGACGACGTAATGGATCTGGTTCCATCTCATCAATGGACGACAGTAACAGTGGTGCTAGCTCGGCATCCCTCAGGTCCTTGGGTCGGAGCTCGATGGAAGGAGCAGTGCGACCTAGTATCGTCACCATCTGCGAAGGTTTCAACGAAGATGAATATCACGACGATGATGAGGACCCATCAACACCCTGTCGTACCCTCTTCTCCGGTACTGCTGTGGAGGATGCACTACCGTCGTCATCAAGAACAGCATGCCGTAGTCCTAGACTGTCACCGTTGATGTTCAAACGTGCTACTTCAAAGACCCCCGTACCCCAGCAAATGTCTCCATTACAAAACTTCTTCTCATCGCGGACACCCTCCAAAAACAATATACGAGATGAATCGCCATCCACCGGTCGCAAGTCGCCCCTGTCCAGCTTCATTCCCCGTCTACTGTCCTCAAAGAAAAACAAACAAACAACTCCGACGCCCATCACTTCTCATCAAACTACCCCAGCGACGTTACACCCAACTACCACCCCTATTAGAGCGACCACGACAAGCAAGATCCGGTTCGCGCATGAGGGCACTGATGGAGGCATGGTCGGTTTGGGTATCAATCCCTCCGGTCGTCAACAACATGGACCATCGCCGGTATTCAAACGGCCCGCCGTCAAGCTCACCCCTCGCGCACAAATGAGCGACTCCGGCAGTGAGACTGAAATCTCTCCATCTCGCCCACTCTCTGCTCGAACGTCCCTTGCAAGGTCGACGGAACGATCCTCCGGTCCTTCTGATCAAAGTATCCAAGGTCATCCCATGAACAGACGCAAGACCATGGTGGGTAGACTACAAGGAAAGACGTCTCCATTGAAACCGGTCAATGACTTTCGTACTGTAGGATCATCAGGACGACCTTTCTTTCGCCGTGGTCTTACCGACCCTCATCCTCCAGCTACACATGGGACCCCAAACGTTACCCACCTTTTCGCGGACCATCACTTCCAAACGCCCCCAGCTATGTTCAACGACATCAAGCCGTCTCCTGCTGCGTTTGCTTCGACCGGTTTGGTAAAGAAGAAGTCAGGAGTGAACCCATTGGTGATACCAAAATTTGACACCGACATGCGTTCTATCACTCAGTCACGTTCAGCTGCCCAAATATCGCCAACAGTGCCCACAAGGACCAACTCTCCAGGCAGTCCGCTATCACCTCTCAAATCAACTCGTCCCGGCTTTGCGATCCCCTCTCTTCCCTCTTCAGGGCGATCAGTATTGACTTCTACATCAAGCCAAGGAGATTTGCTAGTTCATGCGGGTCAAAAGAGTCGAGGGCTGCGCCGCAAAGGTAGCCAGATGTTTACGAGCGGATCGGTCAGCAGTATCGGGGATTCTACTCGTCTCTCTCCCGTGGCATCACCTGCCACTCCTATCAAAGGTCTGGCCACCAAGCCGAGTCTGTCAAAAGGATTCTCGACAGTGACCACACCTTCCCCGTCCACATCTCCCTTCAACTATCCCTTCGCCTCCGTCCCAAACACCGTCTGCACTCCTCCGCCCAGCTCGCAGGGTTGGCCAGAATCGGTAGAGAAAACCCGACCCCTTAGGATACGGCAGCTCAGTTCTGCTGCTGAATATGCAGAGGGGACGAGTCATGGACGTGGACCAGTGGCGAGAGCCTCTAACCCTATGTTAGCAGCGACGTTCAAAGCCGACGGATTGAGTATGGGATCCGATTCGAACACTCGGCCGACGTTCATGTTGAACGGAAAAGAGGTGCCCATTCCATGGACCGATCGTTTGAACCAGGAATACACGGTGATGCAGTGTCTCGGAAGTGGGGCGTTCAGTAAAGTGTGGAAAGTCAAAGATAAGAAGGAAGGCAAGTTGTGGGCTGTCAAAGCTGGGAAGGTATACACTGGTGCAAAAAATCGGTAAGTTATATTCCATATCACAAAGATCCTCAAAATTCGTTTAGTTACTATGCTGATGTTGTGTAGATTACGACAGCTAGAAGAAGTTTCCATTCTCCGACAATTATCTCTCAACCCTCATCCTTCTGTCATTCAATTTGTCGATTCATGGGAACAACATTCCAGATTGTATCTTCGTACCGAGCTATTACCATGTGGTGATCTTGCTCGTTTCCTCGCTGCTTTAGGTGATGTTGGTGGTCTTGGTGAAGTCCGAGTGTGGAAAAGTTTAGTGGAACTTTCCAACGGGTTAAAACATATTCATTCTCATAACATTCTTCATTTAGATTTAAAACCTTCCAATATTCTCATTGCTTCGGATGGTAGTCTTCGAATTGCAGATTTTGGCATGTCCGTCTTGTCACGTTCAGATGGTATGGCGGAAGGTATGAGTCCCGCTTTACCTCAAACAGGTTTAGACGGTGGTTTCACATGGACAGACGAGATGGATGGTGGGGAAGGTGGATTCAAAATGGTTCCTAGTCCTTTATTGGATAGAGAGGTGGAAGGTGATAGAGAATATTTATGTCCTGAAGCTTTGAAAGATGGAAAGTTGGGAAGAGCTGCAGATATTTATTCTTTGGGTATATTGTTATTGGAAGCTGCTGTGAATGTTGTTCTTCCTTCGAGTGAGTGTTTCCTTTTGCATCCCTCTCTTCTGTCATACAAGCCCTCCATCCTGATTTTCGTCAAGCTTCATCTGACATGTTATTCTGTTTTTTTTTCCATCTGTCATTCCTTCTTTCTCCCTCTCTTGAGTTTATGATGGAAGTGGGACATGATGAAAAGATCCATACTGATAGATAGATGGAGAAAGTTGGGTCAAACTTCGTTCAGACGATTTCACAGATTTGTCAGAACATTATCATCTTCGTACCCCCTCTTCATGCCTTACAACTGAAAACCATCTGGTAACCCCTATCAAAAATTCGAAAAATCTCACCACTCCATCCAAAGCAATCATCAAGACGATAGAAGATTCTACCATACCCATCATTTCATCTCAGCTATTGGATTTGATCAAGGGTCTGATGAAGTCCGATCCTATTCGACGTATCACATTGGAGGATATGAGTGCTTTATCTGTATTTAAGAAAACAACGGAACTCATGTCCCCTTTGAACAGACCGGACCAACTTACCAAACCCCTAGCTAAGCAGGATGAGGGTGTTATCGCTGCTCGCAAGTCGGGGGAGAATGCGGTAGATGCGGGAAATGGGATGGACAAAAAGAGACAGATGACTGGGAAGGCTTTGGTAGAGGAATCAACGTGGGTGTTGGAGTATATTCTCGCTGGTGGCGAATAAAGTATGACCAATTAAGATGATGAAGGCTAGATGATTGTCATGAAAGGGAGAAGCACAGATAAAGGGGAATGGTTAGGTTGGAACATAAATAGAAAGAGAAAGAAAAGAGGAGAGTGGTGAAAGTAGACCGAGTCGAAGGGAAAACAAACAATCAAGTCATTTATCATACAAGATACGTAGATTATGCCCATATGCACAAATATATCATCATTACGTCCGATTGAAATGGCCGACAAAAGAGGAAAATTGAGCGTAAGATGACCAATGATTCATACTCTTACAAATAAATGAAATAAAAACGCTAATGACGTATCTATCAGAGTTCAACTCGACAGTTCCATTCTATCCTTTCTTTTTTTTTCTAATGTGATTTTCATTTTTGTTACTTGTTCGGAAACGTATCAGTTATCTAGACCAATCCATCGTACAGGGATAAAGCCTGATGATCAGCATTGACTAGCTTTCAACAGAGATAGCGGTTTTATAGGTAATGGAAAAACGATATGACGTTGTTGACGAGAGAAAACGAGTTAACTCAAAGAGGTATGTTTGAAGAGTGAGAGTACAAGGGCCACAAAGGTGAAACAAGAGATCAGAACGGGTAAGAGTGACGTGTTGAATGGGATGAAGACATACTTGAACAATTGTAGGATCTTGTTTTGAACCTTCTTTGAATTCCTCAAATGTCAATTTTTCATCATTGTTCTTATCCATATTCCGGAATATTTTATCGACTCGCTATTCATCAGCTGGACGTTCCATCATACCATCTTGCTTCTATATGAGAGTACCTCTTGAGATGGTTTGACCGAACATAAAGAATAAAACGTGACATCAAACAGTCGTAGGATTTGAGCAAAAAGAAAATAGTGAGACGGGAAGAAGAGGCGCAAGGATGAATGATCACTTGTCCCAACATGGAATATAGGACGAGATGAAGATATGGAGACAAGAAGACACGGAAATGATAGAGAGTCGTGTTTCAAAGAAGAGCAGGGGACAACAAGGGGATAGAGGAGGAGATTAGGGGATAGGAAGATAACAGAAGGGAAAGTAGGGAAAATTGATGACTCACTTTTTCTGGAGTATCTTCATCTTCCGGTAATCTGACCATTTGACCAGTCATCTTATATATACTCTGTACAATGGCCAACATCTCTCCATATGTGATGTAACCATCTCTGTCAATATCATATAATTGGAACGCCCCTATTTGTCAGGAATACATTTTCACATTTTTTGCACGGTTCCGCTAAAAGGGGGGGAAACACTTGTCTGACTCGAAACCACGCAGGACTGGGAAAATTTGCATGGTGAAGGTGACAGTGAGCTTTAGCGGATGGAATCAGACCAGAGAGAGAGTAGAGAAGATAGGGGAAGAGAAAGTCAAAGAAGAGAACTGAAATGATGTGGAGGAGAGTGATAAATTGCAAGAAGGACCAACATCTCAATTTTTCATCTAGTCGTCCGCGTGAAGTGACAGAAAGGGCACAGATGAATTCTTTGAACTCTATAGTACCTGATTTATCTTCGTCAAATACCTAAGCGTCAGTTCGACGATCATTCGCAAAATGAGACAAAAAGCAGCAACACATGTCGATTTTCATTGACGATGGCTCGAAGAGATCGTTTGATACTGACGACGCCGAACATTGCGACAAGAGGTGAATGGTATTGGTGGTGGTTTGGTGTGTGGGTTTTTGGAGGAGGCTGGTTTAGAATTTGAGGGGAGAAAGAGGAGAAGAACCCACATTGAAGACGTAATCTGCGAATTGAGATGGATCGCCAAAAGGGAAGAATTGTCGATATATCTTTTTAAACTCTATTTTTGTCAGCTTAGTCTCGTCTCAAGGATCCAACTGACCTTCTTTGTTCAATTGGCCATTAGGACAATCTTTAAGAAACCCTTTGTGCTGTCTGTCAGCTTGACCGAGGGAATCCATAAAGCACGTTTGTGATGCAGCCATTGATTCATACCCTCTGTAGCGATGACGACGAGGCCGTATTCAATCGGTACTTCAAACGTTGCGGGCAGACCTCAGGACATTTGGACTGTGGATGGTGAAATGAGGGCTGGTGTAGTGAATGTGAAAGAACAATCATCAAGAGACTAGACGGGCGAGGAAGAAAAAAAGACAAACCCATTGTTGTAATTCTTTCTTGTCAACTGTACATCAGTTCAGTCTCGCAGTATCAAACATGATTCATTATCTGTGAATTTCTGCCTTCGCCTCGGTCTGCAGAACTGAACGATACATGACACTTCAAGCTGTAAAGTCGGTGGTGCTGGGTGATAGGAAGTGATGAGAGGTGGCAACATTGTGAGAGAACTGGAGTGACAAGGTAGAGAGAGCCGGTTTTCGAAACGTCCCGCGAAACTTGTACTTGAAAGACCACAGGGTAACTGGATGGTGTAGGGAATGATATCACAGAAAGTGGGGGAGAAGAATTTGACAAGCAACAACTCACAATAAGTATTCTTCTGCAATTCCGCCAACTCATCGGCAGTCAACTTGCTCTGTGATTTCCCCATCTTTATCAATCCCACTCAACCTGAACTAAACTTCCAAGAGGATAACCTTGTTCTCTTCTTGGCTAGAAAAATTACTCAGTTCTTCAAAATCTTGCGTCCCTTGTTTCTTCCCGATGTTTCCCACTGATCTTATCTTTTCAACTTCACCAGACTACTTCTTGATTCTTCAAATTATCCCTCTGTCTCGTGCGTTGCTTTATGCCGGGGGATGTCTGACTAAAGTATGGACGAATGTGTCTCAATGCAATCTAGTTCACCGATCCAGTCACAATGAAGTATAGCACAGCTTTTTATACTCGACTTTAATCGATTGAATGATCGTTTAGTTTTACTGTGAAGTATATCTGCTGACAAGACGGAATATATGTTTGAGGTAATCGCAAAGGGGTCTCTCTTTGATTACTCGGATGCGAGAGGGTGTGTGTGTGAAGATGAAGAATGTTGTTGAGCAAAAGATATGAGTATCTTTCAGGGATGGAGGGGTGACGAATATGATATGAATGATGTCTAATCTTGTCGATGGTTTGAATTTGGATGAATCCTCAAATTGTCAAGTTGTCGATGAAGATGATAAGATGACACGTGTAGATTCCCAACTCTTCTATCAAAATTGACGATCACCCAAATCAAGTGTACTTAGTTGATATCAGAACGTTGTGATCCGATGCTTGAATCCTATCTTCCTTCTGTGATGCCGATAAGTCGGTGCTCGCTGTGCTAGATGATTGAAACGTGAATGACGTGACAATTCGGACTTATAGAGGCGATGTTTTAGAATGATTTATGCCAAGAATCGTATAACGTCGCGCACCGCTTTTCTTGGGTGCGGAACTACACGAGGTTGAAATCGTATGATTCAACTCTAAGTGATAGTCTTGATATCTTCGATAGGCCAGATGAAGGATAATTCGTTGTCCACTGTTCACTGACGTACTGGGGAAGTGGGTTGGTGGAATGGTCAAATTTTGTGGTTGATCGGTGAGGGGGATATCCGGCTTCAGGTGAGGAGAGAAAGACGAAAGGAAGTTATTTGGACGTGGCTTGAGGGGATGTCACTTGAAAGGAAGTCAAAGAGTCAAATCAAGGGTTGAGAGGGTTTGTAGGATGACTATGAGCTTTGAGATGTTCTTGAAAAGATGGATATGAGGTCGAAAGTAGATAGTAGAGGTGGTTAAAGTGGAGTAAGGCTGCGTGGGTCCAGGCCTAGAATCCTAATACAGCTATAAATCCCGGTCCGATTTCCGTGATGCTATTCGAGTACTTGTACAGTTATTGTCTATCGCAGTGCGCAGTTGACACTTGGGAAAGATGACACGAGGTGAGTGTGAGTGTAAGCACAAAGATCGGGGTGGATAACAAGTGATTTGATGAGTTTGATCAAGAACAAGGACCGTAGGCCTTGGACCGCATCAGTCGGAAAGAAATGACGCAGTCATCCTTGGCATCAACTCATATACCAGTAAATACTTATAGTGCTCAACATGTCACTAGATCACTAGTAAACTCACATGCACATGTTTCTACACATGCATCATTAGATCACAATCTTTGGATCATACCAAACCCCACCCCAACCTCACATCCTCTCGATAGGTGTCAAACTTAACAACCTCATGGCGTAGGCCAAAACCTCCCTCGTTCGAAGATACAAAAATAATCTCGCTTTTGCCTCTTCTTCCTCCGCTCCACTAACTTTGACACTTTCCCATGCCGCTCCTACCAAATGAGAGATCTTGAAACACCAATGAACCAACGTGCTAGGTTCGTTATTCGTATATGCCGTTCGGAGAGTGGTCGGGAAGATGGATAGATGATAGATCATATCGTATATTTTGGGGTCGGATAAGATGGATATATCGATATCATCTGATGATGATGCGATTGGAACGTTTGGGTTTTTACGTTGGACTGAACAAAGACGAACGTGCGAATATTGAATAAAAGGTCCGAAATCTCCTTCGAATGAGGTGCAACGTTGCATGTTGAACGTGTAGTCGTTGACTCTAGTCAGTTAGCTTGATTGTTTGTAATCGATCAAGTTGATAACATGTGATAGGGCCAGAACAGCTGAGCCATATGACCTTTCAAGCTATCTCACGAGGAGATGATAATGTACGAATAACAAGAAAAAAGGTAGAGGAAGGTGAATGAAGACCACACTGAATAACTCACCTCTTCCCAGACAAATCTTGTATCTTCACAGCAGTCTGTCCAATAATCGCCGAAGTCGTTTCTGGATCCTCGATCTGTCTATACTTCTCCTCATTACTTCTCATCTGCTCATGCATCACCTCCTTCGCTTCTTCCAAGATATCATCTAGGAACACAACAGTCCCTTTCCTGGTGCTCATCCCATTCACCATCCCAAAGCTCACATGCTCGAACACTCCTTCCTTGTAATAAGGCTCTTCCATCAATTCCAAAGTCTTGTACAATTGTCGGAAATGGAGTGATTGAGCAGCTTGAACAACGTAAATGTGTTTGTCGAAATGATACTTTTCGTATTTGTCATAAGCACCTCCTAGGTCACGAGTGAGATAAATGGTCGTTCCGTCTGCTTTACGAATAATGGCTCTGTCCATTTTCCATTCCATCAAATCAACCAGGAGAGCACCTCTGTCTTCGCAAGTCAATTTCTTCTCGAGGCAAATGTCGATGGCACGTTGCATAGACTCTTTCCGGACTTGCGATTCACCCCAATATTCGTCAAAATGGATGTTGAGTTTGTCGTAGACGCCTACCAAGGCTTCGATGGAGAGATCTCTGAATCGAGACCATTGTGCGATAGCTTTGGGTTCGCCTGAAAGTTAGTTCATATCTACCCTGGCCAAAATTGGAGGGCAGAGAGGAGTAAGGATGACTGACCGTCTTCCATATCTTTGAATACTTTTTTCGCTAGCGCATGGACGGTGGTCTCCGAGTCTATCTCCTCACCGGCGTTATATCGAGCCTTCTCCGCCGCGTCATCCTCGTTGATCTTGACGTACACCTGGGCATAAGTTTGATCACTCAAGACATTTACCATGCTCCCATGATCAGGCTTGAAGATAGCCATTCGAGGCGAGACGGATGGAGGGTTACTTGCGACGGGCAAAAGACAAATGTACGAGAGAGACAGATGCGGTATGTACTCTCACCTTGAACAAATGCTTTATAGGGTCCTTGACCAGCTCCTCCTCACTCCCATACCGATCAAAACCGATTGACAATTTCCCATACTGAGTACCCCAATCACCCAAGTAGTTGATCCGCTTCACCTTCCAACCAAACGCTTCGTGCATGTTGGAGATGACGGCACCTATAATGGTAGATCTAAGATGACCGGCATGGAAGGGTTTGGCAATGTTTGGAGAGGAGAAATCGATGACCATGAGTTTCCCTTCGTTCTCGTTGACGGCACCGTATGGAAGGGTAGGGTTGGAGGGTTCTTGACGAGCAGCGAGGGAACAGAGTTGGATTTGACGGAGGACATGGTAAGTGAAAGATTCTTTGCTGAGACATGAGCGGAGGTTACGACATTGCTCGTTGCAATCGTGGACACAGGTTGGGATAGCAAAGAAGGGGGGAAGAATGACTAAGTATGACTTTGGTGGACAAGCTATGATTAGGACACGGTATAAAGGTTAAACTCACTTGAAAGTAAACGCCAAAAATGGCTTTTCGAAAGACACCTTTGAGAGGTAATTCGAAGGTTGAAACGCTTCCAGAACCTTTGCGGCCCATTCATCCGGTTTACCTTTTTTGAACCGAGGGATAGCTACAGCCAAATCTGCACCTTTCTTCCCTGTATTGTCAGTCTACTTATGACACTGTAAATACGACCTTTCATGCTCTTTTACGATAATATTGTAATGACAGAAATTTTGTAGAGCGGAGGAAAGGAAGAAATTCTCACTCACCCACATCACATCCTTCGAAGATTTTCGCAGGGTCTTCCCCCCATGCTTCAGCTATCAAACTCGCAGCAGCGAGTCGAAATGCGTCCAGAATTTGTCGCTGTGGGTTGGCAGCGGGTATGGAAGGGAGTTGCGGAAGTTGGTATTTTGAAGAGGTGGGTATGTGACTGCTGGTCACTATGGGAGGAGCGACAGACGTCATGGTGTATCTTCTGCTGAAAGATGTGAATGAGGGATGGAATTGAGGTATGAAGGAATGAAGCAGGAGAGGTCGAAAGGAGGGTCGAATGTAGGTCGAGAGAAAGGCGAGTCGACTGGTTGGGAGCAATGATCGCGCTGGGTAAAGCGTTAGTGATAGTATGATTACGATTTTGAAGTTTTTAAATGGGAGCAGCACTCCTCTGCCCTTGTTTTGTTCAGCCGGTGGCGTGTAATGAGGATGGTGACTGGCAACGTTGGTTCGTACTGTGGACCGTAGGAAACCAAGGAGAGTCGGTTGTCAAAATTCCATCCTACCTTGTGAGCCTGACAATTGGTCGAGGGGTGAGTGAGACTGGCAATGGAGACGACCACCTTATCCACCGTGGGAGAAAGTCGGAACAGCCCGCCATGATTACCCGATGCGTCTGCTTCCGTCGCCGGCGGGATCGTCCTTCCCTGCTCAGCCTCCGTCCCTCTCTCCGCCCCTTCCTCCCCTCTGCCCTCGTATCTCCTCCGGATCCTCCGGTTATACCAACATCCCTCTCGTGGCTGGTAGGACAAAGTAGGAGGACCATAGCGCTGTTATAGACGGCGAGATGGCCGGTACAAACCGTTATGCATCAAACATACTTTATTCTGTGGAAGGAACGAGAACTTGCTGAACCCTTCCCTTCATTGTCTATACTACTGTGTAGAAGATTGTAGAGAGTTGTAGTAGTTTCAGGCGTCATGACCGAGCTTCGCTTGACGAGTCGTTTTTGCCAATTGGGCGTTAGAAGATTACCGGGTTATGTATCTAACCGGGCGCCGAGTGTACCACGACTACTACTCCGACCCAACCCGTTCTCACCCTCCCAACACGTTCATATATCCACAACCAACGTCATCCCTTCACATCGTTTTCATTCAACTCATTCTCATTTCAACACAATGTCAATTCCAAAAGTTCAAACAGCCGCTATAGTCCCTGAACTAGGTGGTGACTTGACTATCAAGACGGATCATCCTGTTCCAACTATCGATTCTCTCAAACCGGGAGAATGTCTGGTCAAGATTTCTCATACTGGGGTTTGTCATACAGATTTACACGCCAAGATGGGTGATTGGCCTGTTAAACCTATGGTACCTCTTATCGGAGGACACGAAGGTGTAGGTGAGATTGTTGGGATCGCACCTGGTACTGCCAATAGTCCTGTAAAGGTCGGTGATAGGGTTGGGATTAAATGGATGGCGGATAGTTGTCTCGATTGTGAATTCTGCAGGAAAGGTTTGGAAATGAGTGAGTCGCTAGTCTCGCATCGTTACCCCTTGTCATCACTATATGACAGACATTTCACATTCTACCGTCTTATCTCAATCCGATGATCATGACATTCCGATACAAGTATGGTAGATGCTCATCCCAGCCTGCCCCAAAGTCAAATACTCGGGTTACACAGTAGATGGTACTTTCTCGCAGTATGTAGTGTCGTAAGTCTTTCCTACCCCACCCCCACTTCACTCGGAGTTGACGTATAGGTTCGTTCATCACGTCACCCCGATCCCCGAGGGTATCGATTCGGCCGAAGCAGCATCTTTGCTCTGTGCTGGTGTAACGGTATAGTGAGTGATTTCCATTCCTCTTGTCCCTCACTACGTTCTCACCTATGCCTGTGTGTCTATCTGGATGTGCTGTACCACCTTTTTCACCTCCCTACCACCCCTCTTCCGCTCCTTCCACCCCTCCCACACTTCTTCCTACCTACCACACCCCCACCCTTCCCTCATATTCTCCTATACCCCCACCCACCCACAAGTGTGCGACAAACCCATCATAGTCCAATGCGGCCTTTGTCGTGAGGACATGCGAGTGGTCAATCTCTGGATAGGTTCGATGCATACTGACCCCACAGTAAAGCACTCAAGCAATCCAACACCATCGTAGGCAACTACGTCGCTATCCCCGGTGCTGGTGGTGGTCTCGGTCATCTCGCCGTCCAATATGCCGTTGCTATGGGTTTACGTGTCATCGCTATTGACACAGGGAAAGATAAAAAGGATTTGTCTTTGAGCTTGGGAGCGGAGACGTTTATCGATTTCAAAGAAGAGAAGGGTGAGTTCTCTTTACACAGCTGAACGTACCTCTTCTCCCCTTTACCCTCTTCCCTCTGATTTTGGTCAACGGCCTATTCCTGATTCCTCCTATGATACATTCATCCATCCATATCTCTGCTCCTCCCACACGTCGTCGAATGTCCCTCCTTCCTACCTTGGAGAACAAGAGTTCCGGCATTGTTTTATGCCCAACAACAAGTTTCTCCTTTCCTGACTCGTGAATCAACAGTCACAGCATTAGAACAACCCTGACCATCAGACATCGTCGGAGCTATCAAATCATCTTCCGAAGGACTAGGTCCTCACGCAGCCATAGTAGCTTCCGCTTCTGCCGGAGCGTACAAACAAGCTATCGATTACCTTCGACCTGGTGGCACACTCGTCTGTGTCGGAATGCCAGACGCAGATATCGGTATAAACGCTTTCTGGTGTGTTTTCAAAGCTATTCGTGTACAAGGTAGTTATGTTGGAAATCGTCAAGATGCTGTTGAAGCTTTGGAAATGGGAGCTGCTGGTAAAGTCAAGGTACATTATCAGTTGAGGGAATTGGAAGATTTGAAACAGTCAGTAAAACTATCGTTTATCTATCATTTCGTCATTTCTATCCTTCTTTCTTCCCCTCCATGCTCTCCATACCTCCTGAGCCCTCATCTTTCTTCGCTCCTTGTTTCTTCATTTGTCCCCTGTTTCCCATGTTGTTGTTCCTTCATAGGAGAGGTGATTTTCGTACAATGTGTATAGACCAAGCTGACAAAGAAAAGAACTTACGAAGATCTCGAAGCTGGTAAAATCGCCGGTCGTATCGTGTTGAAAGTCTCGTAAACTTCCAATGTCTCGTTATGAGGACAAAGGTTCAGTCCCGAGTTAGTTCTCAAGTTTTTGTTCGTAGGGATTGTTCCATCTAGTTTGGTATAGCAGGGTAAGAATATGAATTGTGAATAGATCAGATCAGCTCATCTCTCTTTATGCTTATTGACTAAATTTTACATGATGAGTTTTGTGCATGTTCATTGCCGTTGAGGCTATGTTTTTCTTTTGTACAAATGTTGAATGTTTTCCTTCCATATCTTTCGTGCCGTTTATACCTGCTTCACCTTCTGCACAATTTTCCTTCTCTCCTTCATGTTCGCACCTGAGACCGCTTTTTAACCTTGACACCTTGCTTCCATATCATTCCCCATTCACCACCATCACACTCTCATCATTGACATGTTTCTCACCTACATCCTTTCTCGCCTGCACATGGTTCGTCGTCCTCTTTCCAAGTACCACATGGAGTCAAGCATCCCCACATACCCGCACTCCGTACCCCAACACCTCCTCCCCCTTTTACCACATATCCCTTCCATACGAAAACCTCATCTTTCCTTTGAGTATGTGTAACCATTGTAATTATACCTATTCAAAACAACCCTTCAACTTCCCCAGTATCAACATTCAAATCAATATCATAAAACCCAGGTCTGGTAGTTAAACCAGGCATAGTACTCATATCCCCAACTAAAGGATAAACGAAACTTGCTCCAGCACTTAACTTGACATTCGTTATAGGTAAAACGAAACCTTCCGGGACTCCTTTTTTGTTCGGATCATCACTTAAACTCAAAGCTGTTTTAGCCATACAAATCGGTAATCCTCCATAACCTTGAGAAGTATATTTATCCACATTTTCTTTTGCCATTGGTGATAAAGAAATCGAAGATGCTCCGTACATTTCTTTAGCTATGATTGTGATTTTTTCGATTAAAGAAAGAGATAAAGGGTAAAGGAATCGGAATGAAGAAGGTGTTGAACATGCTTCTATCACTGCTTGAGCTAGTTTTGATGCTCCTGGTCCACCGTATGACCAATGAGAGGAAGGAACGGCGTGATCTGCTCCTACGGATAGAGCGTAAGATTGGATGAGAGAGATTTCGGCGTCGGTATCGTTTCTACTTGTCAGAATGTATGAAGCAGCAAAGTTCCATGTTGGGTGTATCATGTTATTTTTTAGGATAGTTTCCGAAGGCGAGAGCGAGTCAGAGGAGGGAGAGAGTGTCGACTTAGCTAGGCTCGGATGAGAGGACATCTAGGTGTGACGTCGATAGAGGATGGGGGTAGTGAGGGATGGAAAAATGAAGTAGAATATGATGATAAAGGTAGAGATCTAGATGATACGTAGAGATACTGGGAAAGAGATAAGGAAGGGGTATATTGAGAAGGAAGAAGGGTTGAATAACTCACGAAAACTTATTGATAGCTACCACAACCTTCAATCCGAACTTCTTTGCATTCTCAATATGTTTCCCCAAATTCCCACAACCTTTCCTTAACAAATCCAAATCTTCTTTTGTATAAACCGCGTCTAAAGGTTTACCAGGTGTAACGATCGGACCTCCTCCGTGCATTTTCAAAGCCCTAACAGTAGCTACCAAAACCACAGCGTTAGGCAACAAACCACTGACTCTACATTTTATATTACAGAATTTCTCCATTCCTATATCCGCACCGAACCCAGCTTCAGTGACCACATATCCTTGTCTTTCATCTCCATCGCCTTCTTCCGTTCCTGCCAATTTGAGAGCGATCCTATCGGCTATAATGGAAGAATTACCATGTGCGATATTTGCGAAAGGTCCAGCATGTACGAAAACTGGTGTACCTTCTAAAGTTTGCATCAAAGTAGGTTTGATTGAATCTTTCATTAAAACCGTCATCGCACCAGCACAACCTATATCTTCTGCTGTTATAGGTTCACCAGATTTTGAAGTTGCAACTACCATTCGACCTAATCTTGTACGCATATCGGAAAGATCTTTTGAAAGAGCTAAAACTGCCATACATTCAGAAGCGACAGAAATGTCGAATGCAGTTTGTCTTGTAGAACCTTTTTCTGTTGGTGCTTGACCTATTGTTATAGAACGGAGATATCGATCGTTTGTATCAACCACTCTATTCCAAGTTATCGTTTCTGGATCCATATCAAGTCTAGCGAATCTTGAAATTTCTTCATCTGTTAAATCGTCCGGATTGGTTTTGTCTATACCTAGTTTCTTCAATCTTGCAATCATAGGTTTTGCAAAAGTTCTAATTCCTTTTTTAGATGGACAAAGTCGATTGAATAAAGCTTTATCGGTTTGAGTAGATTCGTGAAACATACGTGCGTCTATAGCGGCAGCTAATAAATTATTAGCTGCTGAAACGGCATGAATATCTCCTGTGAGATGTAAATTGAATTCTGTCATAGGAATAACTTGAGAATATCCTCCTCCCGCAGCTCCACCTTTAACACCGAATGTTGGACCTTGACTGGGTTGTCGAACACATGCAATTGCCGTTTTACCAAGATGAGCACATAAAGCTTGAGCTAATCCAATCGTAGTAGTCGATTTCCCTTCACCGAGAGGAGTAGGTGTGATACCCGCGACGACAATATATTTCCCATCTTTTCGATTTTTGAGACGTTCCAAAATACTCAACTCTACTTTGGCTTTATATTTCCCATAACTTTCCAACTCATCTGATTGTATACCCATCTCTGCTGCCAATTCTGCGACAGGTTTTGGAGTTTGAGCAGTAGCGATTTCGATATCACTCGGTACGTTTTCCTTGACGTCCAACGGTAGAGGGATAATCTTTCGTTCTCGATTGATACGCCAAGTACGTTTCGCAGCTTCGAAAGTATTGTTCATGAGCATCGCAACTGTCATCGGACCAACACCCCCTGGAACAGGTGTGATATAACTAGCGACTTGACTTGCAGATTCGAAATGAACATCACCGACTAAACGTTGACCTGACTTTTTGGTTGAATCAGGAACATAATTGATTCCCACATCGATAACTATACAACCTGGTTTCAGCCATTCTCCAAGGACGAACTCTGGTATACCAATGGCTGCAACTACCACATCTGCAGTTTTTACGATATCTCGTAAATTTTTAGTTTTTGAATGACATTGAGTTACTGTGGCATCTTTCTTTCGGAGTAAAGCAGCGACGGGAGTACCGACGATATCACTTCTACCCAAAACGACAGCTTGACTACCTCGAAGATCGAACTCTGTAGATTCGATAAGTTTTATAACTCCCGCTGGTGTACAAGGTGTGAAATATGGTTCGGAAAGACGGGAATTGAGTAAACCGATATTTTCAGGATGAAATCCATCGACATCTTTCAAAACGTTTACTGAATCAACAATGGATTTTTCTTCTTCTTTTGTAGTTCCCTCAAGAGGAAGTTGAACGAGGATACCAGAAACAGTTTCGTCCGCATTGGCTTTATGTACAAGTTCAGAGAGTTTCTTCACTCCTGTTCCTGTTGGAGAGGAAGATTCGAGATCGGAAGGAATAGAAATATGAGAAACGGTCATACCGCTTTCTTGAGCAGCTTTGAGTTTCATACGGATATAAGTGGAGGAGGCGGGACTGGAACCGAGTTGGAAGATTGTCAAGTGAGGAGGACGAAAACTTGGGTTGGCGGTGTGGAAAGAGGAGATGGATTCGGAGATGGAACTTCGAAGGGCTCTGAGTGTCAATGGGACTGGTGATGGAAAACATGACAAGTGTCTGAAGAGCAATGAAGTCAAGCGAGCGAGCGAATGAGAGAGGTCAGACGGGTCGGGTGTCACATAAGCAGGAAAGATATGTTCGCAAAGTCATTGCGCAGGATGGGGGTGATAGTGGACGGCAAGGAGCATAAGACATTCTCGTCTTCTCTTGGCCGGAGAGACAGTAAGACCACAATCATGGACTCACTTTGCGATCCCAGTTCCATCGATGACCTTGGCCTTGACCTCTTCATTCTCAACCCCATTTTTCAGAGCCATGGCGAGTCGCTTTTTCTTCTTGAAAGTCGAATAAGGAGAACAGCTGATACTAGTCCTTGGTGGTGTTATACCTCTCAAAGTCGGCGTTGTAAGTGCGTACGATGATCGTATAGCTGGTAGATAATTTAGAGAAAGACGATTTGGCTTGAGGAGATATGAAGTGATGGTGAGAAGCATGGAGGGTGGAATGAGACATCAGAAAAGCGGACAAAAGTCCGTCGGGGCAAATTTCACCCAAAAAGTACGTGATGAGGCGACTGACTTTTATCAAACGTTTACGCAGCATGCAGCATCATCGTAGATGGTGCAGATATGAGCTACAATGGCTATATCAAGTCTACCTGGGTGTACAGAAGTGATCAGTCAAGTCTTAAGTCCTTCTACGGCAATCTCGACAGATGTATCATCCACTTTCAATTCCAACGACGGAGCCAACTCCATAGGCACCTCCACAAAACCCACTCGCCGAGTCAACGTCCCTTGCATAAGACCAAAAAACACCGCCATGACCGTACAGGACATAATGATGACGTTGTAAGGCATCGAGAAGTCGGGTGTGGGTACGTCCAATAATAACCGAGAGGTATAGATCCTCTTTCGTCCAGACCACCGAGGGTCCACGTGTCCTACAGGTATGGATGAAGTGTCGGTTTGAGAGGAAGCATCCTCCCCTACAGCATCTAAGAGAGTAAGGATACCAGAAGGTATCTCACGACCTCTTTCCGCGTCAGGACGGTGTTCTGTATACTTGAGAGTGAGCTTGGTGAATGGTATTCGAAGGAAGAGCACCGAACGAGCAGGGACAGTGAGGTGAAAGTGAAGAGTTGTAGTCGATCCTCGAGGAGGGTAGGCGGGGTGGTACTCGAGATCTGTCAGAAGGTCCGCTGGTTGTTAGCAAGGGTTATCAGTCAGGGGCTCCGAAAAGGAGAGGGTTGGTGAAGAAGGGTATATCGGTGGGAAGACTCACGTCTTGCCTTAGACTCGTCCTCCGCATATAGAGATATCTCATGAAGCCACGGCTTGACCCACTGGGGCCAGAGTTCGCTGTAGATAGTTCGACGTTCAGTTTCGGCGTGGTTCTCAACACGGATCAAAAAAGTACCATCTTGCGCGACGAGATCCGTGGCCGTTCTTGAGACACTCATCGGCGGATTAGGGAATGTCCGCGCTACTCGTTAGACCACACGTACGATCACGGAGAACTCACGGTATTGGAATTCTCCTTCACCATCCCACGTGAAGGTGACGTCCTCTCCTGTTATAGTTGGGTCAAGTAAGTCCCATGCCATCACCTCTGTCAACTGCCCGTCCACCCATTCCCTGCGCACTTCACCACTCGGCTTGACTGACATTTTCTCTGGTGGTAGGATCAACCGCATGATCGAACTGTCCGCTTCGACAAAGGGTCTCGGTAGAGTTTTGTGAAACAGACGAGAGATGGAAAAAGCACGATCTCGTCTGCCTTTGACAGAAATGAGATCAACCACTCCTTCCCACCATCCTCTCCACTGGCCCTGCTGACCATCCATCGGCATGATGACTTCTATTCCTTCTGTCTTGAATCCCCAAGAGAATATGATACCGGGTTGGGCGAGTAAAGAAGAAAGTCCTGATAGACCTTTTGAAGGAAGGAGAGAGAGAAAGGGGGTGAGATTCTCAGTGCAAAGTGTCTCGGTGGGTCGGGGGAGGAAGAAATGAGTGTAGTCTATGGGTTAGTTCGTGGGTCCGTCATCTTAGACACCATATCTAACTCACTTCTCAGTTTACTGTGTGATGGGAAAATAGCACCGAAAGTCCCTGCCATCTCACCCTCTTCACTCGGCCCAAGCCCTGCACAGAACAGACCTCCAAGGGCATGAGTTATCGCTGTCCTCCGTCTATCATTCCTGTTGATCAGCTTTTGCCTCCCAGAATCAGACCCAGCTAACTCTTCCATGCTTCCATAGTCTTTGATCCATCCTCTGACCTCACCTCCGCCTCCACCAGCGTCATAAGCCAGCGGCCCTGCCTGACCCGACCGACGTCTGTCCCATTGACCGGAAGTGAACGAGACGGTGAGCTCGGCAACGTCGTTCTGCCCTAGCGGTAGTAGTAATGATGGAGGAGTTAGGCTATGATGTGACCGAGCTGTTTTCGATTAGCCACTGCTGGTGACAAACAGGTAGAAACTCACTCAGTTCTGAAGAGAGGAATGGGGAGGAAAAGTGGGTGGTGAATTCGAATAGGACGGAAAGCTTTCCGTCGGGCAGCGGGTGAAGGGTGAGGGATTCATGAAAAGCATCAGGCGGCACATCTTGATGCCCACTACAGCGTACTCGAGTGGGAGTGATGAGCGTGAGTATGAGAGAGCTGAGGAGCATAGTTGCATAGTAGATTGGTCGAAAGCGTGGTCCGGTCTGAACGTCCTCCACCTAAGATGCTACATTTATTATTTTCTTATATTTCCTTGCATTTAATCCCGCTCAGAGAGGACGTGCACCAAAGTTCAGTCCGACCACCAAGTCCACCTTACTTCTCTATACTCTACATCTACCATAGTCACACATCATGGCAGCCCCTAATCCCGCTCCAGGTAGGGGCATATCTGATTCTAAATTTTCAGACAAGGTATGATTTCTCCCTCCTCTCCCCTTGCTCACACTTACTGATGGAATGCAGGGAAAGTCGACAGAAGTTCGGTTGTCAAATATGAACGCTGCCAAGGGTTTGTCATCCCACTTGATCCTGCTCATTGTGCTGATGTTGTCCAAGCCGTGTCTGACGCTGTGAGGACCAGTCTGGGACCAAAGGGGATGGACAAAATGGTGAGCTATGGAATTGTGATGACATTCAGAGCTGACAATTGTAGATCCAAACGTCCACCGGAGAGGTGGTCATCACTAATGACGGTGCGACGATATTGAAGCATATGGCTGTCCTTCATCCTGCTGCAAGAATGGTCAGTGATTATCTCTTTATTCCAGTAAAAGCAAACGTTTGAGAAGAAAACCTGAGGGGAAGTCATGCTGATGATCAGTTGGTGGAGTTGTCACAAGCTCAAGATATCGAAGCTGGAGATGGTACAACAAGTGTCGTCGTCCTTGCAGGATCACTACTTTCTGCAGCAGAAAACCTTCTCACTCAAGGTATGTCATGAGATGTCGGTGGCCAAGACGAAGCTCACAAACAGGCATTCATCCCACTACAATAGCTCAGTCGTTTCAAAATGCCGCGTCGAAGGCTGTGGAATTCTTGGAAGAAATGTCTACACCGGTGGATCTGAGTGATCGTGATTCGCTTTTGCGAGCAGCTGCAACTTCTCTCAACTCCAAAGTCAGTCCTCTCAAATTCCTCCTTCCTCCCTTTCTTCTCACTCACTGTGCCCGATGCTCTCCCTGCCGTCTCGTCAAGTCAAGCATTCTATACATATCAAAGTAAATTTACAGCTCTATACTCGGTGACGCAGAGAAGTAGATGACGTATCCGTACAGGCGCTAACATCCAGATCGTCTCACAGTATTCCTCCACTCTCGCTCCTATCGCAGTGTCGGCGGTGACGCGATTGGTCACACCCACGTCATCCAATGTCGACTTGAGGGATATCAGAATCGTCAAAAAGGTCGGAGGGACGATCGAGGATACCGAACTTGTCGAAGGATTGGCGTTGAATCAAAGTGTGATCTCTCATGCTGGCGGACCGACAAGGGTGGAGAAGGCCAAAATCGGTTTGATCCAGTTTCAACTGAGTAGCCCCAAGCCAGATGTGAGTTATTCATCTCTCTTCTCTCAAAGTGTGGGAGTCAATTTATCACATGACTTACAACATAGATGGACAATCAAATCGTGGTCAACGACTATCGTCAAATGGACAAAATCCTCAAAGAAGAACGACAATACCTCTTGAATCTGTGCAAACGCATCAAGAAGACCGGTTGCAATGTTCTTCTCATCCAAAAGTCCATCCTCCGCGATGCAGTCACCGATCTTTCCTTACATTTCCTTTCGAAGCTGAAAATTATGGTCATCAAAGATGTGGAGAGAGACGAAATTGACTTTATCGCCAAATCGACAGGTTGTAAGCCTGTAGCGGACATCGAGGCGTTCAGTGAGGACAAGTTGGGATATGCTGAATTGGTAGAGGAGACGAATCAGTCCGGAGCCAAAGTTGTCAAAGTGACGGGAGTGAGGAATCCCGGTAAGACGGTCAGTGTGGTGTGCACTGGGGCCAATGCGTTGGTATTGGAGGAAAGCGAGAGAAGTTTACATGATGCTTTATGTGTGGTGAGGTGTTTAGTGAAGAAGAGGTGAGTCTGATATCTCCTGTTCAAGACGGATGGCTGAAAGTATAGAGCTTTGATCGCCGGTGGTGGTGCACCTGAGATCCACGTATCGAGACTTATGACTCAACACGCTCAGACTCTCAAAGGTAAAGAGGCATACTGTTGGCAAGCATTCGCCGAAGCTCTCGAAATCATACCTACCACCTTGGCCGAGAACGCGGGTCTGAATCCTATCGCCATTGTCACCGAATTGCGTAATCGACATGCATTGGGCGAACGAAATGCAGGGATAAACGTGAAAAAGGTAGGAATCTCTTCGTCATTTTGTCTCTGATGTATGTTGACATAAAGGGAATCATCTCCAACATCATTGAAGAAAATGTCGTTCAACCTCTTTTGGTGACGACTTCTGCTTTAGAATTGGCGACTGAGACTGCTGCGTTGATTTTACGTATCGACGATATTCAGGTGAGTTGTGAGGAACCCCAAGAAGGTTGACAAAGCTGACATGTAGTTTACAAGATGATACAAAATCGCATATGGGTAGATCATGCATATCTTTTTCATCTATCATATTGACTTTTTTTTCACAAGACTGATTAGAAATACTCAACATACTCGGTTGGTGACTTGTTGACCGTCCAATACTGAGGCTAGTTGGTCGATAGCTTGAAGACATACGTCTATCTGAGCTTCGACCGTACTTCCTCCTCTGATTGTTAGTTGTATTTCTGATCTACTCCCACTACATTTCAAATCCCCCATCGACAACTTTCGTCTCTCATCATCTTTGTACGAACTCTCATTTCTTTTAGTGACAAGTCACCCTTTTCCAAACTTCAAAACGACTTGACTCCTACTAACCTCTTCCCTCTCAATTAACATGGAGTCCTCATCTCACTCTCCCTCCCATTGGTTGACTTTGAGAAGGATACTCAAATTTGAATGAGGTTCAAGGAGTGAGAAATGAGAGTAGATGAGGAATACTCACATATGCGGAGTTCCCACGAAATTATTCAACTCCAACAAACCCTGAGTCTTATCTTTTTCCACAGGTTCATGTTCGAAAACATCACTCGCAGCACCACATAAAGTTTTACAAGTTTTCAAAGCTTGACACAAAGCGTATTCGTCAACTACAGCTCCACGAGACATGTTGATCAATACAGAACCTTGTTTCATCATTGCTAATTGGTCTGAACCGATAAGACCTTTGGTTTCAGGTGTGAGAGGACAATGAAGACATAATATATCTACTTGGGGGAGAATGTCTGAGAGTGTTGAATGACGTGTATGTGGAAGAGGTCCTAGAGGATCGTGAGTCGTCCATTTTGTTGGTGGTGAAGTAGGGGAGAAAATATGGATAGGACAAGAGAAAGCGTGCTGAATATAAGTTGTATGATTTCAATAAATATATTCCTCAACTCTCCAATAGATCTCTCTATTCCTTTTTTTCACATATTTTCATCTGTCCTTCACATTTCTCTCATTGACCCTCACTAACATAACCTTTCCCATATTCTCGTTTGGTTCCACTAATGAGGGATGGATCGGAAGTCACTTGAATGAAGTGTGCGGTGATATTTCTCATATCACTCGAGTCATCTTTCCTGGAATAAGATAGAGAAGGAGAACACCAAAGTGATGTGAATGACAGAAGGGAAAGTGAAGGGAATATGAGTAATCGTGATCCTTTTCAAGATATTTTTTGAGGTGATATGAAAACTAGAAAAACTCACATGAAACAACTCTGCAGCTCGTCGAGCAGTAGAACCCATACCTACCATCCCTACAATTTTCCCTCTCAAAGAATGTCCAAGATTATCGATCGATAAACATATTTCACCTTGTTTCAATTTCCTATCAAGTTCCGAGATCCTACGTAAGAGTGAAAGTGTAAGACCTAGTGTTAATTCAGCAACGGAATGTGCGTTGACCCCTGGGCAATCTGAATTATCAGTTGAGGATCTATCACATTTCTTTTCTATCTGACGTATTCAGCTGGTCAAAGTGATGATAGAACATCACGACTGGAGAGTTTCTCATATGTACACGATTTGTCGGTGGAAAGAGCCAACGGGTTTGGGCTTGAGCTTGGGAACTCTTGATGGAGATGAGAATGATGGGAAAAGAAATATGTATGTCAATAGTGGAAAAGGAGAGTTTGGAGAGGGAAAGAAAAATACTCACTAGTCACTACTACCCTTCTTTCTTTACATGTTGAAATATCGATAGAATCTACACCGACTCCAACGACAGAGATGACTAATACTTTTTCTGCTATTTCAAGTATCTCTCGAGTAACTTTATTCGCTCTATTCACTAAAAGATTAGCGTAACGCTAACTCACTTGTAATCTTACGCTGCGCTCAAGTCAAATCTGATGAAAACTCCCCCGTCGTTATCTCGTGGGGTCATATGGACGATGGGTGTGTGATCATTCTAAAGAGGAATACCTGAGGAATGTCTTAGAGTCTAAAAGATATGATTGTCATGGTCAAATAATCATCCTAGGTATTCTACGGGAACAGACCAAGTTGAGAGGTGGATGATGTATGAGTCATAACTCACCTACTCCATCTGCCAACTTCCATCCTTCCTCCGGACTCATATCAGACCACAGAATAACCCTCCCAAACCTCTCCTGAGCATATTGTAACGCTACAGGATGAATCGGGGTAGGAATATACACTGTGGCTTTGTCAGCTGGAAGGATAGGTTCAGGTGGAGGAGTAGGAAGAGCCATTTCAGTATTTGGCGATACTGGTGACCTGGGTGTTCCAGAAGGATGGGGAATGTTGGCTGTCAACTTTGCCCGAAGGATTTCGACTGGGTTGGGTGTTAAGACTTCCATCTTGACGGAATACTTGGTGTTCTATTGGGTATCTATGTTAGTGAAGTTAATGTTGTGTTGACTTGCGTCGGAGGACAACTCTTTGATCGAATTCTTTGGAATTATTGGACTATTGATAAGTTGATGTCAGAGAAGATCAGCTATACTCTAATGTTACGAGAGTTGACGATGCGTTACAGAAGGATATCAGTAGGCAATCGTTGTGAATAGACAGAGACGATCAAAAGATATGATGTGAGATAAGTCTGAATGTGGAAAAAGAATGAGATAGAGGAGTAAAGAAAAGGCTGGGAAAAGTCGTATAAACATTCAATATAAGTCACCTTGCCGTTCGCCCGAAATGGTTATCTCACCTAATGCCGGTCAAGACGATAAGCGCTTCTCGCTCCTTTCGTGCTTCATCCCTTCGTCACCGCCTCACAACCAGCCAGGAGGTATATCAGCCTCTCTTCAAATATCCCCACTTCTCTGTATCGTATATCGTATGACACGTAGATAAGGGTGGGGGTCTTATCGCCCTCCTTTGTCCGGCGGGAGGAGACCATGTCGTCACACCATCTCCGACGGGTCAGTCGTGTGACATGACGGCGATGGTCGTTTCTGTGTCGTGTAATGAGTTGTTTCATCTTCTATCAGAGATGAGGTGGTCTTATCGCCCTTATCAGTAACCTTTGTCTCCTGTATCGATCGTTGATAACACTGAGTAAAATTCAAATGATTTGATCGATAAGACTGGCAGCCGCGGAAGAATACGAACCGACGCAGTAGACTGAGAGACCAGTAGGAAAACCCAGAGTGCACAGTAAACGCATGGGGATACTCGTAAACGTACATTGTCATTGGCACTACATTGATGAAATCGATATCTTCACACCTCGTTTTATTCTGTTCGCGTCTTGATTTACTGGTACCATCCCTCAAGGTCAGCTCTGAGTTTATCTCACCGTCTGTACTATCGCAACCGACGATTCAAGGCGTCACGATGGTCGAGTTTGCAGAAGAAGCCACGTACCGGGTACATTCCACGACCATATAATAGCATCTGACTTCCGGGCATGTTGTTGATACCCATACCACCGCCGAGACCGCCGTACATTCCGAGACCGACACCGTAGTTATCTGGCATAGATTGTCGGTAAGCATGTTCTATCCTGTGCGCATCGGGGAAGTCATCGACGAAGTTTGCGGCTGGAGGCGCCTGAGGTGAGTGAGGGTCTGTTTCATTCACAATTGTCAGAGGACAGATGCCTGTATCTAGTAATCATCATTCCAGGGTATGATGCACAAGGTCAGAGGGAGGACCGAGAGTCAAATAGAATCAGGCATCAGACGTATAAGAGATGTTCCTTACTCACACCGAAGTTCATATATGGGTCCATTCCCATTCTTCGTGTCAGCATTGACTCCAGCAATGCTGCTTACGTGACTCACCCAGGATAACCTCTGCGAAACACCGTGTCAGCTGATTACACTCGGGAAGGTAAATCAAATTTACCCCATCATGCCCATTCCACCCATTCCCATTCCATACGCCCTGTTGGTGAGCATTGCTCTGCTTACCTCTTTCAATGCGTTCAAGAAAATTCCTCACCCTCCTGGAGGGTACCGCGGCATCTAACGTCAGCCGCGATCCGCGTCGGTTGATTCATTCCACCACGCTCTGGGACCACGAGAGAGATCGTTTGATCGATGATCCGTTTCAAGAGCATAGATGAATAAGAATCAAGTCTCACTCACCCCGTAACCTCCTCCCATCATAGGTCCCATGCCCATTCCCATCATTCCAGGATACATACCCCCCATTCCCATTCCTCCCATCCCCATGCCTCCCATCCCCATCATCCCTGGATATCCGCCCATCATTCCGGGCATCCCCATGCCGTAATATGCCTGATCGGGGCGAGGTTTGATATTTTTGTGTTTATTTTTGTTTTGATTGGCGAATTTCCATTTGGTGGAAAACATGTGAGGAGGTTTAGAAGGTTTTTTTGGCATACGTACGGCGTCAGGTGGTGGCGGGTATGCGTCGTATATCCCAGCGTGAGGGTAAGTGTGGGTAGGGTTCGGATTGTTATGATGCGGAGGGGTCAGAAATTCCAGTACCGCGTAGTTGGGATCACGAGGTGGTTTGTTTTCCCGTATATTGGTAGATCGAGTATCCCGTGGATAGGCAGAGTGGCGAATAGTGGTGGGTGGAGCGACAGAGAGGGATGCGTGTGTGGAATCAGGTTGGGTAATGGTGGAAGTGGCGAGTGTAGTAGAAGAGTTGACCATGTCAGCTTCGAGTATGAGGAGAGAAAGAGAAGACTGACCATGGTTGCGAGAGAGAAAGGTATTCCCAGGAGAAAGTTGCGTCAGAGATTTGTGCTCGTGCGTAGTCGTAGTCAGAGAGGGTAACTCTATTTGTGGGAAAAAAAGATGTTGGTGTGAAACGAGACGACGACTAGTGTGTAGTTAGGGCGCGTGAAGCTTGAAAAGTTTGGGGCCGGTAGAGCAAAGTGCGTAAGTAGCAATAGTGTCTGCGAGAGTAAAGTGAGAGTTCAATGAAGAGTTGAAGAAACGGAGAAGAGGTAAGAAGAAGGGAGATAAGAGGGTGATTGGAATCCCACCGCCTTGGCTAGTTGCTACTCGGCAGCGCTCGGTCCTCTAACCCCAGTATTCTCTCTTCGATCCTCGCCGAACAACGGATGCGCCCAAAGATCCCCAGGTCGGTATGAGATAGAAAGGTTTAGGACGAGTGAGTTATGAGCAGAGTGAGTGATGAGGAAGATTTGAAGGGCTATTCAAGTAGTTGGATGGTGAATTGACGGTACCCTCGAATGTCGTCCTGTCCTCTCTTGCTCTTGACTGATTGGATTATTGGTATTGTTCTTCTTGACTGTTTGGTTTCTTCTTCTGCTATCCCGCCCTAGGCCGCCCTGATCCACCGCTCAGATTATGAATGATCAATGACGATCACATCACGATGATCTATGGCCGAAGTTTGTGAGGGGCAGGCGGGAGGAGAGGACAAAGGAAGTGTTGAGCCGCGTCAGTACGGTCAGGGATCAGGGACGTGATGAGGAAAAGTGGGGAGGTACCATCAAGGGTATCATCAGTGACGTTTTCTTTCGATGGACAATACGAGTATGATGAGAGTAGGTCGAGGGCCATGGGAGACTAACATCTCATCTCTCATGACCACTATGCTGTAGAGAAACTTGTGGTATGCGCCGGAGCGGGTTACAAGTGACAAGCGGCCTGTGAGCCAAGGTGGATCGAGTCATCGGCTTGTTCCAAATGACAGAGCCACTGGTACTCCGTACTCCGGAAAGTGAAATCATGGAAGATATGGAGGTAGTGGAGTATGGAAGGGTCAATTGCTATCAGTCAGTCCACCGAAACCAAATAGATATTGTCCATTCTCATTGTCCGTTTCCCCTTCTTTCCCTTTTCCCTCTTGTATTTCCCAAAGCACCCAGACAAGAAAAGTCCGAAATTAAAGTCTAAGTCTAAATTAAGCCAAAGAAGCAACATATTCCAACGTGATCTGTTCCGTTTGTACAGCATCAACAGGTTCGAAATCACTAGCTGATAAAGCCATCCCCAAAGCATCAGTGTAATATGGAGTATCGAAAACCCAATACAAAGCATCAGTCGTGATTGTATCATCTTGATTGAGGAACCAAGCTGAAAAGATAGCTGGAAGACTTGAAGGTGTATCGAATATTGGTCCTTGTATACCTTGACCGGAAGCTTGTGAAGGTGTTAAATTGTCGTATGCCGTTGGGCACTGAGAGAATATGGCCGAGCTTGAAAGTCAATTGAATTCCCAAGGTATATCCGTTTATTCTTATCCCTGATTACATCCCATCTTTTTCGTTATGTGTTACCAATACAACTCGTTTGAATAACACTGAAAGATCAAATCTTCAGATGGTGAGGGAGTATCGACCCGGGCGAGGTTTGGGGTGGGGCAATAAAAGTTGGAATACAAATACGTGATAGACAAAGGTAGATTACTCACGTTGGACCACCAGGTGCGTTTGGCTCCATGTTCACCCCACTACCAATGGTAATCACCGAAGCACAAACGCCGAAATCGGAAGTTGAATCACCATCATCGGAAACTCCGAGGTACTGTTCCGTACCGGCCGTTGTCCACACGAACAGAGAGGCATCACTAGCGATGGTCGACTGAGAATTAGTGCTCGTGCCTTTTACAATCGAACTCGGAAGAGAGACTGTGGACAATCGACCATGAGCCACATGTCAGCTTCCTCCTCACAAAACGAAGGTACTTGAAGGTCGATGGGGTTGAGAGAGGGTAGGGGGAATGCGTACTTACCAAACGAAGAAACCCGTAATCCGTATCATAATAAAGATAAGAAGTTTGATCATACGGAGTACGTTTCTTCAATCCTCCATTATTTTGAGGAGTAGCTACCAGGTATCCAGTGAATGGAGCTGCAGAACGACGAGCCAGATGAGCTATTGTGTCAGTATAATCTATCCTTCAAAAGAAGTCATCTCTTCATCTGAATCCCTTCTTCGATTGAAACACCTCATCGAAAGTACGAAAATCTTTCTCTGAAAGACGAAATTGAGGGAGGTGTATGATCGAAGTCTTCTATCTCACGAGGAATGAAGAGAGCGAGGGATCAATGAGTCGATCACAAGGTTGAAACGACAATCAAAAATAACTCACCACTCGTCGCTGTTGCATTATACAACTTTCTAGGAGTTTTCACCGGTAAACCCCTTTTCATCCTTTCACCATTACTCAAATCGATTCTCGATGGTCCTCCAGCAGAGACGATATTGACCATTCCTATCAAACACAATAACAGATTCAAAACCGACAGCATATTGTTCAATAGCTCGAATACGAAAGCGTCAAAGCAATCGTCAGATCAAGAAGATAGATTGGAGAGAATGTTTGGAAGGGACGATCTTGAACATGTTTTGTTACCTTTCATCGTTCGAGTTGTTGATGTTGATGATCGGAGGCGTCTCACCGAAGTCAATGGACTCATGGATTTGAGGGACAGTTAGATTCCTGTACTTGTACATGGGATTGTTTGGTGATAAGGGTGGATAAATAGGATGAAGAAAGACGAATGTGATATACCCTGATTAAAAGGTATTTCGAAGGTCCGGGAAGATGATGGTAAGGTACGAAAAGTGTTCATATTTAGAAGCGCAGTTGTCAGTATACATTCCATTAGCTATTAGATTTACATTCCATGTCTACTGCGTACGTGTCTCTTCCAGTGGGTCGAGTCGAGTATATGAATATAAAGTATTTTCAACTGTCCATCGCTCCCATCCCTTTGCCTCAATCTCAACGAGTCATATTTGGCCCGATACATGACCTCTCATCTATACTTATCCAAAAAAAACAACAAGAATCCTTCCTCATGTCATTACATCATCAAATCCCGCTTCTTCTCTCAACCACTCCAGCCCATGACGCCTTCCCTCTGATCCTGTCAACCCCTGTCGATCTGTCGATAAATGAGAACGTGATAATGGGAGAGAAACTATCATACCGGTAAAGTCGATATCAAATATAAATCGATCGAGGCGTAATTTGTTTCCCCCGGAAATTCACTACCATCCAAAGCCAATCCCAAAGCTTGAGAATAAAAATTATTGCTAAATACCCAAAAGAGGGAAAAAGCGGTAATACTTTGATCCGAATTGAAGAACCAAGAAACGAGTTCTTGTCCCGATGCTTCGGCTGGGTTCATACCCCAAATGGGTGCTTGATAATATGCTCCGTAAGCTTCTGATTCTGATTGAGATTGATAAGCGATAGGACATGAAGCGAAATTTGCTGTTCTGAGATATAAGTGATCTCTTCTTTCACTAACCTCCATCACGCCGATTGAAGGGATTGAGTCTCGGCTCTTCATTCAGGAGCCCCTCGTGAAACAAAGATGAAGATTCCCTCGCCATCTCGGATTCGAGCCATATAGTGGGGTGGGAGAGAGTAGGCGAGAGGGACTTTGGTAGTTGAGATCAAGAGTTATGGGAAAAATGAAGAAGACTATACAACTCACGTGTATCCCCCGGTAGCACTACCATACATGTTCACCCCGGTCCCTTGACTTATGACATGTGCGCAAACTTGATAAACCGTACCACCATGGTTTGCATAGAGATATTGTTCAATACCAGCTCCATACCATTGGAATAAATCTGCTTGTGTCGGATCCGTTGACTGTTATCATCAACTACATGTCAGTTTGAACGAGGGCGTACGTACCAATCGAAAAGCATCTTCTTCCGGTGAATAGTACAAATAAGAAACAGTATCGAATGGGCTTCCATTTGTACCTGTGGTCGCGGGAACAGATCTGACGTATCCTGAATAGACCATAGGAGATCGACGAGCAAGAGCAGCTATACGGGTCAGTTTGTCTTTCGTCACACGATGAAGACAACTAACGTCGAGTTGCGGTCGCATTGTATAATTTACGAGGAGTGTTGGGTTTCAATCCACGTTTAAATCTTTCCGCATTGGTAAGTGGTTTTTCCGGACGCTTCGGACTCCATTCACTGACTTGTTTCAGTGAGGCGGGTCGGACGGCCCATACGAGTTGGGTAAGAGTCAAGACACATAGAAGACAGATTGACCTGAGCATGCTGGTTGATGTGAAGCGGAATGAGGCGAAGAGAACCTGGGGGAGACAGAAGTGGGATAAAATATGGTATGAGTCATCTTGACCTTGACCCTACTCGTGTACATACTTGTCGTCAAGCAGGTAGCATGGCAGCAGGATGCACAGTGGGACTGGCTTGGCAGGAGGGTGGAATCAGTGACATGTCCTATTGCAAGCCAGAAGATAGACGGCTTAGACGGAATGTCCCTTGGCCGGTGGACGCGGCGATGATTTCATTGTTTGCGCACGGGAGGCGTTTATGGCTTTACGTGGCGTCCGGATAGTCCGGACAGTAGGAAGGGTGTTCTAAGAACCGAATTTAAGCCGAAGAAGACATGCAGCGAGACACGACCATTCCATATGGGGACAGAATGTAAATGTACGAGTATGTCCTCCCGTGATTAGTGATAAACATGGGACGGACTGCTGTTCATGTTCAGCAAAGTTGTCTTCTAAGTCCAATGATACCATCAAAGCTTTGTCTTCTATGAATCTCGTGATCGTCAAGTACACAGTGCGCTTGTTGCATACACATTCCAAAAGAAAAACCCTTCTAAGACCACTCTATGTAGATAACGTCCATTGTCCTGTCCTATGAGGGTAAACTGAGGATCAATTCCGCCTCAACTTGAACAATTTCCGACGCCTGAAAGTAACTCGGGTCCAACGCCATACCCAACGCCCCGGAGAAGGAACCACTGGTGAAAGCGTACAAGTTCGCATTGGTCGTGATCGTACCGTCCGCGTTGAAGTACCATGGCTGCAAAGATCCGGGGACTGAGGAGGGAACAGACCAAATAGGAGCTTGATGTTGCTGACCGGCGGCTGATGATGGGGTTTCCGTGGCATCGGTACTGGAACAAGCTGTGAAATCAGTGCATCTGACAATGAGCGAATGATCTTCTAATATTGTATTCATTAGGCGACGGCCGTTACACTGGCGGGTAAGACGAGAAGCGAGGAGGGAGGCGGGTGAGAAGTAAGACATACACGTTGTTTCCGGGTTCCATATTGAAAGAGCCGCCTCGAAAGAATTGAGAACAGATTCCTATTGCGAGACCAGAGTAAGCTGCGGTGATATACTGTTCATCGCCTGAAGAGGTCCAAGATATCACTGAGGCAGAGCCGGGGTTGGTGGTCTGTGCAGCAAATCAGTGATGTTCAATCAACACTCGATGAAGCAAATGGTATACCTGATGAGGAGGGGGCGGCAGGAGGCAGGGCATGTAAGAATGATGCCTGCTGGTGATAGAAAAGGATAGAGGTATAGGATCACGTACCAAATAAAAGCTCCCAGCAGCGGGGACGAAATACAGATATGATACAGAGTCGAAAACTGTCCCCGCACGCTTGACGGTGGTGAGGCCCACGGGCGTTACTTGGATATAACCACTACCCGAAGTTGCCGATCGACGAGCCATGGCGGCTAACATGTCAGCTTGACTCATCACATGTCTCATCAGTACTGGTACGGGAAGACTCACGTCTGGTTTCGGTGGAATTGTATAGTCTCTGTGGAGCTTTAGGAGGTAAACCTCTTTTGAATCGTTCGGCATTAGACATTGACGATCGACTGCTTTTACGGAGAACTGCTCCCAGAACGAGATCGAGTCCGGCTAGCGCGAGTAACACCCAAGACTTTTGAAGTAACATGATGGACTTTGAGGATGATATTCAATATGCGTAGCTGTGGACGTCCACTCGGGGCACTACCCTAGTCTCGTCGGGGCACTACCTGCCACAAACCCTGAGCTCAAGTTCATAGGCCCGGCGTTACTGAAACGCCGAACACGCGACGGACATGAACTCGCCACTGATCGGGATTACTGAAACGCCGAACTCCTCACAACGACGCGACATGTCTGCTCGCTACCTACCTACCTGTCCTCACCACCACTAATCTCTTTATCGTCAATTTACTAGTAAACTCACGCTCTTTTTCACACACACTGTCTCTACTTGTCTCAAGGATCATTTTGATACTCTCCTCACTCTTTTACGACTACTTTTCACCTACTTCTGGCCCTTCGCCTTCTCAACCTGCGCCCTCCTGACTACCACCCATCAAATTGCTATAACTTCTTACAGAGCAATCGTGGTATTCTCTCGTCTTCTCGACGCTATTCTACTGCTCTCTGCGAGTCCGTGAGTACTTGTTTCATCATCAGAAGTGAAAATCTGACTTCAATAGGCCCTCTCGCCATCATCATTTTCGCCACCGAACCCCTCACCCCTCTCAAGATCTTTTTTTTTACTCTTTAACAACACATCTTCAGCCTTGGTCAATAACTCGACACTGTTCTCCTGTTCGTCCTGAGCTGTGAGTACTTCTTTTATCATCAGAAGTGAAATGCTGACTTCAATAGGCCTCCTCAACATCAAAATCTTCGCCACCAAACTGCTCGAACAACCAAACTGCTCGAACAACCGAACTGCTCGAAAAACCTTTTTCCTGCGATAACACATATGCAGCGATACTGAGCCCTGGTTCTTCCTGAGCTGTGAGTAGTTGTTTTATTTGCAGAAAGTGAAATGCTGACTTCAATAGGCCTACTCAACATCATCATCCTCGCCCCCGAACTCTTCGAAAAATCTTTTTTCCTGCGATAACAAACTCTTCGAAAAATCTTTTTTCCTGCGATAACACATCTTCAGCCTCTATCGATAACTCGACGCTGTTCTCCTGGCCTCTGCGAGTCTGTGAGTACTCTTTTCATTGAGAAATGTAAAAATCTGATTTTCATAGGTTCTCGTCATCATCATCATTTTTGCCACCGACATCCCGGCCCAAATTTTTTTTTACTCTTCAACAACACCACCCCCGGGGTTCTAATTTGTCGACATGTATTCTGCTGGTCTTGGGCTACGAGTGAGTACCATTTTTACTGCATGAAGTGGTCATTCTGACGAGTTAGATGTCATCACCGATTCTTATACAATCGTCGCCACCGCCATCACCAATTCTGGATCGTTTTTCTCGGTCCCCTTCTATTAAACTCAGTCCTCGACACTCTCGGTCTCCTTCTATCGTACCAGAGACTCAGCAACATCGTCCTAATGACCACAATGATGATGACGACCTTGAAAACTTGCTTGAAAACCTCGGTCTTATCCCTCGCGAAGAACCAGGATTTGATCCTTTGGCTCATCACATCCACCCTCCCTTCGATCTCGAACCTCAACCTACCATGGCAGCTGCTCGACTTCATACTCAAGACGTCGCTATCACGCATACTGTCTGCATTGTCACCAAACGCAGTGTGGAGCAGAAGGGAAAACTGGAGCTTCAATGTGCTCATGGGGGGGATGGTCGTTCACATCGAACTGACGACTATGAGGATGTTAGAAAGCGACCTCGAACCACCAAGCAAGGCAACTGCCCCTTCTCTATCATCTGGCGAAGAGAGACAAAGAAAATAGCTCAAGCTCAAGATCGTCAGCCCCTCTGGATCCCTCACATCATTGAAAACCGTCATAACCATGAACCTATCCCCCTTTTTCATTATTCATTTATTCGTCACTCTAGTCGATCTCCTGAGGTTCTTCAGTTCATAAAACACCTTCTGGAGAGCGAACACACCCTTCGTGGTATTGTCTCTGCGGTTCAGCATCGTTTCGGTGAAAAAGTCGCCCTCACACGTCAAGATGTCCAAAATATTCGATATCGTCATGAGAAACTTCTTCGACAAGGCCTCACTGCCACTGAAGCAGCCATTCGACGTCTAACTGATAATGGGGATCTCTTTAAAGCGTTCACCAACACGAATAAAGAGCTCTGTGGCCTCGTCTTTACCACTCCGTCAGCCAGAGCCATGACTCATTCGTACCCAACCGTTCTTTTTATGGATTGCACCTACCGAACCAATCGATATCGTCTTCCAATGCTTCACATTGCTGGATGTACTGCTACGAATCAAACCTACACCTCTGCAATCGCCTTCTTAAGCCGAGAAGTGACTGAATGGTACTCCCTGGCCATTGAAGCCTATCTCCAACTCATTGGTCCTATCAACAATGACATCAAAGTTATCGTATGTGATCGTGAAATCGCTTTACACAACGCTCTGTCTATCCACCTCCCTCATGCTCATCTGAATTACTGTCGATGGCACCTCCGAGAAAACATCAAGGTGAACTGTCGTAAAAATTTTCAGTCCCTTTATAAAAACGGTTGGGTGGAGAAGTTATCTGTTTTTGGTAATCATTTCATGGTGGATATCTGTAAAGCAAAGTCTGAAGAGTCATTGGAGAAAGCTCTGTCATCAATGCAGACTCGGTGGGGACATGAGAAGTTGGATGGTGCGAGGGCTTATGTGAGACAATTGGTGGATGAACACAAGACACACTTCGTCTCTGCTTTTATCGATAAACATACTCATCTTGGTCAAACAGCAAACTCTCGACTCGAAGGAACCCACCGAGCGTTCAAGAGTCGTCTTAAAAATGCGTATAGCGACCTGTACGGCTTGCTACGCATTGCTCATGACTTCTTCGACGATCAATGTAAAGAGATAATACACCAAATGGCTCTTGATCGACTTCTTCAGAACCCCGATCTTGTCAGCATCTTTCTCCTGGTGAAAAATCGAGTCTCAAAGTGGTCAGTATTCCTCATGGAGAAGCAATATAAAAGAGCAATATCTGGCCAGGTCGAAAATGATGACGAAAGCCACCTGTATTCGACATCGATGGGCCTCCCTTCTGCCCTGCAGATAAAAGAAGTACTTGAAAGAGATGGTACCATTGCTCTTGCTCCTCTCCATCGTCATTGGCGTCTCCTTAACCCCATGTCCTGGCCAGACACGATCAAACAGGCCACTGCGAAAGTCAGTGGAGATGTTAGTGGAGTTCATCAGCTACTAGGACCTGAGTGGGAGGTGGATAATGATACCAACAGGATTCGTGACCCCCACCTTCGAAGAAACCGGTTGGTATTAGCCAAGAAGAACCTCAAGAACCTCACCACCACTCAGATCGACTTAACGAATGACGATAATGACGACCTGTTACCTGCTGATAACCCCTACTTTTCACCTCCTTCTCCTACTCTTCCTCCTTCTCCTAAAAGGGGTGTAAAATCGAACCCTTCTCAACTGTCTAATGATGTCTCTCATACCGGTCGATTACACACTCAGTCAGAGAAATTCCTAGGTACCAAGAAGAAGGCAAATCGTCCCTGTCCCTTCTGTGGTTCAAGAGGACATGGAGCTAAGAAGTGTAAGACAGGTAGTGAGATACAGGAGAGGGATAATGATCGTTATATTCGCGAAATGGCTGCTTGGAGGGCTGGAGAAACGACCTGGACAGAGGGATCAGTAATGGGGACTAATGCTGCTCTTGAGAAGAAGATCTCGAGTCTTCAGGAGATGGTTTCTGGCCTGGCTAAGAGTATTGAGGACAGAGATAAAAGGGAGAAGGAAAATCAGCCTGTAGTAGTGAGGACAGAGGACAGGATGGTGAGGACAGGAGAAATGATCACTAGGACAGGTTATTCGGTGGGTTTCTCATATGATAATCACATTTCTCCTTCCCTCCTTCTCCCCCTCTCTGTCCTGCAGTCATTCCTGGCTATATTGCTCTGTCTCTCTCTATAATGGCCTCACGATCTCGAAAATTTTCACTCTTCTCTTAGTCTCTTACTTCTAAAAGTTTCCTGCAAGCTGATTGGTCCAGGAGACACCAGGAAATGGCCAATATCAACCGAATGTGAGTCTCTAATACTGCATTTTCGGCTGTATCCGATGGGGGGTCTCTAATGAACAGGTACCCCCATTTTTCGACATTTATCCTCCTGAGGAGAGGTACCTACCACCCCCCCCTCTTCCACCTACTCTCCCTCCTCTTCCCTCTCAATATTGGCCTCCCTATCCATCCCAGGGGTCTTCTAGACATCCCTATGGCTCATATTATCCTCCTGGACATTGATAGATAGGAGAATGCATGGACAATGACCGGAAATGACATGGTATAGCTAATACTGACATTGGCGATGAAAGAGAAGAGTGAGCAATCAGAGCTCGCGGGATTTCAGTAACGCCGGGCCTATGAACTTGAGCTCAGGGTTTGTGGCAGGTAGTGCCCCGACGAGACTAGGGTAGTGCCCCGAGTGGACGTCTAGCTGTGAGGAGACGTCATCGGGAGATTGATGACTTGGAAAGAGAAGCAGGGAAGACGGACGAGCGGGTCAGATATATAACATCTCTATCGGTCCGAAAGAGCATGCATGTAGAGGGCAGGGGGTAAATGCCGTATGGTTCGGTTCGAACAAATCTTTAGCATCTTGAGTGTCCTGACCCGTCCATCCGATCAGACGTCAGCGGCTGTGGGTTAAATTCAATCAAGACTTTAAGTTGTAGGATTCCTACGGCCTACGAACCTGCGATGGAATGAAGGTGTGGAAGTTTGCGGACACGGACATCGGGATATAAACACGTTATTACTTTCCTGACAGTAAGGCACGTCAGTGGGGGTCCGCTTTGGTCCCCGTCCCATAGTTTCGGTGACCAACAGTTGTGGCTTTGATAGAAGAATGTCAAACCCTGAACTCGATATTGTGAAGTGAGACCATTGCTTCCATGATATTCACCAGGCGAGACGTCCCCGGCAGACATTCGGCATGAGCAATGAGGTCTGTTGATGATCGAATGGACGAACTGCGACATATGAACGAAGAAGTGTTCTCTTGTCGCGCAACGAACTTCCGCTCAAGTCCTCTCCGTCCGCCGGTCCCTCGAGTAATCTGAAGGCGTCTGAGGCGTCTGAAGAGCAAGGCAAGTCTCATATTAGACTGAATTCTGACTGTGAACAAAGCTTGAGATGTCTGAGTCGGATTGGAACGGTCGATTCACCTGCCCCAATCTCACATTGGATCTATAACGCCGTAAACACCGAGAACTATGACGCCATGTGGCATGTCCACGTGTGTCCAATATCCGCATCGCCATCGCTGTCTTCAACCTGCCTGTCACTATTCACTTCTTGCACTCACCACTCGTGTGACTACAACAAGCATTCCCAAATCATGTCTCTCAGAGGAGCTTCAGGAAAGTTCTCTCTACCATCATTTGGTCGAAAAAACACCGGGACAGAGCCAACTTCCCCTTCCCGGGAGTATGGCAACGACTCTGACTTCTCCCCTGCTTCTCCTACTCGAGAGAATGGGCATTCAGCGGGCGGTGGTGGCGGAGGGGGAGGTTTAGTAGGAATGGACAACTTTGGTCGTTCTTTAGGTAAGAAAATTGCTCACCAGAGTCTTCTACCTGCTCTGGGTAACAAAGACCAGAGGGCGTTACAAGAGTGAGAACCCTTCTTCAGGATCGTCTGTCCGCAGCTGAACCCAACAGTATCATCGCTTTGGAGAAGGGCGTCTTGTCCATGACTGAGAAACTTGCAATTGGTAAGTGATCATTATAGTGTAGCATGTAAGACACTGATGGTGGAGATACTCAAAAGGCAGCCGCAGCTCTCCCGGTGTATGGAGCTCAGGAAGGTGCAGACTTACAAGACGTTCTGGGTCATTCGGCCACACTGCTTTCTCGTCTATCAACCGCTCTCACTGTTTTCACGCAACACCAAGCTTCACTTCGAGGATGTTTGAAGAGGATTAGAGAGCGTGAGGAGGCGTTAGCTGATTTGAAACGACGAAGGAGAGATACGGGTAATAAAGCTGAGAATGCAGAGAAGAAGTTGGCAAAGATGGGACCGGAAAATAAGGGGTTGCCACAGCAGACGGAACTGCTCGAGAGACTGAGACAAGAGATGCGTCAATTGGATACGGAGATAGTGACTGAGGAATCGAAATTGGGAGATTTCAAACGACAGTGAGTTCAGATCAATACCCTACCTATTTGTCACCTGATTTCTTGCCTCCTGTCCTCTATGAACACTAGACTGGCAGGATCAGGAGATCTGATGTGGACCGAAATGAAGTTGCTGATTTCCGCAGGATCGTCAAAGAAGCTTTGAGTTTTAAATTCGGCGGTCTCGAAGAGCTCGGAGAGAAGATGTGTATAATTGGTGAACTGGGAAAGCTCCTGCTGGAAGAGATTCCACTTGAGGAGACACCACCAGGATATGGACGGGCTCCGTATAACGGATTTGACAATACATCAAACGCTGTAAACGAAGCCAATAAATGCGTATGTTTCCCTCCAACTGATCGCTTTCGGTCCTCCAGTTCAGTCCTCCAGTTCATTTCCCTCCCTGTGTCTATGTTATCAGGCCACATCCCGATCTGGGGCAACCCCAACACTAAATGATGTTTCTAGTATTGGAAGTTGCTTCTAGTCATAGGGTGAAAGTCGAGACGAGACCTGGAATCCCATCACTGACTGACAGCTGGCCACTGTCGAATTCCATGCCTCAAACGCATCCCCCAAACCTCCCGGTTTACCCCAACCAGTCTCAATGTTACCTCTAACCGCTCCCAACCTTCCTCGTCTTTCTGGCGATCGTATATCCGCCGCTGAAGAATTTGCTCATTATCCCGGGAACGCCGTCTCACCCGAATCCAAACCCACCTCGCGTGATTATATGAACGCCTCGTATCCCAACCCCTCTGATCCTTACAATTCCGATCCAAGTCAATCCCAAAGTAACATCTACGATGAATTCGGTGGCATGCGTCCTCCACCGACCGGTATCTTGAACGCCGGTGGAAGTGGAAGTGGTGCTCATGTAGTTTGGCAAGGTCCTACTGAAGAAGCGTTGAACGTAAACGAACATGATTATGAGAGGGTTCAACAACGTGAAATGGATCAAGAAGCTGCGGCTTGGCAATCTGTCTCTGAAGGAGTTACTACGACTGAAGTTCCTGAAATACAAGTGCCTATTGAAAATGAAGAAGTTCCTACTTCTCCATGGGAACCTTTAAACGTTAAACGTGATCATTCTGTCACTCCTACTCCTGATCCTCTCAATCCTCTCGCAACTCTTGGAACGCCTATCAATCCGAATTCCATACCTACAGGTAATGGAGTAGGAGTTGGAGTAAAAGATGATTTACTACCACCACCTAATATGGCACAATTGACAACTCGAATTCCTACCCCCGCAACAGGGGAATTTTACACTCCTTCAGAAGGTCCAGATCCATTGAACGAAATTCGAACAACTGTACCACGACCTTCTTCTCCAGCTTTATCTATACCTCCACCTCAACCGGGTGGAGGAGGAGGGAAAATATCCGCCGCTGCTTTCAGACGTCCTAGACCTTTACCTCGGAATTCAGAAGGTGAAGAGTTGCCCTCACCAGGAGGTATTAGGAGATTACCTGTTCCTCCTTCTGGAGGATTTACGTCAGGGAATAGTGGACCGAACCAAATGAATCCTACACCTAACGAAGGTAGAGAAGAGGATGCTTTCCCTACAGCCGAGGCGATACCTAGTCCACCACCTACTTATGGTGAGGAAAACTTGCGATGAGTCTAGATTCATCTGGAGTGTGGAATTTGGAGTTTGGTATATCGTCCTTGCATGTATATATACATATTTGATACACTGTAGAAGTATTCTTACCCTTTTTCCCATTTAAGCAATTCATATCAAAGTGAATGATGTATATGGACCCAGTGCTGGTTCTGAGAGACGTAAAGGGGGAGAGCGTCGGGGAGGAAAATGACGGGAGGGAGGATTGAATGGAGTCTAGATGAAATGATGCATAATATTTCGTACTTTTCATACACATTCGTTCATTTGCCCAGTCGACCTTGGAAAAGGAGTGCGGTGAGTGTAGCACCTTTGAAAGTGTCTGAAGCCTGGGAGTCAGTCCAAATGAAGATCATTACGAGTAGAAAAACATACCGCCGAAAAGTTGATTTCACCATTCCCATTCTTGTAATCCCATACCTGATGGTCAGCGCTGTGTCGGATTGACAACTGACCTGTAGAGGAGATCAAGTCTCTCTCTCTTGAGAGAAAGGTAGATTGTTCCAAGATGATAATATAGATGATTATGAGAGATACTCACTCGTTTATATAAGACACCCCCACCAACAACTTGTAAACCCCATCCGACTGATGATAAAACTCCAAAGACCCCAGCGACTATATGACCTCCTGCAAACATGGCTATAGTGTTGATCAGTCCCGCTGATCCGGTAGCTGAGTATCAGCCAAATTCACCCATCACGGAAAGTTTCAGTCGGGGTTTAGAGTTTTAGTCTCGGTCAGACTGAGAGGTATCATGCCCCGGAGATCACTTGGTTATGGGGTAGGAGGTGGACTAACATGGGATACCGATTAGCATGTAAAGCGCGTAGAGGAGGTTAAAACCTTGGAAAACGAAATAAATATCTGACATTAGCTTTGATACTGTACGGTGAAATTCTGAGAGAGTGTACATGAAAATGCGCTTACAAAAAAAGAAAGCCATTGCTTTACCTTCCACTTTGAGGAAACCAAGATATATTGGTCTATACCATAGAATGAAAGAGAGAACACCAATGACTGGTAAATAACCACCTGCGGCACCTACGTCCGCCCTACATATCAGCGTGTCGTTTTCACCGACTTTATCACCAAAAATACGGACATCGACAATTGGATTGGTCGAACAGATTAGATGTTGGTACGAGATGGATAGGAATGGAGCAGGATGGAAGGTTTGATGAGACTTCTCTTGATGGATTGACAGAAATAACATCTGATGGATGAGATGAAAATTCGACTCACCCTCCTTCTAAACTCCCAGAAATCAAAAGTAAGATACACCCTACGAGATTGATCACAAGCGTTACGATAAGTTCTAACCATTGTGCGTATAATAACTTTCCGACGGTCTGATGTTCTGTAGGCATGGTTGTGATGTCATGATGAAGGAAAGGAAAGACTGATGTCAGCTTAATCTCTCTCCCTCTCTCTCTCCCTCCCTCTCTCCCTCCCGTCCCCACGCTATTCCGACTACATTGGGTATCTATAAGAGATACGCAGGCTAATGACAGAGAGTCATCTAACGAGTGTTCTCGAATGAAGATTATTCTAATTCTACTGAGAAAGTTACTGACGACCCTGAGCTGCACGCCGCAGTCAAAGGACCAAACGGTCGCAAGTATCTCTACCAGGTTTGAAGAGTATAGATACAGAAGAGATGTGAGAAAAGGTATAGAATGACTCACAAGGAGGCCAATTATTCCTATAAACCCCAACTTCCCTCTCCCTTTGACCGATAGCAGCCTCCCTCTCTCTCAATTGAGCCTCATAAGCATCCAAATCCGCTTTTCTCTGTTCTGCAGTCTTTTGTCCTAAACCAAAGCTAGGTAGACCATATCCTACTCCTGAAGTCGTAGGAGCAGCAGTAGGTTTAGAACTCTGTCCTAATCCCCTAGCTGTATCTTGCGAGTCGAGGGAGAAAGCGGAATCGTTAGAATGTATGAAAGGGTTTTCTGAGTGTAAATCGGCGGTTGACTCGAATGGGTTGGAGTCTAGTGGTTGAGGAGGATCGAATGGGTTCTCTGATTGTGCTGTGGGTCAGTCAACAGCGGTAGAGGAGTAAGGGGAGGGACTGACATGGCATGGTGTAGTGTAAGTCACTGATCACTGAAGAGGACGTCTAGGGGGCGTGGAGGAAGCTGTGGTACGCCCACGGAATTAGGCTTATCAGACATCTAAGATGGGGAAAAGATACGTGGGAGGAGAAAACGGTGACGCACTTGCTTCGGCCAAGGGGCAGGCAGTTCTACTCACTAACTTACTTGATGCCTTGCCATCTTGCTCAGAGGAGTCCTATGTTGTGGTCAACATAGTTCATCTGGATCGATTGGCAATGACGGTCAGATAGTGATAATGGTCAGATTTTATTCCAAGACACATTCTTAGTGAGTTTTCTTTTGCCCCACTGTTCGTATCACCATCACCTGTCGCCGAGCACCTCCCCTATATATCTGTTGCAAAAATTGCCCCCTTATACCGCATCAATTTGATACCAAACAGCTAGCAGCTCGTAATCTAGAGAATACCAAGGAGGTATATGAATGTGCACGAGTGAAGGTATGATAACTGACCTCAGCCCTGAACCGACAGCAACACCCCTTTTGGCATTCTTCCTCCGTTATCCCAACCCATTCGCCCGACATGTACTCTCAGTAGACGTCCTCTCCCGTCGGATAGATCCTCAAACAGGTCAATTACATACCACTCGACTTATTCTCAAACGGGGTATATTACCTAAATGGGCGAATCAGTGGTTACCTGTCGCTGGCGCTAGTGGAGGAAGGGGTTTAGATGCTTGGGTTTTGGAAGAGAGTGTTGTGGATCCTCCAGACTGGGGAGATCCCTCGAGCGTGGCTTCAACTTCAATTCACTCTCCTTTTACAACATCTGTCTCACAATTGTCATCTTCAATATCATCTTCACCATCACTGTCTCAATCATCATCGTCATCAACACCAACACCAACAACAGAAACATTATCTCAATCAACAACACCATCATCAACTTACCAATATGTATCATCTTACGAAGACCAGAGGACGGGGTCGGTACTAGAGACGGCAGAAGAGGAAGAACACTCAAGAAGACAACCTAGACTACGTGTGGTCCAGGGGAATTTGAATCATCGGAAGTTCATGCACGTCATAGAAGGTGGGGAGATAGTTGCTGGTCCAAATGGGTGAGTTCACTTCTGTTTTCTTCAACCCTTACATCTCTTAGCACTCTCCTGAGTCGGATCTCTTCGTCGACTGTAGTTGTGTGTGTGCGAATCATGTTTCATGTGACAGTGGGGTGTTTTGTGACGAGAACGAAATGCTAATGAAAAGAAGCACTCTTCATCATACCACCGCTGAGATCCGGTCCAACTTTGGAGGAGCTTGGTCTAATTTAGTCAGACAGAGAATAGAGTCGTATGGAATTGGGAAGTTTGAAGTAAACACCGAGACGGCGAGAAAAGGCATGGCGTTGATATTGGATTTGTTACGAAGACGAGAGCCACTGCCGGGGAGAGAAGAAGTGGATGATGAAGAGGGAAAGTGAGGTATGATCCTTATTCTGTATCACGATGACTATATGCAATGGGAGGGATGACTTGAATAGCTTTGGCTGCACAAGTTGTATGTTTTGTATTTGTATGCATCTACGGTTACTAACTCGGTGTGTGATAACGAAAATGTGTGAAATCCCACGTATGGTCCCCTACACCTCCTTACAGGTAAAGCAAGCAATTTCGCCCTCAATGCTCATCCATAGCTATACATGCAAGATGTGGTCCATACTACGACAAACCACAGTCCTACCATCTACATCCCTCTTGTCTCGCCCAGTGATCTTTGGTACCTTACACAATTTCCCCTATAGTTCCTTCTCCACCCCATTCGATCGTCCCTCTCCTCCTCGTCTCTCACCCCAATCGTCCCCCTCATCCTCTCCTGCACCAGCACCATCCCCTCAATCATCCCCAGTACAGCCATCCCATACGACAACCCTCATCGATCCTCCCACCGAAACCACCGAAATCACCGCTACGTCCGAACCCACCGAACCCACCAAACCGACCCCATCGTCCGTACCTCCCAAACCAAAACCCGAAAACTCACTCGTTTCAGGTCTCCTATCTGTCAATCCGGACCCCAACGCATGGTGGACCCTTCCGTCTATAGGAGGTACGCCATGGAACCAATTCTCCGGTAGGTCAATGTCTCGATTGAAGAAGAATAGTTTGCTCGCTAGTATGAGCGCGGTGATGGGTGAGATGACGAAATCGGGTATGAGGACAGAATTGATGAGATGGAGATTTCATGAGAGACCTAGTGAGGAGAAAAGGAGAAGAAGGAGTGAAAGACATAGAAGAAGATTTCAGGAAATGGTGAGTTCGTTTGCTTCCTTATTTCCATGTTACATGAGTTACCTACTACCATATGTCATCTCGACACATGCTTGACTTTGAACCTCATTCCGACCTTCCATCTGGGAATGTTGACACATCTCACGTACCCTATCACTCATCTTCATTGGATTCTTACTCTTCAGCTTGGCACTTTGGGACCTCGTACTCATCTTCTCCTATCTTTCACTTGTCACTCTATGATCTGCGAAAATGAAAACGATGTGGACGAGATACCAATCCCGTGTGCAAGACCTTCGCCGTTAACTCACAGGTCCGAGAAAAAGTTAGACTGGTCAATATTCTACGTACGCGTAATTAGACCTCTCCCAACTCTTTTTCTCGATATCGTCAGGAAAGCCCAATCACATGCATCTCTTTACTTCTTCTGCCTCGCCATCCATTCTTCCAAACTAACGACTTGCCCCGACTCATTCAATGTCTGATCAGGATTCATGTCGTATGTCCCTTCTACCGTCTCTTGTAGGCTCACCAATCCCGTCCAGCTTTGTGATACATAAGGTTGGTAAAACCCTCCTCCCGTACCTCCCCTGTACGTCGCAGGATCATCAGGCAACATGGCCAAAAGAGTACGATCTTCCATCAATGCCCAGTCCTTCTTCCATGCTACCTCTTCAATTTTGGTTTTTACAAGTTGATTCCACTGACGTGACATGTTCGTCAACTTGGTCTCTGTCGGATTTCCAGATATTATTGTCGAGGCGGTATTCTCTGCATGAGATACCAAATCATCGATGGTAGGTCGTTCTGAAGGTTGTGTAGGGGATAATAGGAAAGAAGCTCGAAAGATTGGGTGATAACTACTGGTTTGAATGTCTGCTGCCCAGTTGAGAGTAAAGATACGCCGGTCAATGGTTGTCATGTCATCAAGGTCTTTAGGCTAAGAGAATATACAAATTGGACTATCAGAGGGGAATGTTGAGTAGGCTTATATGACCAGTGAAACGGTGATGGAGAGAGGGATGTTGAATTGATACGGAAAAAGAGATGAAAGGTTTGATAAATGAACATGTGATGAGAAGCAATTCATTTCGTGTCTCACATCGAGCCTCGTTTATAATATAATGGACTGTGAAGACAGCTCAAAAATGGAGTGAGATCTTTGCAAGCTTGAATATCATCTTCATCCACCCCTTGTTGTCCTAACGTCATAGGGGCATAGGCGGCCATAGGCCATAGGGGCATCGAAATCCATGTTGTAATTTATGACTACTCTATCCCCACTTTCCCCACTCTCTTCAATTCCGACTTCTTTGCAACGTCCAATTTCCAACTGACTCTGAGCTTACTTGTTGACCACGGGTTCAACGCACAACGTATCTATCTTCTTACCCGACTCAATTTCTGGATACAACAGAAGATGCCATGAACGACACATAGATAGATGATTCCTCTCTCTGGGTTAGTTTCACCGTTTAGGGGTCAATGTTCTCTCAGAAATTTCTCCTCTTTCCCCGAACTCGGTCGATCTATAATTTTCGACCCGCCTTATGACCCTAACCCTCCCGGAGGCCTGAGGGCGTGGAGACGTGAAGAGTTTGCTCGTCAGCAGAAGGAAAGTAAGGAAAAGATCGAAAAACGAAAGGATCCTTGGTGTACGTTTTCTCTTTCTCTCCTCTCCTCTCCTTAATGTTTTGACCATCATCTCTCTTCTCTCTACCACTCTTGTGCTATTTGACGCCAAAAGAAGAGGTAGATATAGGGAATGGGAAAGTGAGGCTGGTCAATCAAAAGAAATATGGCTCAGAACACTGAAACACAGCCGTCTTGGTCAATACACCAAAAAGACAATGTATCCTTACTCGTCAGATTTTACCATGTGGTATGTTCCTCATCTCAACCTCTTCACTCAAACACCTTTACAGTCTCAATACTCTAACCTCTGAATTTCTCCTCTCCTCTCTCGCTCTCTCGCTATCCCTCCTCGCATCACCTTTTTCTCCCACTAAACACCTTGACAACCTTAGCACACAAACACCTCCCATCGCGCTGTCTCTCAACTTACAACCACCTTCAATCCTTATTCACAGCAGGTACAAACATGAGCATCCTTATCTCACCTAGCTATGATGCGAAACTGTGCTACAAATGATTTGAGAATTATGACTGACCCCAAAAGGTTTCATGATCAACCTTCGTCCAACCATCCATCCAAACCATCAAACCAACCTTAACCCTCCTCTCATCTTACTTCCCGATCGTATCCAACATCCTAAAATCTTACCACGTAAGAAAGGTAAAGGAGTTTGGGTGACTTGTCATTATGAATCTCTTGGACGTTTACTCATACCCGGTAAAGTCTTTTTTTCATCTTTTTTCCTTCACAAGTTTTTCCTTCACAAGGTTTCCCTTCAAAAGTCAAAGTATTGATCAAATAGGACCTCATCTTGGTATTTTACAATCTTTTCATTCTTTATCTATACCCACTTCTTTACCTCGAATAGTATCGCATCAGCTTCAATTACGTATCCAACAAGAATTTTCAATATTGATACGACGTTTGAGAGCTAGACCAAAAGATGAAAGAGGGTTAATTCACCGTCTTGACGTTTCATCCTCCTTCATATCGGACTCCTCATCTCCTTTACCTGAATTTCACTCAGGTGAAAGTTCGTCAATATTTGAGAGTACTGGTGATTCTATGACTCAAAGTTCCGATGATCCCGTCGAAGATCGTCTGGTAAGTATTTCAAAGATAGAGGAGATTGAAGTAGATGGAAGTATGTTGGACCAAAAGGGGAATAAGATTGATAACTTTCTCGAAGAAGTAAACATACCTAGAGACACCATAGCATTATTCATATTTCATCCCCAAACATCTTCAAACATCCACACAAATCAGAGAAATGAAGATCCAAGCATTCCAGTCGACGACGCCCGATGGGGAGATACTTTTATTCGTTCGGATGGAACTCAAATACCTATCTATCACCTCGATCTCTTTCCCCTCGAAAATAATCCTCTCCAGGAGTTACACACCTTGAGTCTGTTCAGCCAATCAGGAAGTACAGAAGTGGGAGAAAAGGCGACGAGTCAAGTTTGGGCGCTTGACACTTCAGCTCCGTGGGGTCATCTGGGAGTTCCGTTGGTTATGGCTTTATGGAGATTAAGGATGTATCATGGATATGAGTGGGAACAAGTTTCATGAGCTTTGAGATCAAGAGTAGAGTCTCAACATGACATATGTCTGTGTTGAGGGGACATGAGGATGGTGAGCTTAGGACAAAGAGGGTCATTGTTTCAGCGACATGAGAGGAACGCAGAGAGGAATTATATGGGTCTTTGTTGAAGTGACGAAAGGAGGGAGAGAAGAACGGGGAGATTGAGGGAACAATAGAGTATCATATATAACATCTAAACAGAAATCATGATGCATCGATCGACACGCATACAAGTCAAAAGACGGAATGTGAGTCATTCCGTTTATTTGGTTCATGAGGCATAAGGGTTGCCTGGTTGTCAGCGCGGCTCTCTGCGTCTCCAGGTAATCCGTTTCAGAGGTAACATGACGAGCAGTCGTATGCTTCGTAAAAGAGTATCGACGACGACAATTCAAATACGCATCCACAGAAGCTCGAGGAAGAGCATATATGAGGGATTGGAATGGTGTGAAAATGGACAGAGTAGCACAAACAGGATGGGCGGCACAAGTTTCAAGTGTGATGGTCGAAGAGACGAGATCAATTGAAAAAAAAACACTCACAAGCATACACCACTAAAACGGGTGGACTCTTGGTCATATCACTAGTCACTATCACTGGAATCTTCATCAACCTCCTCACATCTTGTATCTTATGACCTCCACTGATTCTCAACCCATCAAACTCCAATGGAACTCCATGAGCCGATGTAGCATACTGGCTAGAACGCACGATCAAACTTTCGCTCGGTTCGAGCAACTTGGCAGCGTCGGAAGCGCGAGAATGGTCCGAGTTTACCTTGAAACTTGATATTTGACGAGCGTGAATTTTAGCCAGATGAGGATCATCTGATTCAGAGACGAGGTAAGAGAGGACATCTTGTGTTGTCCAATAGAGTGATAAGACATCACGACCTTCGTCGAAGAGTGTATTTTCGAGAGGCATCTTATCTACGTGAACCCGTTTTTCGACTCCGAACTCGGGCTGTGGGTCAGAGCGTGTCTTCCATCCAAATCCATACACTCCAGCATGACATAGCATGAACACGACTCGCGGGAGCAATGCTTTCACAATTGTAGCCTTGAAATCAAGGTCGAAAAAAGGGAATGTAGAGCTAAATCATATCTGGAGAGGGTGTGTGTTGGGGGGGGGGGGGGTCAACAAGGTAAGAATGTCATGCACTCACAATAAACACGTCAAATGCCGCATCTAACACACCCAACACACGCGCCTCACGAACCACAGGCCCATACTTCTCGGTAAGATCATGTATCAACATACACAAGTAAAGATGTATAGACTGGTCCTCTGCGAGTTTTGCGTTTTCTGTTTCATCAGCTCTACCGCTGCTTTCTTCACAAGCGAATACTGATGAGATCGCGCATGTGTGCTGATACAGGACTAAGTAGTGAATACTTACGCCTCTTCATATTGCATTGCTGTGCACACTTGGCAACGGCATCGCGGTCCATGTGGAATTTCACATCGGTGGGGTTTGCTATCGTTCAGCTGCATTCCCTCGTGGAAATTTGGTAGCTCACGACTTGTCAAACACGCATCCAACATCCTATGAACGAGCACATCGGCCTAAACATGAGCTCAAATACCATGTTCAGAATGATCAGCTCACATATCGTCGGATCGGAGACTGGCCCGTCAGCAGCAGACACGTAAGATACAAGTAGACTTACGGTGAAATGAGTGTACAGAGGAATGTTCAAGGCCCAATGCCAATATTTGGCAATATCCAGCATACCGGTGCAGAAGTATCTCGCCCTGAACGTCAATATACATCTTTATGGTCTCAGAGAGGGGGAAGAAAGACTGACTGTTGCATCGACTTCCGCTTCAGCAATTCCAGACATACTGCCGCGTCCTCGTCTTCCACAGCTTCGAACGATTTTTGTAGCGTACCAGCGGAAGCAGGGTCAAATGTGTATCCCAGTTTCTCCGCTCTTTTGACAAAGCCGGCCTGAGAGTCAATTCAGATCAGGTCACAGATGGATAAATTGCAAGGCTCACTAATCTTCTCTCGATAGGAGGCTCATGTCGACGTAACAGGGCTTGTTCGGGCAACCCGCTAGCTATGACCTGTGCGATTGACGTGTTTGCCAACAGCATGAACTCCTCGACGAGCATGTTCGAATCTGTCTTTTTCTGAGAACGACAGTCAATAGGGCGACCTTCCTCGTCCAAGGTGAATGACAGTTTGATTTTCTTGGCGAGCATGGCACCATTGTCTAGTCGCCGATCTCGAAGTTTGGCAGAGAGTACCTACGTGTCAGAGAACTATCCCGACGTGTAGACGAAGAAAATCCGTAAACTTTGATAGCGGTATTGGGAGAGTGATGATGAGAGAGTCTCTTAACTGACATAGAGAGCCCGTATATCATCTTCCACAGCCGACGTGCTGTGGGCGACAATCTTGTCGGGAGGCAGCAAACTGCCAGTGATGACATTTTGCACATCGGAGTACGATAACTGAGCGCAAGATCTGCTTAGTGAGCGTAGCAATCTCACCCTAAGCTTCAACCCGTCAAGTATTGTCGGCCGATGTTGACCACAAATCACATCACGCAGTTCGAGGGATGGCATTTGATTACGACTCGATGATGACGAGGTCGAGGATTGTTAGGAGGTTTCAAAGACGACCAAGAAACAAGGAGGGAGAGGGCTAGTGCCGCTTGAAAATGGTGATGAGACTCACTTGATGACACTCCGTCCAAACGATTTATCCAAAACAACACCGTCTTTACTGACGATGAACATGGCAGAGAAAGCCAATCGCTCTTCTCCTGGTCGAAGGGAACACAAACCCTCGCTCAATTGCGGGGGTAACATGGGAACAGCACGTTGAGCGAGGTAAACGGTGGTACCTCGTCTTCGGGCTTCTCGATCTAAAGCAGAATTCGTTTTGACTGATATCAGTATTCCTATCCACAACCCTTATTCTCGCAGAAGGCACCCCATGTGGGCGCAGATCATCGAATCATGCAACTCAAGGCATGGCACATGCGGGCGGGGATGACATCGGGGAATTGTCACACAGACGGACATGCCACGCGGATCAGCCTGTTCGCGTGAGAAGAGAATATGGAAGAGAAGAAAGAAGACCAGAAGACTCACCAAAGTACGACACGTCGGCTATATGCACACCCACCAAATAATTGCCTTCGGCATCGCTGGAGATACTCAAGGCATCGTCCAAATCTTTAGCGTTCGGTGGATCGATCGTAAACACCCTTTCACCTCTCAAATCCGTCCTTGCCTCTATATCCCTCTCCGGAATAGCAAAAGGCAACGGTGGGACGCATTTCAAGGCGGATTCCGAAAAGTCCTCCGTCGGGAAATTACAATCTTTCAACAATGCGGCAGTCTCCACCTCGCAATCCCCAATCGGACCTAATTCTTCTACCAAAGTTCCAAAAGGATGTAAAGAACTGATCGGCCAACGTTTGATACAAGCCACAAAGAGACGTTCGGCATAAGCATCAGGATTGTCCATAAAGTCAGCCGGAGCTTGATCTGTTGGGATAGCCATGAGAGGAACACGTTTGTCAGTGGGTTTGAACCAAACGATCTTTGGTTTCGCTTCGTTTCCTCGTTTAACTTTGGACTCCTCTTCGCCTCTTTCGCGACGTTCCAGGTCTTGTTTCTCCTTCGTGGCGACAGAAGAGGGTCGTAAAAGCCCTAGTTGACCGGAGAAGAGTTGAGCGGGCATACGTTCGACGACAGCTACGACGTGTCCGGCATATGCAGGTCGGGCTTCGTCGGTCACTTCCTCGTCTTCGAACAGAGTCAATCCTTGACCTTCTACCTCCACATCATCTTTCTTCTTTTCAACTCGTTTATGAGGTTTCGTATCGTAATACCCGCTCTCTTCTTTCTTGCGTTTCTTGTCTTCCTTGTCCTTTTTGGTGACCCACACTTCATCGACATCAAGAAGTTCGACGGCTACAATGTCTCCCTCCAAAGCTCGGTTCCGGTCTCTTGAGCCGCTGATGTAAATGTCGGCGTCCAGGACATCCGTCGCAACGTAAGCATCGGATCGATTCTTCTTGTTGACTCGCAAAACACCAACCACCAACTTGCCAGCGGCTAGCAAGGGCGGCAACGACGTTTGAGGGAGATAAGGAGCGAAGAGAGACTTTCGAAGTGGACCTTGAGCACTTTGTTGCAGTTGCAACTGGAAAGCTTGTTGTTGTTGCCAAATTGTCTGCCCCGCTGGCGCCTGCAGTGTTGTTGCCGCCAATAGGTTTGGAAGGATATTGGGGAAGCTGAACGAGGCCATCTTTGCATGACCGCCCCCAGCGGCAGCCCGGAATTGTCCAAGGGATTGGAGTTGAGCTTGAGCAGCCGCGAGATCGGCTACACCTCCTGAGATTCCTCCTCCTTGTGAACGCCATGAGCCAGACTCGAAGCCACCCCGAGAACCAGAGCGATGATGCCCCGCGCCGTTGGGTAAACCCTCAGGGAGATCGGATATACTGCCAATGCTGAACCCAGCGCCGTGGCCCGCAGGCTTGTTGAACACGTTGACGCTATGACGTCGATTGTGAGATGATTGGCTTTCGTTAAACCCGCGAATGACTTGCTGCGCTTGGTAGGAGCTGGGCGGTGATTCGGGGTGCACAAATGGATTGGCAAGTTGGTCGGGCAAGCTCGCAGTGGGCAGGCTGGATTGTACACGTCTGTGACGGGCAAGGTTCTGGGTAGGGGTTTGTTTCTGTTGATTGTGCATGACGTTGCTGAGATCTTGAAGAGGCGAGGAGCCGTGTGCGCCGGCTTCCTCTTGCATCAATGCCTTTTGTTTGGCTTGCAAAGCTTCAATCTGTTCTTGTAACTCGAGCTGTCATCAGCGCCTACTCTGCGTTGGTCGTTGCACTCACTTGTTGCTGCATGGCCGGCGAGATCTCGCTGCCTGTCCTTCGATGTGCCCTTGCCGCTAGGCCAGCAAGACCAGTAGCAGCTGCACCCCCGATACCCTCGCTTCTGTTGATTGTGACGGGATGCTGAGACGGAGATGTCACATCATCCCGGACCGGCGACAAAGGACCGGGTTGCTTGGCACCGAAGGTAAATGTCGGGGCGAGTTGTGGACGACCGCTGGGACCTAAGACGGCCGTGTCATCATCTTCCTCGAAAACAGGCTGAGTATGCCCGAGAGAAGCTTCACTTGCTCTGGCTTCCTCTTCAGCACGCTGCTGCAAAAGTTGCTGCTGCTGAAGCTCGAACAATCGTTGTGCTTGAGCTTGAGCGTGGGCTAGTTGCTGAGCCTGCTGTTGTTGCTGGGCGAGACGTTGAGCTGCCAAAGCTTGGAAGCGAGGAGCAATAAAACTGCTTTGTTGCTGGTGCTGTGGTTGATGTTGTTGTTGTGCTTGTTGTTGAGCGAGTTGATTCGCCGCAATTTGTGCTTGTAGCAATTGAAGTTGTTGAAATTGCATTTGGTGCTGCGCGTACAGTTGTTGAGCAAAACTGTCTTGGTATAAAGGAGAGAGCGATTCGTGTTGAACTTCAGGCATTGCAGACAGAGGGTTTTGGTAACCGATGTTGTAAGGAAGTGTCGGGAGACTCTGAGGATATACAAGAGGAGATGGGCCGAGTTGGGGTACCGCAGGAGCATGAGCGGATGATGTTGACATGCGAGAGGCTTGCGTTCTGTTGCCGCCTTGTGATGCCCTCCTGGGTTTAGGTGTGTGATCTGCAGGAGAAATGGACAATCCGGATGTTACTGGAGAGACGGAGGTAGGTTGGAAGGATGATGGGGTGAAACTGGGCGCATCGGCTTTGAGCTTGGTGGAACCGCCTGCAGAACCGGGAATAGCGAGAGGTGCGGAAGGATTGGCAAATTTCGTATTGATGGGAGGTGGATTGATAGTACTTCCAGGTCTCGAACCTACGGGGGAACTACCTCGTGAACCTGTTGATGTGGTACCAACGGGAAGAGTCTTCAGATCCGATATCATCTTCTGTAAACTGCTCAAAGCGTCGCTGGGAGATTCTTCAGCTTGCTTTCTGGCCGCTACTTCTCTCGCAGCTTCCAATGCACTCTTTGGAGGGTGACGTGGAGCATGTATGACTCGTGAAGTGGTAGGAAGAGGAGCAGAGGAAGAAGTGAGGCCTTCCGCAGAACCGCCGTGACCATTGCTTGACACCGAAAGGGAGGAAGGTGTCGGTAGTGGCGCAGCTGGGGCAGTGTTCATGGGCTTTGGTTTACTGCTGCTACCTCTACGCTGCGCATTCAAATGTGGTTTGGATTGTCCTTTTTCCTTTTCATCCTTCTTTTCTTTATTGCCTCTACTTCGTCCACGATCACGATGTTTGCCGCCATCGCGGCCGCCCGATTTGGGACCGAGACTGGTGCCACCGCTGATGGTGGTGGTGGCGCCAGATTTCTTGACAGTGTCGTTGTCGTTGGAAACGTCGCTTTGACCTCTGGAGGAGAGGGAACTGTTGCGCGAGATGCTGGATGAATTGTTGGAAGATCCTCCTCGACGTTTGGAACGGGAGTGAGAGTGGGGACGTGCGGGTGGAGGTGCGAGAGTAGAGGCGGATGTTGGAGTAGGTGCAGGAGCTGGAGCTACATCGGCCATGATGGAGACGAAGACTTGTCTGGATGAGCACAGCTCAAGAGTAGGACGACGTGTGATTGATGCACGAGGAGACGGTAAGAGGGAAAGAGGAAAAGGGTGACAGATATGAGTAAAACGGACGCACGAGGTAAAACGGAGAGTGTGTGACAAGAGGTCGGTTATTCTACCCAGTTGGGAATGGACCAGCAGGTGGCCAAATGGATCACTGATCACTTAAATAACAACTGCCGAGATGACGAGAGTGAGGGGAGAGATGATAAGATGATCGGTCAGGGAGTCGAGTAGAGTCTGGGAGTACGAAGGGATGAGAGATGAGAGATGTAGACGGGTAGCCAAGGTGACGAAGAGGAGTAGGGGGATGGGAGTAGAGGGTAGAGGGGGAGGATGGGAAGGAGAGGAGGCCTGTGCTGCACGCGTCCCTGCAGAGAGAAAAGAAATCGTCATGGCCATTGATCGCCGCCACACTCCGGTACTCCGGACTTTGTGGCAGTCAGTCTCGGGGCTCCGCGATAGCCAACTCGCATAACCTTCCAGCCAAGGCATGTGTGACCTCTACCATGAATGATAGGCTATCAGAGCGCATAGATCATAGATCAGAGAGATGGCAAGATGGACTTTGCTCCATGCTGCATGCTGCATGCCACATTCCTTACCCAGCGCTTGTCTCTCTCTACATGCGACCCTCCTCCAACTGCATCCGGTATTCGCCGCCCACGAGCCACAAAAGGTAACTTACCACTCCACACCATTTCACTCGCATCTCTCCAACTCATAATCCCATCTCATTCCTACCAGGATCCCAAGGAGTTCAACAAAATCGAAAGCCACCACTCTCATTGCTAGATGCAGATGCAGCATGCAGCTGTACCAAAATTAGACACGTGCGACAGTAGTTGATCTCCCCTTCAGGGCGTTTTCGTTCCTGACTCGTAAATTCCAACTCCATCCTTGCAAACTGCAGACATTTATACGACAAACTACCATGACTCCCCTGGTCCATCTTTTCCCTCGTATTTGTCTCCCCCACCACATCTCTCCACGATGAAGTACGGTAAACAATTCCAACAGATCCTCGAATCTGGTAATTTCCCACCGGAATGGAAATCGTCCGCTATCGAATACCGTCAAGTCAGTCATCCACCCCATTCCCCTTTCACCTCTACACGTCTTGCCCACTCGTCACAGGCGCTCGGATACAGGCAGACTCATTATCACTGATCCTTTTGAATCTACAGCGGTATGCCATGAGACACTATGAGCTGACAATCAGCTCAAAAAATTGATCAAAGATGTCGTCCAAGAACTCAGCTCCATGGGTCTCTCTCCTCAAATACTCTCAAAGCTTATGGTCACTACCGAATCTTCTTCTTCACTCACCACACAGGCTGATACAACCCCCCACAACGTTGGAACTTCAGAGGAAGATGAAGAGAGACATGGGGAATTGCTCGAGTTCGAATTTGAATCCGACGATTCTCCAATACTCTCTTCCACTCGGACCGCTCAAGTGCCCAAGGATGTTCTCTTGAATTTGTACGATACTGCACATGAACAAGAGATAGAATCTAGAGGTAAATCAGTAGAGATACCGAGACATAGATTTCGACTGAGATTGTTATCGGCATCAGCTGCGGAGAATGAGGAGAGACCGATCAGACCTATGGGCGTGACAGATATGATCAGAAGGCATTCCGAAGGGGGATCGACTCTTGGTGAATCGTCTGATGGGGAGAAAGAAGGAGAAATGAGAGGAAGGAGACTGAAAAGAACTGTGGTAGATGCTCAGAAAGGTGTCAAGGCGGAATATGTTCTCGTCGGTAAGTCGCAGCATGGGGACAATATGAAAGCTGATCTATCAGGAGAAGCTTCTAGACCCGTTCCGCAATTACGATTTCATTTGTCTCCTACTTCTATTGCTACACCTCTTCCGGATCTATTGCCAGAGCCAGTCCCTATGGTCTCCCAGGAGGACCCTGTTTTGGAAGACGAAGATGACGATGAGGAAGAGGAAGAAGGATTACCTGAAGTTGGACAAAGACCCGAGTTGAGGGAAACCGATATCTTACCTCCTAGTCCGACTTTGGGTAGGGTCCGACATGCTGCTTCTCCCATATGGGCACTGGCATCTTCCAAACGACAAGACCCTATCCCAATCTCTTTGGGCGAGCCTGCTGGTTCTGATCCCTATATCATTCCTTCTGACCATCATTCCACCTCAGATCTGATCGCCCCCGGAGAAGTAGCCAATCATCAACTAAACTCCCCTTTATCACATCCGGGAACTTCGACTTCAGGTCTGGAAGGGATCGGAAAAGAAAGAAACATCATCATTCCCCTAGCTTCCGATATGGCATTCTTCAACCTTCTCACTGCTGCCTTACTCTCCCTTTCAGCTTTTCATACCGAACAGCAACATCTTTTCCGTGAATCAGTAGAAAAGCTTTGTCGATTAATCTCTCAGTCCATTTCTCCTGGTGAACCCCCGGAAGTACTTTCTACCCCTTTGACACCTTCAGACATCCCCCAGCCGTTTTCAGGAAATCGGAATACCACCTTGATACATGCTCCGAAGAAGAAAGATAAGAGTGGCAAGAAAGATTTATACGTTTGGAGGGAGATCTTCAGTTTATGGATTGAACATGAGATTTTCGAGTCACATGCGGAACGGACGAGAGGAGAGAGAAGTGTAGAACAAGCTGAGGAAAGGTTGCAGAGGTTTGCGAGGGAGGTAGTTAAACGGGGACTAGGGGATAGAAGGACTATAAGAGGTAGAAAGACGAGGGAGAGTTGGGAAGAGTTTTTGAGATTAAACGTTTTGTTATTGGATTTGAAAAGGTTTCAATTAGCTAATTTGGATGCTGCGAGAAAGTAGGTCATTATTCCTCAACATCCGATCCCACACCCCAACATCACTGTTCTCCGCTCTTTCCTACGACCGATTCAGCCCTCACATTCTATATAGGAGGACCACGTTAGCTGGTGATATACAAACGAGAGACCTCAGGTGGTGCACTGGTCATCCATAGGCATGACAAGGACTGACCCGCAGGATCTTGAAAAAACACGATAAGCGTACAGCACTCTCAGCCTCTCACAACTTTGCATCCTTCGCTCTCACCACCCTTAAAGCCCCTTCCGACCCTTGGTCATTCTACCATACTTCTCTCCCTCATGTCCTCCTAACTTCATTGACAGACGTACTCTTACCCATTTTACCGAGTTTGGACGATTACGCATGTCTTATATGCACCAGCATAGCTTTTAAACCGATTCGATTGGCTTGTGGACATTTATTCTGCGTGAGATGTTTGGTTAAAATGCAAAAAGCTGGAAAGGGTGAATGTCCTTTATGTAGAGCTCATGTGGTGTTGTTGGCGGATAAGAGTGAGTAATTTTTTCACTTTTGGTTACTTCTTGGGCATCTTTCCATTCCTGCTGCTCGAGTTGTTCAATGACATCCGCATCGTATAACACTTCATAAATTCTGATGGTCATGGAAAATGAAACTGACATTTAGCTTCACTAGATACGACGTTAATGAAGTGAGTCTTCTCCTCTCCCTCATCAACTTGTATGGTTGGAAAAGAACGCTGACAAAGAAGTTTTATGAAATCATGGTTTCCAAAAGAAGTTCGAGTGAAGCAGAAAGAGAACGAAGCGGAAGTAGCTAAAGAACAAGCTATGGAAGCTGGTATCGATCCGAAATGTATAATCATGTGAGGGGGAAAGAGTCGTTACGAAATGTCTTACTTGTATGGATTGTTTGTTGTTGTCTACTGAGATGTATGAGCATCGTTCTGATATCTCTCTGTTCTATCTACGATCTTCGATCTGTTCAACTGTGCTCGTACTTGCAGTTGTGAGCTCCATGGCTGCCGGCTGCTCCTTCGCTGCATGAGGGTGTAAAGTAGTAAGGTAAGGGTCAAGCCACGTGGTAAATGTCAAGGAACCAAAGTTTAATCGACGTGTTTTAAAGTCTGACGCCCCACCCTATGTATCCACCTTGTCATCACATCTCTATTCACATTCCCAACTCTTTATACCAACATAGTATCCACTCGTCCATACACAGTACCACTCCCTCCACACACCTCATTCTCTTCACTTCTCACGCTTTCGCATCTCCCAAACTCCCATCTTTTGCTCATTCCTTAGACCCCATCACCTCCTCTCCCTCCTGCCGCTTCTTCTTTCGTTCGAGGGAACAGCTATCCCTCTGAATCCTCTGCATTAACATCTTCTTCTCCCTCACATCTCTCTTGTCGAGGACTCAACTCCATCGTGATTAGAGAATATAACTATACAACACACACCTCACACAGAACAGAATCATGTCCCGCCCTCAAACTCCCCTTGGTCTGTCACCAAGAGGTTCCTACGTCAACTTGGCAGCAGCAGCAGCGGATCAATCACCCCTCCGAACCGTAGATGAAAAAGGTAGGATCAAAGCTGAAGCTGAAGTACATGCAGCATTGATGAAAGCTGCCGATGGGGCTGAAAGGGCGAAGAAAGAAGAAGTTGGGGTTCCTGCTAGTTCTCCAGGTGAGTTTGATCAAAACCTTGCAATATTCTTCTTCTTCTATCATTTTGTCATAATTGGACACTCGCTCTGAGTGAAAATCACTATCGTTTAATGTATAACATCACTTGAAGACGCCATTCCAGGAAATATCAACCAGTACAAGTGGTATCTTGGATACTTGCAGAGGTAGACAATGAAGACATGTCAGGGCGCAGGAAAAGATTTCATTTACAAGGATTGATGATCGATCTTTTCCTCTTTTCTTGGCATCGCACGAAATCAATTATGAAGGTTTTTATACGTCACAAAAATCGCATGTTGCTATAAATGTATGATGCCATATTTTTGTAGAGGATGAGAAATGGAAGGTTAAGGACGGGGAAGGGGGAAGGGGATGAATTGAAAGTTTGAACATCGCTAATGACAGTCTGGCCGATATTGAGTTATTGCGTAGCTAGTATCATGATGACTGTCACGAATAAATTTGTAGTTTCAGGAAGTCAATTCACCATGACGTTCTTGCGTGAGTTTTACTTGACTTTACTTCTTTCCTTCGCAGATCCCACCTGTCTCAGACATTCCACTCCCCTCTGCCATATGACCTTCACCTTTGGTCTCTTCTGCTCTCTGGAACCTCTCCATACCAGTGTTCCTCTCACTCCTCGAACTTCCTCAACATGTCTTCTCAATCTGCGGCTTTTTCTGCATCTCTTGTCCCGGTCGCAGATGAATAGATGGAACGACCTTGACTCTTGTGATAAGGATAGCTAATCCTCAGTTCTTACTGTCCAATCAGCCGTATGCGTAGCTTGTGTCTACACTGCCAAACGCACGGGTCTGATCGCTTGTGAGTCATCTATACTCAACAGTGCTTTGTGTCTTACTGACTTCAGTCCGCGATTTCGACATGACAGATGCTAAGGCTTGGTTCCCAGTGTCATTCTTGCTAGTGGCTGTCATTTATACAGGGTCGAAATCTCTCGTGGGTTATTCTTCAAATGATTTTGTGGATGCTGACGAAGATAGCAATTCCTCTCTATCCCAGTGTACACGTTAGTGTTCAGAGTCTTCCCTTAGGAAGTTGCTGATTCATTAGGATCTTCAAGAACATGACTATCATACTTATCGCCGCGGGAGAGACGGTCTTGTGAGTTTTTCCTCCGCTCATGTTGTCCGGTCTCGACACTCCTCTCGATACTCATCCTCCTCCCCTCCCTCGTCCCCGTCCTGTCCCTGCATTCCCCCTTGCCTTCATACTACAATGGCGTGTATGATCAATTACAAACCACGAGAGGGTTTTCGCCTACAAAATCACATCTTCAATCGCAACGGTCTTCAGTAGCAACCATGGGACTACCCATGCTGACTGGCAGATTCGGCGGATCTATCACTGGTCTAACTATCGTTTCTTTCCTACTCATGATTGGATCCTCCATCATCGCCGCCTGGTCTGACATTTCTACCACTCTTACGCGATTATCAGCTGGGATGGCAGTGGTCGATCCTACATCTGGAGCGGACGTACCTCTGCCTTCTGGCGTCATGAGTAAATTAGGAGCTGGTTATTTATGGATGTTGATCAATTGTCTTGCTTCTGCAGCGTATGTGAGTATCTGTTTTCTCTGCCTGTGCTTTTCTTCTTTTCAGGTGACACTACTTCCCCTCCGCCCCATTATTCGGTTTTTCTATCTTGCTATGTCCATCGACCCGCCCTCTCGTCCTCATTTCATATTCCATCTCATCAACTCCATCGCCCCCGCGCGCTGATAGTGCGAGGAAAGTCGGTGTCTCAACTAACATCAGGTTCTGTTCATGCGCAAACGTATCAAAGTCACCGGATTCAAAGATTGGGATTCAATGTTTTACAATAACCTTTTGTCCATCCCTGTCCTCCTCATATGCTCTCTTTTGGTAGAGGATTGGGGTGCGGCTAGTTTTGCTCGAAATTTCCCAGAGACTGGTCGAACTTTCCTGTTATTCGCCATCGCTTGTAGTGGTGCGGTAGCAGTGTTCATTTCGTATTCTACTGCTTGGTGCGTCAGGACATGTGGGAGTACTACGTATAGTATGGTTGGAGCTTTGAACAAGTGCGTGTCCTTTTTTGTCCTTTTTTTTTCCACATGGACTGTTTGATTGGATTCTCTCTCATTACCTTTGTCCACTGATACCTTGTCTGCGTCACTAGTTGACTGTACAACTCTAACGGTGTCTGTTCGGTTCCTTCCTGCCAATCGCCTGCAGTCTTCTTCGAAAAAGACATGTACCACTCCCCATCTTCACGCACACGTCTCAGACCATCCACTATCCATTCATTATTCAATCTCCCCACTTTCTCGAACGACAGATACGAATGACCTTTACACAACTCTCCTTTCCCAATGGTAGAAATGTAATCTCACGTCTGTAAAGTACCTCGTCAAAGTATAAGAACAAGAGTTGAACCCCCTACTAACCTCCAGATTACCCGTAGCAGCATCCGGCATTTTATTCTTTGGTGATCCCGCCAACCTCGGGAACGTCTCAGCCATCGCAGTGGGCGGGTTCGCGGGGATCGTTTACGCTGTGGCAAAGACCAACCAAGCTAGAGTTGAGAAAGCTCGTGTGGCTCGTGCGGGAGGTGATAAGGCGTGACGTGCTCTCCTGTGAGACGAGGAGTGATGGGTGCTAGGGGGGTGAAGGTTCAATCAATTTGGTTGTTTGCTATCCTTGCATATCAACATGCGGTCGTCAACAGCGGAGAAGGGGAAGGGGGGATGGGGAAGGTAGTGGGTGATGTGGGGCATGTTGGTAAAGGTTGCTTGGATTATACGTAGATTTGATTCCTATGACATATCATTTTTCCACAGAATAAACATCAATGGCAAATACAGTACTCGTACATATATATAGGTTGGTCATTGACTCATTAGCCCAGCCGTGAATTAACTCTCGTGTAGCTTGTCAATGATTTCCCATGGGGAGATCTTCACTCAGTACACATCACGTAACCCTTCCAACTGTCATCTCGTCATTTGACCCTGGGAGTGCTTCATACTATAGCAATGAATAGCATGATCGTAAGAAACAAAGTAAATAGAATATCACTGAAAGAGTCTGAAAGAGTTGAAAAGTAGGTGTGAAACAAAACACCATCCCAAGTTAAAAACAAAACAAATACATTCTCACATCTTCATCCTATTCTATTAGCTAAACCAACCCCATTCCTATTAATCCTTCTCATACCCGGTACAGTCCCAAACCCAACTTTTCTACCTAAACTTTGTAAAACCAAATCTGCAGGTTCTGGACTTTTGTTAAATCCTCTACCTCTACGTATAATCCCTTCTTCAGTTGAAGTTTCATTTAAAGGTTGTTGTTTTGTTGTATTATTTATAGATTGTTGAGCTGCACCTTTGATATATTGTTGAGCTGCACCTTTTACTTCGAGAGTTTGTATGGTAGGACGAATTGATATAGCTCCAGAAGTTGATTTTGATGGTTGTGAAAATTGGTTCATTGAATTTGATCGAATAGTCATTCCTCCTGTATTCTGTTGTTGATACTGAGGGAGAGGTTTGATGCTGATACCAATACCATTCCCATTACCATTCTGGTAAGATGGATTTGTGAGATGTAACGGTTTGTTGACAATGTGAGAATTCCGGATAGACATGGTTATGGATGGTGGAACAGACTGAGAATTCTGTATGGATTGAGGTTGAGTATAAATACTTGGGATAATAGAATTATTTGATGGATTTGATTGAATTTGAATGAGAGGTTTCAAAGGGAGAGAAGAAGTTGTAGAAGTTGGATTTATTCCAAATCCCATCCTTTCTTGTAACGTCAATCGGGTCATTGGGATTTGTTGATCCGTCGTCAAGTCTTGATTCTGTAAAATCGAATCAGGTAGAGAAGATCGAGTACGTTTAACATCACGTTCTCTATCCGTACCATCTACAACAGACGGGACAACGGTTGAATTGACCGGTGGTTTGACGGTGTCGGTTCGTGGACCGAGACGAGACAAAAGATTGGGTGTTGTGACTGATCGTGGTGTGGGATCGATAGATTGAGAAATCGGTGGTGTTGAGGATTGATCTTCCCTCCTTCGCTTCATAGAGTTTGAAGGACCAAGACGTTCTGCTAGTGATAGTTTCTGAGGGAGTTTCTGACTAGTTGAAGCTGCCTGAGGTTGGGTGACAATACTGTTACTGGTGGGAAGGACGGGGTTGACCACTACCGGTGGAGAAGTCTTTTTCGCAGGTAAAGGAGTAGATTGAACTACTGAAGTGGGCATAGGCTGAACGACAGGTGGTGGGATGGGTTTCGTACTGGCTGAATAGATGGTTGGAGGGATAGGGCCTAAACGAGAAGCGAGAGAAGTATCGGATGTAGCTTTTGATATGGAAGGTTGAGTTATTACTACCTGAGACGGTTGAATCGTCGCTTCTTGTCGTTTCGCTGGTATCGCAGAAGGTACCGGTGAAATTTGATGTTGCCGCTCATTCCTCACTTTGACGGTGTCAGCTTTGGCAGGAGGTGCGACAGGAGTTTCAACAATCTTTCGTGCAGGAGGCAATTCCGGAGTTGGCGGTCTGGCATGATTTCTTGTTTCCGACTTCTGAGAAGGTTCAATTTGTTTCGGCTCTGTTGGAATTGACACTTGTGACCTTTGCTGATTTTCCCGACGATGTTCTCGATCCCGTGCTGGACCCCGGGGTGGTTCTTTGATCGAATCTCGATGTTGAGTAGGAGATAAATCCCTTTCCCTTTCTCTCCGTCCTTCACGGCCTGCCCAACGATCTCGAGATTCTCGTTCCCGCTCGCGATCATTTCTCGGTCCAGTGGGTATGACGGCGGGCTTTTGTTGAATTGGGGCAGAACGAGGGGCGGCAGGTGGGATAGGTTTCCATGAGGGTATGACATCTATGATCTTTTGATGATGGTCCGAAAGGATCTAAGGTCAATTACGACCCCAAGATGATTCGAATGGTACGGAACGAAGATTGCAAGAATATAGGAACTCACCTCTGCAATAACACGGATATTTTCCCACGCCCTGACATCGCTGGAAGATTTGTTTGATACGATCCGTCCTGCATCTCGAGACAAGTCGAGCAAAGCACGACATTCAGGAGCTTTGATTCTCCTCCTTCTATCTTTCTAATAGAATCAGCGAACAGATCAGAGGACAGTATCCTGGAGAACTGACCATGACAAGCAAAGAGTAGATGCTATGAAGCAAAGTCTCCAGAGGTGATATCACGCTGGACTTTTCGGAAATATTTGGCCATACGGCCTAAAAGTCAGCAATGTCTTCAACGAGGAATAGCAATCTTACCAAAAGAGCATTCAGTAATGTATCGCATAACCGAGGCAATAGTTTCTCCTCCGTCCAATCGGTATCTCTCCCTGTTTCTCCATTCGCCCATCCCATCATCGCCTGAGGGATCCATTTTCTCAACCGTTCAATCAATTTCAACGCCACATCATTCCCCTTCTCCAGCCCCATGCTCACAATGACCGCCCCGTGTGCTGCCCAAAAAGCCAAAACGGCCCTCACGTCGACCGGAGGGGTTTTGTCGATAAACTGAGCAAACAACTTGCTCAAAGGTGCGGTTAGACCTTCCGAACTTCCTTCATGCAAACTATCCGTGAGAGCTTTCATATACCGAGTAGCAATTTCTTTCGTAGAGTTTTTGCCTGATATCGTAGAGAGTGGCATGAGACAACTGAGAACTTGTCTCGTCTCGGCTATAGCTGTTGTACTGAGTACTTCGAAGAAACCATCTCGAAAGACTTGTTCACTCTTGAGATCGTTTCCTGAATGAAGTATTGGCCCTAGGACGGTAGTGGATTCTGAGATAAAATCCAAGATGTTACGTCGAGATGCTCCGGTTTCTTCTTCGGATCCACGACAGTCATCTGCCATTATACCAATGACGTCGGAAGGACGAACGGAGAGTAGATTATATAGAGATTCTCGGACATATTGAAGTTCCAGTGGGGCTTCTACGTGAGCTCGGATCACTTTCTGTCGACGCATCTCGGATTCTACCGAGGACGTGGTCTATGCCTTTGCGACAGTTTGTCAAGGATGAGATAGACAGCCGGAGAGGGACGACGAAACTTACGACACTCTAACAATTGAAGGAGAACACCAGCGTTTCCTCTGACCCATTTCGGATCTGCTTTTGCGGTCGCTCCGAGACCTTTGATCCCAATAATTCGGAGCTGTCATCAGCACTATAACTCGTGTTGTCCAGAGACAGACATCTAGAGTCACTTTGTACAGACACATAGTGTAAGATTAGGGAGGGGGGGTGACGCACTTTTTCATCATCGTCCTCGCACAAGTCCAGAAGTCCATCCACCACGCCATCCTGTAAATCTTCGAATTCGGCGAAAAATTTGGCCACCAGAGTCCCGAAAGTAGCTTTGCATTCGTACACCGAGTAAGAGGGGAGTGTTAACAGATGAGTGATGCATGCACGGCGCTGGACATCAGTCTCGCAATTCATGGAGGGTCCGCGACTTAGTATGTATGGAAGCAAGATGGAGATACTTACATCGGCCTGAGTGGATGAAGGGCCTCCAGCGGCCGACAGTAAGGATCTTGCCCTGCCGAGGGCCTCAGAGGCGGACATTGACATGATTGTTCGGTGGACAAACGTTTAGAAGCGTGATAACATACCGCGAGTCGGAGATTGAGAGTTTGCACTCGATGCTATGCGGTCGAGAAGATGGGTGTGAAAGATGTATGTACTGTATGTAGAAAGATAGAGAGTGAAGTGATGGATGGGGATGGAGGATGATTGATGATTCCCAAATCCCCCCCTTTTTTCCTCTTTCCGACCGTACTTTATCCCTACTAATCACTCCCTTGAACATCTTGAGCTTTCATCTCTGCAAGACGTCTCATAATCCTTCTGGATCATTCAGGAGGTGGGATGCAGGCCACAAGGTATGTTTTCCTTCATGCTTTAGGGAATAATCAACTCATCAACAGCCCTCCACCTCCACCCGATCCTGGTACATCCTCGTCCGGGTATGATGGTAATGATCAGAGTCCTTGGACTTTGAGGGCGAGGGCAATAGATAACTGGCTCTTAGGTAAATCTTTCACTCCCTTAATCTGTGTGAACTCATGGTATAGGTCATAAGGTTGTTGCCAGCGCGACTGCAGCATCACTCATATCTACCTTTGCTGGGTTTCCTGTGAGTTCATTCCTTTCCATTTTGCTCAGACTGATACGTACAGCTTGATTCACTAAAATCACGCTTACAAAGTTCTCGAGAAGTCAGTAGTCTTCCTCGACTAGCTGCTGAGGTTGTACGAGAAGAAGGTATAGGAGGGTCAGTTTCTTTTCCATTCGTGATATCAGATACCATTACTGATCATGTGTAGACTTTGGCGAGGTTTTCCGCAAGTTTACTCTTATACCAATACGAATATCCAACTGATATTCTAGACTACCATTGATAACTATATCCATCGTTCGAACAGTTTCATTCACCGTCTACACATCTAGCAAAAGAATCCTCAACCTCTCTCCATCAGATACTCCTTACACGGGAGAAGGTTCCACAACCCCTTGGATTGACGTACGTCTAGGAATCCTCAATCAAGATTCCGCTCGGGATGTAGCTTTAACTTCAATGTTGGCAGGTGGAGCTTCTGGTGCTGTCGTATGTCTAGGTTCTGCGCCTTTCGAATTGGTCAAAGTAAGTTTTTTTCCCATGACATTCATAAACATTTCCCGATGTGGTTCTTCATTAGCATTGAAACCCTCCTTTAGATCTGACGGTACTTCTCGAGGTGATGGCGTAAGAGAAAAGTCAAACTAGTACTAATTAGGTAGGTAAGAAGACAATTGGAATATCAAATATATCGTGATACTCATCCTGAATTCCGTACTTCTCCATCTGAAATTACTCAAAGAAAACCTCATTTAAACCTCTCAATCACTCAACATCCAGCTGGAACATCGATCTCTCCTCCTGCTCCACCTCCCAACTACACGGCGAGACCAAGACCACCACCTTTCGTACCACCTACAACGTTGCAAGCTGTCAAGATGATCATCTCTTCGCTCGGTCCTATGGGTTTGTATTCTGGTTTCAGATTACATTTCATACGTGATACTTTAGGGACGGCATTGTATTTTGCGGAATATGATACTATGCGACATGCACTTGGGAGGAAACGTGATTTAGGAAGAGGGAAGACTAATGATGAGGTGGAAGTAGAAAGAATGGGTGGGAGGGAAGAACAAGGAGAGCTACCAGATTGGGCAAAGGGTTGGTTACCCATAGGTTTTGTGCCATTTCTATGTGGAAGTCTGGCGGGAGTGACAAGTTGGGCTTTGATTTATCCCGTTGATGTGAGTTGAGATTACGTCTCGTCACTTGACTTCACCTGTTCATGACCGTCTTCCTCAGTCTTTTTCACCTGTTCCTTCTGTCAAATTGATCGAGACGATATCGACTCCAAACCATCTGATGGAAGATGGAAGGATATAAGTTTCAAGCAGAATGAGGAAGAAATGAAGCTGACATTCCAGGCAATCAAGGTTTGTCCAACCATTTGCAGTGTCCAGCTCCAGCTGATGTAGTAGACAAAAGCTCAACAACGCGCTTTGGCCGGTTTGGAGCCCAGAACAGCTTTAACCCAGTTCTCCCGTTTAGTCCGTGGAACAGACAAAGATCATCCTAAACCTCTTTTAATGGGTATAGCACGATTGTACAGAGGGTCAGTCATCGTCTTGTGCTCTGATCTGTTCTCACGTCTTCACACTTCCAAAGCCCCTGTTTCACAACTTCATGGATGAGCTTTAGCCCATCTCAGGGGGAATGCCTTTCACTCTCTTGATTCTCATTCGTTATTTTCCTTCTTATGGTAGTAGAGCCGGTTGCTGCACTCCCGTCCATCAAATAATATGATCACTCAGGCTGACGAACCAGATTAGGAGTATCCATGATGCGTTCCATGTTCACTCACGGATTACTATGGACCATCGTGGATTACGCAGGTTCCAAGATTGATCAACGACCATTCGAACGGTGGCTAGGTACTTGATTGTGCTCCCTGTGATCAATTCCCTTCACCACCAGCGGAGATGATAACCTTCGCATCATGTCTAACCCTTCACGACGCCTCTACGGCCTTTCACGGGATGATCTGTCTCAGCGAGTGACACATCACAGGCGACTGGGATGAGCAGTTGTGAAATTGTGAAACAAGATGGACGAGGAGAAGAAAAGAAGGAGAAGGAGAAGAAATAGATTAAAGGACGATCATGAGAAATGATTAATGTAGCTACAAATCAGTCATGACGACATCATCAATTGCCAAATAAGGCTGTATGCATATTCCGTGCACGTTGTAAGTGTAATGCTGTTTATATCTATATGTGGGTGTAACAAGTATCAAAATACGGATAATTATCGACCAGCGAGTTCTGACCATTCTTTGGTTCTGTCATCAGCTATTAACATCTAAGTGCATGAGATTGGTTAAGCGGAGAGACCTTCGTTTGAAGTTTCGACACTACGCGAGTCTTTGGTAACTCAGTACAAAGAGCACGAAGAAGAGACATGTATCAGTGAGCAGTGAGCAAAAGTCATGAAGGGAATAATCAAGCATGGGTTCACAAACTTGAGAAGTTGAGAGAAGAAATGGACCCAGTGCTCACCCCATTTGAGATAACCGACTAACACATCGAGCAAAAGCAAATAATTCTTCATCGCTATTGAACAAAGAACTTGATCCTACATCCTCAGCATTGAGTCCGAGATCATCCATCACTGCGAGTCAGCCAACTGACAAGGGCGGGACGAAAGACAGATGACATACCTTCTCTCATGTGTTTTTCAGAGGCGGCGGTATTATCAGAATGTTCATCTGAGAACACTTGGAATATCGGTACTTCGGAGGATAAGAATAATCTTGTCTGACGGTCAATTGGATCTACTAAAGAAGTGAGTACTGACTTTGTTTTCATAGCATGCTGTGAGAGGTTAGCGTCTTATCACTTCTTATGTTCTTCCATCCCATCACTTCTTCCTATCACCTCATCCTTTCACTATGACACGAAATAATTATTGTCAGGGAGAGATGAGGAAACCATCATATTCTGTAATCATGTCCGGCCAATAAAACGCTCAGATAAACGAGCGGAATTAATATGAAGACCGGCCGATGGCTCTTAGATGGAATGATAATGAGAAGTCTAGAGTTCTAGAGATAATAAGATTACTCACCATCAATAAACGTTATAAACCTCCTCGCTTGATCTCTTTCTCCCAAACCTAATCTCGGAACATCCTCCACAAATACAGTCGCAAACTTTAAAGTCACCTCCAGATAATCAGCAGCAGACATAGGTCTATCACAAAGGTCCGTAAATGAAAATCGTGCCACTGAACCTGATGATTCAGGTATTACTAATTCTCTACCCCACAAACTGAGTTTACGTCCACGGACTACCTCAGAACCTTTAGGATCAGATGAGGTGAGAGCTTCGAAAAGTTTCATCATTTCCGTTCGAGTTTCGGGCGAGAGAGGATGGTAGTATACTTGTGAAAGTGCACGAGGGATTTTACGATAATCGGTAGGAGAGTCAAGATCGACGATTTCGAAATGAGTTTTGATTAGGTCTATAGCGGGTAGGAATGAATTTCTTTGAATACCGTTTTTGTAAAGTTCGTCAGGGTGACGACTGAGGGTCAGACATGCTCCAAAATAAGCGCAAGAGTCGCTGGACTTGGTCTTTTCTGTGATGTCACATATGTATAGGAAAGAGAAGACTTAGGGAATGGCGGTACGTAGGAATGAAGAGTCCAGAGTGTACTGATTGCGTAGAACAAGGATGGATGACCCACTTCGAAGTCATAACACACACCACTCCAAACCCCATCAATCTCTCCAATAAACCTCTGAGCAACATAGCCGTGACAATATCAGTCACTTGGAATTCATCAAAGCATAACACTCTTCCCTCAAGAGCCAAACGTCTAGCGACCTCAGGCATCACATCCCTCTCTCCTAAACCCATCTCCTTATATTTAGCCTTGACCTCATGTTGTCGTTGTAAAACATCAATCATGAAAGAATGAAAGTGTATTCGTGTGCTACCATATTTGCCAGGTCGGAATTGAGTTGGAAGTGTGGAATGAAACAGATCCATGAGCATCGTCTTGCCTGTTCCTACTGATCCATAGAGGTATATTCCTTTGGGTACAGAGGTAAGATCTACCGTAGCTTCTGGTTGAGTAGGTGAACGAGAGAAAAATTTCCCAAACTGCTCATCAGATATTTGTACTTTCACCTCCGTTCTGTCATTCGTCTGTCACGTCACACATGGGTGCGCCTCCTCTGCGGCATGCAGTTTTGGTATGATAATGGATGAGTGAGGACATGAGAGGGTACGCACATATGACGGTTTGATCTCATCTATCTGTGGTGGCACTGGTCCTGGATCGTAGGATCTCAAATCGGTCCATAACCGCTGCAACTTCATCAAGATCAACCGTTGATGGGGATCCGCTTTGAGCACTCCGGTAGACACCAGATGGTCATATCGAGTCAAGGGATCTACATTGTCAGCTAGGGGGCAAAGTGCATGCGGAGGACACAGCTAACCTTCGAATGTGTGATGGTCTGGAGGCTCAAACTTTGTCGAGGGTTTGCTGGAGGGGGCGAACCGGGAAGGATGAGTGGAAAATGAACGAGATGTTGTGAGCCTCGTTTGTGGTTTATGACTGTATGTGACACCAGGAAGAAGTGTCCTTTGCCATTTTAGACAACGCCTGCACAGTGATGGGGGCGAGGACATAAGCTGTAGTATGGGAAAGCAGTCGACAAGATGCGCAAGAAGCAAGAAGAACAGGACACCCAATAGTACTCTAGGAGGTGGAGGAGGTGGAGGAGGAAGGGGAAGCGAAAGTGCCACATGGAATAATTCCGCCACTTTCTTACTCGTTTCCGTCGGAACTAACTTCAAAGTCAACAACATCGCGCCTGTCTTCTTTTTCAACCCACCCACCCACTCAACTCACCCCACACACCTAACTAACTCACCTCACAGCGCAATGTCACGACGCCCACCAAACCACAGGGTACCATCTAGGTCAGCCTCATCAATATCTCTCGCCATGCCACCCCCAGCTCGTATCCCCAACCGGGCCCCTTCAGTCATGTCCACAACTCAATCTCATGAGGAATCCGAGAGCCGGCCCAGCACACCTAGAAAGGCTGGTAAACGTCCAATGGGTCCGCCGGCCAGAAAAGAAGAGGGAAGTGGGGAAATCAATATTCAGGTCGTGGTGCGATGTCGTGGACGATCGCCGCAGGAATTAGCACAAACTTCTCCTATAATCGTTACCGCAGCCGGAGCTATGAGCAAGCACATCACTGTGGAAACTACACCTTTACCATCTTCCACCTTGGCGGCATTCACGACGGCCTCCACTTATGCCGCCAACGGTGCTTCAACCAAGACATACCCGTTCGACAAGGTTTTCGGGCCGGAAGCGGATCAGACGATGGTGTTCAACGAGGTCGCAGAGGATATGTTGAATGAGGTTCTCTCTGGTTACAACTGCACCATTTTCGCTTATGGTCAAACTGGTACAGGAAAAACGTAAGTTTTTGATTCTCTCCCTGATGGCATACATCTCCATTCCATGTGGACCCGGAATTCATACGGCGAGGCTGACACCTCGTGTAGATACACAATGCAAGGTGACCTTGAACTCAGCCCACTCTCAGCGCCCAAAAACGAAGCAGGAATAGTTCCTCGGGTTTTGCACAGGTTATTCACTCTCCTCGAAGCAGCGGAAAATACCGAATACTCGGTCAAATGTTCATATGTCGAGCTGTACAACGAAGAATTACGCGATCTCCTCTCGGCCGATTACTCTCCTCTCACTGCCGCGGAGAAAGCTCCTATGGCCTCGTCTAGCACCGCCGGAGGGCTGAAACTGTATGAAGATGGGAAGAAAGGAGTGATGATTCAAGGACTGGAAGAGACAGGAGCTAGAAATCTTCGAGAGGCACTTGCGCTGGTCAACAAAGGCTGCCAGAGGAGACAAGTGGCGGAGACGAAAATGAACACCGAGTCATCGTGAGTGTTTGATGCAGGGGTAAGGCTGACGTCAGGCGATCTCACACGATCTTCTCCATCACTGTACACGTGAAGGAAACGACGATGGCTGCGGGAGGAGAAGAAATGCTCAAAGTTGGAAAATTCAACCTTGTCGATCTTGCTGGATCAGAAGCGATAGGTCGATCCGGAGCGACCGACAAAAGGGCTAGAGAGGCAGGGATGATCAATCAGTCTCTGCTCACTTTGGGTCGTGTCATTTCAGCTTTGGTTGAAAAAGGCTCCCACATCCCTTATCGAGAGTCCAAGCTCACTCGATTGCTACAAGACTCTCTGGGCGGTCGAACGAAGACCTGCATCGTCGCCACAGTTTCCCCTACTCGTAGTAATATGGAAGAAACGCTTTCGACTCTCGACTATGCCATCAGGGCGAAGAGTATCCGAAATCGTCCAGAATTGAACCAACATTTGACCAAGGCCGGGCTGTTGAAAGAGTATGTGGCCGACATGGAGCGTCTCAAAGGCGAACTGTTGGCTGCGCGGGAGAAGAATGGAATTTATATCCCAGAAGAGCAGTGGAAGGAAATGCACGAAGAACAAGTCAAAATGAAAAGCGAGTACGATGAGGCTCGTCAACGGTTCAACGCCATATCTATCGAGCTCAACACACGGAAGAAAGAGTTTGACGATGTAATGCATCGTTTCCTCTCGACTTCAGAAGAGCTGGCGCAAGCTCGCGAATCAGAACGTCAGCTGGGGATGCTCCTAGTTGAGAACAAAAAGCTTCTGGATGTGGCTCAGCAACGCCTGGCAGAGGAAGTGGCTGTCAGTGAAGCTTACCGGGCGGGGGAAAGCAGATTGGATGGGGTGGCGGCACTGTTGAGGAATACGGCCAACGATGGAGTAGCGGATGTCGGAGGATTGTTTGACAAGCTTTCCAGAAAGGCCAAGGTGCTGGGCAATAATACCGATGCCGCCACACGGTTTGGCGGGGAGGTACAAAATCTGTCGACGGAACTGCGCAAAGGGCTCAAGACGTTACACAAGGTCAACGGGGAGTTTGGGAAGGATGTCAAGAAGGAGATGGAAGGTTTCATGAGGAATGGAAGGGAGACATCTGGAAAAGACATGGAGGCTCTCGATCAGGCTTTGAGCGTCTTTACCACTCTCACCGATGAACTCTGCTCCTCCGTCCGATCCGGTGACGCCGACGTCGCAGAAGCCTCGCGAGCCATTTTGGCGGTCAAGGATGAGGTGCAACAGTCGGTCCGACAGTGGGCACAGGGTATAGCAGAGAGGAGTGCGGGGATGGTAGACGAGGTGTTAGCTAGTCAACAGGAAAATCTGTCAATGGTACGTTTTTCGACCTCGTTACATCATGCGATGGCTGAACAGCAGATTGGTCTGGTTCTTCAATCAACGGCTGATCTGGTGGATGCTGTTATCTCTACCGCTCGAGAGCACTTAGCGTCATCGCTTCAGATTGCTGAACAGGCCAGACAACGAACTCAGGAAGCCGCAGAGGCAGAGATGGCACGTTTACGCTCTTCCAATGTCCTCCTGACTACTTTATTACGTGAAGAGAAGACCAAGACCGCTAAACTAAGAATGGAATTGGTGGGACGAATGACAGCGATGATCGAGGAATTCACCGACGCTCAAGATCAAAGCTGGTCAGGAGTGGTCGATAGAGTCAGTGCGGAGAATCACAAGGGTGTGAGGGAGATGGAACGTTTCGTCCAAGTTACTAGGGATGAATGGGAGGAAACTGCGAAAAGAGGGCAAATGTTCGAGGATGAATTGGCAGAGGGGGTTGGGACGGTCAAGAAACAGCGTGTGGCAGGACGAGGGGTGAGGTTCAACTCTTTTTATAATGATTGTCCAAACTGATGTTCAGGCTGTACACGAGATGGAAGTGGATTTGAAGAATCAATTGAACCATTTCCGAGGTGAAACGTCAGAAGAGGCTACTCGACATTCACGGGATGTCCAAAGTCGTCTGACAGGTTTGGACACTTGTATAACTGATCGTAAGCTCAATCATCATGTTGATAAGTAGAATACAGCTGATTATCAAGTGGTACAATCATCATCATCTAGAACCCAAACTCAAACACATCAAGTATCATCTATTTCAGGGCTGTTCACAAATACCATTTCATCCTCTCGATCTCGTATCGAATCTGTCGCAGGAGAAACTGAACGACTTTCCCACGCTCTTCTCTCTCATCAGGCATCTTCTTCATCAACATTCGATCACACCTCTCGAGAAGCTCAAAATCACCTTCAAACTCTTCTTCAAGCTACATCAACCTTCCTTTCAAAAGGCGTGACAGAGGACGTTTCAACAGGTATAACACCTAAGAAACGTAATTGGCATGTACCTCAAACATGGGAGCTCACTGAACCTAGAGAAGTGCTCATAGAGGCATTTAGAAAAAAGACGCAATCCGCTCTGACGTCTTCTACAGGTGAAAGCGAGGAGAAAGAAGATGGTGCAGAGGAGAAAAGTTTGGAAGAAGAAATCAAGATTGATCGAATAGATTCGACGGGGTCATTACATAGTTTCGGAAAGGTGGAATTAGCAGTGGAGTTGGTTCATCCTTTATCAAATAGCATCGGTCTGGGAGCGGTAGGGAGAAAGGGAAAGTTGGGGATAGGGAAGGAAGACAAGGGGATGGGGATGGGGAGAGAGAAAGAGAGAGTTAATGTGGCTGTTTTAGGTGAACAAGGTGGAAATATACCTAGACCCAGAGTGAGAAGATGAGGGTGAAGGTGTTTTTGTGAAGGATAGAACGTTTGGATGATCTAATTTGGGCTATACGAATGCATCTTGTGGTTTTGGCATATACTCTCGTCAGCAGTGTTCTCAAGAGGATTAGAGGATTTTCTTCAATCAAGTAGTTATCTATCTGTTCTTGAGTTGTCATTGCAAGTATATGACTTTGGAAGAAGCTTAAGGTGGATGTAGTAGGCTTCAACCACCAACATTCTCATATCTCCATTCATGATTCCATCTCACAATGGATGTCCGTTGAAGGTTCTTCCTCGCCTTAGTGTTGAATTTGATCAAACGTTGATACCCATATTGGTATATTTCATTTTTCAGGTGAATCGGAAATCACGACTTGGAAAGATAGCTAGTTCCCGTGACTTTGCACCCTCTTGACGAACTTGATCCACATTCTCAATAAGCGGACGGAGAAGCTTTGGGAATTGATGGATATGACGAGACCCATCATGAAATGCTGAGTCGGTTCACATGACGTCTGCTATACTATTAGTGACTGTGTGAAGGTCAACCTACATGATCCTATCGTAAAATGACCGACTTTCGTCCATTGAAAAATCTAGATACGATCTCTTCGGGGTAACAGGGGGTTACAAAGTATTCACATACAACGTCCGTAGATCCGCGTTTTGTCATGATTTTCTCACACCACTCAAGTTCGATGAAAAGAGAACTTGTCTTGATAACTTTTCTCACGAATGTAAGTTCGAACAAAGGGAAAAGGGTTGAGAGCCTAGCTATGTCAAGTTATTACTTAGTTTCACACACTAATCAAAAATCCCGACTCACACTGAAAAGATATTTGAACAATAGGCTTTTTCCTTCATTTGCCACTTTCTCCCTGTTTCTTTTGAATATCTACCAAGTATCCGACTCAAAAAATCCAACATGAGTCATCTAGACGTACACCAATTGATCGCGTGTCTCGAAGGTTTGTCCACTAAACCGGATGAATTCGATCAATTGATATCCCATGGTATCCTCCCTTCGGAAATTACGGAAGGATGGAAAACTGAATGGCCAGAAGCGTACGACGCCTGGATGGTAATTAGAACGAAAAATCCATTTCACAATCCTCTACATTATGCGTTAGCGCATGGTCGACCACCTGGATCTCATAGCGAGTTGATGGAATGTGCCATGCAGGTTGATTCGTTGGAAACTGCTCAGAAAGCATTGACGAGATTGGCTGAACTTGAAGAGCGAAAATCGTATCAACGGTCCGAAATGATAGATTCGAAAACCAGTTCACCATCCTCCCATGAAGAGGACATGGTAAGGTGCGATCCCACTTCGATTGTTGAACTTGGTTTAGGTCGATGGAAGGTGCTTAGTGAAGATCAGACTATGCATTGTGACGTCGATGAAATGGGCGATACTCGTGTATCCGTATCTGAAAGGGGAGGGAAACGTCTCTTGTCGGTGATCAACCAAGAGAAGGAGGTTCAATATCGAGAGTATCACGAAGATGGTGATGGTGATGGTGATGAGTTCAATGGAACTAGATACACGTGGAACAATATACCCGGAGTAATCAATGTCAATCTAGAACAATCAGGAGAGGTAACGTTCTACTACTCGATCAATGAGGGGTTGGAGACGATGACAGTAAGGGCAGAAGAGTATCGTCGTCCAGAACTCGGACCAACCGAGAGAGGACCGAGCTGGTCGCTCTATGACGTTGACGAAGAAGCGTCAGAAGGTAGAGCGAGACTCTATCAAGTCACGATAGACGCGGAAGAAGGTGAGGCTCCATTCTCTTATCACGCCCAAAATGGGAGAAAAGCGTTGTATGTTTAATCCCGACGCGATGGAAGTTATTTAGAATGGAAAAGACGTGCCGTCGGAGATAAAACTTCGAGTGCTATCGTTGTGAAGAACTTTGAGGGGGAAATCATGTGGAGCCATCCCCGGTACGAAACGATTATTGAATCCGAGAACAAGTTCGGTAGTGGCTGGTGGCCCGGAGATGCAGACATTAGGGAATCGTTGGATGCGATGTTGGAAATGTCGGACGAAGTTGACAAAGGGAGCCCTGAGGTATCTGATCAAGAAGTACATGTTGATATACCTTTCCCTTTTGTTCCAGAAGAGGATGACCGTCTACCGCCCGAAGAAGTGATACCATTGGATTATAACCATTCTCTATTAGTTCCCCCAAGCATTCCCTTGAGCTCCCATAGTAGTAGAGAATCCAGTACGGAGAGGCCATGTGGATAGTCGTGTAACGTTTTTACGTGATACCGTGCCCGTAGAACGAAGGCTGTCTAGAGCTCGATACGTATGAAATCGTGAACGATGGACCACTGTGGCAGAGAGCTTGATTGGCAATCGTCGTGAATCAAGAAGGCCATCGGGCGAATCGATGGGAAAGTGAGAACGTTCGGGCATGAACGGGGCGGGAAGGTGGGATAAATATCCATTTTGGACACTATCGGTCAGCTTAAAAAAAGTATGTCAACAACATCCATGAAAGGGAAAAATCATGAGAAATGAAAGAAGCATCGAAAAGTCAAGGAAGCATCGAATTGGAAGAATATCAAACTTAGCGGGGTCTACTATGTGAAATATCCAAAAGAAGAACTTGCTTCTCAGAACCTCGCGATTTTTCTCACGCCAAGAATGAAAGGAAAGATGAAAGATAAATGAAAAACTCTCACCGTTTAGTTCACATTCCCTGCTTCTCAGGCTATAGATTATCCGAATGAATAGAGCTTACTTTGAAGGAGAGTTTTTTTCATCCATCTCTAAAGGTACAAATATCGAGATCTTCTTTCTCCCCTTCTTCAAACTAAATCACAACAATACAAACATGTCAAGCCTCACACCAGATCAGTTGGTCGATATACTGAACTCATCGTCAGCTCTTGAGAGCATCTTAGATGGAAACATGCCTAAAGCAATCGAGAATTCCTTGAACGAGCCAGCGTTGAGAGCATTGGAGATGTATAGTTCTGGAAACCCATTGCAAGATCCACTACATCATAATTTCGTCAGGGGAATTGGCCCTGAGCTTCAAGATTCTCACGTCATCCGAACTGCCCAGGGACTCACAACTCCAGAGACCATCAAACGATATTTCGACGGCATCATATCGCAGCATCCCATGGACCTTCAAGAGATGATGGAAAACTCGGAAGCTGGTAAACTCACAGTCATATCGCAAGATGGAAGTATCGAGGTTTGGGGGAACGATAATATGACAAAAGAATTGAGTGTGGTATTCCCGGACGAAACGATATATATTGAAAAGCGAGAAGACCCCGACGTCATCTATAGAGAGCTGGTAAAATGGGGTTGCTCGTTGATAACGACAACAGAACCAAATGCTATAAGTGTGGAGGTGACCAAAGATGGCAAGAAGCTTTATTCCGATGGCATGTCAAGTGGGATCGCATTTGTTCACAGTGAAGGAATGGTGGGACAGAACAAAGTCACATATGATTGGTCTACTTGTCCTGGGGTATCGGTGGATTCAAAAGATGAACCAGATGTGAAAGCGAAGTTGTCCATGCAAGGTAATCCGATCTTGAGGTATGAGATGATGGAGGGAAGGAGACGCTTTGTTTCATATATCTTGGGCGAGCGAGGAGCTTCATCCGGAACCTCCGGTGGGGACTGTTCATCCGTAAACGGAAGCAACATTCAACGATCCGTACCAACCAAGAAGGCTGAGAAACCAGACAAGACTGAGTTATCGTACCAAGAATTAGAAGACGGTGGTGTTTTGGTCCAGACCCGCAAAAAAGGCGTCTCTGATCCTGAAATCACCTTGACCGACAAAGGGGGCGCACAAGACATAATATTACAATTGAATGGAGGAAGTCTAGGATACTTTACCAGACAGGATGATGGAGGAGTTGACACATTGACTGTGTTGGTAGTGTATGATGACGAACAAGGCGTTCTTGCGGAATGGAAAATAGATTCGACCAGAGGGGAAGGAGAGTCGGATTCGGAAGTAGACGACGAATTGGAAAGCCCTCAAGACCCTAGGATTGACACATATCTAGGAGCAACAGACAGCAGCGCTACGAAAACTGCCTGGGAAGACAGTCTCGGATTTGTGATTCCGAAGGGGAGGCCGACCGTAGCCCTTGATCGAAGTTCAATCATCCCGGTTACAACAGATCTTGAGGCATATCTGAAATTCGATGGAACGCGACTGGCGAGGTGGGCTAATGAGATCGAGATGTGAAGTGAGTCCTATTCTGATTTCGAGACACAGTTGGCGATGAAAGAAACACGATAGTCGTTATTGGGGTGTTTAAGAGTTGGCCATTGAAGACTTTTAGGGTTTTTGTAGACGTAAGATGTGGTTTAGTCCCACGTCTAGTATGTCCAAAATCTGCATAGGAATCGAGAGCGTGCGTCTCCGTCTCTGAGGTTGATGGGGTGCCACATGCCACATTGAGCAGGTGAAGGATAACACTACGAGTAGTATTTTTGTTGCTGGGTTGGGTCCCTCGAAGCATGAGAATGGGGCAGCGTAAAAGCCTTCATTCTTATATCCGATGACCGATGAGGGAGTGAGATATCCCACACAGAACTTGGTTTCCTACTACTTATCCATGTACGAGTATTTCATCGACCATCGGGGTCAATCTGGAAACTACCTCATGCTTCGTCGCGTGTGTTCGAATTTCAGTCGCAAGTTGATTATCGAAAGATCAGATGTTCCCTGTTTCAGTACGTACTGTCTCTCATACGTCACCCAACCCTACGTGTTATCGGTGTGAGTGAAACACCCACTGAGACGTGTGAGCACGCGTTAGGTGGTGGAGTAGGTGGGACGCGAAGGGGGAAGAAGGACACGCCAAGACGTTCGTTTGTTTATCCGTCGAAGATGATTGAACCCGTCGTTGTATATCGCATAGCAATGCCGCAGTGGAGGGAAAAGATGAAAAGCACAGCATGGAATGATTCCTCTTCGGTACTCGGTCCGTCTAAAGTCACTGAAAGAAGTAGAAGGAAACAACGAGTGAAGAAAGTGAAAGGCAAAAAGTAGAGTTAGTGACCAAGTCGGCTTTCCAACAAAGTTACTTCTCTTCTTCTACGTTACGTCTCACATTTCACGCCTTGTTATCTGTCTTACCTTTTCTTTCAATAAAACACTCTCACATTCTTTCATTCCTTTTCTCAATCATCTCAACTACATCTTTCTATTTCTGATCGGTCATATCTCGTCCTATTCATTTATCGACAAGTAGTAGATAATCAATCTTCAACCTTTCCGGAATACTTATTTGTTGTTATTGTCGACGCGACTTTGTTTGATAAACATTATTCTCTCTCGAAACAAAACACAGGTTGCCGCCCCCTCCTGGGCTTCTCACCCACTCACACGACCATCATCATGTCTTTCACACTATCCAAAAGATCCATAGTTCTCTTGTTACTGGCTCGAGTCGTAGTAGGGGATACTTTGTCCAATATAGTATCCAACCACGGACTCACCGCTGGTAATTTCGTTTTCCCGGTTCCTGGCACTACCCTCAATAGCGATGCCGCCAGTCAATATATAGTACAAAATTGGGACCTATCCGCTAGTCATTTAGATTTTGGAGCCAATAATGTGTTAGTGATCTCAACTCATCCTCCTCTTCATCATCCTACCTCATCTCGTTGACCGCTGAAGTCCTTTAACATTCGTTTTTCCGCTTGGACCCTTGGACCCTCGCTACGAGGATGAATGAGGTTGACCTATTACAGAGTTTTCTCGCCTGATCCATCCACTGCAACATCTACCTTGGTTCGACGTGCTCGTTCTGCTACTTCGTCACCGGCCATATCCACAGCTATAACTTCACCCGCATTGACAGATCTCGTAGGTGAACCCCCCGTGTTGAGGGTTGAATATCCCCAAGGATCGTTTTCCAAGAGCACGGGCGGAACCCAGTTTTACTCTCAGCCACTTGCGGGTTCTGCTGCGGGTGTGTCGTTGGACAACACCACCAGTACTGGACAGTATGAGCGAATGTTGGTGGCGTATGATATTTGGTTTCCCCAAGGATACGCGTGAGTCGATTGATTACCCTCAGAACATCTTTCCAATTCTTACATCCTTGCTTTCTCTCTAACTTGATTTCCGATCTTTGTAAGGAACCCTGTCATGCTCTTCCTTCGTTCACCTGACCTCATATGAATTGGATCGATGATCCACATTTGCCGAAACAGTACATGGGCTGTCAGAGATAAACAGAGACCTTTACCGTTGACGCCGCTGACACTCAGATGGAACATGGGAGGCAAATTACCCGGTCTAAGAGCAGGTCCAGAAAGTGCAGGTTGTTCCGGCGGGTCAGAGACCAACGGTACAGAATGTTTTTCTACTCGTATCATGTGGCGGGCCAATGGAGCTGGCGAGGGTGAGTCGGGGCTGTTCTTCGCTTTCCATCCCACTCTTCTTTCCTTGGAATTTGCCCCCCCCCCTCCCCCCCCCTTAACCCGCCCCACACACACACATCGGTCCGCCCGATCGACTCCCATACGCTTACCAGGTGCGAAACCCATGGATCACAGCTTGATATTTATGAGTTGGACATGGTAGTAGGAGACATCATGGGGTTTGTCAACACGAGAAGTGGAGATCTGACTTTAGTTTACGCATACGTACCTACCGACCAAAAGAATTTTTGTAGTCAATCCAACGTTATTTGTAATAGTGATTTTGGTACTTCTTTTGGAAGAGGGACTTTCACATTTGTCACTGGGGCGTGGCAGAGCATATGGTTGATGGTTATTTTGAATGAAGTGGGAGTTTCCAATGGTGTTGTCGAGTAAGTCTTTAATTCTTTTTGTTTTTAAAACATCCATCTCTTCTCCATCTTCACTTCAAATTCATTGCGACGTACTTCATCTCTAATTGTCTTTCCTCTTCCCATCATCCCTTTGCATACCATCCCAAGTAAATTCTCCGCCCGTATCTCCTTATTTCCCAAAAATATCATTATTTTCTTCCCCATCTTTCCCATACCTTCCAAATACTCTTCATCATACTTTCCCATCTTCATCCCCTCATTTTCATACACATTACCCATGCTCGGAATCAACAAATTCACACACGATCTCATGGTTTACCGTGGATTATCAAGTAACACTTACATCATTCTACAGCGAATTGTGAATATTTCCACTGGAACAAATGACAAAGAAAAAAGCGAAACAAAAAACTGATGAATAGATTATGGTACAACGGTGTTCCAGCATTATCATTCACTTCTTTAGAACTCCGATCAGCATCTTCAATCTCTTCTATCGGTGGTGTTTTCTTTTCGACATTTTTCGGTGGTGATGATTCTTCTTGGGCGTCACCAACAGATCAATATGTGTATTATAGAAACTTACAATTATTCGCAGGATACGGAGCTTCGAACGGAACTGCAACAAACGTTTCTTCAAGTTCTCATACTTTATCTTTTCCTCCTTTCACTTTGGTGGTATTTGGGATGATTTCCGTTTTGGGGTTATTCTTATTTTAAGAAAAAGGATATGATAGAATATGATCTCATAGGGTAACTTGCCTTTTGATGGGTTTATTATTCCTGTTGAGATATCATAGGAATTTCCAGACTGTTAGATACGGTTGGATGGTTATAACGGTATGATGGAAATAAGATTGGATGGTAGGATGGTCTAAAAGCTGTATACGTTTGGAGAAGGAGATATGAAAAAAGAAAAAATTGTATATCTATTCCTACTTATTTCTGTACATATCGCTATTCACTGTCCACTGGATATGGAAGGGAAAGGTTTGAAAAAAAAGAAATTCTCGATTATTGTTCATATTTGCTTAGTTAACATTCTTTGCATAGATTCACGAATTTGTATGATCAAATACCCACTGATCAACTGATCAAGTTTTGTGCATAAGTTACAGCATGCCAGCGGTGCTCTCGCTACGTGTAGAGGAGTCGTCATGGGGAAACGTGGAGGAGGAAGGTTATCTTTCCTCTGGCTTGAATATGAAGAATGAGTAGGACTAACATGTTTACCTGTATATGCAGCATTTGACTATTGACGAGTTAAAAGGAGATAGGGGTTTGTCACGGACACTGGAAACATTTTGCAAAGACGAAAAGGACGTTACTCAGTGAGGATCAGTGAAGAGTCAACTGAGGTATAGAGGAAACTCCACAATGACCATATCCAAATTCATGACGGTTGAAATGCAAACAAACATATGGATTAACTTCTCTCTCTTTTCTGATATCTTCTCTCTCCTTTCCAATCTGCAGATCTTCTCCCTCTCACGACTCTTTATCTCCGAACAATCCCCGCTTGTATCGCTACCAGATCCATGCCGATGGAGTAGGGTACCAACACGGATTCCCGTCGACATAATCACCAAAGACGAATCGGGAAGATTTACAGATCCGCATCGTCGTCCAATTGCGCAGGTTTGAGCATACCCGGTACACGCATGGCTGCTTCTCTATCCTCTCTAGCTTTCTGCGCCGCTTCTTCTTCCTTTTCTTCAATGTACAATTCGGCGTTATCATCCCCTGAAAACTCTTTGAGCGAGATGAGAAAGTCTCGTAGAGTGAGTTTGAACTTCATAGGATCAGATGAATGTTCAAGCATGAGTGTGACGAATGCGTCGATTTGTGTGCTGGAAAGTCAGTTCGATCTGCAATATTGGATTACACGCTTGAAAGGATCGATCATCATGTGTGGGTTAATGTCCCTGATTATTCAGGAACAAATGACGAAAGTGGAGAGCGGTAGAAAAATTTGGTTCGAACGAAGTGAGAGGCATCGGACAAGAGATGGGATAACTCACGGTTGTACATGTTGAAAAGCGCTGGAAAGAAGATCGGTGATGTGTTTTTTGAGGAAGATGGCATTTGTCATACTTGGATCCGGGATCGTGACGGGGTCGTAAAGTGGAGCTTGCACTTGACCCGTTTCCACCAAGGATATAAGACGAGCGAGAAGAATTGATTGCATTTTGTATCCTGACCAATCAGCATACACTACTCATCCGATTCTTCACAGGCGTAAATTGATGTGTGACATGAATGAACTCACCACTCTTGTGATCTGCATCTGTGAGAACGTAGAACACATCACCGAGCATACTGAGAAGGAATTGCTGGTAGAAATGATTCGCAATCGCAGGAGGAGAATTGGCAAAGTTGTTCACTATTTCGAATGCGACTAAACTGTCAGCCAATGTCCTCTTGGTCACATCTGCTGTCACTCGTGAAGGGTCAGACAGAAACCCACTATTCAACCCTGTATCGGCAATATCCCGCATGGTATGTTTGAAAGCCCACACCACCGAGTCGATGATCAGTTTGAACTGTTGTGGTGGCAATTCGAGTAAAGCTACATTCATGAGCTGAACGTACGTCATAGCGGAGGGATAGCTTACCGGTGAAACAAGTCAGATTGATCGCCCGGAGAAGTTTAAAGAATCCGACGCGGTGTTCTGGGAACTCGGCAAAGTCTTTGTTGATCATATCCAATGTAGGCTCAAAGACAGAGTCGAGTATGGGGGCGATTTGCGGCTGCAACAGAGGCTTCCGATCAGCATCTGACCAATAAAAAGGGAAACTCGCGACGAGACTCACCCCAAGTTTGGAAACAATGGTGGCCATGACATTCAACACTTCCGCATCTCTAGCGGCCGCGACATTGCGGTTGTAATCTCCCAAGATAGCATCTAGGAGACCAGGTATGAGATTCACGTTCACCCCATCGATGTCTTCCGCCTTTTTCACGTAGGTCTCGACGAGTTTCAAGATTTCTTTCTTGATGGTCCTCAACGACCGTACCTTTGGCGTCTTGGTAGCGACCAATCCTACGCAGGTCAGCCTTACCGAACCGACAGCAGATGGAGCCTCCATGACTCACCCTGTTGGGCAACCTGATCACTGATGATGCTGCTCACAGCTTTATACAGTCCGAGCATGTCCAGCCAGATGCGGCCTAATTGAGGGAGGAAAAATGACCCAATGGAAGTACACGCCGAGACATTCGTTTTCAATATGTTGGACATGATCTTAACATTGTCCGCGTTGCCCAAGACATCCACATTACTCGCTGCTTGTTGCATGAGATTGTCCCACTGTTTCATCAGCAAGAATCCACATTGATCGCAAGACGTACGGCATTGTTCGGCAGTTCCATGAGTTTCTCGATCAGCCGTTCCTGCGTGGGCTTATTGGGCTGAGCGGAGATCATATATCCAACAGCTTCATAGAAAGTGTGAACCTGCAGTCAGCTCGGTCTCCCGATGGAATAGTCAGACTCACCTGAGGAGGTAGTAAATCGACGGTTATTCGATGCAGGGTTCGCAGAATCTCATCGATAAATGGCTCGTGCTCCCCTGCTTGTTGCATGACGAAGTGTCGTCGACATTTTTGAGCGATTTTGATAAAAGTGTCACACGCCATGTCTTGCACACCTGATTGTCAGTTAATGGGTGCCGTGTTCTTATTTCAACAGAGCAGGCGAAAGCTTACCTTCGTGTGTTTCGTGCATAAATTCGAACAATTTGTTCACCACGGTCTTCAAGAATTTCCAATGAGCTTTCAGAAATCTAGGATATTGTCCCACGATGTACATGATGTCGGAGGCGCAAACCGCCTTGTTGTCCTTGCCACGCTTCATCTCGGTCAGACCCAAAAGATCTTTGATGACGGTGACAAGGAAACGCTTCTCCGTCTCCTCGTCTATTCCTGTCAGTAAAGTTTGTAATCATCGGTATGATGACTCACTCATGGCCCCGGAGATCGAGCCGATGGCCCAACACAGCGTGTTCAAGTTGTTCCATGACCATTCTGAGCCATCGATCTGAGGTGTTAGTAGGGAAGACCGTATGTGAGACTGAAACCCACCTGCTTCGATAACTTGTCCGTCATGATTGTCTCGGTGTCCGCCACATCCAGATGCGTCAAGTACACCAAGACTTCTCTCATACTTTTATAGAGCACGATTGTGTCACTCTCTTTCATGAACTCTCGTACGATCTCCCCTTCGTCATTCTCGACGATGAGGACCTGTTTGTGTCAGCTCAGAATACACCATGTAACAAGAGACAGCTGACTTCTTCAGGCTTGACCATCTTCTCGATCATCACCAGACGCAGATTCGACAAAATGTCCGCGTATATGTTCTTTCGCAGCTGCAAGCCATTCAAAGCAAGACCTTGCGCCCCATTCAACCCTCCCAAACCGCCCAGATTGAGGTTCATTAGAGGGTTAATATCGGCCAGTGGTAACGATTGAATCTCTTCGTACAGCTCAGCGACGAGCTTGTCTGTCAGCGATATTTAGAGGGAATGTGAGAGACACGGACCTTGCCCCAATATTCCAAACAGATTTTGAATACTTCCCGGTCGTCCACGGTGGATATCTTGATAAGATACAGGTGAGCATTGATGAGTAAATCCTGATGTTCGACAGTTTCTATGAGGCGGAGGTGAGTTTGAAGGAAGTTGGTGAGAAAGAGGGCCAAGTTCTTGATCAGTTGTTGGTCCTCGTCGTCCGCGGAGGAGTATGCGGCAGCCATGTCTATAGGTGAGCAACGAGTCGATGCCCGTTACGGAAGACTTACCGGTGTTGGGTGGGACCATACGGTTGACACTGGTCATAACGACTTGGAACAGGGTGACGAATTTGGTGTTATACTCGGGGCCCACATTTAGAGCTCCAATTTCGGACAGGCACTTGAGGGTAACATTTCGGAACTCATTTACTTCCAAGAACTATGATGTCAGCTATAAGCCGGGTTGACGTATTGAGCTTACCCGAGTGACAAGAAAATCGATGATCTGTGTTTCGAAGATGTATCCCAGTGGAATCCAATTCAGGAATCGCAGTAAGGTCTCCAGTGTCGCCTTGATCAGACTGGGCTTGTTGGCCTTTTCCAAAACCTCATTACAGAGGTTGAAAATCTCCGAGAACTCGGAACACATCGTCTGTTTGAGGGCCTTGGTCTTAGCCTGTGTCATCTGTTCAGCTGAAAAGTCGAATATCTCTTCTGACAGGAGCTTGAGTATAATCATGTTGTTTTCGCAAAGGGAGAGGTTGGTCCGGGATGAAGCAACGATTTCAGGGATGAAAGACGGCCAATCTCTCGGCCATGCTTGTTTGAGGATCTGGCCATCAGCTAGGGACATGAAAACCTATGAATAGGCTGACCTGAACAAGGACGAGGTTGAGCTTGTTGAGATAACCCTTTTCTCTCCTCATTCTGCCTTCATCCGAAGATACCTCGATTGTGATTTGGACGATGAAATTTCGTATTCCTATGTGTTCAGAGTTGACCCTCATCTGGCAGACGTTGCTCACCTGCTGTCTGTTCTGCTGGTAATGACTTCCATCGGGTGGTGATTAGTTTCTCTAGGATTTGGAGGGCGATAAACTATCTCGTCAGCGGGATTACAAAGACAGGGGGAGTCATGCCTTAGTGTTGACGTTTTGAGAGGCTTCGAGAATTCCTGGTACTCTCTGCCAGCTGTCGGGATGGTCCTGGAATTGGGTCAAAACTCTTTGGGCTTCTTGTTGAGGTGCACCGGCCCCAGTGTAAAAAGCCGCTACAACCTGGTCGAGCAGTCTGGACCGATCAGAATTATGCAGAATATAGACAAGGCTCAGGGCTTACCCAATATCTAGCTCTTTGGAGAAATCGAGCACGGCCTGCAAGGGTCAATGGAATTCATAACCACATATATTGGAAAATGTCTCGTGGGAAGCTTGACACGGAATGCCCAAGGGCTGATGAAGGGATGCACTTACTTCCATTGTGCCGAATATCCTATGAGATGTCGCTACCAGACATGTAAGATTATCCGCACTTGCAGTCTTGGCCGTCTGACTCTTGATGAGTAGACGTAAGGTGGCGAACGGAACTCGGACGTCTAGCTCTGTATGGAGACAAGAGTAGCCTTCTTGGCAAGTCTGAACTCGGTAGGGAGAACTACGGTATGATAGACCTGATGTTCCAGTGTCTATACGAGTAGCTCTTGCAATAAGCAGTGGAAGCTGAGCGGGTGAGAAGGATGAGTTGTATAGAAGGTTGAGTGCAGTAGTCAGTGGTGAAACAGGACGCGAAGGGGACAACTGTCGGAACTTTCGGCGTTATCTCCAGCGGCGCATACAAGTGATAGAGTACTAGGTCGGTTCTCCTCTCTTCTTCACCGTCGACCTTGTCATGGTCGCTGCGCTATCACCTCGACTCACGCCTTCCGACTCTGATCAAGAGCATGATGTTGACGCTCTTCCCACAGACTACAAGCCATACGTACCGCTGAAGAAGCGTCGGGCGGACCTGCTGTCTCAATTAGGCAAGCATAAAGCCAAGCGGGTCAAGACGACAGAAGAGATCGAGGCCGAGGAAGAACACCATCGTCGTGAGTCTGAGCGAGACGCGGACGAGAGAGAAAAGGAAAAGACGAGAAGGGATCGGACTTTGCTACAGGCTGCTCAAGAAGTCAAAGAGCGAAAAGCCAAGGAGAATGCCGACAAGAGCGCCGCCGAGTTGGCCGCCGAGGAGGAGGCGAGGCTTCTGGCCGATATGGAGAGGGCGCAGAAGAAGTTGGCAGGTGCAAAGGAGATATCACAAGGGACAGTATGGACGGATAGCTTGAAGACGACTTGGAGAGCACCTTGGTTCATTCGTAATATGAGCCAAGAGGAGCATGAAGCTGTCAGAGATAAATATCACATTATTTGTGAAGGGGACGACTTACCTCCGCCTGTCCAGAACTTTGTTGTGAGTCGATCTCGACATGCAATTGTGGTACGTCTGACTTTTTAGGATATGAAAATACCTAAACCCATACTTGACTATCTACTCAATAAAGGGATCAAGAAACCCACACCCATCCAAATTCAAGGTCTTCCCACTGCTTTCTCCGGACGAGACATGATCGGAATAGCATTCACAGGATCAGGCAAAACACTCACTTTCACCTTACCCGCCATTATGCTCGCTCTTGAAGCCGAAATGCGATTACCATTCGTTCGTGGTGAAGGTCCAGTAGGATTGATCATTTGTCCCTCTCGCGAATTAGCTCGACAAACATATGAAGGATGTCAAGCCATGTGCAAAGCTTTGTCAGATTCTGGCGATTATCCCGAATTACGTTCTCTTCTCTGTATTGGAGGTATCAGTATGGCCGATCAAGCCGACGTTTTGAATCGTGGAGTTCATATTGCTGTAGCTACACCAGGACGATTGATCGATATGCTCGATAAAGGCAAGATCAACGCTCACTCATGCAAGTATCTATGTATGGATGAAGCTGATAGAATGATCGACATGGGTTTTGAGGATGATGTGAGGAGTATCATGAGTCATTTCAAATATCAACGACAAACTCTGTTATTCTCCGCTACGATGCCTAGGAAGATACAAGATTTCGCTCAGCAAAGTTTGATAAACCCTATTTTGGTCAATGTTGGTAGAGCGGGAGCTGCGAACATGGATGTGATACAAGAGGTGGAATATGTGAAACAAGAAGCGAAAATGGTTTATCTGCTGGAATGTTTACAGAAGACACCACCACCGGTGATCATCTTCAGCGATAGCAAGAATGAAGTGGATGGTGAGTGAACATCAGGCAGTCCCATTGGTGAGCTATGCTGATCTTAGACATACAAGAGTATCTACTGCTGAAAGGTGTCGAAGCGGTTGCCATCCATGGTAGTAAGAGTGAGCCCGATCGTAGGCGTAGGCAGTGTGTAGTAGCTGACAAGAAAGCACAAGAAGAACGAGAATACGCCATTCGATCCTTCAAGGGAGGTGCGAAAGATGTCATGGTCGCTTCGGGCGTAGCTTCCAAAGGTCTCGACTTCAACGAGATTCAACATGTCATCGTATATTCAATGCCTAAGGAGATCGAAGATTATGTGCATGAGATAGGACGGACAGGTCGGTCGGGCAAGACTGGGATAGCGACGACATTTGTGAATATGAACACAAGCGAGCAGACTTTGCTGGATCTCAAATATCTGTTAATTGAAGCTAAACAAAAGTGAGCTTGGTGTCGAATGTCATGGTTCAGAGAACTGATGAACAGGATCCCAGAGTTTTTATTGTCCATAGAAGATCCACGAGCGAAGCAAGGAGGAAATGTCAAAGGGTGTGCTATCTGTGGTGGATTAGGTCATGGGATTGCGGATTGTCCAAAACTTCAAGAAGCTCAGAGAAGGACTCAAGCTGCTCAGAACCAGTATTCTGGTGGAGGCTATTAGAGTGATATATGATCTGTATCTATATGTATCTGTTGTTGTACCAAAGCAACGCTGTACCCAGCTGCGACTGCTTCGATGCCATTGGACGGAAGCAAAAAGTTGACAATTCTCGTCTCCCGATCTTGGCCTGGTTTCTCTGTTTTCTTTCCAACTTGACTCTATTTTCTCTCTCTTTCCGCAGGCCCCGAGTGACATCGTTATCTTCCTCAACTCCACCTTGGATCTTTGGGCAGAATCGGATGGCTCGTCTCTTCTTGATTCCGTCACCCGACCTCATTCCCTCATTGTCGACCATCTTAACAGCCATCGGTACATGTGAGCTGTTGACGGAGCCCTTCCATAATGTCCAAGTAAGTCCCACTGGCCTCATCCCGACCTCCACTGATCTACAGTCCCTCCTCCCTCATCCGTGTATATCGTACCATTCTCAAATCAAGTCGGATTCCACAAACTCGAAGTCTAGTGACAGCCCTTCATCCTTCCCCACTCCCATCCTTCTTGCCTTTTTCATTCTCCGTCCCCATCGCCACTTCTTCCTCCGTCACCTTGGATCATCTCAATCAACTTGAACATCTTTTTTCACCACCACCAGATCCTTTAGTCGAGTCATTATCATTCGCATCTGATGAAGAACTGTTCAAAGCTATCATCGGACCCTCTTCATCAAGACCAAAAAGCAGAGAATGGGAAAATGGAATAGACGCTCAAACGGCTTATTTGGCATTACGTTCTCGACCTACTTTTCCACTTTACCTGAGACATATGTCTGCAAAGGTCTACGATCGTCTTCGTTCCCACACTCCGGATCATTCTTCTCCATTCGACAGATCCCTCTACAATAATATGACCAAGACAAACAAACTGTTTGGAAAAAATCCGAATAATGTCAATGTGATTCAAGTTCATCATACTTTCGCATCTGATTTAATGCTCATGCATCCTGACCCACGTATCCTTCATTCTATTCTCGAACTTGATTTAGGTCGTCCACCAGCACCGTTTTACCCCCCTGATCCAGCTATTGACCCTTCTCCACAACTTTTCCCACGTCGACGATCTCGTTTAGACCAAACGGAAATGTTGCTGCCTTCTACAGTAGCGGCGATATATCAACATATCCATCGATATCTTTCTGCATCTTTATTACCCAAATTATCTCGTCAAGCAAATTTAGGAATTTCTAAATCTCTCATTAGCGTTTCTTATCCTTTATCCCTTCCATCTTCAACTCTTCCAATCAATCACTCGACATTTCAGAAACGTAATTCCAAAATGTTAGCTGGTATAATGACCGATTTATATATCACTTCGCCGGTTTGGGATGCAGAAGCCGCTTGGGTGGTATTACGAATAATGTTACATTTATCACGAACCGATTTAGAACCCGCCATCAAGATGGTCAGGAGATTGCTGGACGATGGGAGAGTTTCTTCTGCTGCATTTGGGAAAACGGCAAAAGATCATCCGGAAGCAGGAAGGTTATTGGTCCAAACTATGACATTGAGATTATGTCTTCGATGGGGTTATTTAGCCAGGGCGAGGAATGTAGCTGGGGAGGTTTTGGAAACTCTTGAGAAATCTCATTGGACTCAAGGGACTTGGGAGGTTTTAGAAGAAACAATGAGGACAATGTTGGTAGGACAGACGAAAGGGTATGAAGAAGAATGGATAGGTAGGATGTTGGGGAGGATGAGAAAATTGGAAGATGCTCCAAATGTGGATGGGTTGTTAAGGATGTTTTTGGAAAGAGTGGAGGATGAGAAATTAGCAGAGAGATATTTAGATTTATTTGGGGATTCAATTGTTGCTTCATCAGAAACGCTCATGAGGGATGTGTTGGAAATGGAAGATATAATGACGAATGAGGAAGGTATGTCAACTATCAAGTCTGAAGCGGAAAGTACGATGGATGATTCAGGTGAAAGAAGAGGGCAAGGAGAGGTAAAGAATGTGAAAGAGAGAAATGTGGAAATATCTCCAAAACATCTCATACGTTTACTTTCTCATCTCCCTCATGGACTTTCGACCGAACGACGAGCTTTACTCCGAAAAGTAGTGAGGAACAATATCAACGAGATATCTTATTTACTGAAGAACGATGAGAAAATGATTAGCAAAGTGGCCGATGCTTGTTATAGGTTGAAATGTCCTGATGTCGCGAGAGTTCTGAGAAGGAGATGAGTTTGTATTTTATCGATTTATGCATCACATCTTGTCTCCTCATGGTATTCTTACCACTTGAATTCTCTAGAGACGGCGTGATGTGTCCGTTAGGCCCGTTAGAGTCACTGTTCCATGTTCCATCTCTTCACGGCATTCAAAACTTGGGATTCTGGATATCTGAATCTCATGATAGTTTACGTGAGTTAAATGTATATCAATTCATCTATATACACAAAATCGTATCCACTTCATCTAAGTTATATACACAACCTCAAACTTCTCAATGGTGAAAACATCAATCTTTATACGGTTTACTTATACTTCCTCCTTGATCCATATGTGGAGGATCTAAACCTAAAACTCTATATCTTTCTTCTAACCAATCTTTCGCCTGACGACCATATTGTTTTTCGTAGGAATTTACATTTAGGGGTCGTTCGGCTTGTGGGGTTACTCGGAGACCGTGTCTTAACGAAGGCTGAGATGAGCGATGTGTCACATTGTCTTCGATTGTTTCCATTGGTCCTTCCCTGATTCCCCTGTAAATGGGATAAAGTGGACACTTCAAATAGGTACAATAGATCTGAAATGAAATGATTACGTCGATTCCGAAATGTACCTATCGAAAGATGGCAGAGATGAAAGCAGGTACGACCGAAACCAGCAGAGATGAAAGTAGGTCCAACCAAAGATAGCAGAGATGAAAGCAGGTACAATCCAAGGCAATAGGAAGATTGAATAAATGGGAAAACATGAGATACGATTCTATTCACAACCTTGCCTGTGATTTCTTTACAAGATATTACCTCTGAAAAGATATAAGGAAACAACTTGAAAAACCAAGGTGATAATATGTGTAAACTCACATAAGCATCAAAAGTAGCTGAATGATTAACTACCCTATTATCCCATAAAGCTACATCCCCATCTTGCCATCTCCATCTACAAGTAGCATCGGTTTGTTGTGCGAAACTGTCAAATAAAAATTTCAAAGTGTTTGTCGATTCTGCTTTGGGTACACCGACTAGACGTGTGACAAACCCCGCATTGACAAAGACGGATTTGAAACCTGTGACGGGATGAACACGTACGACGGGGTGGATTGTTTCGAGAGGTTGTCGACGAGGAGTAGGTAGGGTTTCTGAACGCCATAATGCTTGACCGAAAGAAGAGTGAACGGCAGATAAAGATTCTAGATATTTCTGATATGGTTTAGACAAGGAGGAGTATAGTGCGTAGCTGAGTATCAACGAGTCTGTCTTCTCTTTTGATATACCTCTTGGGAGAAACGATCACAAGCTGTGATTCTGGGTAAGGAGTATGGAGATTGACGAGTGAATCAGGAATTTAGTAGGGACAATCTTCAAAGTGGACGGAGTATAATTGCGGGTTGAAGGAATGGTAACATTTCAAGAGAAGCGGAACGAGGGAAAGAGCATAGATGTACGAGATCCAAAGGTTTGAATGAAAAGAAAGGGAAGAGTGAAGATCGGGTGACAAGCATGAAAAAACACACCCGGAAGACCAAAGCGTGTCATTCCCAACTTCCGGAGTGGTCATAAGTTTCAAAATGGTCGTACCGGGTGGTTGTGCTTCGAACGTTACGTCCGAGTGAAAGAGTTCTACACGAGAAAAGGCGTACGGATCCGGTCTGGAATCCTTGTCAGAGTAAATGACTAATGTCAGTGGCTCTTACTACCAATGAAAGTAGCCGTCTAACTTCATTATGTAAAGCCGCCGTGAAGGGGTAGAATTCCGATGACACCCTGTGGAAGATCTTGAAATCTTTGGATAGGCAGGAAATAAGAAGAGCAGCCGATGTCTCGATGAAATCACCTTTGATGACAGGGGAATGAGAAAGCACAGTACGAATGATTGAGAGATAAGGAGCGACACTCAAATGGGAAAGGGGGAAGGAAATAATCACCCACCAACCACATCGTCCAGACCGTTCCGACGAGGAACAGCAAGAACAGGATGAGTATGTAAAGGTCCAAAGTACCTTCCTAATTCACGTTGTTTGTCAACATCCAGACCAGTCTGGCTTCTGAAGACTATATGTCAGTGTGAACAGTCTTTCGATGAGACACATCGAACGTACACACTACCCCTCTCCGGGCCACCAGAAGAGCTCTATCTGGTTAGCTTCATATCTCCTCTTCGTGTTCATCCATGGGGTCATGTTCAGAGCGGCTACATCTCGTCTCGTCGGTCGACCAAGAGAACGGGCAGGCTAAGTATCAAATTCCGAACAGGGATGGTACTTGAGAAGGGGGAAGCAATGTAGAAGATCAACAAGATGGATGGATGGATGGTAGGAAGAAATTAAAAGAGAGAAACTCACAAATCATCTTTTTCCTCTGAAGTCAAGTCCTCAAGCTTGATATCTCCCTCTATCACAGACCCCACACATATTCCCAGATCTTTGATCTTCCCCCCGGCTTTCTTCACGGCAGCGTTTAAGCGGGAACAAGCAGGGTCGGCAAAATGACCACGGTCGGTAATGTCGAAGTATGGCAGAGGAGGGTCAGATTTCTCCCTAGTTGGGTTGTACGCTGAAGTGAGTTATGCTTCATTCATCGTGGGGTGGGAGGATCATTCCTGTCCCAGCCCTTACCCCCAGCTAGTCTGGTGCGACCATCTTCCGCCGGTCTAGATTGAGGATTAAGAAGAAATCGTCGAGAAGGACTATATGACTAACGAAGTAAATCCGAGAAAGGATAATTTTCACCAGGTCCAGCACCTAGCACATCCCCCTAATGGTTAATTCCGCCCCGTGTTCGAAAAAAGACTCACGACGTAATTGTACGGATCCACCAGGGTTTCTCCTCCGTCGCTGGATGCATTCGACATGGTTTCTACCTCTCTCAAGAAGTCTTGTCAGCGATCGCGAGCCAGCCAAAAAAGATGATGTGACTGAGTGACTAGGTCAGAAATGTCAGCAGGGTAAAAAGCGAGACTGAAAAAGTTAATGGGGACTTGATGTTTTATATCCGATGGGGATGTGAGAGAGGATTGCGCCATATCGTACCGTACATACACTCGTTCGCTTGCGAGGTGTTCCTGGCTCATGGCTCTCGGATCGTAAGCAATCTCTGTGATCTGGTCAAACATGATGCTGTGGCAGCAGGTAGCATCCACGCTGGCGGGCAAGACCCTGTGATGCGGCGCTGAGAGTGATAAGTACTCACCCTAACTTACAGGTACTTACCCATCTTTTGCGTCTTTCGCACCACAACGCCGCTGATCGCGGACAAGGACTGATGCGATCTTGAATGTGGCACCCCTTTTCCGGCATCAAACCGCCACATTCAAGTTGACACGCGGCGTTTGGTCCAAGACTGCATGACCTCGACAAGCTACCCGTAACCATCTTGTCATCTCCCCTATCATACCTCATGGCCTGCTCTCGTTTTCGAAGTGGATCAGCGCCAACGTAGGGGAGACAGAGTATCTCTAGAGCTCACGTATCTCCCGTCTCTTCTTTATAATGGAGGGCTGGGTCGAAGAGGGGCTGACATCGTAAAATATGTGTGATCGTAGTGGATTCCATGCGATTATCGCCTGACATGAAAGCACTATCCCTTGTTTGGGACATGATGCATTCTCGTCTGTTATACGATCATTGCTCACTCTCTGATCTCTGGTCCCCTATGCCGCCGTGATTTATGTATGTCTATCTGCCAAAGACCCAAGTGCCAAACGTGTTAATGCCGACGAGAAGCACAGGACCACGATTGACAAAGTGGCACTTTTGTGGCACATCTTTCTCGCCTTCTCTCTTCCACCCCCTATCCTCACCTTCTTCACCATCTTGTCCATACCTTTCCCTGCCTGTCGCTATTTCCTTGTTGAGATAGTCAACACGCCCTATCACTCCTTGATTTACCTCTGACACACACTTGGATAACTCTCACATCCGCTCGCATCTCTTTCCATTCTTCATATCGGAGTGGCCGTGTGCTCATTTCAGTGGCAAGTGTGGCACCATCCCCTTGCCCCAAAACATCTCTTTTCATAATGTCTTCCAACCCTCCTGTCATCTCCACCTTCCCTCATACTCTTCCTCTTCCGCATCATCACCAAGGTGTGCCGAACGTCCATACCCACCCTCACCTTCAAACCGATACCGCCACTACCGTCACCAGAGGCGCGGACATTGACACCGTGCCATATCCCCAACCTGTGGCACTCCTTTCCCTTCCTTTCCAGCCTCAACAGCCTCAAGTCGTCCCGCCTACCAGTATCAATATGGTGGACCCCATGTCTCTGCCTTTGGAAGAAGATGTCGACAAGGTAGTGCATGTTGCCAACATGCATGCACAGAGAAGTGATGTCACCCTCATTCGACAACCTTCCCCAACCACACAACACATCAACCTCGTCTTCAAATTACCTCCTGGTCGGAGGGACAGTCCACGGAGTGTCGACACTCCGACTGGAACCGGAACAGTAGCAGGAGATGGTGATAGTAGAACAAGCAGTCCTAGTAGTCCCAGTGTCCACGTTATGGTTGACGGTGGCTCGGACGGTGTGGCGAGGAAGAAACGTAAGACTGGGTAAGTGGCACTTTTCTCTTTCTTCTCTGCTAATCTCGTCAAGCATTTACACCTTCTCTTTCCACCTGCCAGCCGCCCTTCCTCCCTTATTCGTATCTTCTTGTCATCTTCCATACAACGTTGATATCATACATGCTGACACGCAGTTCCAATTCTCATCTCGCTCAACAACTCTCCTCTCAAGGTACATCACACAACACACCTCTCGAAGATCATCCCGATCGCTCTACCCCATTATCTATCTTCGCTCCTCCACCACCTTCGGATCTTCCAGATGCTCTACAAGAGATAGTTCGTCCCGTCGTTGCCGATAATGATGGCATGGTAAAGGACGCTGCGGAGGGATTCGAGAATCGTCTCCGCCACACTCGTGCGAGATTGGAAAGCGTGCGGTCGGGGGTCAATGCTTCTGGTCGGGGTGTCAAAGTCGGAGGTGCACCTCGGACGTCGAATGTTTCGGGAAGGAAACCGAGAAAGTCGAAAGCCACCGATGAGATCGTGAGTCGTCACACTTTTCACGTCATTTTAAATTCTGCAAACTTTTCTCAGCCGTTCCAAATTCCTCGATTATACAACCCAGAATACACTTTCCCGTACTATCTTGCTTTCGTGAGGAGACATACAAGAGAGCGATATTGACATCTAGCCAAACCAGGATTTTTGCTCAGCATGCAGAGGTATAGGGAAATTTCTCTGCTGCGACGGATGTCCGAGAAGCTTTCATTTCATGTGTTTGGATCCACCTCTTCTGATCGACCAGCTCCCAGAAGAGGAGACATGGTATTGTCGCAAATGTAGAGCTGAACGGGTGAGTTATATCTGCATGCTCAAAACGTACCAAAGGTCACCACCTCTCTGAGGTTCGGATGATCTCAGCGAAATCAAATCTCATGTCATGTAACATCGAAATGAAAGAAGATAAACGACTGACAACTAGGATAAGGCCGAGAACGCATCTCCGGCGAAAGAGAAAGAGAAAGAGCTCAAACCTATTCCCGCCTGTTTCAAATTACTCACAAAGAAACTGGAAGAAGAGAACCCGGTTCAGTTTCGTTTGCCAGATGATATTCGGCATTACTTCTCTGGAGGTATGTAGGATTTTCAAGTGTTGAGTTGCGCTGATGAGAAGTACAAGAGGGACCGGGAGGAGAATATGTGGATCATGAGGAGACAAGGACACGAATAGAGTAGGTATCTTCCCTGTCATGGTAGTTCAACTCCGATGCCAAGCTTTCCTCGTACATATACGATCTCAGAAAATATCACATTACATCATGCCAATGATGCTGACGAACAGCCGGAAGGGATTCCAAGAGGAACGAGATGGTACTCGGTTGCGAGATGGTAAACGACCTGTCTCATGTTACCAATGCGGCGGTTCTTCCATCCCACTCGGATCCCTCATCACTGATCCTGGTATCGCATGGAGACAGATCGTCAGCTGTGATTATTGCGCTTTGCATTGGCACCTCGACTGTCTGACACCTCCGTTAGCAAGTATGCCGAATTCAGGGCGGAAGTGGATGTGTCCTAATCATGTGGAACAAGCTATGGTCAGTCTTCGCGTGCTTCTCTATCCAAGATCGTACCTCGATCTCACCATGGCCCCTGCTCACTGATCCTCTGGGTGTTGTCTCTCATACGTCATGCAGTCATGACTCGAGACGCATGTTTGGCGAGACGTCATTGTCCTACCTTTGTCAAAACCGGAGTTTGACAACGTGATGTCCTCGAAGGCCGCCTGTCCGAATTGCAACGTGTGGAGTGGGAGTATGGTCGTACTATCATCATCTGAACCAATTATGAGACGACGGTCTGGTCGGAACCGACAGAGGAAAGGTGCTAATGTGCAGGCAAGACGGAGAACTGTCAAGTCAGGTCTGGAAACTATTGACGTGGAAAGCGTCGGTACGCCGAACAACGGGAACATTCTTATCCTACCCGACGACCAACCAGGATTGCACTACGAGGATTTTGTGATCAATAAGAAGAGATATCGGGTGCCGGAGATGGTCATCAAATTGGATTTCTGGGACAAGTTACGTGCGCGTAGGTGAGTGTCACTCTTAACTTCTTTACTGCTGCTCAAAGCTGTTCATATCTTTTTCTGTCAGCGACTAACTTGTCTTCTCCTTGACACTCGGGTGTGCACACATCAGAAGCATTTCCTCATTCGTGGTCGTGCACGTTCGTGACATGGTGTAGAATCGCGAGTGATATGAGATCAGGTGAGGGCCGAACGTGGCTGACGATAAGACAACAAGCGGAGGAAGCTGCCAAACCGAAGGAAGAGGATACAGAAGATGAAGTGAGTAGTGTGGAAGAAGAACCTTTACCATATGTACAAAAAACGACTGTGAGTATTTGGTTCCTTCTTTTTCTATCTTCCGGTCGCTTCGTTGCTATCCACTTGACCCGCACTATCAACATGCTCATATAAGTGTTCAAAAGAGCTTGTACATGATGGACGAAGCTGACATAATCCAGGTCACTCAGGCAGATCTAGACGCTGCTAACCTAGTGCTTGGTCTTACTACCCCTATCTCCGCTCCCTTGACTCAAACATCACACTCTTCTCAAACTCCAACTACACCACGTCTGGTCACTCCTCATACAGCCTTACATCATTCTGATATTTCCGAATCGGGCAGAACGGAGTCAAATCAGTCTGTGCCGAGGAAGATAATGTTACGATTAGGAAGACCTGTTACTGTTCCAGGGTCAGAATGGTCTGCCGTGGCGTAAAGTCGGATGACTGGTTTGTCCATTTGTATATTCTTTTCTACATACTTGAAGGTATCATTGGTAATAGGTTGTAGTGTATCGTGGATGAGATATATATCAGAAGAAAGTAGGTAGAGGAGTTTTTGAGGAAAGAAGAAAGAAGAATTCATCAACGGTCTTGAATCTACGTATTTGAACAAGCTAACAAACAAATGCATGTTTTAGAATCTATCAACGTCTACGTCTAAATATCATTCATAAGTTGGGAACAAGCAATGCAACATAATTCTAACTGCAGGATGAACAAGCATATAATCAATCCCCTTATGTACCTGGCGTGTCGTGATAAGCCGAGAGATGAGATAGAAATATCACTAAGATAATGTAATTCGGTAAGCAGTTTTGAAGAACATATTATGAAAGTCCTCTCATGGCAAGTTCAAAAGCGACAAAAGTAGCTCCATTAGCAAATGGAGATCTGACCAATGTGGGTGTTAAACCTCCTGTGAAACCTTTCCATCCGCTTGTACGCCAGACTTGAGTAGCACAATCGATCATCCCTTTATATTGACGTTTTGTAGGGTTTAAATGATCCGTTTGAAGTTTAGATTTTATAACGTCGATTGGGTATATACTAATTATCAATCATTTTTGAATTCTTATTGTCTATTACTCTCGATTCATGAAAGTACTTCTCGTTCACTTAGAGTTGAATTCTTATTGTCCATTACTCGATTCATGAAAGTACTTCTCGTTCACTTAGAGTTGGGTGATCAGTAACGGTTTTTTTTTCAAGGTGATGTGATTGGTGTTGATTATATTTGGTGGGAAGGAATTGTGGTGGATGATGGGTAAAGAACTTCATATTTTGGGTGTATTTAGAAGGGTCAAGTATGTGTGGGTGACTTCAGGAGTGGTAGAGTGGAGTGTGGAGATATGAAGATATGGAGGGGAAAAGGTATGAATGACGTCTTTATGGGACAAAGAAGAATTCAGAGGTATGAGAGATGGTTGATACGCAGTAAGAACTCAGAACTCAGAAATATCAAGGATAATAATGAGACAATGAAACGAGGTGGGGATTGACGAATGACGGGATTGATATAGTCGATCGAGGGAATAGGGTGAAGGAATGTCATAGATGTCTGGAGAGTGGAACAGTAATCTAGAAAAGAGAAAAGATGAGAAAGTACGTGGCAAGTTCGAGGAAGCGGAAAGTAGAAATAAGATATGAAGGAGTGTAAATCACTTACGAAAACCATAATGCGTATCCTGCCGCAGCACCATAAGTCACCGACCAAATCGGAGCGATATCTTCTCTTTTCACACCTTTAGTACGTATATGACGTTGAACGAGATATTCGTATGCTAGGAAATACGATCTGATCACATTAACATTGGATTCTCTCCTCCTTTTTCTGGTTTTTGTTTCCCCCCATGTTGCTCTTTCTGTCCCATTGTTCTTTTATCCCTCGTTCTCTTCTTTCTAACGTATATTCAGTCTCCCCGTCATCTACTATACTCCGCTACGGACCCCATATTCCACACTGACAGGACCCGGCGCTCGTATCGACTTATGAACATGGACACCAAAATGTCCAGTGGTATGACCGACACTCAAGTGCCGGATGGACTGAGGGATTTGGAGAGAAAGACAAATCACTCACCCATACCCCAACCCATCCCGCCACATTGTACTAACTTGTCCTTTAAATACACCCCCTATCCCACCCATTTTCCATAACGCCACAGCACAATCCCATGGACCTCGGTAGATAGGTGGTTGAGGCTGGGTCTGAAGTCGGATACGGATATGTTCAACAGGGTTGGCTACGATCGTATTGGCTACACCGGCTATGGCTCCTGCTGTGTAGAGCTCGGCTGAAGGTGAGCGGACATAGATATGTGGCCAAACCGTCTCAGTAGGGCTGTTCGACTAGAAGAGAGGTTTTGTCCGTCATGTAGTCAGAGAATTTGTGGTTTATTTAGAAGGGATGTGGATTGATAAAGACGCCCTGGGTAGAAGAACAGGGGGAAAGTAGACCATTTGTAGAAGTATACCTCATCTCGAGATGAGGGGTAAGTGGACGAAAAAGTACGAAGATGGGATAGAGAGATGACTGTAGAGAAAAGATGTACCGCATGGAGGAAATTGAGGACATACCAAGATTCAACTCTTCTTTATCTCCCTTTCTTCCCCCGAAAAACCTCTTGGCACCCTCTAACGCCCCAAATTGGATAGATACACATGCTCCTATTCCCAACAAAGGCGTCAGGGTACCTTTATAGAACCCCGTTGGACCGTCCGATCGGAGTAACTTTTGGGCACAGTCGAGAGGTGATTTGTACGTCCCAGATGGAGCAGTTTGTATCCGGACTTTAACTATGTCGAAAGGCTTTTGTATCAGCTGAGAACTTGTTTCACTATACTTTTTGACTATCACAAGAAACTTCTTCGCTTGATCACAGGTGGACTCCAACCACTGGGTTCGTGCCTCTTCACTCGTGTCAAGAATCTTTGAACAATCGACTCAGGTGGGAAATGATAGAGGACATCGGGGTTGTGACATGCTGAGTTGAAAGCTTAGCGTAGATGCTTCAAGACTACTGTCCAACGATGAGTAGGAAAGAAGGGGATGGAAGCATGATGGGAATGATCACACATCTAGGGATATTTTAATCAGGTTTGGAAATGATAGCATCGACACTCACTTGACCGACCAAGACTTGAGCTATCCCACCCACCGAACCAGCTATGAGATCCTTTTGTGTCCTACTCAGTCGTAATCCAGGTGTCGAAGCGGGAGGTGAGAGAAGTTCCGACATGTTTTTCTTTTCTCTGGTCTTGTCAAGGATCTTTTAACACCTCACCAACCCTTTATCACCCAAAACACCGTACGCGGACAATCGAGTCGAAAGAAAAAGAGAAGAGAAAAGATAAGTTTGTGATGTTAAAAATCACCCGAAGCTTCGGAAATTGATCAAAAGCGGGTGATCGAAATGTGTATACAAAATGATATAAGATGCATATTTACATTGCAATGATTTTTGATCGTATGATACAATAAAGCCTCTAAGCACCACTCCTCACGTTTAAGCAGGGTTTTTAGCCTGCTCTATGACCCATTGTGATGGTGTAAACGTTTTCTATCCTATCAGCCTGGGTTCAACCCCAAAAAACAGCATGAGAACGAGATCCGTTGGGATGGGATAAGAGGGAGACTCACTTGTGAAAAAGCATGCAATTGACTGATTTCCTCTGATAATATTTGATTCACTTTCCGTCAATCCTCGCCAATCTATACAAGATTTCATAAAGTCGGATTTGGTGATGAAGCTTACTCACCTAACTTATGTCTAGCCAAAGTCATCTTCTTTTCAAAATCAGGTGATACAATGATCACCTCGAATGAAGACCCGCAGTTACCTGATGTATCTCTTATCGACTATGTAGTCAGCTTTTCATCTTCTTAATCCGTGCTGCTTGCTATCAATCTCCCAAGGAGATGACAAAGCTCTATGGTAAAAGAACGCTGTGAAGCCGTACTGACGAAATGATCCACTTTTATCGCGGCTGATAATTCCTCTTGTATCCTTTTTTGCATAGCCAACGAGGCGTCTACTTGCTCTTGAGTCGGCATGTCTGGAATGTTGTATGGGAGACTCGAAAAGCGTTCTCGTAGGTTTCAACTGTTGCATCCTTGACTTTGGGGATTATCAGATACGAGTGAGAGGGAACTTTCAGGCACTTGATGATGTGGCATTTCACCAGTTTCCCCCTACTTCTACTTCAACTTCTGACTTTCAATTTCTCAACTTTCTTACTTTCCTCTCTCCTCTTCATCTCTAACTCGACCGGTCTTTCTAACCCTTCTATCCTTCTGTCTTCGCTCACTGATCCACTGGAGACCTCCTCCGCCGTCTACCACTGAGGTCGAGAGGGAAACAACGATGAGTCTCCTCACACTCTCTTGTCTTTCCGGCCCTTCCCTCCTTCCACTCACCCTTCTCCCCAAAACAACCTTCAGATCATACATCACCACCCCCTACACCCCTCACGCTCCCCCATCCTCTCGTCGACCGCCTCGTCCTTCTTCACCAGCACATTTCACCGGACATCCAACCCTTCACACGGCTCTCTCAGAACTTCGTACCACACTCCAAGAAGCTCAAACTCTTCTTCGTCAAGATCACATCTATCCTCTTCCTACATCTTTACCATACCTCCAACCTCCTGCGACATCCTGGATACAAAGGGATGAACTGGCAGTTAGGTTCTCATGTCGTATCAGGACAAAATCTCATAATGCAGTGGTGGAATTACTCAATGAGATGCATCATCTTCGACATGTCGCGTCTGTGGCAGGAGCGGATCAAGCTGCTGTAAAGTTGGCAGAAGCTTTGAACGTGTATGAAAGGATTAAAGACCGAGAGGGTGTGATGAATGGTGAAAAAGATAATGAGAAAAATGGAGTGGATGAATATGGGAGAAGTTTTGGATTTGGAAGAAGGAAAGAAAGTTCAGCTAGGGTTTGGTTGATACCCACCAAAACCTCTAGGAATGTCTTCAATCCCATAAACAACGACACTGTGATTGATACATCCTCCGTCAGTCAGGAAGTCGATAACATCACGACTGCCCAACAAGTGGGGCAAGGAGGGAAAGATGATGTCAGTGCGGAAAGCGACAAAGTAGTTGATCTGGAACAAACCAAAGTATCAAAACATGACGATATTTCCCTACGTGGGAAAGTGACGAATGAGTCAGAGGGAAACGGAGAATCAAATTCAATCCCTATAGCTCAAGTATTAATAAACCATCAACCATTATCAACTTATTTCTCAAGGATATCAGATAGAGAAACCATCCTTAGACCTCTCCGTCTCGCAGCGGTTTTAGGAGGATACAATATCTTCGCTTTGGTTCGAGGAGGTGGGACGACAGGTCAGGCAGGAGCTATAACATTAGGTTTAGCAAGAGCTTTAGCTGTTATGCGTGAAGATTCAAGACGTATTCTTTTCAGAGGTGAGTAAACGTCCAATTTTATTTTTGTCTTTTTCAGTATTCGCATGATCAGACAAGTGATTGAACCCGAGTATCCGTATTTTTCATATTTGGTCTCCATGAATTGCCGGATCCTACTGTAGGATTTGAGCGAGGTCAGTGAGAAGTTTTGAGAATGGATCATGGTAGGAATGTTTGACTGATCCTTTAGATGGTGCTTTGATGAGAGATACAAGAATGGTTGAACGTAAAAAGACTGGGAAAGCAAAAGCTAGAAAAGCTGTGAGTTATCTCAAAGTCGTCTTTCCCGTCTTTCTCTATCCAAAATTACTTTTGTGCAACGTCATGAAATTGGAATCAGTCGTGGAGTCGACCTGAATCTGAGAGCATGTGGGAATATATATGATTTGCATGACTGTCGGTGTATGTAGACAGACCACTGACGGACAGTACACTTGGGTCAAACGTTGAAGTATCTATCAACCTCACATGCATCTACTTCAATACACTGCGCCAGATACACACAGTGTGGTCATTGTGTCGCACATACCTCACTTCCCTTTGACCGTCAGCTGGCGTTACTCCACTCGTACTCATACTCATAAATTACTCGTCACTCAATACGAGTAAGAGTACCCGGTGATGCTGTTCTCATATCTTCAGATGCCCTGCACGACGTGCCATCATGATGAAGCCATATAATCCAAGAGACTATACCAAGAATTGCATCTAACACAATCAATGTGTAATTTCTTTATTTGATACAACATTCTCTTCTCCCCTTTAACCTATGTAAATAACTTTCTATCGGTCCAATTCAAATCCCCGTTCCCATCTGCTGCATTTCGACCAATAACGACTGTCCATTCCAACTGGGTATCAACCTATTCAATTGATCCCAAGGCATAGGAGAATCAAATTCTAATTGAGCCAAATCCAAATATTGTTCTTCCCCCGTTGTAGTCCCGATCTGCGTCGGGAAGACATTATCAATCGGATTATTCGGATTAACCCGTGAGATGGGTTCTGGACGGGAGAGTAAAGGATCAAATAATGAAAAATCAGATAAGATATCACCTGATGTTTTCCCTTCTGATCCTACGTATGAGAGACGGTTCGATGAAGATGCTTGACCAGATTGGGGAATTAGAGAAGAGGTGATTGGAGCAGTAGTAGGTAGAGGAGCAGAAGAAGAAGAAGAAGGAGCGGGTAAATTCCTTGTTTGACGTTCTTGTTGTTGATGTAATGCTCGAATAATACGATCCACATCTGCCGCATTGAGAGGTTTGGAAAGATCAATGACGTTCGGATTGACGGAACTGATCGGATGTCCATTTTGATCTGGATCTGAATGTCTTCTTGCTGAGCTAGGTCCAGAGCTTGAACTTGCACTCGACTCCGAATTAGGTACAGATGGACCGAGTTGAGTGTTCCAATCCAGTGACATGCCCATATTCCCATATACGTTGAATAAGTTTGATCCGTCGTTCATCGGATGTGAAGGAGTTTGTTGGGATGTATCGGTTTGGTTTGAGGGTAAAGACGATGTTGACTGTGATGATTGACCAATTGATCGATTCAACATGGCAAACATCTCTTCTACTGACATATTACTCAGATCACCTGATATTGACGAATCCGGATCGAGGACCGTAGAGTGTAATTGAGGATGTATATTCTGAGTGGTAGACGTATCATCAGGGAACTGAGCGATGAATGCCATAATGTCACCTGTCACACTGTCCAGATCCAGATTATCAAATTCGACATTGAGCTCGGAAGAGGGTTGTTTTTGCGAAGAATTCTGCGCGAAGACTTCTCGTGGGACCGGCGGGAGTGAAGGAATGATAATTCCTCCGCTGGTCTGGTCCATGTTGATAGATTCTGACGTGGGTCGAACAGGTAACAATGATCTAGAATTGGGAGGATTGATAGCAGGAATGACTGGGCTGTCTGATCGAGAAGAAACATTGGAAGGGTTTGACGGTCGTTGGTTGGGTGAAGCATTTTGAGACGGATTTGTGGATGCTGGACGATTGGGCGCGTTCAGCATACCAGACGATGTGTTGGAGCTCTCGCCGCTGTGATTCGGCGGAGGAGGTTTAGGGAGAATTAGACGAGGATGATGTGGAGGTTGATGAAGCGCTAAAGCCTTGGAAGCTGCTTTTCCCGTAGAAGTTGAACGTTGGACACCGACCGTAGCTCGTCGTACAGCTGTTGAGCTGGGAACAGTCGAAGGGCCTTGAGAAGTGGATGCGGCACGACGAAGAGGTGGTGTGGCTGTCCCTGATCCTGAGGCAGAGGCGACGGCTGGTTGAGTCGAACACTGTTTTGCGCATACGGCTGGTTGAGCTGCTCGATCAGGGCCGAGGCTGACCTCTGCCGGGATCTGTTGTGATGGGGTCACTTGAGGTGCGTGGGGTTCTTGATGGGGTATTGACGCGACAAGTGTGACACGAGGTGGGTCCGAAGATGAACCGCCGCAGCACGATGATGGAGCCTGAGTCACTTCGACAATTGGTGTCGGTAATGTAGGATTGCTGTCTTCTGCCATATTCTGATCTCCGTCCGCATCGCAGTTACACCGGACACAACAACCGCAACAATCCTGTTCGCATTTACACTCCCCAGGAGCACATTGACATCTTCCATTGCAGCACTGAAGAGGTTTGAGCTGTACGAATCCTAAACTTCGAACCGCGTCTTCACTGGAGGGTAAGACCCTTGTATCGTGGGCATCCAGATCTAGGGACGCTTTTCGAGCTGGTGGAGGGACATTGGCAGCTGCGATACTCAGCAGGTGGGCGATAGAGGTGATCCCAGAAGGTAACGAAAGATGATCCGCGCAGTCGAAACAACTCTTGCAGTTGTCTCCACAACCCAAACCAGAATGGTGATGCTCAGCGGCACGTGTAGGGTCCGCGTGTGTTGCACAACCCGGACATTGACAGTCTGGTCCACAAGTGCAAGCTCCAATGACGACATCTTCTGATGTCGGGAATGATATCGGTCGGTCACCTTCGATCTCCATCGCTTCCACCTTGACTCCACCGTTCTGAGCCATGGCATCGAAAGTATTGATTCCTGGTAGACCGAGTGCTGAACGGGGTATCTCTGTAGCAACCGAGCCATCTTCTCGGAAGACTGCACCGAGGAAAGCTGTCATATCTGCCAACGGTGGGATGGTCGGAGGTGGTGGACGAGCTGTAGTTGATGAACTGGCCCATCCTGCCTTGAGGGTCGATGCTTCGCGTTTGCCGTGTCGAGGGGTCAGATGACCATTTGTAGAGTATGGAGAGTAGAGTTTGGTCTTGTGGACATGTCTCGAGGTATGAGCGGGATGATGAGTGTTTTCCGGAGACAGATATGGACCGGTAACTTTGGAAGGATCTTTTCGATAAGTAGTGGGACTGGTTTCAGAGGATGTCTCGGTCGTGGCCTTGGTCTGAAACATGTCGATGAGCGATTCGGTTACTTGAGCATGTGCAAAATCGCCCGTAGGAGTGATAGCTCCACTGGAAGCACGAGACGGCGAGGGGCGTTGTAGATGAGGTGAATCTAGACGTTCGCGTTTGCGACTGCAGCATTTGCAGATTCCAGTAGTTTTGCAAGTGCATGGATTGAGTAGATTCGACACTGAAAAGGTATTAGCTGCAGTCTTGACCCCCTAGCTAGAATTGGTGACTCACACTGCCTTTCCGCGGCCATATGACCTTCGTGACTGAGAACACCTAGTACTTCAGCGGCAGCTGCCATCTCATGCACATCTTTGAGCCCGTTAGGATATGTCGGAGTCGATCCAGGTTGACCCTTTCTGGTCTCTGTTTCTGCTTGTCTGGTGGGCGATGGAGAAGAAACTGAACTATCACCGTTACGCCGAGCTGATGAATCCAAAGAGCCAGGAAGGATCATGGAAGGAGTTTGAGAATCGCCGCATGTGCACTAGGTGTCAGGAACCATGAAACGCACATGAGACTCCAATAAGACCTGATGTTTGAAAAGTCAAATGAGTAGAAATTGACATACCTTGGAGTGAACAGAGCTTCCCTTGAGTTTCCTTCTATCTCTGCAACATTGACATTGTGCCGTCGGTCTACCTTTCTTTTTGACTTCAAACAAGGGTCGATCCGTATGTGTGCATCCGGAAACACGATGACCTTTGATGCAAGTTGCGCAAGCGAATTTTTTGTCATTGATGAGGACCATCTTGAGATAGTCATGCAATATGACAGAGATAGAATAGGGTTTATATCTATCAGAAATGGATGACGGACGGAAGGGATGAGGATGAATGGTCAAGCGGCGAGAGCGATCTTGATGGCTTGAAAACTAAGAACTTTTGGGATGGAGTGGATCAGGACCGAAGATAGGTAGTTCAGACCTCACGAGTGAGTGAAGTAGACAAGCTTCGAATTGATTGATTGATGGATATAAGTGGGGGTTGGGGCGATGGTTAAAAAAAGGAGTGTTTCCACTTGCTCGGTTCCTTGGGTGAGTCGTCCACTTTGGCCTCGTGATACGTATATCTCGGGTTATTGCCCTTGCGTCACACTTTCTATTATCGACCGCATGATCATCTAACGTCGCGTGTTCTGTTTGAGGACAGGTGGGGTGTTGTGATGCTTGACATAGGGGAGATTGGAAGAGGAAGGACTGGGGAGAGGGAGAGGAGGTAGGGAAGGGAAGGATGGGCGTGAGGACAGAGGGGGCAAATGGCTTTGAAATCTGGATAAATGGAGATAATTAAATGTAGAAATAAATGAAAGATAAATGGGGCTCCATTCCTTCCTTGACCTTCACCCACTGAATAACTTTCCACTCACAAAATTCACAAAGACTACGCCTAAATCTTCGACGTTACGCACTAGAGTAAGACCTACATTGCGAGAACAACTTAGTCAAGATGTCATCCGACAATATCAACATTCAAATCATCCAAACTATCTTACCATATATCCAACACCGTGCCTCCCCTCGTTCTCACCTTCCAACTTCTCTCCCCCTTTCTTTCCCTTCAACACTACATCACCTCAACCTTCTCACTCTCCTACATTCCGTCCATCATGTCCTATCCCACCCTTCTCACTCTCTATACTTTTTCACCACTTCAACTTCTCCACACAATATCTCACTAAGAGGGGTAATGTCTCTCTTTCTTTCCTCTGAACCCAATTGGGACAGCGCCAACTTTCTCTCTTCTACAGGTTTGGGTAAGATCACACGGGATATGATAAGCGAGCATTTTGGAATACAAGTAATGTTTGAAAAGCCTCATGAGAGCTTACAAGGCGTTACTATTGGAGAAAGGTCAAAAGAGGCTCAAGGGGTTGTGGATTCTATATCCGGTTTATTTGAAGAATTGAAAGAGGGATTGGAAGGAAAATATAAATGTCCCGGTGAGATAGTTCAAGAGGTCATCAAACTCGCTGGAGAAGAAGGAAATGAGGGAATGATCTTGGCCAAGAAGTTTTGTCAAGAGGTGAGCTTCATGGTAGGATTATTGCTAGCTGACGAATCAGTTAGTGAGGTTGTTGCCTAGTTTGAGCGAATCATTTTCGACTACTGTTATTGGTGAGCTACGTTGTCCCTTCTTCTAAAATAAGTGACAAGTTCCATCCTTTCCAAATCTCGCGCCTTTCCCTACAAATATCTTCCGCTGTTCACCCCACCACCGGCTGCCGGATGGGGACCATGGAAATAACCTTCGATCCAACCAGGCTTCCCTCTCGGCGAAATAAACGGTAGAGATTATCTACGTTGCTCGTCAAACCCCCTTGAATCTTGGAGACAGAAAATTAGCAACTCAATTCGAAAAACGACCAACAGTGCTTTTCCTCGATGTCCATGAGGTATGAGGAGTCAAAGGGTCAAGAAGAAAAGGAGAATGATAGCTGATAACACAGCCCTCCCGTCTACTCCCTTACGACTGCTCCAAGATCTGTCAACAACTTCCATACCTCTTCATCTACCTCCCTTATCATCCCTCTCAGATATCTCACCACTCCCTCTCCCCATCCCTCCCCTCTTAGCTCTCCGTATCCTCTCTCCATCCTCTGATCTCGTCTCTCAATTACCTGAACAAACATCGATCTTGTCTCTGCTTCATAGAGATAAATCAACCAAGGCCCTACATGGTTTCTCTGGAAAAGCAGACGAAACGAGCAAGAAAAACATCTCTCTGAAAGGTTTCACCATCCCCTTGGAACAAATAACACATTTACAAAGTCTAAGCGTGGAGATATGTCAGCTTATCCGAGATCAAGCACGAGAATCAGGGAAAGAGATCACTTTGATAGACGTTGTAAAATTCTTTGATGATCTTCAAATTAAGATGGATAAGTCTGGTCTGGGATTTAGGTTGATACCTTCCGACTCATGAATGTATCATTTGCGATGTCTGAGATAACGTTGACGGTCCCGATGGCGAAATTGTATATACCTCAACATCATAGTAAGGTCGCCAGTAAGGTGGAAAGGAGCTGACTTGAATTCCAACGATGACATTCATCTGATTCCCGACTAATCAAGTACAACGTTTTGCTACATTATTAAACTACTACTCTTTCAAATCCCATCAAGAGATCCTTCTTCCTGTGTAACCCCTTCTCCTTCACCAATCCATACTTTTATACAATTAATAAGCTATAGTCGAACAAACCCAGAACCAAAATCCCACAAGCCTCGATCCGGGATATGTTAGTGTTGAGAACGATGTCCGGAACATGTCGATGGAGTTGATTATGCCGTCGATTCGAAAAGCTGTTTGTAGATCCTTGTTTCCCAAAACCCGAAAATATCATTCTCACTTCAGCCCTGGATGTGTTTCAGATCGCTGTCCAACTCAAAGCTGCTACTGCTTCTTCCTCTTCTTCCAACTTTGAACTAACCCTTCTTCTCCTATCCGTCCTCAACAATCTTCCCAAGAACCCTGCGGAATCTTTGTTCGGTGGAGCGTTGTTAATCCTGACATTTGTCAAAGTTCCCGATCTAGGTAAAGAATCGTAAGTCTGAGTCTTTTGGACAGTGGTCGAAACAGAAGTTGATCTCGTTCCTTTTGTAGTGATATGAACTTGGGTGAATTCTTCCTCGTGATGAGGAGGAGTAAGTGGCATATCATTCGATTCGAGTGAAGAAGAAGAACCACTTCTGTCCAAAGGTGGAGCGACGTAGATTGCTTGTTCTCGAGAAATAGTACGACGATGTTTTCTAGCTGGGGTTTGAGGTTGACGAACAGGTGTAGGAGGTGTAGGTGGCATGACAGGTGAAGATGAACAACAAGGTGAATCGAAATGATATTGTGATAAAAAGGGTTGGAAATTAGAAATGATTTGAGATTCTTGAATGGCTAAATCGTAATCGAGCAAATACAAAAGTTGTTTTTCCATCAGATTGATTTCTTCTTGTGAAAACATCTGAGCGTAACGACACCAATGTCTGTTTTTGGGTGATGAATCGTTTAGGTATTTAGCGGCGACGATTAAAGTAGCGAGAAATACACGATGACGGGTACAAGGCATCCCTTTGGCGACTTTCGGTAAACGATGACGAAGACGTTCAAGGTAGACTAAAGTAGCGAGAAGGGTGGATACTTGGACGTTGGATTGTTCACATACGACAGCGATGAATGTTTCCAAAGAAGGTAAACCTTGGTGTTGTTGAGGGAAACCGTCACGGACGGGGGTGGGAGGTGGAGAAGGCGGAAGAGGGATTGTGGTGCTACATGCGATCACGGATGTAGTTCTGTCGGCAAGGTAGTCTGTTGGTCAGAGCGAGGTCATACAGAGACGGTTCGTCATAATATCCGGTACTCTCTTGCAACTGCTTTCACTTCGTCGGCAGGGAGCGTATAGTGATATTGACGGCGGTGAACGACTTGCGAAGAGGGATGAACACAGAAGAAACGCATACTCACAGACCATTTCCCGAGACACGTCAGTCCTGATGAGTTCCAACAACGCGGGGTTGTGTACACCACATACGGACAAAGAAGCGGGATGAATCCTTTCTTCAAACACTGGTGATTGAGGTCGGAACGCCGGCGTACCAATAGGGAACAAAGACTTGAGGTTTGCAGAGACGGACATCTTGATTCGATCGGGGTTGTTCTGAAATTTATACTTAGATCGAGAGGTTGGGTCAGATGAGGAATCGATAGATGATCAGTCGACAAGTCGAGTAGTGTTGAAGATTAGAGAGGTTGTGGAGGGGGAGGACTAGCCTCTTTGAAGAAGGATTAGGAAGAGGAAGGGGTGAGGAGAACTGAAACCGATTATGGGATAGAAGTCGAGATTAATTCCAAGATTGAAAGAAAGGTGAGAAACGGCACCTATATGATATATCACTTGAAAAATCTATTCCCCCACTACACGTCGCGTTTATCCTAAAACGCCTTGAAAGAATCACGCGTCCGTCACCAAAGATCAAGGGGAGGAAGTAAAAGAGAGTAGTTTCTCCAATGTGTGAAAAAAAGCCAAAAAGTCCTTGACCTTGAATTCCCTTGTACAGAAATTGTACTGTATGTCGATATTTCACGTTTGAAGGGTTTCTAGGACTTAATGGATAGGATTATAGGATAAAGGGATATGGTAGTACGTTTTTCAAGTTCGGAAGATAAGATAGGAACGGTCACCAGGACACGTAGAAAAAGTACAAGATGTAAAGTTTGTGCTTTGTGGGCGTGGTGTGTGGAAAATGACGCACTGCGTCGTAGTTTGGGGGGTTTGTTTGAAAGGTAAAAAATGGAAAACTCGCACAGCGAGAGGAAGAAAGAAGTCCAGGTTCAGGGTGAAAGAGGAGAGAAAGTCGGAAAAGAAGATGAGGGATGTGAAGGCACATCGGGTCAAGATGGTTTTTAAGGGCGAAGAGAAGGGTAGAAGAAATCAAAAAAAAAAGATTCAAGAAAGACGCGTTGGAAGTACCGCCGGCTACGGTGATGGATCAGACGCGTTTGGGAAGTTTATGTGGTCGGTTTCTGATTGTGGGGGATGGTCTTGGATGAAAGGGGAAGGAAGGGGCGGATACGTAGAAGAGTGAGAGATGATGATGGGAATCCGTGTATCTGACCGTACTGATCGGAGATACGATACCAGTACGATTCCAGTGATCCATGCATGATCCAGTGATCTGAAGCAGTGATGGAGATGGACTAAAACCGATAGCCATTCTCACCGCTTTCTCTCAACATGACGGATACCGTTCACCTGTGCATACTCGCTCAATAACGCATAATTTTTGGTAATTCTCAGATCTCAGACACCGGAAAAGCACATCGCGTGTCATGGCAAGATAACGCCAAAAGATAAGTACGCACAAAACTGAACCTCACTTCAAGTCACTCAATTTCCCTCTTAGCCAAACGTTCACCTTGGCATCCGAAGATCCTCAAATTCTGAAATCTGACTATCCTGATTCTCACCTTGACACGTGCGGGTCAATCTCTTCCCTTCCCATAATCATCCATAGATCAGGTCAAAGTTCAACTTTACGAAGAGATGAAAGTCTGGGCAAGAGTTGATATGTAGACGCGTCATGACCATCAGGACTGGAGGAGGAAAGAACCCGACGCCACGACGCGTTCATCTTTTCACTCTCCGTCTCCACCCCCACAACGCCACCACTTCACCTGGACCACCTTGATAACCCTGAAGCTTCCGGGCTATCCTCGATGCCGTAGTCTTGAACGTACATCGTCCTTTGCACTAACGAGAGTTTCGGAAGGTGAATGGAAAATAGGAAAGAAGAATGAGATGCTTATTTCCGCATGACCCCAAACTCTACATCTTGCCACATATCCAATGATGTGAGGACGCATTTTGGGGAGCGGTCAGGTATGGTTAAAGTGTAAGTATAGGTCTGGCCATGGGGAATTATATACGCGCTAGAGATCCCGCCGCTAGCTACCGGCTGGCTACGTTCACTTCTGACTTTAAGCTGGAGATTTCTGGACTTTATTGCATGCTCCACGACATGAAGGTCCCGCTCTCAATCTCGATCGATTCCATTCTTCATGCGTCACGAGGCCTATGGTCTATCAATCTTGAGAATGATGGATTCTCTACCCAAATTTGACTTTACCTTATGGAGATGGGTATGGACGGAGTATATTCTCATACCCATACGAAATCCACTGCCCATTGTGACTACCCCAAAATCTTCTTTACCTGTATACCTGACCTAAAAGACAAAATGCTTACGACCTACGGAACGAACTTATCAGGCACATTCACCCGCAGATATAAAACGCAATCGAGAAACTATGCATACTTCACTTTACACTCTAGCTCACCGATTACCGATGACCGATTACCGATGACCGATTACCGACTAGCAAGTAGACATGATAAAGTACAAGTCAATACGTTATGTGCAAATCCAGAGAAAACAAAGTATGCTTGACATGGGATTAGTACGATACAAGACAGAGTGGGAGTCAATGACGCGAAGGAAAGGGAAGGAATCGTGTCAGTCGTCAATTACGAGTACGACCAATCAGTAGATCGGAATCAACATAGTATGGAGAAGTGAAGTGAAAGGAGAACGGGGAGTGGAGGTTACTCTGATGGGGATGGGAACAGAATATATGTCAAGGTGTATGATGACGGATCGGAACGAAATGATGAAGGATAGATTCAGACAACGGTTGGGACGCCGACTTGACTTGACATGGTGTCTTCGTGCATGGGCGTTTTTGAGGGGTAATGTGTCCTCTGCAAAGACGCTCGAACAGGATGAGGAGCATTGAAAATCTATTCGTCAGTCAACTTATGTCCCTTCCTCCTCTTTCTTCAGTTTGGCCTCAGAAACATCTACCCTCGTCCGTTTGTGACCTGTCCAGGGAATAAAGGAGGAATAATAATAGTGGAGTGAATTCGCTAGTATCTCGGTGAAGGAAAGTCAGACGCACCTCATCAAGTTCTTCCACTACGATGTCAGTCATACGAATAACAGTCTGTCGAAATACTCGTACTCACATGTCCGTCCTTTAGTTTCCACCGCGAAGATATACCAAGCGACAGTTTCCAACACGTCCCAACATATAAAAGGAAGATATGTCCCTGGATCATCAGTCACTCCAGTAGCTGTTTTGACTCAAGTCGAACTTACACCATCCGATCTGCGCATCAGCAAGTTTATCGAGCGGAGGGGACAGTTGCTTACTCTCTTTAAAGCTGTAATCACCAGGTTAGTGAGATGTCAGCATGTAAAAAGAGGACATACCAATAGGAATGACCAATTGGCCCAATAACGCTGTCATGTCAGTCTGATCGCTCATTAAATGGATTGACCGATACACGCTTGGACATGGTCGCATCCCTCCGGGAAACAGATGAGGACAGCATGATAACGAACGTAGCTGGACCAGGATTGGGATCAATGATACTTTATCAAAACCCACCACAAAGATTCAAACACAAAACAAAACAACCCATTCCAGCACTCCTCTGCTCGGTACTCAACACCTCACTAGGATACACCGGTAAGAGAGGTTGGTACCCCCAAGCGTATGCAGCGCCAAACAATATAAGACACGCTATAGCTGCTTTGGAAGCTGCTGAGTCGCTCGCTGATCCTGAAGCGTTGACATTGACATGGGATAGAGCGGAGGAGAGCATCGCCGCGGACAGAGTCAGAGCGCAAACCATGGTGGAGAGGATGAGGACAGGTCGACGACCGAGACGGTCAGATTGATATGTGCCCAACAAGGCTGTGGAGAGGGATACTAGGGAAGCTACTAGCCTGGCACGGTCAGTCTTTCCCCCCATTCGATGGAGTCTGTATGAGGAAAATCTATCAAGCAGACAGGACTGACGAAGCGGGAGAAACTCACGTCATGACGAGCTGATGTCGAACGCGGGTGACTCCAACTACAATGTCAATATGTTTGGCGATGCACACAAAGCTCACCTTCTTTGTACAATGCGGGTAGCTGAGTTTTAGCCAGATAAACCTTGACAGAGAGGATCAACGTACAAAGTATGACCTGATAATCAGCGGAAAGGTTCTCATGAGAGTCTCTCGTGTAAAAGAGGCAGCAGACGTGGTGACACCGAGTGAAAGGTGACAAGGCTTATGGCTTCCACTCACAAAGCATTTCCCGACAATTGAGAAAAGGCACCCATCATCAGAGCCAACATCAATCTATACCTCTTCGATCGACTATTCACCAACCCACTACAATCCCACCATCTGCTTACGGGCGCCATCTTGACGGCCTGTACGATCTGGGCCAATTCCAGCTGGACCACAGGAGTCATCACGCCATTCCCGTGATACTTCACCAACATATCCCGAGCGCGATTTTCATGACCGTGTAGAACGAGCCTGTATTTAGCTCGTCCATGAACAGTGAAGTATGAGCTATACGCACCATCTGGGAGACTCAGGGAGGAAGAGGACTGCAGTGACCATGATGGACCTAAGGATTAGTCTCTCCGATCGTTTATTTACAAGACCTACGGAAAGATCATATGCCTGGTAATTAGTAAAGGTCATCGAGTGGTAGAAACACTGACAAGATAGCGGGTATGCGCCACGCCCATTGACTGGCGATACGAGATGTACCTATAGTGATGCCTGTTGCTAGACAACCTCCGAGGACTGACGTTAGCAGGTCTTTCGTGGGTCGGAACTCACTCCAAGCCCTGCGAAGTCAGCCAGGTCGAAAAGAGGTTCAAACACGTACCCATTGCTAAGACCCGTGATAAAGCCCCTGTTGAGAGGGGGAGCTGTCTCAACGATAAAAGGTGGCGCGGCTGGGTATCAGCACTGCTCATCGCTGTCTTCACCATTTAGTACGTTGGCTTGTATTCGACGGCACGAGTGGATGAGGGAGAATCGACGAAATGAGAGAGGCAACATGACAGACGGACCAGTTTGCATCATTCCCAGCCCAGCTCCGAGAAAAAACCTTCCTGCCAAAAGCATACTGACATGTTTGGCGAAAGCCAACAGCACCATACCTAGCAAAGCCGTCATGGCAGCTATGATCCGTCAGGAGAAGCGTGGGTGACCGAGCAACGATGAACATACAGATGAACATTCCACCTCTGCGGCCTAGATGGTCGGCCTTCGCCTCAGTCAGTGCCTTCACAGTGAAAACGAAGATCGACGTACCAAAATTGGGCCAAGCCAAAAAGTCGCACAGCCGGCTATTGGCCACATGGCGAAAACGAGCTAGGTCTTAGTCTTAAACTTCCACCGGTTGTGTCATTACTTACACCTGTGGATACCTAAAAGTCAAGTCAGTGTTATCTCATAACATCGGGAAATACCCACGCCAAGACCGTCAAAATTGACTGAAAGCTGTCAGTGATTTACGTCCGAGGGATGGGTACATACAGTAAGTCTGATATTGTGATAGAGCACTGCTCATCAGCTCTCCACGTAAAGATGTGATCTGGGCCACGTGAGAGGCATGTGAAATATGGACATACTTTATGGCGGTCATAGAGCTCACGCCATAACTGTCTGTTCAGCACTTCGGACCGTCCAAAGGAATCAGATGCTCACCCGGACATGAAAGGCCCCATGAAAGCTACCGCCCATGCTCCGTACAATTTCAGCATTCCTTTCGAGAACATATCGACATCTGTCTGATCAGCGTGTCCTTCGATAATCATGCTCGTCAGGTGATCATCCACGGGACGAAGTGGGGGTGGGACATGGGCAGACTCACGGTATTTCGCGTAGTATGAGTCTAATCCAGCATCCGACCCGGCCAAAGTATTTACCTCGCTTTCCGGTGGAGATGGTGTCGACTTCTCACACTCGGGCGTCAAGGGCGCGGTGCGAGATTCATGCCGTGGAAGTTGCTCCTGTTTCTCAGGCGGCGGGGACTTTTCGTTGAGCGTAACAGAGGACATCTTGATTTATCGGCGTTCGTTGATGTTCAGTTGTTTAATTGAAGTTTAGATGAAAAAAGGGAAGAACGACTCGTCAGTGGGTTTGAACGATGCTATAAGGTGAGCCTGGGGAGTTGAGTTTGAATCAGTAGGGCAAAATCCCTGTGCTTGAGGCTTCTCCGAAGTGTGATAGTCTTCCAAAGACTTGACCAGAGATTGATTGAATTGACGGAGTTCCGAGTCAGACAACAGGTCTGGATCTTGTCAGAGAGAAGGCTCCACAGATGCGCTGTCGCTTCATGTCCAGCATACGGGGTAGGGTGAGGGGAAAGTGTAAGCGAGGGAGAATTATGACGTTCTTGTCCATTCTATCTTCCACCGAAGTGAACAAAGGGTTCGAAGATGGTGAGCCATGAGACAAAATCATGAAAGGAAGTCAGGGAAGGATAACACCCCGTCTTTCATCGTCATGGGGACCCCGTTTGGATCTGCGTCAAGATACCAACTCCATCTGCGCGCTATACTTGAGCACACTTCAATCGGCGTCATGGTCATATCGATGGCAGAGTGATCAAGAATGATACATGTCAAATCGGGAATCTGTTCCATGAAAATGTGATGAGTGATGAGATGAGTAGGTGAAGGGGTATCGACATACACGGATCATGAATACAACACTCAGATCTGAGTTTGGAGCTTGGCATCGAATTGACGCGTGAGAATATTAAGTTGACGTTCTGGACAAATGAAAAAGTGGCGATACAGGAAGACTCATGTATCGCCCTTTCTCCACTCTATGACGAGTTGTCCGATAGCCGCTGTCGTACCAAATAAGGCGGTGTGAAAAGGCCCGCTCCATAGGCCCGCAGGAATAGACCAATGTATGGTCAAGGGTGCGTATCCACTATATTTGAGCTAAAAACGGGGGTCTGGAGAGCCGAAATGACTCACAGATTGACTAAGACGTCATCCTTCCATGCCACCCAGCCTTTACGAACTGCCTTTTTTTCCACCATTCTTGAATCGGCGATAGGCGGTACGTCAGATGTAGACGGATCTTGAAGCTCGTAGCCTTCTGCTTCTGCTGGAGTGACGGAGGATTTTGAAGACTTGAGCGCGCGAGTACGAGACAAAAGGGAAAGATAGGTTTGACGAAGCCGGTAGATCTCGAGGAGGACGTAAAGCCTGCAAATCAGCCTCACTCAGTCATTTCATTATCGGGGTATTGGTGTCCATCAGTTTTTTAACGTGACATTGAGAAGGCGATAGGTACGAAGAAAAGAAGCACTCACGCCCAAAAACGGCATCCCCAGAGCATAGCAGTATCCGCGGATCGCACGCTGATGTCTAGCACGCCTTTGTTGGCTAACCAGTAAATGTGCTCCAGGGGGTAATAAGCCAGCAGACTCAGAAGTTTGAGTGTAGGGAGTAATTTCTCTTTATCCACTTTTCGTCGCTTATAGAAGCTCAAAAGACTTTCAATTGAATCAGGATACATTTTGAGTAAGCCTTGTATGACAGGTAGCAAGCCTGCGAACCATGAGCTAGACAAAGGAAGCAAGTGAGATCACGGACCGAAAGCCCTCATGATGACACGCGCATCGGCAATGCTACCAGCTGCTCGACCCCATCCTTCTGCCAGTCGGGTCAGCGCCATACCTCTATCTGACACGACCTCTCGTTTGGCCGCTACTGTCATGCGTACCCTTGGGTGGTCAGCCCGAAAGCGAGCAAGCCGGAGGAGAATGGCAATGACGAAGGGGGATGAGTATTGAGCCAGCATGAGGGAAGCATCGAGACCAGATATGGTGGAAGTGAGACGGGTGAGACGAGCGAGAAGATGGTTGGGATCCGGTTGTAACATGGCTGCCTGTTTGGACATGATGAGGAAGGTGAGGACAATGAGGAGTAGGAGGAGGAGGAGGATGCAGTTGACGTGTGAGGGGGCCCGAGCGTGCGTCCGGTGTGTTGGGGATGAGAGTTGCATCTAACTATCTACTATGGAGAGGCGTCTACAAGAGTTTTGGGGTTCTTACGTGACGTGTAATTTAGGTACTGATTATCGCTATCTAACACTCCCCTTAATCCGTACTAAGTTGCTTTCATAGGAGCGAAGAAAGATTACCGAAGACTATGGGTTCTGGCGACTCGTCTCTCATGACATTGACTTGGTGTTTTGATCGGTATTCTCTAATGGCTTCCTGTAATTGACTCTTGGATAGATCTCCGTGTTTCTTAATGCGACAGTCTTCCACACTATGTCCGTATTTACCACACCAATCACACTCTTCGTCTTCTTCACTATCACTTTCATCTTTCCCACGTTTTCCTTCTTTCCTCGTCTTTCCTTGTCCCTTCTCCTTCTCCTTGTTAACTCCATGTTCACTACCAGCACCATTACTTCTACCCTTTCCTACCCTACTACCTGATCTCCCCTTATCCTTCTTTATAGCATCTTTATTTACAAGAACAGCACTGATGGCTTGTTGAGTATGGTTCTCCATTTCTTGCTCAAGACGGCGGGTGTCGGCAATACTGTGGTACGCGGTTACAAGATGGTCCCAGCTTTTCTGCGTGTCTGGTCGGAGATCCCACTGTTGACGAAGTGGCGCAAAGTCGCGACCAAGGGAGAGAAGAAATCTTTCGGAACGATCACCATCATCTATATGGGCACCTGCACCAAGAGCCTCGGCTACTAGCTCACTAAAGGTCTCGAGGTGAGCGTGCATGGTGTCGAAGTTGGCATTTTCAACTAGACGGAGGAGGGAAATACGCTGGTTGAGATCATTACGCCTTGCTGTCGTTTTAACTTGATGCTGCGCAGTAATACGCGCCCAGATTTCTTGGGCTGACCAGAGGTCCTCGACTTGGGCGGCTAGTCCCGGAGAGATTGTGAAAATGAGTGTCGAACGAGCTTTACGCTCTTTGTTGGCCCAATCTAGCCAGGTGGTACGTTGAGTAGCTGTCAAAGCTACTGCTGTTGTTGAATTTGTGGCGTCTGGGGGAGCCTCCCCGGCAATGGTATCAGGGGGAAAGACAACGGAATGATCTGTTGGCACTGCCGGATTTACGAGTCGTCTGAAAGGCTCGGGCTCAAGGCCGCTGAGATGACCTTGAGCACCTTTGTCGAAGAGGTAGTTACGTACACCTCGGCGCCAACGAACAAAGGTTTCTGTCCCTGTTAAAGTCGGGATCAACTTGGAAAGTGCAGAGAGGTCGTCGTTGTTTGACATCGTGCAATGTCGCTGCAGAGGTGATTATTTGAACGTGCTTGTGCGAGAGGGGTTTTGTCGCTGCAGAGGTGATTATTTAAACGTGCTTGTGCGAGAGATGTGTTGCCGCAGAGGTGTTCAAACTTGCTTAGGCGGATGGGGGCGCTGCAGAGGTGTTTAAATGTGCTTGTGCGCAGAGGAATGTGGTATGGAGAGTCGAGCGGATGTCCCGGAACCTACGCAGCGGGTAGGCTTTGCAGTGTCAAGAGTGTTACCGAGTTTACTCTGTCGAAGACAGGACGTGGAGTAATGAATGATGTACGGTAAAGGAATGTGATGACATGGCAAGAGGCTTGCGCGTTGATGGATACTTGAGGGTGTAGAGACTCGAAGGTGTTGAGACTCGCAGCCGGAAAGTGTCCAAGAAATGGCCCTAGCGAGGGTGGACTAGGAATGGGATGCGTGATGACTCTGTGGTTATGTGTATGTTATGTGAGTGGAAAAGAGGAAAAGATGATGTGAGATAGAAGGGATGTGACGGAATGATTGATGAGTGGATCAGAGGAGGATTTTATCGAAGGGATGTGTGTCGTCGAGGCTTCCAAGCGTCGATTGGGACAAGTGTACGTTGAGGCTTCCAAGCGTCAACTTATGTACTCACGTTGTCGATAGTCCGTCTAATTTCCAGCGTTCCGTGATCTGATGTCCAAACGTCTAAATCCAGCGTTTCCGATGTTTCCAGCGTTCCGACCGATATGTCAATAATCGTGGCCAAGGGGGAACCCTAGAGGGGCCAAAACAGGTGTATGTCAAGTGTGGTTATCGGCAGGGTGAACTCTCAATATCTGAGTGAGAGGAGAATGCTACTCCGACTGTTAATCTGTTGGGGATGAGAGTTGCATCTAACTATCTACTATGGAGAGGCGTCTACAAGAGTTTTGGGGTTCTTACGTGACGTGTAATTTAGGTACTGATTATCGCTATCTAACACGGTGGTGAGTGACGGACATCGGTGGTAACTCCGTCGGAACGGTCAAACGCCCAATCCGATTGCTGACTATTCATTCACCTTTCGTCTTTCTTCTTCTTTCAAAAATCAGTCTCATTCGCACAAGTCAACTCAACTACCATAGAGACCAAATCATGCCGGGAAGTTCATCTGTCATGGCAATGGTACGACCAATCTACGCGTTGCCTACCCGAACCACTCTGCGAGTAGGATTGACAAAGGTCTCAACGCCCCACATCGCCGCCGGCCATCGAGCATTTACATCTGCTCAACCTCGACGGTTGTTGATACCACCCTCAGTGCTCATCCGTCATGCCGAACCTCTGAGAGCTGGTCCTAGTCGACCGTCTCCGTTCAATCAGCAGAGTGAGTCCCAATTTCCCGCAAATTTCGACTTACCGAGTCACGTACACTGACATGCAGAACGAACCATGTTCATCCAAACTGATACTACACCAAATGAAGCCTCCTTAAAATTCATCCCTGGCGTTCCTGTCACCTCTGGATCGACACACGAATTCCTCGACCTTCGCGCCGCTCTTCCGTCCCCTCTCGCCACGCGACTTCTAGAGATAGACGGTCTTCTCGGAGTTTTCTTTGGTCCGGATTTTGTGACTTGTTCAAAGGACGATACCTATTCTTGGTCCGTTCTCAAACCAGAAATTTTCGCTATTCTCATGGAACATTTCACTTCTGGAGCACCACTGTTCCAAGAAGGTCAAGAAGGAGCTAGAGCGGAAGATACGAGGGTTTTGGAGAGTGATAGTGATGTGGTAGGGATGATCAAAGAGCTATTGGAAACCAGGGTTCGTCCTGCTATCCAAGAAGATGGAGGTGACATCGAGTACAAGGGGTTCGAGGAGAAATCAGGTATCGTCAAATTGAAACTCAAGGGAAGTTGTAGGGGATGTTCGAGTAGTAGTGTTACTTTGAAGAATGGGATAGAGAGAATGTTGATGCACTATGTGCCAGAGGTGAAGGCTGTCGAGCAGGTAAGTTAACTTATCTTACTTTTTCGTCTAGACTCTCCTCTGTGATCTTTCAGATGAGTATTGCACACAAAATGCTGATGTGTCAGGTCTTGGACGAAGAAGAGCTCATAGCGCTCAATGAATTCGCCAAGCTCGAAGCTCGTCTTGAGGAGAAGAAAGCAAGTAGCAAGTCAGAGTAAGCTAGAGTTGCATCGGAAAGGGATTTGCGAGCTGACGAAAGAGTATGAGTCAATACATGTCACATTAGCCACCTTCTCTCTGTATGCAAACCACTTGTCGACGTATGACGTTTCCATTACATTCAGTTCCGACGTCGCTCATTGGCTGACGAATAATCAAGAGACTGCGATCGAAGTGATGTGATCGCCTACTTCTATGAGTATCACGTAAACCCACTCATTGACGAGGCATAAAACTCCTCTCTATGACACTTTTCTTGTCACTTTTTTTCTTCTTACCATGCCTCACATGCAGGTTGTTTCTATTCCTTGGGTAGCCTTTTGGCCTTCGAACACACTCCGACACGCAGTTCATGACTTCTCCCAAGCAGAGGAAGAAGACGGCAACCAGAGTGATAGTGGGTGTCCGACAACCACGACAGAGCAGTCTTATTGCGATAATAACACTGAGGAGAGTGAGGTCAGCTGGAGTGACATGATGTGAGTCCTTGGTTTCATTGCCTTCATACTTCGCGGTAGTCAGCCACGGTATTGGAGATGTAGATGAGTGTCTACTATCACTGACACGTAGCTGCGATTGTGTGGGGTCTTGTCAATTTGAGTCTCAGGCAAGATCAGGGTCGACAGAGGCATTATACAAGGCGAGCTATTCTAAACATTTTCCCTCACTCATACATTTCGAATTTGATAACCCCCTTGACCTCGGGGCTTTGTTCGACTTTACTTTCATCTGGCGGCTTCTGCTTCATGGTGATCCTCTCGTCAGCTCTGATCGAGTGCTCACAGCGGGATGCGTTTGATCTCAATGCTTGATGAGAAAGGCATTCGGACGTTGAGTTGACCTGTAGAGGTTATTCTATCAATCGACCCAAGGTGACATCCGGAGCGACTTTGATGAGATGGTTTGTCTCAAACATAGTGTCCGCGAAGCGTTACTAGAGAACACTTTGTGAGCTTACTAAGTACGCGGTTGATGAGCTCATGTCATAGCGGACGATGCGGAGAAAGATGGACTGGGAATGTCTTGAAGTATCGCATGCGAGAAGGCGGGCAGAGGTTAGCGGCCGTGAGTGATCTCTATCATTTTTGTCCTTGATTACATTTCCCAAACCATAGCTTGACTCTGATTTACAAGCGTCTCGTCCGTCATCCATTTTAAATCATGTGAACAAATTCTTACTTCCTTCCTCTCGTTCATTACTTTTCCCATCTCACGCCTTGACTTCATTGCGAAATTCCTTCATCCATCATTTCCCCAACATCATGTGCTTGATTGTGTGGTGTGTGATCAACAAGTTCAAGGACTTTCAAGGTCCGAGTCAAGGGCTGACGAAGTGAACACTACTAACTTCAGGCAATCGCTCTATTACCCAACATCAACCCTCTCCCATATTCTTTGAGAACTTTATTAGAATGTGAAATCTTCAGCCAATCTCCTTATAGACTGGCACGTGGCTGTCAAGTCGGTCTTGATTGGCCTTTCAAAGATGAATATGAACATACATCTCCAACTGAAGATTCTTGGAAATTAGCTAGCGTATGGGCTTGTTGGGCTCAGAATTATGCTAAATGGCTTTGTGGGGATGAAAACGTATGGGATTCATGGGAATTTGAAAATCTTGCCCCGTGCGTTGTCCTTGATTTATTTTTGACTCCTGTTTCCAATGTTTCTGCATCATCCACTCGTTGAACCTTCCTCATGGAATAATGCCATGACTCTTTGCTTTTTTATGGATCAGATTTCCTATCATTTTGTTTGATCAGGTTCTACGTGGTTTCAGTCAAAATCCCCGGTTTCCCTGTCTTGTGTCTTGTGTCTTGTGTCTTTACATCACGATGCGGGAAAAAGGTGTAGACAAGACAAGAAAGATGATAGCTGAACAACTAGTCGACCAGTGACTTATTACCCCAACACACATACGTCTAGCACACCCATAGTTACTCAACAACGATCCTCATCTTTCTCGCCTCATCCTTCGAATCAACCATCAGAACCTCTTCGGTCCATTCCTCTAATCATTCCTCCTACATTTCTCCTCCCTCAGGGTTTTGGAATCATTTCCCCACCACAAGCGAGTCCTCCGACATATACAACTCTCTTCCCTTATGTTCACCCTCATCTTCCGTATTCACCACCAACGGCCACTCATCAACCTCTCACTTCTGCCCCAAGCGCTCAGATGGCACATTATTCCAGACCTACGCCTTATACTCCGGTACCGATTTATTATCGGTTCATTTAGTACTCACCCTTACTCCCACCGCAATTTGAGCTTATGGACCGGATGGGTGATACTTGAGCGACGTCGATAAGTGGATGATCACACGAATCGCTTGTATAGGACGAAATCTTTTGATAAGTCAGGTGGGCAAAGGAAGTTCGAGCAAATTTGGCATGTTTAGGTTGAAGTTGATTGTTGTTTTTCAGTATGTATCTTTCATGTTGTCGAACTCATCGAATTGGGACATTAGCATGTTCACGAACAGGTTTATAGTGCATGTATACATGTTGTCAATTGCTTGCATGATGACCCATACTACTACTGTAAAATCTGTTACATATTTCATCCCTCGATATTGTACTTTCTCACTTCCAGTCACTCGTCCATCGGACGTCCGCTTACTGTATCAACGTCATTGATATACTCACAACCATTTAGCTCCTCCATACCCCCTCAATCCAACAATGGCAGCGGTAGCCATACCCACTCCGCCTAACAACCTCGCCCAACCTTCTCCGCCACCCCCGCCAAGTCCATTCAAAGCTTTACTAGCTAATTCATGTTGACCTATAGCCAACCCCATAAGATCATAAGCCATACAAGCCCCGAATAGAAGGGGAGAAGTAAGTGCGGTGAGAGGTCCACCGATGGAAGTAGCGATCTTGACCAATAAATTAGGTGGGATACGGGGAAAGAAAGCAGCTGTGACGTTGTGGAAGATGTCAAGGATACCAATACCTGCAAAGGTAATATTGATTATGTTTGTCAATTTGGCTTGATAGGTATTGGGGGTTTTATCACGGAGGAAAAATACGTAATATGTTTGAGTTATAGTGTTGATGATTACTGGGATCGAGGAACCTTTTAGGTTGTTGTCTTTCTAGTTGATTAGTTATTTTCATCGTGATTCCTCCCCCTGCAGGACTGCCCTTCCTCGATGACGACGTTGCCACAAGATCTCTCATCGCCGAACAACGACCGTTGATTGGGTTGGTGATGAAGGATCTGACCAAACTCTTTCAAGTGGTGGGTAACGGGGATGGCAGGTAGAGAGGATTGGAAGAGTTAGTTATGTGGTTACTCACCCAGAGAAACATCCACCCGGCTATACAAAAATTTCCCAGTGCATACCATGGCACAAAACGACGAGTTCCTAACTCCACTTGATTATCAGGTCGGAACAATTCTCTCAACCATACAAGTTGTAAAATCTGTTGAGGTCCGAAAAACCCAGCGATGGCGAATGGGTAAGGAGAAAAAGCACAGGGATTGGAATCGTGGATTTGTTTCATGTTAGGTGTTGCTGACATGCCATATGTTTGAGCGGCGAAGTCGATACTAAGCTTCAGCTTATACTCTTTCTCTTCCTGGCTCTCGCATACAAGCCTCGTCCGGCTGCTTAAATTCTATCGACTTGTATTCCCTTTTCCCCCATGTTCCATTCTTGGAACGGAACTCTTCCAATGTGGGAAACATTCGAGGATTGTGGGGTTTGAGGGAGGTGAGAGTTTGGACGCACACAAAAGACAAAGGGGCCAAAACCCGAGCTGTAGACGCTGAAATACCCATGTTGTCGTCTTCTTCCTTAGGTTGATCGTTCGTCACTGGAGCAGGAAGCAGAGATTCGGTAGAATTACGAGGCTGAGACATTCTTCAGTATGAGCGGTGATATCTTGGTTGAAAACTCACCTTTCAAATGAGTGTCCTGATGTGTCTGATGCTGGATCGTGATAGCGCAGTACCACAGAGGGTTGGGGTTGGCTTATATATGTTCAGGATGATGGTACGGTCGACGGCTGATGGAGGAAGGTTGCGGTTGCGTCATCGAAACATCCGATCGTCTGTGCGTCTTGATCGCGATCGATCGTGCCTGTATCACGATCAGACTAAAAGTGCCACATTCATCCCCATCTCCTCTCTCCACATCTTTTCTCGGGTTCTCACGTTCACATCTTATCATCTTGGCTTCCTCCCACTTTTCGGTCACACGGCGTGCCGGTTCGTCTTGCAAATCAGTTCTCATGGCTGACGCAGATATCGTTGGCGGAGGAGGAAGGAGAGAGGAAGATTGCACGATCTCGTCCGCGTCCTCGGCCATTCGAATCGCGGAAATCTCAGATCATGGAAGGAGAAACAAAGGGCCATTCAACCATGGCGTGTGGTCCAAGGACGTTTGGGTGGAGGTTGGGATCAACAAGTGTAGTATAAGAAGTGGGTTCTTCCTGTCTCTCTCCCCCGCAAAACGGAAACAGAGCTCATATCTCAAGGTCAACTCACTATCCAACTTACATCCATCGCAAGTACTAAGTAGACGGCAGTATGGTCACCATAGTCGAGAATGCGAGCGACCAGTTGAACATTTCGGTAGTATCATCTACGGGTAACAAGCAATACCTTGTCCTTCGTAATCCGACATCTCCAGCCTCAATGTCGAAAGAACATTTCAATGCTGACACAGGGATTACAATGCGTGGAGAAGCAGCAGCCCTCAATTGGATTGTACCAGATATGTCCCAGTGAGTACAGCAATCACATGCGGTATGTGGTGGGGAAGCTGACTTCAGGCCGGAGACCAGAACCATCCGTTTGTGGTACACAGTAGGTTGGAAAAAAGATCCGACAGGGGTCGACTTCCCCGACCCTGGTTCGGTCACACTGGCAACGAACAACGAAATGGAAGAAGCCGAAGCTCTTCGGGGAAGCGAGTTGTGCACAACCTATCTCACAGCAGCTAGTTCGTGGCTGCTGCGCTCCGCTGATGATATCACAAGACATATTGCTAGCCGAGGAGACCTCATTGGAGCTCAGCTGGGATTACCGAACGGGTCGGTGGTCTTGGCGATGTCGTCTGTTGGAACCACTAATAATGTGAATATCCGGGGACCGGCATATGATCTTGACAAGCAGCGTTGGGTGTGATAGTAGATCACTTTTAGCTAGCGTGTCTGCATGTTTATCACATAAGTACCAGTATGATAGCGATCACGATGCAAAAGTTCAGCGGGAGCATTGATCCAGGGCCGGGCCACAAACTACATTGTTTGTCTATGTGGCTACAACTTCAGGCATGGCGGCTTTCTTTTCCCACCTTCGTTGCTACCTGTTTGCCGCATCTGTACACCTGCACATGGGATTCCGGGTTACTGCTGGCTCTACTTAAGTGGGACCAGCCTCAAGGGGCGGATAGAAAATGTCCCTTCCGCCACTCGCAGGTTCATTCCTTCTCATTAGGATCACCAGGAAAGGGAACAACCATCAAACATCAATTCTCACTGCCTCCGGTTCTAATGAGTGGGTGATTTCGTTTAGTGGAGACGAGTCGTCATCATGAAACATTTAATTTCTGTCCAGTTCACGTCAGCTCGATCCGCTTTCATACTCGAAAGTATTAGTAGAATACGATCAATCACTACCGAAAACGCTTTCGTCGTTCAAAGGCGATTGAAGGGTGAAAATGATGCATACAACCATCTATAGGATTTATATCCCCTAATCTATCTGACAACTGAGTACACATATAATCTCGTTCAAAGAGAGAGGGAAAGAGTATGGCAAAATGTGGTAGAAGGATCTACGACATTGTTGGCGGTGCATGTTCCGGCCGGCGATGCAACTTTTGACGTCGACTCTCGTCCGATCTCGACGGACTAGAAGAAGTGGGGAAGGAGTAGGCCATTTTGGCTTCAAAAGATGTGTATAGCATGCTAGGTGTCAAAGGAGATGAAGATAAAGGTTGGTCTACAAACAGGGTAACATCCAAGGGATGTGGAGCAAACTCCGAACACTTTGTTTGCCATTGGCTAGGATATATAAACCATGATGTCCCAGCCTTCATCTTCTACATCCCCCCACCTTAACCATTGCAGTCTAGCACTACAACTAAAGTGATCATCGGACTACATCCAACTTTGTCCCGTAACCTTGTTCCACAACCACTATAGAATACCCAAACTACATATCATCAGCTACAGTACTACATAGCGGGACCACACGGATCATGGCTTCTACTGACGATTCTCAAATGCCAGCTGCTGGATCGTCTCTGTTTGCACAATTGGCTACCACTCAAAGGGCACCCCCTACTGACGAAACGACACATCTGCAGGACTCGAAGGTTGTGACTTCAATTTTGAAGCGTGGTTGGACTGAGGTACTTCAGCCTGGGTTCGATTTTGAACAGGCACAGGCCAAAGGAGCTATCTGGGTGCCCAGGTGAGTGAAGTTTGATGAGGACTTACCTTGCATTGATCCCATAACTGACCTCAGTACGGTACTCAAACCAGCGTGGGAGGTGGCCGACGTCAGATATGTAGTAACTGTGACAAGGGATGGCTGGTACGATCTGACGTCAATTAAACTGGTGCAGTACACTGATGTGGTGAAACGAGAACAAGCAGACCAAGGGATTTCCATCATTGCGCAACGCTTGAACGACTTCAGAGCCAGAGAATCAAATAGTGTGAAAGACAATATGATGCAGATGAAATATGCAGCCAACAAAGTCGAATCCGAGCTCGGATTACCCCCACGCTCAGTGACGATATACCGAGAAAAACAGGACGAGCGTGTTGTCACTCACGATTTCAACACGGGCGAGAAGGAGGAATTGACTCAAGACGCTCATGCTGAATGGAAGTGGCCAACACGTGAAGAGGCAGAAGCCGCAGCGAATTCTTACGACTGGGCTAATGGGCGCTGGTCTTATGTGCTTGCTTGAAAGGGTAGTACATGAGTTGCCAAATGAGTTCTGGTAGGAAATCATGTGTGTTGGTAGTTAGACCTTATGGATTCATTATTGTTGGAGCATGGAGCAGCTTCTTCCCACGGTTGTTGGCTTTGTTGAGTTAGGCTAGGCGCTTTCATACAAGCTGAAGGCTCTATCAACTTGCCATAACATACAGTACGCTCCGGGTCTATCCCTGTGCATGCTCTTCCCGGGATTGTTCGGACACATACAGATCTGTGCAGGCGTGAATTCGGTTAGTATCGAAACAAGACTCCTTAGGTCCCTCTGGATATCGGCAGCCCCGAGAGTTGCACATTACAATATCAGTACTAGTACCAAACGTTCTCCCTCTGTCTACATGGGGGATAATATCATCAAGTGAGTGCATGACACTTCTCTACTTCCCTTGCACCTGACGTTCTCTTGCGCTCAATTTGACCGGTCTAGTCAATTTACTAATCCTCCAGTTTCTATGCCGGTCAACCTCCGCTGAACCGGGTAGCTTTCCAAAGACAATCCACCGATAAGCTAAACGCTCACCTCGCCTCTCCGCAAACCCGGATTTTAGTGTTCAAGTATGTTTTGCATTCTCCTGAAAGACTGCAAGCTGAACCAGAAGGAATGGAAGTCCTCTTGTTCGTAAAGGACAACCTGGCGCTTTGCTATACTTAGATCGAGACACACTCGCTCCCCTGATCCAGTACGGATACCTCGGCGCGTGAGTCGCTCGGCGGTGCTCAAGTGAGAAGTTACCAGCTGATACTTGGCAGACCAGAGCAAGAAACCGATCCCAAAAGAGCTAAAGCTTTTGAGGCATATAGACCACAAGGATCGCCGGCATTACTGTTTCTCGGGATCGACGATCGAGAATCTAACGAAGATCCGCAGAACCCAAAGGGAATCCCATACTTTGCTATCAGTGTTGCAGAGGGGTTTGAACATGACGAAGGAGAGTTTGTCGAGGCTCGTGTGAGCGGCGGAGAGATGGATGGATGGACGGCAGGGGTGTACAGTGGGGCGAGGAGCGTCATGGATTGGAATGCTAGGTACAAGGTGGGTTTTAGTATCATTTCTTCTCCACTATCATTTTCATGGCTCACCTCTTATTCTGACCCCCCGTGGAAATGACTTGATGAAACAGGTCTGTCGTAAACTCGTCGGTGGGAAAGTAGAGTCTCTCACTGACATGCAGTTCTGCCCGGGATGCGGAAAACCAAATTACTCTCTCTGGGGGGGATGGAAACTCAATTGCACATCATTTCTCTCTTCTGAATCAGTCGATCCTCCTTGTCCATCAACCAAAGGTTTACATAACTACGCGTATCCTCGCACCGATCCTGTATGTGTATTTGCTATCACCCTTGATGATCCTTAACCCGTCACACGTCGAATCTTGAAAGAAAGACCTCGTTGACAGTCAGGTCATCATCATGGGCATTCTCAGTTCTGACGGAGAGAAAATACTTCTTGGTAGACAAAAAAGCTGGTCAGAGGGTATGTACTCCTGTCTCGCTGGATTTGTCGAACCTGGCGAATCATTCGAGGACGCTGTGCGAAGAGAGTCTCTCGAAGAAGCTGGTATAGAAGTCGGACCTGTACGCTAGTGAGTGGTGTTCATCAAGTGATATAAGACGATTTGGCTGATGGTCAGTTCTTCCAGTCAGCCTTGGCCGTTCCCTAGTAGTCTCATGGTGGGATGTTATGGGCGAGCTAAAGATGGCCAGACTATTCGTTTGGATCTCGACGATGAGCTACAAGGTATGTCTTTCCCCTTGTTCGCATACCTCCCTCTAAGCTGTACACTGACACGCAGACGCTCAATGGTTTCCTCGATCTCAGGTCCTCTCCATTGTCGAGTCCGCATCCTCCGTCCATACTCGAGCAGACATCAAGCAGTTGGAAAAGGCTAAACAAACACATCACGAAAGCCTCAAAGCTCTAGCGCCTACCGATAGCAAATCTCCCGGATCTGGTCCGGCTCTTGTGAGAGGATTAACGAAAGTTCCTGCTGAGACAGCTATAGCTGGTCAGTTGATCCGTCTTTGGGCGAAAGGTGGTTTGGATTTGGTCAGTAAGTTGTAGAGTTATACATAGTTATTCGGTTGTCTGCTGACATGAACTCCTGATTGTCATATTTGATTGATTCTGCCTTACGATTGACTGATACAGTATTTGAACCCTCACTCAACTCACAGGCGGCATCCCGGATCATGTATGGTACCTTCTATATTCTCCCTTCGAAATTCTTTCATTTCTCCATTGCTTTGCGGTCATCCGTCACCCGCAGATAACTCCATTTCTCGCCTCGCTACCCAGTGGTCGATCACATCCCATCCCTTTTGGCTCAAATAGTTGTCCCCAGGCACGAGATCCTCCATCTTCAACCCCGCCGCAGCAAGAGCGGCGAGTATCACATGCTCCGGAGCTTCTAGGGTGTTGAATATTGGTGTTTGCCACGCATAAAGTGGTATGCTATCCGACATGGAGCTCATCTCGCATCGAAGTCGGATAACAGTGACTGCCGGTCTACTTTCCTCCCTTCGTCCACCCTCGTCGTTCGCTGATGTCTCTGTTGTGGAATAGGTTTTTGGACAAGTTACATCAAAAGATGTCGACGACGAACTGACAAGACGATGGACGACTATGCCGATGAAGTCCGCTGGAACCGGGATTCGACCACACTCTGTCTTTGATTCCTGGAACTCAGCGTCAAGCTCAAAGCTCCTACCGATTGAGTGATGATATGGTGAAAGGACCTTACCTGAGTTGGAGAGGAAATCAAGCTTGACCATCCACTCGGTACTGACGTACATAAGACCGTCTGCAGAGCCGGTAGATGAATGATCTCCTTCTCAAGTACGCAAGCCATAGTCCGAAGAGTGGACATTTGATGATGCCACGGTTGGGAAACGTTTTCGTATACCCATTGAGGGGTGTAAGCTACTATCTCCACAGTGTACTTTTGAATTGTTGACAAACGGGGAAAGATGGTACCCTGTTTATCAGTCAATATACCTGTTGTTTTTCTATGATCATCCAAGGCTCCGACTGATTCAAACTGACCGGGGATCTTATGAAGACGTAGTGGAGGACAATGGGATGCTCACCTTATCTGATTTGGAACGAAGCGTGACATAATCCCAAGCGACCCTCATCTCCTCTACCCCTTCTAAGCCTTGCCAATCTCTTTTCTCTAAAAATTCATGTATGGTCCAAGGGATATCCAATCGTTTCAATCGAGGTAAACTCGTTATGGCGTCCAAAACATTCCAGTCCGACGGTGGCGAAAATAACATACTCCTGTCTCTCAAACAAAGATGTATCAGTTGGTCGGCAGATCGAATCAATCGTGAAAGAATGGGAGACATCAGACCTTGTATTCCGTCCACTACTAGATGACGTAACTGTAATTTCGGTATGTCCCATCCTCCTCCGTCTCGCCATATGTCTAATTGAGGTTGTTGCTGATCCCTTTGATTTTGCTCTTCTCTACCGGACCGTTCCACTCCACCCTGTCCAGCCGTTCCACCCTGCACACCCTGCACTTCTCCCATGGTAAGAACTGAGCGAGGTGAGTCTGGGTCGAGTAAAGTATGTTCCAATTGCGGTTGCCCATATATTCTCGTAGGTGAAAGATCGGGATCAAGAGGAACTGGAGGAGAACCTCTGACATTCAGACTTTCTAATCTCGGAGCGACTTGTAAGATCGTCAAAACACTTTTCGTCCATCCTCTAGAAATGTTCAACCTCACTTCTCTCAAAGCATGAAATTCTCTTAATGGAAGTAAGATTCTAGGAAGTGTAGTAAATCCTTCCATTGGTAAAGAAGCGGATGAATGAACAGGAAAAGACAGAACAAGTCTCTCTAAACTGCCTTGGACGAGTTTCATAAGGGATCCGAATTCCAACGGGATTTCGTGTCGCATTGAAAATTCCAATTCTCGAACATAACCTCTTCGATAATTTTTCATTTCGAGTTTGACTAGAAAAGAACGTATAACTCGACGAGAAGCCAAAGCGCGATGAAAGACAACTCTGTTCCCTTCCCCAGAGGTTTCTGTATCGGTCCTACCGACAAGAGTCGGAGTGGTGACAATGGGAAGAGGTGGAGTAGGAGCATTATAAGTCGGTGCGTATAAATCAGATTCGCTTATACGTAGAATTCGAAGGAGTCTTGATTCAGCAGCAGGTTGAAGTTTCGAAGAAGTCAATGCCAAGGAAAGTGCTGAACGAGGAGAGAGATAAGAAGATATATGGGTGAGTGTCTCTTCTGGTAGATTTTTCAAATTGTTGGATATTTGTGTCATGATGAGATATGTAGAACAGATGACATGGATGAAAAGGAGATATATGAAGATATGACAATGAGGATTGAGTCAGTGTATAATGTGAAAGGAAGAGATCCGCAAATCTCGACATTGGAAGGATATTATGATGGAAAGGGAGAGATCTGCATAAGTTCCATTGTTCTTTGACTCCTTCAGATCACCTTTCTACTACTCACGGCTTGGAATCGATGCATCTGACAACAACGAATGATTCATGTTCCCTTTATCCTACAACATTTCCGGCTATCACTGCTATGCGTACGACTACACACAGATCTGACGAGCGTACCACAATGATCACCGATGATCATACACTGATCTTCATCCGAAATGTTTTGACAATACGCAAATGAGCATTTGCAAATTCCGAGCGGAGCACTGATTACCAGATCCTACCTTCCATATAACACAATAATCCAACACCGTTTGATATCTCTAACAACACTGGTCGAACCGACGCGACTATGTGTCAATCACGCCATCTGTTTATGGGTGGGGGTTGAGGGAACTCACCTTGTCCGTCAAAATCACCATCCGTGTAATCCTTCCTTTGGTGGCCACTCGAACCCTGCTTCTTCCCACTTGTCCAGCAAATTCCAGGACTCGTCACTCAACTTCATCCCCCTTCCAGGTCGAAACCATTCTGTCTTCATACCACTATACGAATACACCCTTCTAAGAAGTGTATAAGGAACTTGATGACTTTTATAACTTGTAAAGTCGGTCCAAAACGCTCGACAAATTGAAATCCCACCAAATAAGCATAACCTGTCCAGCATGTGTTTCACCGAGGCTTGGTAACCTCTACAATGGACGAGTTCTCTTTCAGTTGAGTCAGTGTATGATCGGATGAGGATCACTCGATCGTTCTTCTCAATCGCCTCATCGGAACCCCAATAACCCCAAAGAGGATGTTCATCCTCCATTCCGTGTCTTTCCGCCTCTTCGACAGTTTCATGGAGATAGTCAATCTTCTCTCCGTCGTTGGTAGGGACAAATTGAATCATCTCGAGTTGAGGGGCGTGGACGATTTGTTGAAACAAGGCGTCAGAAATCATTTGACCGTTGGATTTCAGATGATTTTGGAGAGGATGGAGGGGATCTTCTTGGGTAAGAACGAAGGGTGTTTCCGTTGGTCGAACTCGTTTGAATAGTCGTTTCAGATTTGGAAGAGGAGGAATATATATGTCCTGTCATTGTGTTAGTCTTTATTCTTTCGAAATTGAAGATTGATTGACCAAAAAGTGGATTTTACCGGACCAGATAAGACAGGAACTCACGTTGAGAAAAATATCACTATCACCTCCATCATCTCCCTCTGATATCATCTCCACACTTTGGAAAAGACCAGTTTTACCAAGTATAGGTCGAAGATGATACGGGATACCCAAAAACTTGACACTAGACTTCTCACCCAGCAACTGCAAAATATTTCCCGCTTGGTCCAAATCCCATTCCTTCATGATATCGGTGAATTTGACATAGGACAGTTGATTGGCGGATTGAATCAAGGCTAAAACCATATCTTGGAAATGTACGTTCATATCCTCAATCTCGAGTTTATGAAGATGACCCAACTTGGGCCAATCGCCTTTGATAATTGGAGATCCGGCGGGTTTCCATTCACACCAACCATCACACCATGGCGACATTGGTGTCAAGTGTAATTCCCTCAACTCAGGCATTTTCTTGAGCATTGCTCTTAATGACACATCCCATATTTCTTCGTACACCAAATTGAGGATCCGTAATCGGTACAAAGGGGTGGAAAGGGACTCGAAGACTTCAGAGAGAGGGATGAACCCATTTGGTAGAATGACAGGAAGGACGGATAAGGGAGCTTCGAATCGTAAGGTAGTCAGAGTTACCTTCACCGTTTCCAGTAGGTCTCGAAGATGAGCAGGAACCAAGGGATCATAATCCAACACTAACTCTTTCGATGCGGAATGACGAGATGTCTTCTCTTTCAGGAATTCCGTGACGTCTTGAGAGATAGTGAGAACGGAGTTGGCGGCATCCTCCCTAGAATCAGGATATCCTTTGAATGTTGCACGGAGGATGGGTAGAGAGGATTTGTCTAGCTTTCCCGGTATGGTGAGTGAGCAAGGTCGATTACATGAGGTTGTAGTCAATGATATTCTCTCGTATATAGCGAGTTCAGCAGGAACCGTTGCTGCCTTACACGTTACAGCCAGCGCACAAGCCGTACGTTTGTCCAAATAAAGAGCGATCTGGATCAGCAGTTCAGGAGGAAATTTCTCGAGGAACCTAGGTCGTAAATAACAACCACCCGGACCAAATTGACAGGGTCGAATCCGCCGTCGACGACGAACAGGAGGTTCGAAGGACATCCTCGTTTGTTGAGAGACGACCTCGGGTTTGGAGATAAATTGTGGGAATCGAATGAGTCAGGATGAAAGGATGGAAAATAGAAGTCTTGAGATTTGATCTGTTATGAGTATTTGGGTTAGCTGACAAGTTCTAACATTTATAGACATGGACGAGTATCAAAAGCATTGTATGTGACACACCTGTCGCCCTTCAAGGACGGGTCATTTCGATCACTCCTTTGTCTTTTCTTAGGGAGAAAGGCCATGTCACGCTCAGATACAAAGCCCGCACGATAGACGCATCGGGTATACTTGAGCTTGTCACGATTGCGCAAGGAGGAGCTACGTGACACCTCGTATTGGACAAGTGTTATCATGATCGGTTGTGTGATTGCGTTGTGAGTATGCGAGACGAGAAAAGGTAGAGTTGATAGTAGTAGTGTGGTGGGTAGCAACTGGGTGAGCTCGACGCGACTGATTTTCACGGCCGAGTGGCGAGATGGCTGGATTCCGAGTGGCAATGTGGTAATTGATCCACGTCCCATCCCATGGACTTCCGCATACGTCTTCCACCCAAATAGACATGTCCGGCCAGGGTTGTTCCCCCACGTGGTTCTTGCTTCAACATCTATCCCCACTTTTATCCAATTCCAGTTGTCAAAGTCATCACAACCTCCCTCCACGTTACCACAACCGACCCCTCCTTCAAGTGAAGGAGAGTGAACTTTCGAGATTTGGAAGACACACACGACCTCCTGCCCATTCCCCAAGGAGACCGATACCGGACAAACCATATGACTGTGACGAAATCAGAACGAAACGAGGCTTACAATGCCCCGACCAGCCTATTCCTCTCGGACCACAGCGACCACATTGCTCTCTGTAGCGAGCTTCGCATCCACTTCAGATCCCCTTTCCACTGTCTCCACCGCCCTTACATCGCCCGATCTGTGCAGTCCGAAGAAAGATCGTAGCAAGTTGGAACCGATGTTGGAAGTGTACGAAGGGAATTCTCGGGAAGGTACCGAGGAGCAGTATCAACGAGAGATACCGATGGTGTTAAGTCCGGAACTCATCAGAGGCGTCAGTGTGAAAGATAGAGCCAGTAGATTCGAACAACAAGCACAAGCATCTTCCTCAACACTACGACCGTCACCTCGTCTAGCATCTCGTACCAGGTCAACTTCTCCTCTGCGATTGAACAGACACCGATCGACTACTCCCACTCATCTCCGTAGAGTTCCTGTACCCGATACGGCTCCGGTCCGACGTATGTCGTCTATAACTTCTCCTCCCGACAACAATGCTGGAGCTTCAAACTCGGTTGGAGGGACATCAACAGAGTTGACAAGGGATAACGGGAGGGGTTCAGCAAGAAGGATGATACAGCAATGGGAGGCCCAAAGTCCTAGTGCGCCACAAAAACCCACCATGGTGAGGAATGACATGCCTAGAGCCATGAGTCGAGATTATTTGGATCAAAAGCCGTTACCCATACCCAAGGAATCACCCACCCCTCCATCACTCACTCCTATCCGAGCACCAGCATTACCAAAAGCGAGTCCTAGTCGACAGCCATTTGCTCCCTCCCCTCTTCAACACCTTCAGACTCCGACAAACAATCGAAAACAATCATCCACTCTAACACCTTCTCCGTCTGCTTATTCATTATCCCCCAGTCCTCATGGAGAGAAGAAGAAACGATATTCGAGTAGATCGCCCTTGAAGGAGATTCTTACCACGGTGAATGCCATCAAGACCAAGGTAAAAGGGAGGGGTAAGGAGAAACATCTCATCACTCAAACTTCTATTGCATGGTCGACAGATGAGGCTCGATGGACCAACGGACTGGATAGAGTGGGGACTAATGGTTTGCCAGACGGGATCGTCTACAGTGACAGAATGGGAGATCAAGAAATGGCTGCTTCGGAAGAGGAGGACGTGAGTTCATCTCATCCATCACGTACTATATGATACTGGAGCTTAGACTAACGTTCAGATCGTCAGGACGTCAGCAATAATGTTCCTCGTGCCCACTCCCTGTTCATCAGTCTCTCCCTGGGGATCCTGGGTGACCGCTTGGGGAACTCTCACACCTCTCTCCCTGAAAGTTACCTACTGCCCCGTGCAGTCGGTCCGTCGATCGGGGTCTTCCACTCCTCGTCGGGTGTTTTCCGGATCTGGAGCCCAAGTTTCTCCGATCTTCTCATACAACTCCATACCTCTGCCTGAGCCTGGCTCACACCCCGATGTGGTCTTATCCATGCTCGATTGCGTGGAGGTCAGAAGTTTACGTCGGGAAGAAGTGAAAGGACGGGGTGTTCCTTCCGTTCCTGAAGGAGCAGGCACAGAAGTTTTAGAGATGGTATGGTCGGATGGGACTAAGAGATATCTGGGTGTTGAAGGTGTTCATGGTCGGTTAGGTTGGGTCAGTGCTATATGGTGAGTCTTGAGTCATCTTTGATCTCAATAACTGACTGTCAGGGATGTTTTGTTGGCCTGCAAAGAGAATGGCACCCCAGCATTACCCCCTCCTTCTCCTCAGGTGGAAATCACTCATCTTCCTCTCTCAGTCACCTACAATCACATCAAGGGAGAATCTACCGATGCTCAGGTGGGCTCATCCGGTATCAATTTACGAGCAGCTTTGACATCTCCACCTCCGGTACAGAAAGTGGGAGATCATTGGGTAGCAGCATCAGTCGTCGGTCCAACTTCTGACCTCTCGGCGAGGAGAGACATCAATCAATTGAAAGACTCCGTTGCTAGGCTCTTTGATCATGGTCCCGATCCAACCCCTCTCGAAAGTTCTGCTTTGGTGCCTTCTTTGGAAGGGTCTGAAACACATGAATGGATTCGAGCTTGGCAACCGAGTATAGGGCCCGAAGTATCCACTTTCTCCCCTCACCCTAGCGACCATTCCCATACCTCACACATTGAGCAAGTCAAAGATGTTGAACGAGAGAACGGATATCCTAGATCTGAGTCGACACTCAGTTTCGATCCAAACGATTTGAACCCTTCTCGTTCGGCATCCCAAGTTCGGCGTGCTTCTACCGTTCTGGGCGGCGAACAACCGATTAGGCGATATGGGGCTAAACCGCACATGACCGCGGTTGAAGAACAACATGTTGACAATCAAAGTTCCGATCACAGGGCACCTACACATATCTCTCATGTGACCTTTCCTAAACCTACAGTAGGAGGAACAATGTTGGTCGGAGCGGGCAGAGGAAAACTACCCACCATCCCTTCATCTGATAACTCCAGCGTGGAAACTGGTGAAACCATCAAGACTCCTCAGACGACTACTTGGGATGCGGCTAGAGTAGCCGAGTCTCACCTGACTTCAACTTCGATACCAGATCCTACTGTATTGGCAAAACTCGATTCGCATACCACCGAACATGACGGATTAGCCAGACAAATCGACGGTGTTCGCTTAGATCTCAAGGGTGTCATAACCAGTCTCGGTCCGGTCGTACAAGAGGTCAGAGAGAAAACAGGGAAGAAAGAGTTGGATGACAAGTTGGAATCTATCCAATTAGACGTGAAGGGTATAGGGAACGCTTTGCAACTTGCTAATCTTGCCCAGATCAGGAGAGGAGAGGACTTTGAAGGTGATACCAAGTGGCCGGAACTGCAGGAAAAGCTTGATAAGATCGTGCAGCTGTGCGAACAGGTACTGGCTCAGCAAGCGGTTCCCCTTCCGGCGATAGGAACGGCAAACGTGATACCGATTGGCGGGGCAGGCCTGACCACAGGCGAGGGTATAAAAGACCTCAAGCCTGTTCAGACTCAAAGAAGTTCTACCTTCACCCCAGACTCTTTGGGGGTTAGTGGGACTGAAGAAAAATTGGCAGGAGAGGAAGTCGCCAATATAATGGCTGATGTGGTGGGTGATCTCTCAACTAGGTCTCTCGATGAGTGAGCAGAGGCTGATGAGCAGACTGGAGGATCGTCAAAAGCTTCACCAAGATTAGGACCAGTTCAAGTGCTTCATAATGTATCTTCTAGACCTGGGACACCTAATGATGAGGTCATGAAGCAAGTTGGGGAGGTGTTAAGTGTAGTCAAGGAATTAAAGGATGGAAGAGTCTTACATAGTCAGCAAACAACGGACATTGCCCGGTGTGAGTACAGCTCTGGCTCTCCTTTTCTCATGTTCAATTTAGCGTCGGTATTGTCACTGGGCTCTTTCACCCAGAACCTTGAAGAAGTGTCGGGAAATAAGGAGCACGATGTATCGAGAAGGGTGACTGACTTGCAGACTTGAACGAACTCAACACATGGCTCGAAGGATTTGTCAAAAATTCTTCTTCCGAACTCACAGCGATGAACAAACGTCTTCATATTCTCGTAGGACCAGATGAACCTCCAGCAGAAGGTCAACCTGTTGAACCTGCCCTCCCTGATCTGGTGGCGGATATGCATGTCATGTTGACGGATCAGAAGCGAAGGAACGAAGCGGAAGGATTGGTAGGCCAGAGACTGGATGCGTTGTTGGGGATGATGGTCGAGGAGAAGGAGAGACATATGGGACATCAAGATGGTGCGTTTCTCTTGACAGCTCCATTCCACCCAATATTCTTTCAGGAATCGTCCTCTTATGCCTGCTAAACGATGTTCATTTAGCCCTGCAACACAGACTCGATACCGTGTGTCGCCATCCACTCTTTGGAGGAATCACGAGAATGAAGGACTGATTGACAGTTGTCGAAAATGTGGTGGCTGTTCTGGAGAGACAGCGAAGCGAGAATGAAATGTTATTACGGGCTTTAGCCACCGGTCAGTCCCTTCACTCTCCTGTTTCCTTGATAAACCAATGAGACATGAGCTTATACTTCAGATCTCACTACAGAAATTAGAGGAGAGAGGATCAGGTTTGTGGAAGCTATGCAACAAGCCACTAGCGTCAACGTCCAATGTGAGTATCACGCTTCTTCCGTTACCCTTTCGTCACCGGTCATTCCGTATGAATTGTGAAAATTATTTGATTGGGGGAGACAAAAAGTTTATCGAAGCTGATATTAGTACACGTGGAAGAATTCAAAAAGGTTCTCTCGGCAGAAGTTCATCGGTCCATGCAAGAACTTGGTCAATTGAGAGAACAAAAAAGAGCTTTGGAACATCAAATATCAGATTTGTTCGCTTTGAAAGCTAAACATGGTTCTGGTAGTGGAGATAACGTAAGTGACTCGACACTTTCCGTCTTCGTCCCCCATTCCTAATTTGTCCCACTTCATATCGTAACCTCCATCATGTTCACGCTCATGATACATGTGAGAAGCTGTTAGAGTGAGTGAGAAGGGAGATTAATGATTAGTCAAGACGAAACTCTGCGGCTCCTCCTACGCCTACACCTCTCTCACCTGGACGGGCTTCGAGAGGTATACCGTCCGCTCCTGGGAGATGATCCCCCAACTCTCGACCCTGTCGATCGAGAACATGTCCCGTGGACTGTCACTATCGACAACGATAGTCGTGACATCGTTTGACGGACAATGATAATGTCAACTCCTGACACTGTCTCGGAGGTTCATCACATTGACATATGTCCTCTGCTCTGCTCCAGGGGCCAACCGAGACGAACGTCCCAGGACATGAGGTCGGACACCGTTGGACGAACTTCATCGGAGGTTCTGCCATAGGAGATGGACCCAGATGAAAGACAAGGTATCTACTAGATTCACTTTCATGGAAGGACGAGCGAGTGGTCTTGGACAATAATCATCTATATTCTAAGTGCAAATTTTGGGTACATAATCGTAATGTAGCATGACAATATCTGACAACAGTCAAAGTATAACAATGTATTTGTTCTAATGGAGAGGATGAAGCCATTCGTACCAACTTCGCAAGACATTCCATCCTTCTTCACTCAATCCCATCTGTCTACCACCTTCCTTCCAATCTACTTTACTCTTTCCACTTTTCTCCTGGGTCTCCAATCCATCCCTCCCCTTTGCCTCAGCTTCGTACACCTTTTCCAAAATATGAGATGGCACGGTCCGTCCTCTATACTCGGTATAATCTTGCCATACAGGCAGAGGTTGATCAGTCCCCATACCCCATGCTGCCCAACCGAAGGAAGCTAAAGATCTACTAGTTCCTTCCTCCGTAAGAAAAGAGGATGTATGATGACGAATATGCCAAAACACTTCTTCTCCTTCTTCGCCATTCATTCCGTTGTCCACGTCAGCGACGTTTTTCTCCATTCCTGGTGTGTAATGACTGATATGCCAAAACACTTCTTCCCCTTCGTCGTGACTTTTACTGTCCCTGCTCACGACATTTCCTCCCATTCCTTCTTCAGTTGTGTCAGTCGTCGTGACAGTGTGATGGTCAATAGGGGAGGTTGGGTAGTCGACTGAAGATGTAGAATAATTAGAAGGAAAACGACGAGGGATGTAAGATCGAATGACCGCTCGTTCGTCTCCCGTTGTTGATTCGGCCAACCAGGTCGAATGAGTATGTGCAAATCGGATCTCGACCAGATTGGGCGCTGATTTAATTTGGTTTAGGAGATGAGTAGGGATCGGTAATACCGGAATCGGATCAACGGGGGCAGAAACACGGGGATGTATAAGTGGACGAAAGTGCCATAGACGTTTGATAATGGGATGTGAAGGAAGTTGAAGGTCCTAGTTATCAGCCAGAATCCTTTCTCGAATACACCACAAGGTACGAGGGACGTATGAAACGAAGTTATTTAAGGCAGTTGACGGGAGGTTTGTATGAATTCACTCACTCTTACACTTCTTTTTTCACATTGTAATCCAGTGATTCCCACTCCTTCCAACCATGGCATATCCTCCAACTGAAGCTCATGGTACACACTCGCAGGGACTAATAACGTCCTCAACCCTCTACATTTCCCGATGACGTTGACGATATCCTCACCCGGGGTCCAATGTCCTCCCGTATCTCTTAATGCCAAATGTTCCAATTCACCCGCAGACGCTTGAATCCAAGAAATAATCAACGGCTCGCACCATTTTCCAGCGTGATCAATCGTAAGTTTTTTCAATCGAAGTATAGGCCATTGTCGCTCTTGGTCCTCAACAGGGAGATAGCGGTTCGGCTCAGGTATCAGAGTGACTTCCTGGACGTTTGGAACTTTGAGAAGTATTGCCGAAAGATACTGAGCCCAATTGGAATGTAAAACCGCTGTCAAGGTTGTTGCGGCTGGTAGAATAGGAAATTCCTCGAGGGCTTGATGCAGGTCTGAAGAAAGTTTTGCAGGTGGTTCGGGATAAAGTAAAGCATATTCCATCATTGCGTCGTATGAGAAATTTGTAGGTCTTTCGACTCTGCACAATCGGTCTGTACAATCTACCACTACCTCTTTTACATAACACTTTCGACCATTTTCTGATAATATCGAAGTGTACCATCTCAGAGCACCCAATAGGAGATCTTCGCGAACCCAACGATCTTCGTTGGAGGAAAGTGCAGCGTTATCAAGAGCGTGATGATGGAGAGAAGCGGGAGGCCAGAAGTAATGACGGAGATTTGGAGCGAGAACGTAATCTATTGCTGATTTCGCCAAACAGAGATTGATTGTGCGGAATGTCCGAGATTCACCTGCTTCGATACATCGAGAATGGGTGAGGGCGAGGGAAAGTGCGGTCGAAGGAGCTAAATGTGATGCGATGGAACGTAAGACATGAGGAGGGGATCGAAGAAGACCAGTGAGATTTCCAGTCGTGTGTGTCATTATCAACATACAATTAAATCAGTCAAATTGGATGAGTAGAGTAAAATGTAATTTTGGGACAAGGGAATCAAAGTATAAGTAAGTACTCATAAGATATTTCAAGCAAAGGGGAAACATAGCTTTCTGAGTCATAACAATGTCACCTCGTGCACCTTTGCTTCGGTGTTAGAAAAGAACTTGATAGATGGCCGTGATGATTCGGTCGTTCGGTGATCAAAGGGGGTTATAGATAATCATGACGCTCAGTCGGGGAAAGTTTGCGGCACCGAAGCTGCTTCCGAGTGGAGCAAGGAATCAACAGCTCCTGTAGCATGTAGCAGCTAGCAGTCACTCACTGTACAATGTGGACATGTGGGTAAATGACGAGTGAGAAAAGGGATGGAAAGGAAGAAGAGAGAACAAGGGGGCAAGGGATTGGTCACCGAAACCTTTCGGTATCTCGGCCATGTCAGGGATAAGCGATGAATGCGACGTCGGACCAAATTTGATGCCGAAGAGTCGAGAGGGCCGACCATGGTCAAGCGCTCAGATTTAGGGCTACCTTAGGTTTAGAGGAGAGTTCAGCGTAGAGAGTAGGAGATGTGTTATTGATGTAGGTCGAAGGGGCATTGTACCTGGTCTAGTACCACGTTCCTTCGGCGTCTCTGCCCAGTCGTCCCGCTTTCTATTTGACAACTTGTCATCCAGTCATCAAGATTATCAAGTGCCTGCTGTGCAGCCATGCAGCTGTATGACATAGAAATACGAAAAATATTTGTGACCGAAGTCACACCTCTCTAGTCATAGATTGTCATCCTTCTGCAGGGGCAATGCTAATCTTCTCTGTATCGTTCCAATTTTATCGTATGGCACACCCGAAGGTGGCCGACAGGAAACGCGAGTGACTTTCGCCACGTTCACTCAGCCAGCGCGTCTCGGGGTTTTGAGGAGTTTTGTCCCGTACAACCTGGAGGAGTAATTTTGGCATATACCTTGGTCAGCCGCGGGGTCGAATCGATGTTGGTTGCGGTCTTGTCGTTCATGATTGCATCATGCAACCTCATGGTAGCATGGAGATCTGGATGTGAAGAACCATCGCATACATGGTGCAATCACCTCACGGCCTGGCCGCATAGCAGGCCAAGCATAGTGAAATCGAGGCCATCATGAGATATGAGAAACCGTTGCTCAAGCCGCATAGTGAGTGGAGGACAGCCGACGGCCAAACAGATTGATAGCCGCAACTCAATTTCGCATCTCGTCTTCTCTTCTTCTTCCCACTTGCTTCTTCCTTCAGCTCTTCCTCCACCATTCCACTAACTCACCACTCGGCTCATTAGCCTATCCAGGGCTTGTGCTGTCCTTCTGATCACCTGATTCACCCCAGTAGAGTTTCTTGTTTCCATACCTCGTCTCTTTCATCTTCGCGTGTCAGCCTCATAAAATCCCGAAGCTCCCTAGACTTCCTCTCCCCCATCTGTTACCGCCATGACCCCAACGCAGTCCCCGAGCAATGTATTCAACAAACCCAGGCAACCTACATCGCCCAATGGAACGTCATCTGGTACTGCTTCCGACCAAACTCCCTCTGCTGAGGTCGATGATGTGAACCAGTGCTTCATCTGCGCTGAGCCAGTCATGTTCTGGAGTGTAGGCGTATGTGGACATAGGACTTGTCAGTGAGTCTTCGAATTGATCCACTGAAAAACCAGCATACGTTTCGTATATCATCTTACAAATGCCCTGGCCTTATCATCTTATGCTTCACAGAGAGGAGTCACCCATGATGGGAAAGGGAAAACGAACGTGGCTGACGCTACAGTGTATGCGCCGTCCGTTTGAGGAGCCTTTACAAGTCAGCCTTGTCCTGCTTGAATTCGGGCCTATCTAACTTTACAGAAGAGAGGAATGCACCTTTTGCAAAACGCCGATGCCTTCTCTGCTGTTTTCCCGATCTCCTACCGCTCCGTTCCCCACGGAACATCACCTCACCCCTTCGCCCGCAGAGCAAATCGCCGCCGCTTCCGCCAACGCTGATAAGCTCGAAAAGGGACAGAAGTGGTACACTGGCTTAACGATGCCTGGTACGCTCGACCTGACAAAGTTCAAATATACCGATGCCAAGCTCGGCCTGGTCTTCGAGGATGAAGATATGGTGTGTCCGATCTTGTTTCGTTCACAGAGCTGACGTGAGCAGATGGAAGCTACCTTATTACTCCTGCGATTCAATTGTCCCTACTCTGATTGTCCGTACATTGCCAAATCATGGAAAGACCTCTCGCATCACACTCTATCGGACCACGCCTTGGCCATTTGTATGATTTGCGCCCGACAATTATCGCGCTTCGCCCATGAACAAGCGTTGTACCCTCCTCACCTACTTGGTATTCACAACCCGGAGAAATTGGCTCGAACGCAAAAGCCACCCAGACCCAGAGGTCAGAGGGAGATTGAGATGGTAGCTGGCTGGGACCCTCCTCATCCGATGTGTGAAGTAAGGCCAATCTTAAATGTTTCTGAACTTCACTGACGAGCAAGTTCTGCCACGAAGCTTTCTTTGGACCCGACGAGCTATTCAAACACATGCGTACGAAACATGAGGAGTGCGAAGTTTGTAAAAGTCTAGGTGATCGGGACGTTTAGTCAGTTCCCAAGGTTCATACGGGAGCAGAGCTGACACTCAAGTTTCGAAGACTATGCTCAGCTCGAAGTACATCATCGACAAGATCACTTCTACTGTAAAGTCCCATCGTGTATCGAGAGAAAGTTTGTTGTGTTTGGCTCAGAAATGGACCTGAGAGCACATATGATATCAGAAGTGAGCGGTCCTAAACCAAGCTTCAGAGCTGACAGACTTAGCACGGCCAACAAATGTCGAATAGAGACCGTGCGAATGTCCGGACACTCCCAATCGACTTTGTTAGTCCATTAGGAATGCCCGATGGGCCCTCTCGAGGTCGAAACCAGCAATCGGCACGAGGTTTTTCTTTCGCAAGAAATGGCCCCGCACATCAGCAGGTCCCCTTGGAGGTGCCGATGAGCCCGGCACAGGCTGAGCAGCAAAGGAGGCAAGTAGAAACCGATAGAGTGGAGATGAGCAGAAGACGACGAGGATTTGATACCAGTTTGACTGTGCCAGAATCGCAGACGCGACCTTCAGCGTCGCACACTCCACGGCTCGAAGAAGTGCCAGCGAGTGGATACAACACTCCCAGGGAGGACGTGGATGATGCTGAAGCTGAGTGAGTTTTCCGACGATGCTACACTCTCGCTGGATCTGCCAGGCTTTCACTTCTAACGCTGACTTTACAGACGACACGCTGCCCTCCTGTCCCGTGTGTCTATGCTTGTTGAAGACTCTCCCACCAGATTATCTTCCTTCCGCTCTGCTATTCGACAATTCCGCAGTTCCGAGTCGTCAGCCAAAGATATGGTTGATTCAATCTTCAATATACTTGACAGGGACGTAGACGCTACGCTGGGAGTAATGAAGGAAGTGGCCGGACTGTTACAGAATGACACAGATGGGGACAAGCATCGGGCGGTGTTGGAGGCCATCAACGGGTTCCGAGCTCGGGTAAGTTTCTTTCTTTCACCTCGGGCGACCGTTTGCTGTTTTTGGTCGCTGATTATCAGCAAAGGGAGTTATTCCCATCTCTTAGCAACCCACCCACTGGATTGGGCACGAACTACGCGGGTATCACGTCCGGCAAAATCCTTCAAGCCAAACGTACCACCCACATGTCCAATTCCTCTTCTTCGCGAAATGTATGGGACAGAGTCGAAGCTGCTGCGTCATCTTCCGCAACTCCACTCTCTCGCCCGCCACCGACCAATGCTCGTACTGTCCCAGGTACCACGGCTTTCAACACGGCATCATTTCCCTCGCTCAATACGCTCGCTTCTTCATCCAAGGGTCCCTCAATCTCTACACACTCAACTCCATGGACATCAGGCGGTGCTGGATCAAGTAGCAAAACGCCCTCAGCCTTGGTGAATACCGTACGACCAGGTCCGAGCAAGCCTAGGATACAACCCAAACCTGCGCCGAAATTACAACAATCTGCATTTCCAAGCCTACCGAGTAGGGAGAAAGAGGATAGGAAGGCTTTGTTCAGTAAACCGACCCCGAAACAAGAGAGTCTACGTCGTATAGTCGGGTCATCGCCAGCGCCAGTGACCAACGGGTGGGGTATTGCCATGACGTCGATGGCTAATGGTCTGGCGGACATGAGCGTGGAAGACAGAGCGGCCGCGGAGGAAGCTATGGCCGGGGAGGGTGGTACCGGCGGAGGCAAGAAGAAGAACAAAGGAAAACAGTTGCTATTCAGCGTGTCGACCAGGCCATCATGACCGATCAACACGACGACAACACATCGCCCATCATTCGACCGCATACAACACCTCGATCGAATACAGAGCCCTCCATCATCACTCCGAGGAGGTGCCTTGCCAAACTTATCATTGCCAATCCTGCATAATGTGGTATAAAGCTACAGGGTGACATAAGTCTTACCGAGACCATTAGGCGTCTTATCCGAGTTTTCCAATCCAAACCCAGCGGTGGAGAATTCAGGCATGGCGCCATACCAAGACCAACGCTGTACCATACTCGATCCTTCCCCGCGGAACCATTCAATAGCGGTGGTCATGAAGTTTTTCGAGTCTTCGACTGAACATTGTTTGTTAGCCGAGGAAAAATCTATGCAAGCCCATTCGGTCAACCACATGGGTTTATTGAACGTTTGGTAGAAGTCCTGTGAGGTAAGCATCTACTCACTTTTTTAGTCGAACATCTAATCGTGCGGACAATCTATCGACGAGGAAGTGAAAAAGTTGTTGAAACATTTCTTACCTTGGCATAACTGATGAGGTCTGTGGCATCTGTACCGTAGTAATGGAAACAGACGAGGTCGTATTGACATTTCCCATCACAAGCTTTCAGCCAGTCCTGGTCGTCAACTCACATTCACTGATATCGGCGTTACCCGATGTGAAGACACACACACACACGCAATGTCCAAGATCAGAGGAACGGCCGGGAGGACAAGATGAAAAGTATTATATGGAAGGCAGGGAGGGAGACGTTCCGTAACTCACCTGCATCCATGTTTTACCTCCTCTCGTCACTGCAGGCGAGCAAATCTGATACTTGCCTGAGAGTGACGAAACCCATTGTTGATGCCATTTGGCACCGTCTTGAGCTGACATGTCCGACCCTCCAGATTTCGGTTGAATCTCGGCTGTGGGTAAGTATCAACTCGAAGCGAACTTCTTCTAGTCTGACTGCTACTGATCTCAAAGCCACTTCAGCGTCCACTAACGGACAGAATTTCCCTCATCCATTTCCTCCACCTATCATCGATCACCACTACTATCGCATCCTGTCCACTGTCCTTGTTCCGTGTCCTAATCGTTTCTCCCGCCTGTTGCCCCTAGCTTCAAACTCAAAACTCGTCCACCCTCTTCCACATGACTCGTTAAAAAACACGACCGTCCTCATCGACAGAAGAAGATCACCATGATATGGATTAACATCAAATCAGGAAAAACTCACGTTCATTAAACGACAAGACATATTTAGTTCCCGCCGGCCACTTCTTCTCAGCATCCGTCAAACCAGCCAAAGATTTTTCTCCCCAAACCATAGGAATAAATTCTAAACCATCATCATTCGAAGTTGCCGTAGCACTCCAAGTATAATACCAAGATAATTTTGATCCTGGGAGAGATTTCCAAGGAGCTATAGAACCACCTCTTCCTGCATATGCTAAACCTACTTGCATTCCATCTCCATCTCCCCCTCCACCTCCACCGCCGCCGCCGTTGTTGTTGTTGTTATTGGTGGTGTTGTTATTGGCACTTTTGGGAGGTTGAGATGATACTGGACTTTGACTGGAAGAAGTACTTGCTGGTTTTTCTACTAAGTTTTCAACATTATCGTTGGTCGTATTATGTGCTTTACAAGCACGTTTGAATGGTTTTGCCATTATTTGAGATGAAAGAGATAAGAGTAAGATGAAGATGATGGATTTCATATTGTTCAAACTTTGTGTGTCCTCTCTCTCGTTTCTCAAGTAACTCATTTATCAGCTGAAGTCTTGTCAATCATTTCCTTCTTCTCCATCTATCTCTCTCACTATCCCTTTGGCTTACCTTACTTTAACGATACTCCCCCCTCACTCTCAAATGTTAAAAGCTTTTCGAAGGAATCTTGGGGACACTCACAATGAACACTCCTCTTTCCCAGATGGAAAATATTACTGGAAAACTGGGTTAATCCTAATTCTTTGCTGACCCGCAGCAAAAAATGTAATTTATTCGTTGATCTTTAAGATACAACCTGATTTTTCCCAAAGATCCGTCAGACTTTAATAGTAAGTGAAGAACCATCTTCTAACTTCCCCTTCCTACATGCCAAGACTCGTTTGGAAAGTTTGAAATTTGGTAAAGATCAAAGGAGACGTGAGTATAAAGCGAAACGGTTCAATCTTTTCTTACACTCCTTTCATCGGTAAGGGATGAAATTCTTTTCTCACGGTTCTATCAATCTATGTTGCATACTTGGCATGGGAGATATGACAAAAACGTTACACATGGTGAAGAATGTTTGATACGTGAGTATGAACGGCGAGATTGATCTCGGAGAGTGGGTTCCGAATAGTAAGGAGATTGACAAAGGGGGAGAAAAAGAGTTGAGAAGTCAGAAGAAGGATAAGGGAAGTGGGAATAGGGAATAAGTTTTACGAGTATCAAGTTGATTTTGATGTCAAGGGTGAAGGAATTGAATGATTCAGGAATTCGAAGAAGCAGAGAAAATGTAGGAAAATTCTCAATTGCCTTCTTCTTTCAAAACACTTTCAACACTTTTCCCTCCCACAACTTCCTTTACACGTTCGAGAACTTTATGAAAATCGGTAAATGGTACGTTTGGGATACCTTCTTTCTTGCAATAAGCCAAAAGGTCGGAATCGCCATTAGGCATGATTTTGGTGAATAGTAAATCGGCATGTTTGGCAGCGGACATATCTTGTAATCAGCAAAACCATTCCTTCGCTTCCGAAGACGTCCGAGCTCTTCTTCCACTTCTCTGACCATGGTCCACATCCAGTACCACTACCCAATCCTCTCTTGGTCATCTCCAATTCTCCATTGTCTCAACGACGCATCCTTGAAGAAGCAAGCCGTCAACTTCGGCACTCCAAGAAGAGACGGCTATTAGGGTCAGGGGTAAAGGTATACGTTCGGAAGTACATTTTAGGGCTTGTTTAATGGAATTAAAGGAACCCCAAATCTTCAAGCTCCAAATTGAAATCCGTGTGATCTAGCTTTGAGACAAACAAACAGGAGAAACTCACCCGAAACTCCATCTCCACAAAAGAACAAAGTAGGTTTACTTGGTAAATCCCTGTAAGGCAGAATAGCTTTTGATTTATCATGTCCGAATCCGGATTCAGGATGTCGATATACTATCTCCCAATCTTTACCTTCAGGATCGAGATATTTGACATCGTTTGCGATAATGTCGATGGAATCGGCTTCTGCCTCTGGGAAAAGGTTCGATAAAACAGCACGGATGATAGGTGCCATTCCACTGTTTTCCCGTCAGTAAGGTTCAAAAGGAAGAAAATGGAAAAGGAACTTACGATGAAACTATGATAACGGGTATACCGTTGGATTTGCACCAATGGTAAAATTCTTGAAATCCTGGGTCGAGACCGATATCTCATGGTCAGCCAAATGACCATTATTACTTTCCGCACATCATACAAAGGGTTGATTTGGGTGATATGGTAGATTGAGAACTTTGAAATGAATTCAGATGGTTGTGAGACGGTTGGAAGAAAGTATACCTACTCTTTTTCAAAATCTCCTTGCATTCGTCATATGGCGTGTGAACAGAGTTCAGCATTGCGGCGAAAGCGTCACGATATGTCATTGATCCATCCAGGATACGACCGTTGAGTTCGCGTCTAGACATCAGCATTATAGACCAATTGCGAGCCCCATTAAGGGCTGGCCCCCCATCTCGCCAGTTGCCGTCCCTCCCGATCATTATGACGAACCTTGATCCCACCTGGCCATCCATTTGAGAAGGACACAGTGTGGTGAACGTCTCTGGGGCACAGGGACTAAGCTCACCTCTTCTCACGTCCCATACCAAGATTGTCGGTCATGAAATCGTTCGAATCCTTATCCGTGATCGTTCCATCCTACCATCAACACCATTCCTCTCAGGTGATTTAGAATCGACTTACCCAGTCGGAAAGAACCACAAACTTGGCATCCGTATGAAGAGGAGGTGGGGGCAATACGGACATGGTATACGGATCTATCGATTAAGCCCTCTTCTTTCGTATTCCAATGTCGACTTACTGACTGAAGATATACGAGCAGAAAGGAGACGGAAGTCTAAAAAGGGTGGAGAGGAAGATTCGAGGGGAGTGACGTTTTACATTCTTCGCCTACGGCCCGGTCTCCGGTGGAGGTGAAATTCCATGACAACCGTGGGAAAATTACTTTTCTCACGCGCTGGCTTTGGACGCGACAAAGATTCAACAAGTCAGAGATCAGAGACGGCCGTCGCGGACGGTCAAGAATCGTTATTTGGTCCGAAGCACAGATAGTGAGAGAAAGAGAGAGGTGTGAGAGAGAGAGAGAGAGAGAGAACTCTGACGACGAGAAAATGCGTATACATCTACCTTTATCACCAGATCTCCTCAAACCTACTGTCATTGACCCGGAATCTCCATTGGTAAAGTTAGGAGGAGAGGTAGTTTTGATCGAACTTCAAGGAGAGTTATCTTGGGAGGGAGATAAGTCTGATGGGGTCGTAGGTGTTTTAGGATTGGATAGACCAGTGAGTCATCTCTTTCTCCCTCAATGCGTCTTATCCCAGCATCACACACAGTCTCAAGGTCAAAGTGTGTATAAGAAAGCGTCGATTGTGTCCTGCGGGCTAAGGAAAAGACTGAAGACTGGCATTGTAGATTTCGAGCAATTCTCAGCTGATCCCCAGGACAAACCGACACTTCACTTAGGTCCTCATCATCTTCTTCATGGTAAAATCGTATCCCTGCCTAAACCTCTTGCCGTCATTCGGAAAAATCACGCTCCTATCGCAACCACTCACAAGGCAGATGTCCATTCCGACAGAAATACTAGAGGTGTTCTGGAAGGAGACGTTTCTGAAGAAGACCAAGAAGAAGAGGAAGAACACGACCCACTTCAGACGATGGACACTCGAGCGGGTCCTAGTAAACCTTCGAAGGTGAAGAAGTCGACTGAAGAGAGTGAAGAGGAAGATGAAGAACCTTTGTTTCCCATGACAAAACCATTCAGAACTCCCTCACGACTTGGAAAGTCCCACGGACATACTCCAAGTATCAAATCTTCGAGTCCTGTCTACCCTCCTTCATCAATACAAGATTATTCCTCAGATTTGGATCCTACGTCTCCGTATCGACAAGATGAATGTGACAGACAGATGACAACTTTGCATGATAATGAGGATGAAATGGAGTCTCCTTCGGTCTTGAGAAGAGAAAGGGAGAAAAGAAAAAGAGAAGAAGAAGAGAAGAAAAGAAGGAAGAAAAGAAAGTTGGAACATGACAAGGAAAGAACGAGATATTATGAGGTTGTGGGATTGGTCAGGAAGAAGGTTGTTTTCTCTCTCAGGTCAGTTTGAGATCCATTTGATCGGAATAATGTGTGATAGAGCATACCATGTTAATTCTCAGACCTGAACCTATAGTCACCGCTACGGTACTCCCTGATTAGTCAAGAACATCGGCATCATGTACAGAGCATCAGAGAATCACATGAGAGTTGCACGTAATGTGATTACAGTGTAATGGATCCTTCGCTATCTTGCCCAACTCAATAATCATCCCTCTCCCAATAGTGTTGAGTCCTCTTGAACGTCGGCTTCCTCCCTTCCAACACATCCACTAGTTTATCCGGGATATCCAACACAATCTTCCCTTTCCCTTTCTCTTTCTCTCTTTCCTTGAGCGTCTTGACCAACTCCGATTCCACTGTCACCTTCCAATCCGCGTACAGTTTCTCCCTTGGATGACCTGTCTGCTTATATCCGAACGCCCTAATCTTCAACATTCTAAGTTTGGGGCTTGTTCGAATGACCCAACTGATAAACCCTTCCAAAGTCGTCAACATGGATAACACCGTCAACTCCTCCAACTCTTCCAGCACAGGCCAAGGTTTCTCATCCTTCTCGTGTGTCTTTTCTTCCTCATCGTCTGACTCCTCGGGTGGTATTTCGCCAGCGTAGATGATGAGGGATTTGATGCCAGGAGCGATATTGAGCCATCCGATGAGATAAGCCTCCCAATCAGATTCCAAAGCGATAGACATTCTCTCCACTTTGTACAGTTTCGGAAAATTGTCAAAAGTTTCTTTCGTATACGAAGGCATTATCTTGACAGGCGACTCTTGCCAGCAATGAACTTTTACTTCCCTCACCCACATCAGTCTCTGAGGTCTGGAGTTGAATGACGATCTGAGTAGCTCCATAGCTCCGTAAAGTACGTCGGCACTGCCATCCGGTCCGATGAGCTGTTCCCACTTGTCAAAAGCGAGATCGAGGAGGTGAGCCGAAGAACGGGAAGAGCTAGAGATCCTACCCGCTAGATCCATGAGTGGTAGACTTGAGTAGATGATGGATTCAGAGGGATCCTGGAGGGCGCGGCTGACGCGAGACAAGTTGACGAGAGAGTTGTAATCGAGGAATTGAGCAATGGCTACGAAGAGTTCGAATGGCAGGGTAGATAAGGTGGGGTTGATACGTTGACGTTTGGACGCTGGAGTAGCGCTGGTTGTTGGGGGAGAAGGAGAGCGAGGATGGAAAGTAAGTTTAGTCATGGTGGGAAAAGTTAACAAAGTGACGGATGGAAAGTCAAGTGAGAATTGAAGAGGACATTTAATACTCAGTTTTTGGCTGACGAGAGTCCAGTCACGGTCCACTGGTCACTGGTCACTGGCCACTGGCACCTCGTTTCAACTTGCTGGAGCCTAGGCCATGGACCTTTGAGTCCTGGGTCAGCTCAATCTACACCTGTAAACGTCTGCGATGAGTAAGGGTTTACCTATACATGGACCCGTGGCAAGTACAGTAAGCACGAATATACTGATACTAGAAATGTCTCGAGCAGGACGAGGGACGAGGGCTTTGGAAGGGTGCCTGGGTGCACGGATCGCTCATGACGTGGCATGACTGAATCACTTAACCTCGGTCTCACACCTGCTGTGATAACGAGCTACTCAGCAAGTTGCAAGCTTATTGTCAGCTCACACCTACGTCAACGAGCAACAGCAGAGTGCTTACATTCCATTCTCTCCAGAGGCCTTCAGTCACCAAGACATCTCGATAGTCTCGGAGGAGACTTCGCAGAAAAACCGGCTCTCGGTGGTCTCACCCCCGCTTCCTATCCATTCATCATGGCAACATCTATGAGGGGACTCACCCAGGTTCGTCCATATTCCTCTACTAATCAGCATGACTTACTGACCACAAAGTACATCTCGGATATCCGAGCATGTCGCGTGAGAGAGTTAGAAGAGAAAAGGATCAACCGTGAGATGGCTCATATACGTCAAAAGTTCAAAGATGGAAGTTTGGATGGTTACCAAAAGAAAAAGTATTTGGCCAAAGTGGTCTTCACTTATATACTCGGATACAAAGTCGATGTCGGTCATATGGAAGCTGTCAATCTGATCAGTAGTACGAGATATACCGAGAAACAGATTGTGAGTACCTTTATCCACCTCCACTCTGCTATGACCTTTCACGGGGCGTATGAGGAAATCGAGGATGGGGACTGGAGCTGATGGGTTTAGGGTTATTTAGCGCTCACCCTGCTCATGCACGAGAACTCGGATTTGGTTCGATTAGTGATCAACTCGATACGAAAAGACCTAGATGATAATAATGAGATATACAACTGTCTGGCGTTACATGCTATTGCCAATCTTGGAGGGAAGGAAATGGCAGAGGCATTGGGAGAGGAAGTGTATCGATTAATGATCAGTCAGTGAGTGTGTCTCCGAGCATTGGAATAACTTTATTCTGGCGAAGGGGAATCATCTCGTTGTTACCTTGAGATTGGTGCCATGTTCGACCAGAGACCCTTGCTAAACTTCAGCACGTCAACCACATTCGTCAAGAAAAAAGCCGCCCTCACTCTTCTTCGTCTTTATCGCAAACATCCCACCGTACTTTCCGCCGCAGAATGGGCGGAACGTATAATATCCATGATGTCAGATCCGGATCCAGGTGTGGCATTAACCATCACGAGCTTGGTAACGACGTTAGCACAAGACAATCTGGAGGCATATAGCAGTTGTTACCGGAAGGCTGTAGATCGATTAGATAGGGTATGTCTCAAAGATAGCATCTGAAAAATGACTGACGGATAGATCATCTTCGACGCGGATTATCCACCACAATACGTGTACTACAAAGTGCCAAACCCTTGGCTTCAGATTAGATTACTCCGATTACTCCAATATTACCCTCCACCAGGTATGTACAGCGACTGTAGGGACGAAGAGAATGGCTGACTCGGCAGATAACCAGCAAGTACTTGACATGTTAAACGGTATATTGCAAGCTATAATCGATATGTCTCAGGATTCTCCACGAGTGAGGGACATCTTCTGGAGTGATGAGATTTAGCTGAGGTCAGAATATACAACATAATAACGCCCAAAACTCCGTCTTGTTCGAAGCTATCAATCTTGCCATCCATCTCGATCCCGATTCTTCTGTGGTTTCTAACGCTTCCGTCTTGCTTGGCCGTTTTATTCTCGCTAAGGAGACGAATGTTCGATATCTCGGCTTAGATGCCATGGCTCACTTGGCTGCTTGCTCAAATACTCTCGAACCCGTGAAGAAACATCAAGATACCATCATACTATCCCTCAAAGATCGTGATATCTCTGTGAGAAGACGAGCTCTTGATCTACTTTATTCAATGTGTGACACGACCAATGCAAAGGTCGTGGTGGGAGAGCTGGTCAAGTATCTCGCTGTGGCCGATTATAACCTCAGGGAAGAGATGGTGCTCAAAATTGCTATTCTGACGGAGAGATTTGCTACAGAGGTGCGTTACATGCAGTTTTCGTCGAAGTTCCCGGACTAACTTGTAGTACGAATGGTATGTCGATACCATCCTTCAGCTCATCAGTGCTGCTGGAGATCATGTCGGAGCGGAAGTGTGGTATCGAGTGGTGCAACTCGTGACCAACAACGAAGATCTGCAAGCGTACGCGGCGGCAGCGGTGTACCAACATCTGCAGGCCACGGCATGTCATGAGAATATGATCCGTATAGGTGGTGAGCTCCTTCCCAATAGTACACGATGCACTGAGCTCACGTGGTAGGCTACATTCTGGGAGAATTTGGACATTTAATCGCCAACGAACCTGGTTGCTCCCCGGTTGAACAATTTCAAGCTCTACACTCCAAAGTCAACTACTGCACCGCTCCCACTCGGGCCCTTCTGCTCACCACATATCTCAAAGTGAGTTACGCGTTCAGGAAAGCCGCGTACTACTGACTCCCTCCACATCTCGTCCGTCGCAGAATCGATGTTATTGAAGAAAGACGCTGACAAGCTAGTGGGTCAACCTTTTCCCCGAGATCAAAGATCACCTCATCAATATCTTTGAACGTTACACTCATGTTCTCGACGCCGAACTTCAACAACGAGCATGCGAATATCTCGCTCTAGCTCAAAGACCTGAATCAGACGATCTCTTATCTACAATCTGCGATGAAATGCCCGTTTTCCCCGAACGAGAATCCGCTCTCATCAGCCGACTTCATGCCAAGAGCGGAAAGGTGCAAGAGAAACGTACATGGGTCATCGGTGGTAAGGAGGAGAACAAAGAACGAGAAGCAGAGAGATTCCGACAATTTAGAAAAGTTTCAAAACCCGCTTCCGCAGATACTGCTCCTTCAATCGAAAAGAAACTGCCAGTACCTTCACTTCCCCCTCAACCGCCGATACCAATACCTCAGAAAACCTTGACGATGGATACGACGATGGGGACCACGTCGAATGGTGTCGCGGAAGATATCATGTCGTCATTGGCAGATTTAGATCTGTCCGGTAATGGATGGCAGGACGAGCCTTTGTTAATTAACGAAGCACCGACTGCTGAGGCTTTACCTCAGACCAATGGCGGGGATGCTGTGGTACATGCCACTTTGGGAGGTGTCGACCCGGCACTACTCGCTCCTCTCACTGTTGCGCCAAATATTGAGAAAGTACGTTGTATATTCTGCCTTCGAATCCTTTCATTTGGTAAAAACTGTCACCCTAGAGAGCTTCCCTTCTGACGAACCCAATAATTCCAATGGAGAAGGTGAAACGGAATGAGCTCCACCGTCTGTCTGTTAACAAATGCACCGAGTTCCAGACCAGGTTTAACAGGTCAAAATCATCGCTGACGAAACAGTGGCTAGAACGTCTCACCTACGCGACCGAAGGTATACTCTACGAAGACTCTTCCATTCAAATCGGTATCAAAGCGGAATATCACTCTCATCTCGGTCGTATAGCTCTTTTCCTAGGAAACAAATTATCCGCTCCTTTCACACATCTTTCCGCTTCTATCGAAAACCCCGAACCTACTGCACTAGACGCTCATTTCCATGGTATGCCCATTGGTGACATTCAGCCACTTGCGCAGGTACAAGAATTGATTCATGTGGAATGTAAAGATGTATTCAATCAACAACCCGTATTGCGGGTCGTGTATCGGACGGGGGAAGAGGGACCAAAAGGACAAAAAGTTTTGGTTTTGAGATTACCGGTGGTGTTGAGTCGATTTGTCGAGGGGGTGACATTGGAGAAAGAAGCTTTCTTTGAACGGTGGAAGATTATCGGAGGTGAGTTTACACGTTGTTTTCCTCCATTCTATATTCCCGTCCTCATATATATCCTCTTCGATGAGATGAGATACTCGTAGTGTCAACTCCCACATGTTAGGTGTCTCAATGCAGTTGGTCACATTAACGAGAGGATACAATGTAGGGAAAATGGAAAGACTAATCTTCAGGTCCCCCAAGGGAAGCTCAGTTGATATTTCCTATCAAACTCACATCCTCTGGAGAGGTGGATTTGGCGAGACAAACAAGAGTCATGTCGGGTAACAAATTTTCTTTGTTATCAGGTATCGATCCTAATCTTTCCAATGTGAGTTGGTGAAGTCAATCTCTCAGCGACCCAGCTGTTTCTCCCAATACTTCCGGGATCTCCCTTGACCCTTCGCTCCCCTGTCCCTTATCTTCAGATCTTCCCTTCCGACCCCCTATCACTCTATTGAGATTCTATCACACTTTATTCTTTCCACGACTTACAAATCACACAACATACCCTTTCTTTTACCCCACTGTGGACCCGGAGATCACATGTAAATGTACAAGAGAAAACATGACTAATACCCCAGCTCGTCCTCGCCGGTGTCCTGCACATGTCATCAGGTGGTAAAGTGTGAGTATTCCCCTCTTTTTCCATATTCAAATACTGAATGTTCAGTGGTATATTAGGAAGATTAGAACCGAACAAAGATGCCAAATTATGTCGTCTGACAATAAGAAGTACGAACGAACAAGTTTCAGCTGAGATATTGAAATTATCGAGTAAACCTCTCAATGCGGATTTAGCAGCTTCATAGGTGTTTAATGGTTATCAACACGGATTTTGGCAGCTTTGTAGGTTCTTATCCTGTTTGACGAAGGTTGTCAACATGAGTGAGATATACAACTGAGTGAATGACAGAAAGGGAGATGTGGATTGGGTTAGAAGGAAATTGATCTGTGTAGATTCACAGTGTACTCGTAGTCGGTATTGCATTTTTACGATTGACGTTTATGATGGATGCATGCTCTGGATTTCTCCTCTTATCTTTCTTTGTCTGTTATTTCACAGTGGCTGATTCTGAACAGTCGGCTAGTCCTTCCTCACGCACAGTGTGCCGCTGGTTATCCTCTGTCAGTCTCCACTCGAGATAGAGTTCGGTGAAACGTGAGGGACTACATCTGGGTGACTGGGACAGATGAATGTGATCAATTGTGATTATGACAAAAGAGCTCGGACAAAGCATCACATGCATGGTTCTTACTGTAGATCATGTCGTCAACGTTTCTTCTCCTCTCCTAATGTTCATCATTCCCACTAGGCTACACAAGTGAGATTCTCAATAATCAAGTTCGGTATTGATCATTGTGTAAAGTCGTTTTCCATCCTTCGGGAGGTTTGATAGAACTTGGTAAACTCGGTGGAGGTTTATACCATTGTCCTCCTCCTCCTCCTCCTCCTCCTCCACCACCACCACCACCACCACCACCTGGAGTGCTTCCACCGACTTGGTATTGCGTATGATTAGGATGATTAAGATCTTTAGGTGGCGGTTGTGGACTCATCGATCTAGTAGGACCATCTTTACCCGTTCCTAAAGATTGCATATATTGTCTCCAACCTTGGTTCGTACTAGGTAATGGTTGATTAGGTGGGAGAGGTGAAGTTGGTCTTGTGTATTGATTAGGTGACAAAGGGTATGAGTTGTTTTGAGGTGGGTATGGAGAGGGTGATGGTTGTCTTGGTGGATATGGAGAAGGAGAGGGTTGTCTTGGTGGATATGGAGCTGGAGAAGGTTGTCTTGTCGGATAATGAGAATTGGCTGGATATAATGGTGAAGGAGAAGGTTGACGAGCTGGATATGAAGAGGTATTTGAAGTATGATCAAGATTTGGTTGAGGTAAAGTAGAGTGCCAACCTGCTGGAGCACCATGAGGTGTGTTTGTAGGATAAGTAGAGTTGTATTGATTTTCGTACCCATTCGTTGACGTATATCCTGTTTGATGAGACCATTGACCAGGTCCAGAGCCTGAATCAGGATGTGGAATGATCGGATTTACCAAATGTGGCATAGGATTGATATGATTCGTCTGGTTGGGAAAATGAGGATTAGGACTGGTACTTGTTTGAGGTTGCCAAGATGGTACTGGTGTAGTGGCATCTTGTCTCATTAGATACAATTCATCAGAAGGATAATATCCTACTCCTTGTGGTTTAGGTGGAGGAGGATGTGGTATAGGTCTACGGTTGGGTAAAGGTGGTGCAGGTGCTGGTGTATTTGCATAACGTTGTTCTTGAATATAAGGATCATAAGTTGATTGATGTGAGGTTTGTTGTTTTGGTGGAGTAGGAGTAGGTTGAGTTTGTTGATACCATGGTACATAACCATTCTGTGTGGATTGAATAGGAGGGGATTGATGAGGATACGAAGTTGAGGAAGGAGAAGAATAACTTTGTCTTGAAGTTTTAGGAGGAGTGTAGTAGTTTTCCGGAACTTGAGATAAAGGTCGATTAGATGAATGTTGAGAAGAATATGAATTACTTCGACCGATATCATTTTGTTTATATATCTCTCCTGGCCAATGGTTGGATTGTGGTATATTCTGCATGGGTTGTTCAGGAGGATAATAAGACAAGGGTCTTGGATTCGGACTTGGAGCTCTTGGAGGTGGAGCTATAGGAGGTGGTAGAGTACCATAAGAAGAGGTAGGGACTTGGTAATGAGCTCCTGGAGGTGCAGAGTTTGAATGTGGAAGAATAGGAGGTATAGGATTATATGACGTTGATGCAGCTTGAGAAAAGCTATTCGCATGAATCCTCGGTTCACCAGGTCTCAACCCATCTGGTATCGGTGCAGGTTCCCCTGATATCATATTTGCAATAGGTGACCGGTGAAGGAGCTCGATGAGGTGGTGTGGGTAAGGAATGTGTACCTAAATATTGTCCAGGTCCAGGATAAGCCATACCTGATACAGGTCGTGGAACGGGGGTAGCAGCTTGGTTTCTGTCTTCCTCGTGATGAAACGGGACGCTACTTGTAGATTGAGGTCGGTGATGAGGCGCGGGTTGTGGTGGTTGGCTCTGTGGTAATAATCCACCCCACGGAACATCAGAACCTCCAAGTGAATGTCGATGTCCGGCATAATGAGGTCCTAAACTGGCAGATTGGCCCATAGCAGAAGTAGGACGAAGATCGTTGTAAGTGGTACTGAGAGATAATCTGGAGGTTTGGTTTGCGAGAGAGTCTATCGGAGAAAGGCTGTTGGCATGTCTAGGAGGGTAAGAAGGTTGGGCAGGTAATGTGGGCTAAGTTGTCAGCTTATTATGAAAAGAAGCTTCTTAGTTGCTCACTGTAAGGCTGTGACGGGATTGTCCTGGTGGTAAACCGAGATTAGCAAAGCTAGTTGCCGTACGTAAGCTCGGCGTGGTCGATAATTGAGTTGGTGTGGGCGAAGCCGCTCTAGAGGGTTGGACGTATGGAGGGATATAGAGACTCATCCCTGACACACTCCCAGATGTGGCGATCCCTCCATGCCGACCATTCAACGAGCTAGCGGAGGATGAAGAGGAAGGAAAACCGCCTGGCATGGGATGAGGATGAACAGAAGGTCGAGGGACGTTGCGTTTGACTGGGGGTGCGTCCTGATGGTCAATTCTGCTCCACTCTGATCTGGAAATACTGACATTGGAGTAGAAAGTGAGTTCGAGATACACCTCTCCAGCATATTTTTCTTTATGTGTAAATTCATACCATTCTGGAGTATCAGCAAAGCCTTCTTCATCACTAACATCTGAAGGAAGAGTTCGATGGGGGGGGAAAGACCCACCATCCACTTCTCCTTTCTTCAACACCTCTTCAATACTCACCACCACCTCCCCTATCAGTTCCGGCTCCCTAGCGTCATCGGCATAACAATTCACCCTCATACTTTTCCCACCCTTCTTCTTGATGGGTCCCTTTCGACTTCTCTCCGCCAATTGAGCGGGGGTGGTCACTCCCGGTGCTGATAAAGATTGAGAGGTGGATGAGGATAGGGAAGCAGATAAATCTGTAGATTCGGACCGGGAGATGATATCTTCGATATCTTCCAAGATGGTGAATCGAAGTTCCTCGTCCCATTCTGGGTGTTGACCTCCGCTGATGATCAGTCACTGATCTCATGCCTCGTCCAACATAGCTTGATTCGCTCTTCAAAATGTCTTAGTCATATTCTCATACAACGACGAGGAAGCTTGGAGGACGGTGTTAGAAGATTAGGGAAGGAATGCAGCTGAAGGAGTAACACCAAAGATGCAAGAAACAGTCCACTCACCGCTTGATAGGTTTTGTCTTTTGCTTCTCGTCGTTGACCATGACAGTACAGAACGGATCTTGCTTCCCGAACCTGCTCTTGTTAGGTAAGTTTCTCTGTCCATGAGCATCCCGACAAAAACGGTTGAAGCATACACACCGCTTTACCAACAACCACGATCAAGGTGCCGAGCTCCTTTGGCTCGAGAGAAGTGTCCGCCATAATGTCGTTCCTCTCTGTTCTTGCTCCTCCTCCGATAGAAATGAGAAATAGACCTTTGAGCGAGTGGGGCTACCTCGACAGGGTATATGATACACTTCAAACCTCAATTGTGTGGCGGCAAGCTTCGACCGTTCGTAAAGTCTTCAGGCTGATCACCAATAGTCTTCGTCCAATACGTCAACTTGTGCAGGTCATGGAAGTCAAAACTTCATAGGAGCTTGATCGTGTTTGCCAAGATATAAAGCCAAGAAAGGTCGTCAATGTGCCAAAGCAGAGAGAGAGGAATTGTCTCGTATAGGAGGAGATTTACACCAAGGCTGGTGGCTAGCACCGCACTTTGCAGCGCGTCAAACGTGTGGGAGCTGTTTACGTAATACACAGCAAACCACATATCAGGGAAACGGGACGGAAGTAAAATTGTGACCACATTCGAAAAAAAAAACGCTGAGTGAGTCGTTGTTTTTCCACCAGCAATTCGCTCTTGCGGCTGGCAAGCAATCACAAAGTCATGGCACAAGGTGAGCATCTACACGAGTAATGGATGTTGAGCTGATGTCAAGCTCCTCAGGGGGTCACGGTGGTGTGAGTTTTTCTCGGCGCTGCCTAACAATCTACCTTGTCGCGATCAAACTATCAGGACATCCAGGGAGGGAATAGTGAAAAAGGGGTCCAGACCACCAAGTGATACGCTGGGATTCAGACTGACGAAATAGCCTCGGAGCTCAATGGGGGGACGAGGGGAAAGGCAAACTGGTCGATATTCTTGCCGCTCAAGCGGATGTTTGCGCTAGATGTGCCGGAGGGAATAACGCGGGTCATACTATCGTCGTCAAAGGTGACAAAGGGGAGAAGAAGACTTATGCTTTCAACCTGCTTCCCAGTGGTGAGTTCGCGAGAGGCTCTCTTCAGGAGACTACCACTTCCCTTGGAGTGTGCTTGGTTGCTACTTCATACCCTTGCCATTGCGGTCCGGATTACGGTTGTTGAGTAAATGCGGAGGGCCGCGGCGGAAGAACGAGTGGCTGAAACACAGGACTGATCAACCCGCACTGCAAAGCCTTCATCGGATCTGGGGTGGTCGTACACATCCCGTCGTTGTTCAACGAGCTGGACACTTTGGAACGGAAAGGTATGTACGACCTGTTTTTACATCTCTTCAACTCTGCTATCAGTCACTATCTCTCCACCTATCTTTTGGTTCGCCCATAGGATACACGTCGTCTGTTTGCAGACCCCCGACATATCCACAATTCGTAGACTTGGAGGGGAGACTTAGTAACAATCACTAATGTACCAGGCCTATCATGCGCGGACCGTCTCTTCATCTCTGACCGTGCTCATCTCGTCCTCGGCTTTCATCAGATCGTCGACGGTCTCAAAGAGATTGAGCTCGGCGGCTCAAGCATCGGTACTACCAAGAAAGGTATCGGTCCCGCTTATTCGTCAAAGGCATCTCGAAGTGGTCTTCGTGTTCATCATCTGTACGATTCCAGCTTCCCTGCCAAATTCCGTAAGCTAGTCGAAGGACGATTCAAACGATATGGTCATTTCGAATTCGACACCGAGGGGGAAATTGAAATGTACTTGGTGAGATTGCTTCTTTTAGGTCCATAGAATAAAACTGATGGACGTAGGCATTCGCAGATCGTCTTCGCCGTCACATCGTCGATGGTCCGACATTCATGCATCGAGCTCTTTCCTCCGGTCAAAGGATCTTGGTCGAAGGTGCCAACGCACTCATGCTCGATATCGATTATGGTACCTACCCATTCGTCACCTCGTCATCCACTTCCATCGGAGGTGTATGCACCGGACTCGGTATCCCACCCATGGCTATCAAACGTGTTTGTGGTGTGGTGAAAGCTTACACTACTCGAGTTGGTGGAGGACCCTTCCCCACTGAAGATCTGGGTGAAGTGGGGGAAACTTTACAAGAGGTCGGGGCGGAATATGGTGTGGTGACTGGTAGACGGAGACGTTGTGGATGGTTGGATCTGGTAGTATTGCGTTATTCGACCATGATCAACGGATACACCGAAATCAACTTGACGAAATTGGACGTTTTGGACGGTTTCAGTGAAATCAAAGTGGCTACTGGGTATACCATTGATGGGAAAGAATTGGAGAGTTTCCCCGGTATGTCTTTCCACTTATTCCTCTTCATTGCCACGATGAAAAATCAAAGAATGCAAGCTGACGTCATAGCTGATCTGGAAAAGTTGGCAAAAGTCAACGTTCAATACACCACCTTACCCGGATGGAAAACGGATATTTCAACTTATACATCCTACGACCAACTTCCACCCGCCTGTAAGGAATATGTCGAGTTTATCGAAAAGTTTTTAGGTGTGAGAATTACATACATTGGAGTTGGACCTGCTAGGGATAGCACCATTGTTCGATTGTAGTGTGTGTGCGTGTGGTCTTTTGCTATATATCTGATGCATAGAAGAGTACCAAAGGTGAATGGAAAGGGAGCAAATAAAAGAAGAAAAGATGAAACAGGTCCGATTTGCCAAACAAAGAGTCCAAGCCCCCCCGCTTTCGGGCGAGTAGCACGTACGTCATTCAACGCGTTGCCCGTACACTCGGTATCCTTTTCTCTTTCTCAACCTTTGTTTCTCATCTTGACTTTATCATCCATCTATATCTATCGATACCCTATACAACCTCGTCTTGCCTGTGAGTGACATTTTCTACACTGTCTTAGACCAAACTGATTGAAAAAGAGAGCAAACGAGTGAAGCCTCGACGGCATCTTGATAAACTTGACGTTTGTCTCACCCTTGTCTTTCACCTCCATCTCTCTCACGAGTTTTCCCCTTACTTTTCTATCACTCCTTTATCCGTTCTTCAGAACCAAGGATCTTAAACAAGGTTTCTCTCTTTCTCACGACTTCGACTCGAATAAACGACAAGCTTTCAAACTTTTGATTCGTTCACATCAACTCACGACATCTTACTGTAAAGGATTAAACCAACGACGAGCCACTCAAAAATGTTTTCGATATTTATCGGATTGATACTACTTTCAACAACCGCATTGGCACATTGTCAATTGAGTTATCCTCTACCTATCAGAAGTCAATATGATACGACTGTGGGAAATGAATATAAGGGTGAGTCTTATTCTGTCCTCCCGCTTTTTCTTTCTGGATTCTACCCATTTACCATCACTCCCACCCATTCCATCACTCCGCTAATCTCATTCCTCTCCAAACGCGCAACTTACGTGGATGGAGACTCAAATTCGGTCATCCAATCATCTACCCTTCAACATACATAAGCTTCTTAGCAATCACACTGTAGTGTCGAATGGAAGGGTCGAGCGTGGGACCAAAGGATTCACTTTGAAACAAAGATTGACATTCAGATTATTCATACACCAGTCCATTGATCACCGATGGACCTTATCCTTGCAAGGTAAGTCGACTCCTTTCTCTCTCCTCTTTAACCCCTTCCTTTCCGTCCTCGGGGCCTTTACCTTCATCTTTCACAAACTTCCATGGGCCGAGAACCATGGACCCCCCGCCCGAGCATTAGCCCTTCAGTCGTCATTCCATGTCCGTTCCTCGATCCCAAGAACGAAGCCTTGATGTGAATGTGCAACTATCTGACACAATGCTTATTCTTAGGGATTTCTCAACTCCTCCTCTTCCCTCTTATCGCCCAAAGCTACTCTTCATCCCGGTCAACCATTCACATTCGACATCATGGGTACTGCCACTCATGGTGGTGGATCATGTCAAGTCTCTCTTTCTTACGATATGGGTGTCACTTGGTCTGTCATTTATTCTCATATGGGTGGATGTCTTATCGATGGTATGTCAACTACCATCACCATTCCCGAAGAAGCTCCTTCAGGAGAAGCGATCTTTTCTTGGGGTTGGTTCAACTTGTTGGGGAATAGAGAAATGTATCACAATTGCGCTATTGTCACCGTCACCGATACTGAAGATACGAATACCCAATCTACGAAGAGAAAACGTAGTTCGACTGGTTTAAACGATAAAACAAATTTTCCAGAACCTTTCGTGGCTAATGCAGGTGTGAATGATTGTCATACTATCGAAAATATACCTGTGGTATTTCCAAACCCAGGTAAGAACGTAGTTTACGGTGGGACTTATAAAGATACGAAACCTACCGATCCGGCTGGATTTACAGGGGATAATTGTGTTGGTCCTTCTTCTGGTTCAAACGTTGTTTTACCAACAAACAACGAAACGAGTTCAGGAAATACTTCTCCTTCTTCTTCCTCCTCTTCGATTACCTCGACTTCTTCTTCCACTTCAACTTCTACATCCGATAGTAGTGGAAGTAAATCTTCCCCGGCACCAAACCCAATCGATGCTGAATCAACCAACACATCCACTACATCTTCAACTCCTAGTCAAAGTTCTATCACTCCTTTAAGGGTTATATCACCAGTGGGTCAACCTCCAAAAGGATCTACAACGAATACAACCATCACATCTTCAGGTATCACAAACTCTTCTATTCCAGACGAAGGATTATCCAGTGATACCAATACGAATTCAACCACGACCGACGCTTCTGTTCCAGTAAAAGGAACATGTCAGAAACCATTCACCACGGGTAAACGTTCGTTACGTCGTAGAGACGTACATGGGAGACATCAAAGGGTTTCGAGACGTAAAACCGGTCAAGGGGATGTAGTGGGTTTGATCGAAAAACGACATGAACGCCTGGTGCGTCGAGCCGTTTTGGTGGAGAGTGGTTCTTCTTGAACGATCGATGGAGGTAACGAAGTTTATTATCTTTGAGAATCTGTGGTATCTCAGGGAAGAAGGGTTAAGGTGGTATTGTACATGACATAATCACAGAGATGTAGGATGCAATTACTTTGCTTCCATCCTTAGTCAAGTTTTCTCATCTACAGTCCGCTTATCTCTGAGACGATCAAATTCACCATTTTGACGTTCGGATCCTGAGGTGATAAACTCAAAAAGTTGTTGTAAGATCGGATAACACTGGACTAAGTCGTGCCACAAAGGAGACGATGATAATCAAGTTGTTCATGAAGCACAATGCATGTATGGAAAAGAATCTAATTCGAATTATACCAACTGATGAATTTAAAACCATCCGGTAAAAGCGACATTCTCGACGTACCCGATCTACAGTACGTGACAAAGATCCGAAGCAGGATCAAAACCTCAAAGCTTCCGCCGCCTACGGATCAGTTGAAGAAAGCTCAGAGTGTGGAATCGATACCACTCACCCTGATATCATCTTCCGTCAAACTACTCTTTATACACATTTCATGGAAGATTCCACCTAATCGATAAAGGTTCATAGGAGTGTCGAATTCCTATTCCATCAGTATACCACCCACCAACCCCCATCCATCTCGACCCTCGTATTAATTACAACGTCATGTTGGAAGAAGACGCATAGAGGATTGACACGATGATACAGGATGTTGAGAAGACGGTCAACGGAAACCCCCTGAAACGTAATTCCAAATTTTCATAGGAGACAACTTTCATAGGAGACAGATAGAAGAGGATAGTGATTAATGGACAAGGGGGGGGGGAAGGAAAAGAAGAAGAAGGTTTTTGGGGGAGATGAAACTCACAGCAACTTGACCATCACTCATTACTAAAATCCTATCATAACTCAATATAGTCCTTAACCTATGAGCTATACATAATAAAGTTTTATCTTTAAATTCCGTTCTTATGGTTTCTTGTATTTTCGAATCTGTATCAACATCCACACTTGCTGTAGCTTCATCTAAAACCAAAATCTTGGTACCTCTGACTAAAGCTCTTGCTAAAGAAACTAAACTTCTTTCTCCTACACTTAAATTCCCACCTTCTTCTTCTATAACAGTATCCAAAGTAAATCTATTCCCTTGACTTTGACCTTGACTTTGACCTTGTGTAGATGTTGAAGGTGATTTACCATCGAGACTGGAATCGGAAGAAACGAGATGAGCTCTTTTTAAAGTATCATATAATTCTAAATCTGTACGTGTATGAAAAGGATCTATATTCGATCTTAAAGTTCCTGAAAAAAGTAATGGATCTTGTGGTATTATAGAAACAGTTGAACGTAAATCGTTTAAACCAATTTTAGATATATCTAAATCATCTATAGATATACTTCCACTTGATAATTCCGCAAGACGAAATAAAGCTACCATGATTGAAGATTTTCCAGCTCCGGTTCTACCTACTATACCTATTTTTTCAGATGCTCCAACTGATAATGATAATCCTTTTAAAACATCTGGTAATTCAGGTCGATATTTCAATCGAACATTTTCCATTTTTATCTTTCCTTCTTTTGGCCAATCTGAAAATGGTTTATTTTCTTTTATCTCATGAGGTGATTCTTGTTCTAAATCTTTACTATAATAAATCACACGTTCAGCTCCGACCATATCATTTTCGACTTCTGCGAGTTGTCGAACTAACCAAGAAAAACTTTGTTGAACAGTTACCATAACTGATAATCCTAAACCACCATTTGCGGCTGATATAGTATGAGCTAAAACGACGATGAGAGCGACTGAAAATGTTAAAAGAGCACCAAAGAAATCGAGTCGCATTCCTAACCATCTTTGATTGATAATGGTCAAGTAATAAGCTCGATTTTCAACATCCATTCGTTTGACGTTATCTTCGAAGAAACGTTCGGATTCACCATATGAACGAATGGTAGCTATACCGGAAAGTGATTCGGAGAAATGTGAATATAAAGAAGAACGTAAGACCGCATCTATACGTTTGAATTCTCTAGAAGATCGTCGATAGAACCCAGCACTGTGTGCGTAAAGTACCATTACTATTGCCATGGCGATGAGGAAGTAAGGTTCGATAATCGCCAATAAAACAGTAGCACCGATGATGTTACCTAATGTCGATACTGCCATTCTCATAGCATCTCCTAGAGTATTGTCCAAGGTATCGATATCTTTGGAAAAACGATTCATGATTCTACCCAAGGGAGTTGTGTCGAAGAAACTTTGAGGAGCAAACATGACCCTAGTTATGGCCGAACGATGTAATTCGACAGAAGCAAAGTATGTGAGAAGTGCATTCGAGAATCCTTGGAGGAATAGCGAAATGGCAGAACCGACACCGAGAGCAGCATAAATACCCATATACCATCCGTTCGGTTTTGGCCAACGACGTTCTTCCCAATAAACCAACCAGAAAGATGTCATGACGGTGAACGCTTGAGCGACAGAGACAGCTAGGATAAGAGCGGGAAAGACGTATTGACCTTTTCCAGCTTTTAGATAATTCCAATAAGTCCCATTTCTCATAGCACCGGAATTACGTTCTTCAGCTTGCATCAACGCCCTTCCAACACCTTTCGAGACAAGGTCCGCTCGATCATACTTCTTGGCAGCTGTAGCAGCTGTGATGGCTTCTTGTTCATTGGCTTCAGCTGCGTTGGCTTCGTCTTCTGCACCGAATTCGCTGATGAGACGAGCAAACGCCTTACCGGATGCTTTCAATTCTCTATAGGTCCCTTGTTCGGCTACACGACCTTCGTCCATGAGAATGATATGATCGACGTAAGGGAGGAAGTGTAGAGCGTGAGTGACCAAGATTCTGGTTTTGCCAGAAAGAGCACCAACGATGGCGTTGAAAAAGACGGCTTTACCCACACCGGCATCAAGAGCTGAAAGAGGATCATCTAAAGCGATGATATCGGCGTTGAAATATATCGCCCGAGCGATGTTGACACGTTGTTTCTGTCCACCGGAAAGATTAATTCCCTTTTCTCCAATTTCCGTACCATCCCCATCTTCCAAAAGTTCCAAATCTGCTTCAAGAGAAGCATCTCTGACAGCCGCCCAATACCTCTCTTCATCCCATTGTTGACCAAATACGATATTCTCCCTAACGGTGGCGTTTTGAATCCATGGAGTCTGAGCACATAGTGCAGTCGATCCGCTGAATGTCACTTTCCCGTCTGTCCTACGCATCTCGCCCATTAGTCCTTGAAGCAATGACGACTTGCCCGATCCGATTGCGCCTACGATGGCGGTGAGAGAACCTCGAGGTATAGCCAGGTCGATATCTTTCAAATTGAATATTCGGTCCACAGATTCTTGCTCATCTTTCTCCTTAAGCCCCGGCTCACTTCCCAATGGCCCACCTGTAAAACTACTCGCCTCTCCTATTCCAGGTCTTCCTGCAGCCACCTCAGCTTGTGCCTGCTGGGCCAAATCAACTTTGCCTTTCTTCTTGTGCCATAACATACGCTTCAGATGCTTAGACTTCTTCTCCTTCTTACTTGTTTTAGGTCCCTGAGCTTCACCCGTAATAGCCGCCGCCGTTCTACCTTTCAGCTTCTTCAACGAGCCATCCTCGACAACAGGAGCAGCATCCCACGTGAAGGAAGCATGTTCCACTCGGACTGCATCTTCCATACTCGGATCAATTCGCCGCGTCTCGGTGATAATCTCCGCGTCGAACACTTTCTCCAATCTTCCGAGAGCGTTTAGCGCGTCGGCAGTAGCGGAAAGCGACATGGGCCATAGCATCAACGGAAGTCGCATGAGTTGAAACAGAGTGATGACGGAGAAGATAGTTGCTGCTTGCAATTCGTGTGCAGTGAGGGAGTAGGTGATAAAGGAGAGAATGGCAGCGAGGAGGGGGAGAGACATGGCAAAAGCCATCATACCAGATCGCATGATCATGAGCTTTCGAACGTATTTCAGTTCCATTCCGCGAATGGCTTTTAGTCGATTCAAAAAGGGGATTTCCCAAGCCATGAGTTTGACGATACGCATACCGCCGAGAATCTCTTGTAGCAGTTTAGCACGTTTGTCCGTCCACACCATACTCTTCTTTCGAATTGAGAATAGGGTTTTCATGAAATTGAACTGTAGCGGGGTCGCCAAAGCCAGAAATGCGATACCCGGCAGGGCGGAGTATCCGATCTCAACGAGGAGAATGATCATGATGACGACGAACTGGATGGGAGATGTCCAGATGAGGTGGAAGAAACCAGCAGCGAAATCAATTCGACTGGTATCGGTAGAAATGTGATTGACCAACTTCCCATTAGGTAGTTCTCCTCTGGATTTCTGAGTCAATCGCAGGGCTCGTGAGTAGACTGACGAGATGATAGCCCCTCTTCCTAGCACTCCCACACTCATACTTCGAACGAAAAAGTGATGTACCGTCATTGACCCGACGACTAACATGATCAACAAGGCAAAAGCTAGGCCAACACCGTGGCCGACAGCTGGGAAAGGCATTGTACCATGACTCTGTCGGGCGAGTTGGTATTTTGTAGACCAAGAGATAAGGGCGCGCATGACTAGTGGCGTGGTGGCTGTGGAAACATCACCGAATACCTTGATCAGACCCCCAATCCAAAAATACCAACCGAACGTATCGCTGAGCGACATTGCCAGCGACGCATGTTTCTTGCCGTGTTTAGTTCGATAGTCATGTTCGCGCTTCTGTCGATGGGGAAGTAATGGGTACATCCAATTCTGAGGCCATGGGAGGGAAGTAGTCGTATCCGCAAGATGCGCATTGTAATCTTCAGCCAATTTTGTACGTCTCTCATATGCCGCCGCTAGCTTTGCCGCCAAAGGTTTGGCCGATCGGGCGTCGTCCATCTTCCACAAATCTGTAGGTTCAAGTGGACGAGCAGCACCTAAGGCCATTATCGGAGTGACCCAATTGAAGAAAAGTTGACTAAATATGCCAGCGGTGACTTGTGGAGTGATTTTAGCATCGTCGAGGGAAAGTGGAGCGGGTGGCGGGGGATATTTTCGTTTGACGAAGGGTAAAGAATGTCGCCTTGACGTCAGCTGTCAGGTACTGAGTGGTAAAGGAGTGAACTGACCATCTTGGCTGAGTATAAGGTCCACCACTGGCCGGAGTGTACAACTCTTTACCAGTCTTTTGCTCAACGACCACTTTGAGTTTACGTGTCTGACCTTCGTGTTCAACTTCGATCACACCCTTTTCTTGGTATTCGTCTCGTTTGCTCCCAGAGGGTTCTACTTGTTCTTCATCGTTCTCTCGGCTCCACTTGGATTTCTCATCCCCGAGCTCGGTTCCATCACCAGCTACATCGGTGGTAGTGCTCTGGGTGGACGAAGGGTGGAGACGATCCGTTCTTCCCGGAGCGTCGGGTCGAAGCGTGGAGGATTGAGAGGACGTGCGATGTACCGGGAGGAGAGACATTGCTCTAGGAAGACAGGGCGGAGATGGTTGACCCGTTGTGTGCGCCCAGGCAAAACGGCCGACTGGTGTGGATGGGTGGGAAAGGTGAATATGACGATGTGTGGTGGGTGACGATCGGTGATCGGGGTGATGTTGTGAGGTGAAGTGACTGATGTTGTGAGGCTGAGAGAAGGTTGGGGTAAATAAGAAACGGAGTGGGTGTACTAAAATAGAATGTATGGGCTGAGTAGAAGAAACTATGTATAGGATTTGTAAGAATATATAGGGTGGGGGTTGATGAATTGAGAGAAAGTCACCGAGAAGGAGGATCCCTGTCGGATTTAGCCGATGACCGAGCCCCGGGGTTGGTAAAATAGGCTCGCGTGGCCTGCCACTTCTGTACGCACGAGCCTTTCGACGCGACGTTGAGCTTGACACTTTCACCCACCTTGACCTCACTCTACTCTACTCCACCCAACTACCCACCGAGCACCATGGCATATCGTACTTCCCCCCAACCAGGTCCTTCCTACAACCCTACTTCCCCCTTCCAGCCCACTTTCAATCCGGCTCCTCAACAGATGCTCAAGTCATCCGCTCAGGGACAGAGTCGCACCACTTCTCCTCTCCCTCAGATCGCTGCCCTCAACCTCGGTCCCCCGGGGTCACTCCAGCCCTCTTCTCAGATACAGCGCACTAACACTTCTGGCTCTGGTAGTTCCTCTCAGGCTGAGAAAGATCCCGATTATGTCTTTTTCGATAGGAAACCGGGGCAGTATGGCGAGCAGACTCAGGGCAAGGCAACCGCCGCCAAAATGAAGCTAGAGTTGTTCTACAAAGAAACGGTTGAGAACGTCGTGGCCAGAAAGGATAGGTGGGTCCAGACTTACACAGACAGGGCCTGAGCCTCTTCATCACCATGACTGTACTCTCCCTCTCTCTCTTTCATGCTTTGACTTAACCGTCATCAGTCATGCAGTCCAAAGCGTAGGCATCACATGTATCAAAGCTGACAAGCAGAATGAAGAAGTTGGCGGAAGAACTTGCTAGAGATCAGTATACCCCGGAAGCACTCAAACGTCGTCGCATGCAAGCTTTAGGCTACAAAGAAGCCAAGTGAGTAACAGCATGCTTGCTGTCTCACAGCTAAGTTGCTCACCTACTAGCTTCCTACGATTGAGAAGGACCAGAATAGGTCTCGACGATTTCCGCACCGTCAAAGTCATTGGTAAGGGTGCCTTCGGAGAAGTTCGCTTGGTGCAGAAAGTCGACAGCGCAAAGATCTTTGCTATGAAGACTTTGAAGAAGAGCGAAATGTTCAAGAAGGACCAGGTGTGTAGAAGTGTCATGTTATTCTTACGAGATTACTGACGTTTAGCTTGCCCACGTTCGTGCAGAGCGTGACGTGTTGGCAGAATCGAACTCGCCCTGGGTGGTACAGCTGTATTATTCATTCCAGGACATGCAGTATCTGTATCTGGTGATGGAATTTTTGCCAGGCGGGGATCTCATGACAATGTGAGCTCAGCTGGCGTATTGGAGTTCGAGCTGACAGGCAGGTTGATCAAATATGATACTTTTTCCGAGGATGTGACGAAGTTCTATATGGCCGAGTGTATTCTAGCTATTGAGGCTGTTCACAATCTGGGCTTCATCCATCGGTGAGTCAGCTAACAGACGACGGAGTCTTTCAGCCAGCTCACCAACAGCGACATCAAACCTGATAATATCCTCATAGACGCTACTGGTCACATTAAGCTGTCTGACTTTGGTCTGTCTACTGGCTTTCACAAGCAACACGATTCCATGTACTATCAACGTCTTTTAGGAGGTGGCAATTCGAACGCCACCACGAAGACATCCAACGCTCCCAGAAACAGTGTCATGGTCAATGCTATCAATCTCACCATGACGAGTAAACAGGATATTGCCACATGGAAGGCGAATCGACGCAAGTTGGCCTACTCCACAGTTGGGACACCAGACTATGTAAGTGGAGGAAGATACACACCTATACTCCTTGTGTCGGAATACACGATCTTGCTGACTTGCAGATATCTCCTGAAATTTTCATGCAGAAAGGCTACGGCAAAGAGTGCGATTGGTGGTCTTTGGGTGCAATCATGTTTGAATGTCTTGTCGGTATGTCAGCTGATTTTCGCCCATCGTGCAACAGCTAACATGAAGGTTATCCACCATTTTGCTCGGAAAATGCCCATGATGTGTATAGGAAGATTTGTAATTGGCGAGAGCACCTCTTCTTCCCGGATGATGTACATCTCAGCAGAGAGGCAGAAGATATAGTCCGAAGGTGAGTTCGGCAGCCTTTGTAGATCACGCTTCTGACTGGCAGGATGTTGTGTGAAGCCGAGCGTCGTTACACCGTCGAGCAGATCAAATCACATCCCGTAAGTTTCTGTCGGCATTCGATCATTGTCAAGTTGACTAACCTTCAGTTCTTCTACGGAGTTGACTGGGCTTCTATCCGAGAGATCGACGCTCCTTTTGTTCCTCATCTCCGCAGCATCACCGATACGTCCTATTTCCCCACCGATGAGCTGGACCAGGTCCCGGAGATACCTCAGGGCGCGGAGATGGGCCCGGATGCAAAGAAAGATCTGGCATTCTTGGGGTATACGTGAGTGTTTCTGACCTATGTCCATTCTGCATCTTTCACCACTTGGCTTTCAGTGGCGCGGAGGGAGTCGACGCTCGACTACCTGAACCATCCTATGCACTCATACCCTGTTCATACGATCGCTCGCTGACCTCCAGGTACCGCCGATACGAAATCATGTCATGATTGCAATCGAATCGACTCGACTAGCAATCGTGGGAACGAGGTGCACGAAGAAGCAACGAAGATTTGCCACATGTTCAATGTCACGATCATATACGAATGACTTGCTGTCGGGTGGGCCGATGCTGACTAGACGTGATACCTAAGATTGACTGACTCGAACGATGATCATCCTCGCAAAGGTCAAAGGAAAGCAATCATTAGTCCCCATGAGGACATCTTCAGAAGATCACCATCAGTCCTCCTTCCTTCGCCCGCATTAGGTAAAACCCCATTCTTTCTTATCACCTCCCTTCTGTACGCCTTACTATCATACAAACGGTATCCACCACTGCAGTCCTGGTCTGCACCCCCTTCGTGATGGTCAGCGTGCCCGATGACCACGGATCTGATCAGCTTGATTGATGGATGAAGAATCCTACATTCCCTTCGGGATTCCACGAGGCATCTTTCGGATCCGTAGTCGACTCGTCAGAGGATGACTGGACAGCTGACTAGACGTTTGACTGATTATTTATGAATGACTCTTTTCACACTCGCTCCAACCTGATACTCCCCCTCCAAATCAAGTGACAATATGCGTAACCTCCTTGCCACTCTTTCCATCCAAATCCAAGGGTTTTTGGTAGCTTATCCTGTTCTACAAGATGGTCTCAAACTTACCGCCGTGGCGCTGGGATGGCAAATGGTCCAAGCTTTCTGGAAATTTGTTTCTGGTAGTCTGATGAGTGGTAAGTAATTGACATTTTCTTGATCCATGCTCCGTCTTTCCAGCACATCAGAAGTCACATCTGCCAAGAAGAAACTCTCTGTCATCCCTCTCACATAGGAACGAAATTCCGGGGAAGTGATCAATCTGAGAATCTCACACTGATGATAGAATTCACCTCCACGGCAAGTGTCCAAGAACATGACATGGCTTATCAATGGTTACTTCATTTCCTTACCCTCCATGTGCGTGATCACACGGAAGAAAAGCCGACATTTTGGGCTGTGTTATTAGGTGCTATTTGGCCTAGTGGGAATAAGACGCCTACTCACGTTGCCGTTCAAACACGTTGGATGAAGGGGTATGGTGAGATGGACGAAGCTCATGTATTGTTCAGACCTTCGAGTGGTACGTGTGCACAACCCTCCCAACTCCTTTCATTCACAACCGATGTACTCGTCCGAAAATTTCAGACAGCACACAGTACATCTTCCCATTTCTACACCGTTTGAAGGTTCCGGACCAATCATCAACTCGTTTATTATGAAGAAGAGTAAAGAAGTATTTGATCCTGATGACATGACAGAAACCCCTCAATATATCCACTTCAAGGGTAAAACCATCAAGATTCGGTCTGTTCAAATTTCAGAGGGTATGGAAGCTCATCAATGGTTTTTCATGAGGTGTGTTTTACTTTTTTCTCTTGTCTTCTCTTCTTTTAATTTTTCATGAAATTCCAAATCACTTTTATCATTGTCATTCTTAACTTATCTCATACCTCTTACAAACCTGCCATGATTTATATGATCCAGACAGACAACGACAATCCAAAGATACAGAATACTGGTATAACGTCGAGGGCTGAGGTATCAATCAATATGAGAACCAAATTCGTTGATCTATCAGCACATTCTTAGGATCCACAGCTCTTTTCAAAGATTTCATAGCTGCCGCTAGAATGTATTACAATAACAAAGATCGTGGTCAATTGAGAATTCTACTTCCAGATAGATTGGGTGGTTTATGTTGGCGAAACACCGACCCGAGACCTGCTAGACGATGGGATTCTGTCATCTTACCAAAATGTATGAAAGATAATTTGTTATATGATGTCATGGAATTTTTGCGGGAGGAGAAATTTTATCGCGAAAGAGGTCAACCATGGAGGAGAGGGTATATGTTATATGGGTTACCAGGAACAGGGAAATCTAGTATGAGTGAGTTATTTTGATATAATAATAATGTCCAATTCCTATTTGTAAAGAGGGAGGGTAAAAGGTGAAGTTTCACGGAATTAGGTGAAAGATTAATTTCGTAGTCGCCGCTTTGGCTTCTACACTCGATGTTGATTTATACAATTTGAGTCTTTCGGCCAGTTGGTGAGTAATTTTACTCTAATCTTGGTCAACCTTCGATCTGCTCATGGTTTGTGCTCGTCCTCGTTTACTGGACCAGACATTAGACAAACAGTCGTCACTGATGATAAAATAGGATGGACGATTCCGCTCTCACGACCCTCATCAATGATATGAGTGGACGTAGTATATTACTCATGGAAGATATGTAAGTGACCTTTTCGTCTTTCCTCATTTTGAAAGAGTCATTCAACCTTATGACGTTCACCAATACCTGGTGTAGAAAATGTTCAAACATCAACATAGCTGTTTTTCTCATGAGTATGATACAGTAGTCATACCCTTTGTATGCATTGAGACGGGTTGTCACATGTTGATCCATCAGAGATTGCGCTTTACGTGATCGTGAAGAAGACAAAGATTCCACAAACGATTCGAACGAGAAGGACAAGAAACAAAATGGTACGAAGAAAGAACGTGAGAAGAGCAGAGTGACACTTTCCGGTCTACTCAATGCTCTAGACGGTGTAGCTGCATCAGAAGGGAGGTTGTTATTCTGCACGACGAATCATCTCGACCGTATTGATCCAGCTATCAAACGTGCCGGTGAGTTTTTAATTTCCCCATAAATCCCATCCTCCTAATGTGTCATTCCTCCTCATGAACAGCCTCAATCGTCTTCGGTCCATTTTGATGTCACTCCATCAGCGCCCAAGGACAATCGTAGTCCTCCATGACCTTCAAGCAGCCAATGTGGAAGTTGAGGTTATCGATCGAGCTAACATCTAGGCCGATGTGATGTATTGATCGAATTCAAACATACGACCAAAGAACAAATCCGAGAACTATTCCTTCATTTCTACGCCTCACGTCCTCCCTCCATTCCTCCCACTCCTGAAGATACATCCCCTGAGATTTCGGACGAGAAAAAACTCCTCCTGTCCACTCTCGCCCTCACTCCACCACCTACACCTTCATACGAAGAAACAATCAACATCTCAGAACTGGCAGACAAATTTGCAGCTGATATACCTGTGGACAGCACCACCTCCTCGGCCTTGCAGGGATATATGATGCGTTACAAGCGTCGACCCGTCGAGGCGGTGGCCGGCGTTAAGGCTTGGGTCGAAGCTGGTTTCCCTCAATTGCCAGTGACGGTGTCTTACGAGAGGGATATGGAGACTTTGAGCGAGTAGATGACAGGTGATGAAATGAGGGATTCGAAATACGCCGAATGAATGGTAGACAGTACAAATATTGAACCCCTTTTCCGGAAATGGCCCTCTATTCATAAGATTATCGTATCATGCATGATGTGTGGACCAAGATCAATGAGCTCGTCTCTTGTGAAATCGTTCGTGATCGTGTCGAGGAAGTCGTTCGTTGCTGAGGTTCTACTATGGCACAAGATTGAGACAACGCGTCTCCTCCTGTCATCAAGGCTAGCACGGGAGGGCGTCATCCGACAGAAGTTGGGGTGGAAGATGTAGCGTGCAGCACTGTCAATCGGCAGGGGTCAGGGTCACTCGTCCTGGCGTATCATCGAAATCCGAAGCGGGCGAAAAGATCGGAGTGAATGGCGGATGTACAAGTCTGGGATTCGAGATGTTGAGCGGTGTAGCTGGTTCCAATTCGAGTAATTGGACTTCTCCAATGGCTTTCCTCAACGCATGACCGGTTTCGTCGATGGAATGTAAGAATCTGAGAATATCTTTACACAACTCTTCATCAGTTTTTATTGAGGTGAGGTCCATGATACTGACCTTGTACTCTTTGGCCGTCATGGCTAAACGTAATAATCTGACTGCGTCCTGGTGGTGTCAGTACACAACTTATACTTCACATGAACTTAATGATGTGAGAAGAACAGAGAGAGGTACAGTGAGAGAACGTAGCAGAACAATGTATGAATGACACAGGGTACAATGTGGATTTATGATATTGTGAAAAAATTAAGTTGAACCTACCTTTGCATCATCCAACATCTCCATATTGTGTAATACCAACAAATACGACGTAGCAACATCTAATTTCCCCGCTTTCAAACATTTCTCAAATAGATCTCTAGGTTTACCGACCACATCAAATAACATTTCCCACATCCGAGGATCGGTCTTTCTCGCGCAAGCCACTACGACCTCTAGTGATTCTGTGAAATGATCGAGGAATTCCACAGTAGTCTGAAGCAAGGTGGATTTGTTTTGTGGTGAAAGGTCCGCTTCGAGTACCGTATGAAGTAAGATTTCTAGTGAATGAGTAAAGTAGATGAGGGATTGATAATTTGCCGCGAAAGCCAAAGCGTTAGGTAAATGAGGAGTGGAGAGATGATACTGCAGAAAAGGGGGTAAGAATAGACGACTTCGAGTTTCGAGTTTGTGTAAAGAAAACGGGAGTGATCGAGTGGAAGTTTCGTGGTCAACACCGATGATGATGCCCTTGTCCATGAGGATAGCTTAGAAATCAGTGTTTATGTCTTATTTTATAGAGACACAAGGATGAAGGACTCACACAAGGGATAAAAGTCCAAATCAAGGGAGACACTTTCCTTCACGCTCTCATAAGCATCCTTGTCAATGTCCACTCGAGTCGCCTCGATGGTCAAAGCATCAAGCCACACTCGCATGCTGGAACCGTCGTATCCCCAGAGGGAGTTCTCGAGTGTGCCCACTCCACTGAGATGCGTCCAGTAACATTCGATGGAATCGGCCAAGGTTTGCATATCGTACCGTACCTCGTCGTTGGCGGCCTGTTTGTCAGCTATCTGTCTCTTGCAATAGATTCAAGTCCATGGACTGCCGCGACAAACTGCCCGAAGACTTCGAGACAACGAGTGTCGCAAGATAGCAAGCAAGCAAAGACGGATGTTACACCCAAGCCATCGGCCATCGGCGACGAGTGGATCAGAAGGATGTTTTGAAATGACAATGACTTACTCGTCGAGGTCGGAGAAGCAGCAACTTGCGATCCACCAAGAAGATGATGGTAGCAACTATAAGATCATCCGATGGATCTCCAAGATCTAGCCTGAATCAGTTCGTTCACGATGAGAATGGAAAGCTTTACTCACTACTCTGAGCCTCTGGGACTAACCACGACAACGCCTTGACCCGACTTGGGACTTGAACAACACCTTCAAAACTGATGCTTCCACAAAGATAAAGCCTAATGTTTCCTTTGGAAGGAATGATGAGGAAATGATACAAAGTATTATCTGTGGTATATACAAGCAGCGAGTTGTTTAACAGTGACATGACTTGTACGGGAGCTCTCAGAGTAGCGGAATGCAGTACCCTGCCTTCTGTAGCATCGGACTCTCGAGAATAGAGACGTATCTGAGAGTTCAGCTACTTCGCCCTATCTCGAGGTAGCTCACCTGGTGCACTTTTCCAACCTCTACAGCCGCTATCAGAACATGCTGGAACCAAAGAAGACCTCCGCGGACCACGAAGCGAAACTCTTGTTCTCCTTCGAAGACGATCTCCCACCTTCGACTATCAGCAGAATAATGAGCCAAACCTCTACCACCAGCCACAGCAATGAATTTCCCATCGGAAGAAATAGAGGCGTAACGTATGGGCCAGTTTGTAGCAATGTAATCGCTAGGTATCTGTACATCAACCTCTGCGCGGACAATGAGCCCGACAAGGAATGGAGCTACCTTGACATGCTCCCATACGTCCGACTCGGGGTTGATCACACTCATGTCGGGCTGATCAGCACCTCGATAAACCAACACCCTATCGTCCATCTGCAGAAAGGCATATCGCGTGTTATCAGGTGAATGTTGGGTAGTGGTCGCACTTTTGACGAAGGGCATAGAGTATAACGCCGTTTGATCTGAGGAGGGCCGGACGAACAACTCCAAGTTGCCCGGTGCCCAGAACTTACGGTCAGCTTCTTGATCAATGGTTCGGCATATGGTGTAACTAGACCTACCAAATCTGCGACGCCGGAATTGAAGGTATCTTCAACACCGACACGAGTTTCCTCTACAATCTCTCGAGCTCCGAAACCAGCAAGTCGTCCACTAACGGACCAGACAGCCCAAGCATGTTGATATCCCACTGCCAGGCAGAATCCATCCGAGGTCCACTGCAAGCAAGTGACCAATCCTGGAGATGTACCTGTAAATCTTAGTTTTCGTCGAAGGACGTAGGACGACTTACGCAGGTTGGCAGATCGTTTTAGGTCAAGTGTATGAGAATGCCGAATGGGGTGGGGTTCAGGAAGGAGGGTGATGATTTCGACGTTACCACTGCAAAGTTCAGCTGACTCGTTCTCAGCCATACGAATTAAGCAAGCTGACTTACTTGGCACACCCCACAGCTATCAAGCCATATCGACCGTTGCTGGCGACCTCCAGGGCTTTGTTTTCCGGAGTGACCTCTACTTCGGCGTCCATGTCACTTGCGTGCAAAAGACCCAATGCGGCTATGCTATGCGATGGATTTGACGTTTCGGACGATGGTCGGGGTGATGGGTAGAGAAGCCGGCCAGCGAAACGTGTGGCGGATGATTTAGAACCATGTCGATCTTCGTTATGGGGTGTCGCGAATGGAGTACTGGGTGCAGACTAGGCTATGTCACCAAAGTTGGACTATGGTAGAAGTGGTGAGACGACATACCTCAGACCACGAGCGACTGTAAGGGCGATGAAGCGCATACACTCTTCCTTCGGTTGTGGTCATGATCCACATGGTTTGCATTCCTTGAACCTTGCTGACGTGGAGGTCGCGTGGAATGGGTAGTGAATTTTCTTACTTTCAGCCAAGATTCTGGACACCTGAACATTTCTCCATTCGTCGCTCTTTTGTAAATCCGTTTCGATCATGAAAAATGGGCAGTTCAAAACGGTTGTAGTGAATCGTGTAAGGAGAAACAATCAAGGGTCGAGATATGTCGTCCTAGAGTTGATAAGATGAAGTCAAGGTCACTCACCAACCATCCTCATCCATTCCCCAGAACCTTCAAACTCCCAAATTTGTACATCCTTCCCTTCCCCACCATCAAGTGGAACAGGTGGTACATCACTTTCCAAACTCAACATCTCCTGAGGTAATGGATAAGGAACAGTCAATATCGCCGGAGGATGTCGAAGACATAACATGAGATTATGAGTTTGAACCAGAAGAGAAGTACATGATCCCATAGCGAAAGCTGCACCTCGATAATCTAGTTGCCAACCCATGAGTGGGTCTCCTTCTCCTGGTCCGTCACCTGGAGGAAAAGAGGGATCGGTGCGAAGGGTATAAGCGGGGAGGTTGGAGGGGACGAGAGTGTAAAAGAGGAGATGAGAGTTAGATGTCTGTCACGAGGTCAGAGTTTATCATCGTTGGATTGAGATGGATCAAAGATCCGCGAGATGTTATTGAATGAAAAGAACTTGAAGGATCACAGATGATAATGAGAGGTGCGGACAAGGACGGGAAGAATATTGAAAGGAGCGAGAGAGGGTAATCAGAATACAGAAGGGAGAGAGCCAGAAACAAATGACAAGCTGAAGGAAGACCAGGTAGCATTCACTACACAAGACAGAGAGGAATGAAGGTTGGTCATAAGCTGTAAGAAGGTGGGGAGGGGGATGTTGAAAAACTTACAAGCACAATGATACCTCTTCCATCATGAGACCAAAATACATCGTCATTATTTCCCCATCTTGAGACGTTCTTCGGGGTTCTGATAGATGCCAGCTGGAGTACAGTAGGCTTTCGTGTCAGTCTTCATCCTCGGGAGGTTCCAGCACCAAGACGTAATACGAATGTTTCAGGAACCTCATAACGAACGGAGAAATACATTCGTCAGATATCTTGGTCAACCATCAAATGAGATGATGATAATATAGTCATATCATTACTTGGTAAATACTAAGATCGACCGAGAAGCAAAGAAGAGAGTAAAGATGAAGGAAGTGGATGGGGTCAAGATGAGATGACAACGAGTAACTCACTCGGACATCCCATACCGATAAAGTGGTTTCAGTCAGAATGGCGAAAAAGTTGCCTTTCTTATTCGACCTCAAACGTCGTATAGTCTCTTCGTTGGTAGGCCATGGTATACTGAGTTGACGGGATACCGTGGTGGGCCAGTACATGGTTTCATGAACTCACGAGCAGAAGTGAGACCGTCTAAAGGGTCGGTTGTGAGTGAACCAGTTGGAATGCGGGGCGCGTAGGGATAATCCTGACGGAGCTCGAATTAATCCCGACGTAAATTTGGCCATTTCCCACAAATCCCGTCACAACTGGCGAGGATCCCGTCACTACTCACCCAAATCCCTGCGCTCCCTCAATATCGAGGATTCTTGAGATGTAAGAGGTGTAGAGTGATCCTAGAGAGTTCAGGATGCATAAAATGCAGAGAGATCAGTTGAATC